CCTTAGCAGCGACTGGAATTTTGAAGGATCCACTCGCCCCAGTTCCCTTGGTTTGGGTCAGTTTTCCAGTCTCAACCAATTTCGTAATAGCTTTACGAATGAAGGTGGCTTGCTTGGTGGTGTCAACCTTGTAGGTGTCAGCGATGAACTTTTTCACTGCTTGCAGAGAAGAGCCATTCCTTTCCTTAAGGGACTTGACCGCGTTGATGACCATTTGAGTAGTGGGTGGGTGAGACGCAGCTGCCTTCGCCCCCTTTGGCTTTGCAGCGCCAGCCTTCTTCGGACTCTTGGGAGCCTTGCCTTTCTTCGCAGGAGGGGGAGTGGCCGCTGGAGCGGCAGTCGCAGCTTCTTCTGACATAATGATGTTTGTTGTTTTTGATGGTTTTTCTTTGAATGAGCCAGACAGCAGTACTGGATGCAGGATGAGGTAAGATTGAGATTACGACTGACTTTATAAGGGAATGGAGATACGAGAGTGCCGACGTACTCGAAGCAGCTGCTTTCCCTGCTGAGTTGCCAGAGTGGCGGTTGAGTTTTGAGCAAGGTTTCTTGCATGGAGGGAAATGGTGAGAACTTTATGAAGCGATTTTATCACGTAGCTTATTGCCTTGTGACTTGCTATTTGCTTTTATCGATGTCATCAAAAAATCTGATTTCCGCATCATACTCCACAAGTGTAGTCCAATGTGAATCCAATATTAAACCAATATAATGATTCTGATGAAATTACGAGTTATCATGATCTCCTAATAAACTCTCGCATCACAACAAAATGTGCCTCCAGCAGACGCCCGTTCGTCCGGATGACAACGTCGCCATTGTCTCATAATAATTAAATGCATCATCATTGATGATTTAATGATATTCTTGTATGCAAAATTTATTAGGTTTTCACTCCAACATCACAGCAATGTAATTTTGAGAATCATTTCAGTTTGTACTTATTTTTCATAAGAATTTTAATTTTATGTCGCTATTTCCTCCATATAATCATCAACCGACACAAAGCCATGCACCGAATCCAATATAAATCGCATAGATATAGATATATCTCTTATCATAAACTTGACCAGTGCAATAATAAGTAAAAAAACATCATCATGTATGTATGTATGCATTTAATGTATTACGTAGATTGATTAATTTATAGCTCTTAGGAAAATGTGGTGGCCCTTAAAAGGGCCGTTGGGTTATAAGATGTTGATAAGGTGGGCTTGATGAAGGGACGAGATCAGTTTAACCGCCGAATCCGTAGAGGGTGCGGCCTTGTCGCTTGAGGGCATAGACGACGTCCATGGCGGTGACCGTCTTCCTCTTGGCGTGCTCGGTGTAGGTGACGGCGTCTCGGATGACATTTTCAAGGAAGACCTTGAGGACTCCACGGGTCTCTTCATAGATAAGACCAGAGATACGTTTGACACCCCCACGACGAGCAAGACGACGGATAGCAGGCTTGGTGATTCCCTGGATGTTATCACGTAAGACTTTACGATGTCTCTTGGCGCCTCCTTTGCCGAGTCCCTTTCCTCCCTTGCCACGACCAGTCATTTTGAAATGATTTGATGAGAAGTAGTTTAGACTTGTAAAAGCTAAAATAAGTCGAGTGATGCAGAATGAGTGAAATGAGATTGGTTATATACACCTTGAGAGCGAGAGCGGACGTTGGTGAACCGGGTAGACTTTTTCCTCCTCTCTCTTCCCTCCACTCGAGTTCCCTCGCAAGTGAGAACTCAGGAATTCTCTCGGCAACTGAACCCAAGATTTTCCCTCCATTCCCGCAACTCCGTTGAGTTCTCCACGACTCAGCTCACAACTCAGCCTCCGCATATAAAAGCTTCGTCGTGTCTCCGTCCCATCATCATTCAATTTTCTGAATTCACCAAAAGCAGATCTCAAACTACAACTTTGCAAGATGCCACCAAAAACTGGAGGGAAAGCTGCGGGGAAGAAGGCCGTGTCCAAGTCCAAGAACTTGCCAAAGGGGGACGGGAAGAAGCGACACCGCAAGAGGAAGGAGTCCTACGCCGTGTACATCTACAAGGTTCTCAAGCAGGTCCACCCTGACACTGGCGTCTCCTCCAAGGCCATGTCCATCATGAACTCGTTCGTCAACGACATCTTCGAGCGAATCGCCTCCGAGTCCTCTCGCCTGGCCCACTACAACAAGAGGTCAACCATCACCTCTCGGGAAATCCAGACGGCCGTCCGACTCCTCCTCCCAGGAGAACTCGCCAAACACGCCGTCTCTGAGGGCACCAAGGCTGTCACCAAATACACCTCTTCCAAGTAGACGATGACCTGACCGGCTCCGGCTCCCATAAAAAAACCCCAACGGCCCTTTTAAGGGCCACCACTTTTTCCAAAGAGCTAAAAAAAAAGTTACTTGCATTTATTTTCATTCTCAGTTATTCATTGATCATATTGCACAATTTATTGATACGCTGCAGTCATACATATTACTGACATAAAATTGAGATTGTGTAATGTTGCTAAAAACTAGGATCAAAATCAAATGCAGTCGAGTAGTTGGATTATCATGATTATGTAAACACTATTTATTCAACTCATAAAATTGAAATTGAATTTCGACTCGGCTTTGTCAAAATAAGCTGAACATAATTTTAGTTTATTTCTTATAAAAATTTATTACACTATTCAATTTTGTCGTGCTAGTCACAATCTGCAATCAGTCAGTACATACAAATATGTAATTATATGAAATTTTGATGAGAGATTGCGATATATATTTATAAAATCTACATGTATGTATTTCTAAAATGCTGAAAATCCTGCGTAAAACAACGAGTATTATTCGGATTAGGTTATTATGCACGAGCCGGAATCGAAGTCAATCATATCATAACTAAGCTATGAAGGAGCATTATTATTCATCGTATGCATTTGAAGAGGATGAGATTCCTGATTTGAAATCAGTGATTTCGATTGTATAAACAGTAAATGCTCTGAAAATGAAGGAAAAATAATGAATGACCCGTTTCATCTTGTTTTACACCATTAACTAACCGCACTATTTTGTTATTAATTTCTCAACTAATAACCGCATGAAAATAATTGATGAAGCATATGAACGAAAAAAGTGCATGGTCATAAAGTCATAATTATGTCGGTACTGGATTTTTCGAGCTCTTTGGAAAATGTGGTGGCCCTTAAAAGGGCCGTTGGGTTTTGAGCGTGTAGATTTGTGAAAGCTGATTAGGCGGACTTCTTTTCCGTCTTCTTGGGGAGAAGGACGGCTTGGATGTTGGGAAGGACACCTCCCTGGGCGATGGTGACCCCGGAGAGCAGCTTGTTCAACTCCTCGTCGTTTCGGATGGCGAGTTGGAGGTGACGGGGGATGATCCTGGTCTTTTTGTTGTCTCGGGCAGCGTTTCCAGCCAACTCGAGGACTTCAGCGGCCAAGTACTCCATGACGGCAGCCAAGTAGACCGGGGCACCCGCACCCACTCGCTCGGCGTAATTCCCCTTCCTCAAAAGACGATGGATACGACCCACTGGGAACTGGAGTCCTGCACGGCTGGATCGGGACTTTGCCTTTCCCTTCACCTTTCCTCCCTTGCCACGGCCAGACATGTTGATTAGTAGTTGGTTGTATTTGAACTTGGAGAGTTGTTCTCAGAGCGAGATGTGAGAAGCTTGTGATGAACTTTGTTGGAATCGAGCTTGAATTTATACCAACTGGCTGAGTTGCGGAGCAGACCTCTTGAGTTCTGAGGAGCGAGCGGGCTTTCACTGCTTACTTTCAGCCAATCCTCTTTCTCGCTCAGAACTCAGCCCTTCTCTATAAAACCAGCAGCTCAAACGGAAAACTTCATCACTCGCTGTCTCATCTTTCTCTTGAGAACAACTCCAATCCACAAACAAAAACAATGGCTCGAACCAAGCAAACTGCTCGTAAATCCACTGGAGGGAAAGCCCCCCGCAAGCAGCTCGCCACCAAGGCTGCCAGGAAGAGTGCCCCTGCGACCGGAGGTGTCAAGAAACCCCATCGTTACAGGCCCGGAACCGTCGCCCTACGAGAAATCCGTCGTTACCAGAAGAGCACTGAGCTTCTCATCCGTAAGCTCCCCTTCCAACGACTTGTGCGAGAAATCGCTCAGGATTTCAAGACGGATCTCCGATTCCAATCCTCCGCCGTCATGGCTTTGCAGGAGGCGTCCGAGGCCTACTTGGTTGGTCTCTTTGAGGACACCAACTTGTGCGCCATCCACGCCAAGCGGGTCACCATCATGCCCAAGGACATCCAACTCGCTCGTCGAATCCGTGGAGAACGTGCCTAAACTGTCGTCACAAAACAACAACTACAACCCAACGGCCCTTTTAAGGGCCACCACTTTTTCCAAAGAGCAATAATGGTCATAAATGATGCGGCATCTTATGTAAACATGGCCGCATATTATTTTCACGAGCTTGTCCCCCTGCCTTTTTGTTACACATCGTGAAAATAAGTAATTAATTATTTTACAATTTTTATTTTCGATTAAGTACAGGATTTTATCATTAACCAGGTGTTACACATTTTAGATAATTATATCCTTCATAAATATCTACAAGCATATCGCACCGTTTACGACTTGATGCAAGATTTACAAATAAGCAATTAGCACAAGTCATGTCATCAACTATTGAATGAAACTACACCGTTATTAATATGTGATGATTTAAGGATTTAGCCATGCATTAGACGCTTGCTTCTCGAGCACGTTTCTCTAATGCACTCCAATTTAATCAAAGTCACAAATTGAAATATTTCTCAATTCTTACTTAATTAGTGCAAATGACTTATTTAGCGTTACCAAATTATTATTACTTGCCAAATAATGGATTGTATTGTATCTTGGTAAAAAAAGAACCTTTATTGACATTTGCCAGGTTTCTTCCAGACCAATTATGTCCGACATGGGACATTAACAGTCATATAAAAAAATTACTGTATACAAAAAAATAAAAGTCGTCAACTTTTTTAAGAAAAGATGCAAAATTGTTCACACCAGGGATCGAACCTGGGACCGCCTGTGTGTTAGACAGGAGTGATAACCGCTACACCATGTGAACAAATGGATAATGAACCTCATGAAACAACACGTATTTTACTTTACGGCTAACACACCCCTCACCATGGGATGTCATAAACTGGTAATAAATGCAGCTACATGTTGCTCCTCCTGATCTCTTTGCATGCATAATTTCCTACAAATAAATAAACAAAGTTGTTTGACCTGAATGATATTCTGGTCGCAACTTAAAAGTTTTGTCATCAGTTTGCTATGGACAAGCACAATTTGAATTGTTTCATTACTAGCATGTGTAATAAAATCATACGACAATGACATAGTTGCACAAATTATAATTTTCCAAAAAATAATACATCAAGTATTTAAAATTTAAATATCAGGAACTTCTTAGCTGAGTTAAATTAAATTGTATTTCGTTATGTACTTTTACTTTGCAGAGAAAATAGTTCTACGTCAAATGACATTAGTTGAACAAAGATGTCACAAATTTTTTCAAACAAGTTTATTATTTTTTTTTTACATAAGAATTCATGCTCTGTCTAGATCAGCGTTGATTCGGTGAGCAATATACAGACGATAGTGGTTGTTGTGTGCGTGTGGTGACAAATTCGTTCATCTGATTGTACATCCCCGGTTCAATGTGTGAGTAATTTTTTGCGAATTTGTTGGAAGAAATGGTTATGATAAAGTTATTGTCATTTATGGTATGAATTCTGGTTCGATGCGAGTTACTAGTCCGTCCGTACTTCAGTTTATCGACTCGCACCGTATGTACATGCATATAATCAATTTCATGCGATCTCTCATTTCTTGCCTTGCCTGGAGTTGGACATTCGGACTCGGATAATGCTACAAAGTGCATGGAAGGCCAATTTTTGTATAATCCAAATAACCAAAACAATTCGGTTCGGTATTATACCGAACCGATCCGATAAAATTCCGAGTTTTGTAAACGTTCGTATAAACTTATGCCACTTTCTCATCTGCCATACGACCTGAAATTAGGTAGCCAAATACACAAGTATCTCAATATTACCATAAATGGGCATGCACGCTATTTCTAGCAGCAAGTGCCATGTGCCCCAAGCATTCAATGCCGTATAACAAGAATGGTTCAGTTCATGGTCATGTTATATCCAGTCCAATGTAAATACAAATCTAGCTCTATGTAGCTTTACCACTGTTAAAGTAGTAACAAAAAGTCAAGGCCAATTAACATTGTAAATACGTAAGAGCAACCAATTATTGTGATGTACATACGTCGGTGCTATACACATTTATGTTCGGTGCCGATGTGATGATGAATCACGAATCAACTTGAAGTATTATCTCTGGGTACATCAGGGCTTTGTTCATCAGTCGTATTTAAGATCCGGCTCGAGTGGCAGTAACAAAATTTGTCTGAAAATCGCTGAAAGTTTCTCAATTTTTGGGTCGCACGAACTTGGAATATTTTTACAACTTTGACAAAATGACACCTAACCCTACCGTCGCTATTGTTGAAGATGTGCCGACCGAAATGCAGGAGAAATTCGCGTCCATTCTGAGCGATCACGGAATAAAGGATGAGATCGACACTATTACGATGGTCCACCCCCCAGAGTTGAAAGGGGAGCATATGGCCACTGCGACAGTCTATGTCACCATCAATTTTAAAGATGCCACTAAAAAACCGAAAAATCTTTTCGTCAAAAAGTTCACGAATAGTGAACTCTTTACGAAGGCGTCGAGAGATATGAAAATCATGGACAAAGAGTCGGAATTTTTCAACAAATTTTTACCAGCTTGTAGAGAGTTTTGTGCAAAATTTGAAGGGTGAGTTAATACAAAATATTAATTTAATTAAAAATGCGTTAAGAGCTACATAAATAATTTAATGTTATTTGTTTAAAAGGTGTAAGGATTTACTACACTTTTTCCCAGCGTGTCTTTACGGGGATGAGAACATGGTTGTGCTGGAGAATCACGTTTTGGACGATGAATTTGTCATGCTTTCGAAGGAAGAGTTACAAGATCTGGAAACTGCCAAGTAAATTTTGTAAATTTTTAATGAACATGTATACAGACAAGACTAATTTTGTGGGCAAAGGGCAATTGCAAACAAAGAATCTAAATGCTTATGAATTTTGATAATTTTTTAAAGGCACGTTCTCGGAAATCTTGCCCGATTCCATGCCGTTACTCACTCAATGGTGGACGAATGTGGGGGGAGGGATGCATTTCTGTCAAAGTGGAACCTTGTATGTCATGAACCTCTGATGACCGAAGATAATCCTTTCGTCAAGGGGATGTTTGACAATGGGCTCAACACCTGCCTGACAATTTTGAAGGTGAGTTGATTAGAATCGATTGAAATGCAACCTGTTTTGACATAAACACTGCACATTTTCTGCAGGGTGTCTCATTACCCGATGCGAAGGAAACTGCGACCAAAATAACAGCCATGATTGGACACACGTTCACAGGCGTTATGAAATGTTTGGCCGTGAGCCCTGAGGACAAGGTCGTTTTAGTGAATCATGGCGATTGCTGGAATAATAACATGTTGTTCAAAATTGATACAAATTCGGATGGAAAGATGGTCATTAAGGAGCACATGTTTGTAGATCTGCAGGTAAATACGCGAATTGCGATTTTAATATTGGGACTTACTAACTTTGTGCGTAGATCACCAGGTTCACTTCTCCGTGCGTCGATGTTACCTATTTTTTGCATACCAGCGTCAAGTCAGAAGTCAGACGGGAGCACTTGAAAGATTTGTTGACGCATTATCACAGCACTTTTTCTGGCACGTTGACCCGCTTCAATAAAAAGTGCCCGAATACCTTTGAGGTACAATTTTTCAACCGGTTTACATATATTATAAGACAATTACTACTAAATTCTTGTGTAAGTGCATGAATATTCTGGTAATTAGGAACTCTTCAGTGACTATAAGAGCCGGGCATACTACGGTTATTTATCCAACCTGAATTTCTTCGCGATGATTGGAGCTTTAAAGGAATTGGATTTTGAGAATATGGGCGGAACAACGCCGGAAGAGATGGTGGAAGGATTCAACCGAATCATGAACGCCTGGATTGCGAATAATCCAGTAAAATCGACAAAAATGGCTCAAGGGATGATTGATGTTGTGAAAGAGTATGGAAATTTGATGGAATCTTAAAACAAAATGTTGACTAGTTTGTCACACAAGAATTATTTTTGCCAGTATTATGTAAATAATTGCATAAAAAATTGCAATAAAAATGCACTTTTAAATAAAGTTGTCAGTTAAAGATTGAATTAGTTTTGACGCTGAATTAGCTGATGAAAAAGAAACATAAAAACATTGACTCGCTCACAAGAATGAATTCCTATGTTGACAGACAAGTTTGCATTCATACTCGATTATCAATGTTAATCAATATAATATCACAAGGTAAAGAGCGACAAAGATGAGCAATCGTCATTTGCACAATGTCGATAAACGATTTACCTATGCAGTTTAATAAAAATAGCCGATAATCATTACATATAAATGTCGTCTTAATTTAATAATAGTAACGTTGTAAATATTTAATTATTCGTCTAATTGGTACAGGGCTGCCGTCCCCCAATTTAGCCAGTGTTGCTGAGGCATAAATACATGAAATTAGAATTGTATCACTTCATTCAGCTTATAAAATAAGGTTGGAAGTCGGGGGATTATTATAAATATTTGTAAAGTTGACATCTAATAATATTTCACTTTCATGATGAAAGTTTCATCATTACCTATTTTAATTCCTTCAGACTTAAAAAGACGCACAAATATTTCAAGCTAATTTAATGTGGAGATAAATCAATTTACAGATTTCGCAAAAGTTGACTGAAAATTCTTGATTTGACTTTTGTGATCATATAATCTGTAATGCAGCCGGCGTTTGATTTGTTATTGCATCGACTTGCAGATTCCATATTCGTATGATACGAACCGTATCTACTGGATTGCAGAAGTGTTTGTACACATATTATGTACAATACAAATCGCACTGTGTTTCCAGACACCTGCTGTTTTTTTTTATTTTCCACGTGTAAGTAGTGTTTATGAAAAAAATACAACAACATTATTAAAATTATTTAAAAATTGAGACAAGATGAGGAACGAAGAATTGCGAGACTGTCAGGTAATACTGATGCATTCATTACCATTATATTCTCACTAAATTAGATTCCCTATAATAAAAATTGTAATATACAATAACGGCGTAAATGCTTGACAGGCCTGGAAAGACGAAGGACTCGTTTTAACCACAGCGTCCAACGAGGCTGCGAAATTGTATGATTCATGTTTAAGTCAGGTAGTAGTCTTTGTAAAATTTCTAAAAACGGAAGGAAAAATTTAAATTCAAAATTATCGCAGTACGTCGGGTGGTACGATGACCCCCAAATGGGAGGATTGGAGACCACCTTAGAAGAGTTGGGTAACGCAGACCCTAATTTTGGTTAGTAAACATATGTAAAAAAAAAAGTTTCGTTTCCCTGAAATTTTTAGATTTATAATTTTCAATTTTGTAAAATTTGTTACTCCAGTTTTAGGAAAAGCGTTCTCTATCGGTTTACAACTTCTCGGAACGTCCGACACGATAAATTTGACCCCCACGTTAAAAACCGAGTACGATTCCCTCCTCAACCTGAGTGACGAGCAGAGAGGAAATAAGTCCTTATCTGAAAGGGAAGCACTGCACGTGAAGGCAGTCTCCCTTTGGGCGCAAGGGTCACCCTCTTCCGCTGCACGTGTCTGGGAGGACATCCTGTTGGAGTGGCCCACCGACCTTCACGCCCTTCGAATGTATTCCTATTAAATGTTAATTGATGATTAAGGGTTTACAAACCCGACATTTAAATGTATTTCATCACATTTTTATATACTAAAAAATCCATTGAGGCATTGTAGTTTTATTAAAGGATAATCCTTCAATTTCTCTTGAAAATTTTATTAAAAGGAGTCGTTTGTAAGCCCCTATTGTCAATCTTGTAGGGCTCACGACACTTATTTTTACCTTGGAGATTCGCCCCAAATCATGGACTCCGTGGCACGCGTACTTCCCGAGTGGGAGGCAAAGCGACCCCCGATGAAAAGGTGACTTGAGATTTTTAAAAATTATCCGCATTGCGATAGGTTTTTATGGAGTTTTTCTGGTAAACTAATATTGTGTGTATGTGTTAAATATCGTCGTTGAAACTTCCATAGGGCGCATCTGCTATTCCTACAGCATTGGATTAGGCTCCTAATAGGAGCCTCCTATACAGCGGTTTCAACGACGGTATTTATTTATGTGAGAAATCTTATCAATAATAGGTTATTATTATAGAAATGGGCAAACTTGCCCTTCGGAGGAAATTAGAGTCCAATCTAAAGATTTACATACGAAATGTTTTCTTGTAAAATAAGCTTTTGACTTTCTAATTATGCATTTTTATATTTGTACAAATCTTTTTATCGAGCTAATAGAAAAATTCATACATCAATCATTTTTACACTATATTTTTTACATCAATTAATTCAAATCAATTGGCGAAATTCTGCTGGCGAAGTATTTTTTCAGGGAAGTTTGATAGCGTTGGTAGCAGTGTCACGTTGCAGCTTTTCGATAATTTTAATGAATTTTATGTACATATTTACTCATTTACTGTAAGCACACTATGCGACGGGACAAAAAAGTGTTCAATACTTATTATACTAATTATAATAATTATTACACATTTTGTAGTTATCTGTACGGATTTTACGCCTTCGGCCTCGAGGAGAACAATCACTTCGAGCGTGCAGAACAATACGCGAGGAAAGGATTGGAGGAAAATCGGTTCGACGGCTGGTCCACCCACGCTCTTGCACACGTGTTCGAAATGGGGGGAAGGACTTCAGATGGAATTTCCTTCATGGAGGGTACCCTGTCAGACTGGGAGAGGTGTAACTACCTCGCGTGCCATAATTACTGGCATGTCGCCCTGTACCATGTAGAGAATGAGAATTATGAAGAGGCAGCGCAGATTTTGGAGGAACAATTACTCACGAGGTAACCGAATATTTAGACGATTTCGTTTGTATAAGATATTATCTGAACCACCAAAAACTTCCCAACGAACAATTATGTAATAATTTAATATCCAACAAATTCCGCAGAGCTACCACCTCAAAATCCATGTTGGACATGGTGGATTGCTCGTCCCTTCTCTGGCGTCTAAATATGCTCAACCCCTCCTCCCTCCGCGGGCGAAAAACGTGCCAAACCGCGTCCAATATTTGCAGCCTTCACTGCACCAAACATGTCACCACTTTTAACGACGCTCACACAATAATGGCTTTTACCACTTCCGGTTCCAGTGGAAATTCTCTGGCTAGCGAACTTTTGGAAACGTATTCTTCTCAAAATGGTGAACTAGTAGACCATCCCACCGTGGGGAGCAAGATATTGCAAGCTTTTTTAGATTTCCGGGACGAAAAGTATGTAAACGTTGTCGAATTGTTGGAACCCATTCGAAACGTTATCACACCCATCGGCGGAAGTAACGCGCAGCGAGACGTCTTTAATTTAATGCTTATCATCGCCGCGTTGAAATCAACTAATCCAAGGGACAAGAAACTAGCGAAAGTGTTGATCAATGAGAGGGAAGCGCGTAAAGGTAGGAGCACAAAGTTGTCGGAAAGGTTGGGCGTTTTGGCTCACACTGCATAAATTGACTTTCAACAATATGTAAATTTATAAGGAAATTGTTTAATGTGAAATAAATCTGTTTGATTTTTGTCGATCTTATTTTCATTTGCATTATTTTGGCAATCACCCATAATTGATTTTTATGCTTGCAAAAATAAAAGCCTGGAATAAGTATATTTTTCATGCAATTTTGTTACACATATTTTAATACAATAAAATAAATGTATCAGTACAATTTTTCATCTTTTTTCCGTTGGGAATAATCAAATTCGTGATCTATCATGTTATAAATACAAATGTGTACGCATAGTATGCACGTATATTCATTGACATAAATACGGAATTCTGGTGAGGACTTTTTTTTGCTATGGACCCCCGGAAACATTTGTATTTAAATTTTGATAAATTGTAATATTAGCTAGTGAAGTACGTCCAAACAATGCCAAAAATGCGTGTTAAAAAAATCCGTATGTCAAGGGTACCTCTGAGGGACCCATCATATCTTTTACACATATCCCTTCATTGTGGGACAACCAGAAGTCGTAAAAATATGGGGTTTGGATATTTTTTATCTAAATACGATTGTCTAAAACGAACTTCAGTAAGGAGCTGCTACGTGACCTTTTTGACCTAAAGTTTTACCTTTTAAATTTACATGTATTGCGGTAAAATTGGCATGCTTATAAACTGTGAAACTTAATTTTTATAGAGGTCAAACTTTAGGTGAAAAAGGTCACCTAGCAGCTCCTTACTGAAGTTCGTTTTAGACAATCGTATTTAGATAAAAAATATCCAAACCCCATATTTTTACGACTTCTGGTTGGCCCACAACGAAGGGATATGTGTAAAGGATATGATGGGTCCCTCAGAGGTACCCTTGACCTGTGGATTTTTTTAACAGACATTTTTTGCATCGTTTGAACATACTTCACTAGCTAATATTATAATTTATCAAAATTTAAATACAAATGTTTAAGGGGGTCCATAGCAAAAAAAAGTCCTCTGGTTAATCTGATGCTGAAATCTATGCATCTTTCATTTGCATGTGTGCAATTCTAAAGCATCTATATATTCCGCAGTAATCATAAAATTACTGGAAACACGCGACCTTTACAGCGAATTTCAGATAAAGTTCATAGTAAGATAAAGTTAAAGCTCAGTTACAAAAGTTACAAAAAATCTGTGTTAATGGTGTCATACAGTATCAAATTCTAACTCATTTGCATAATTTGATCAAAACCTTAGTTAGTTAACTGCAGTTAACTCAAAGACACGAAGGCTTGGACAATTCGTTAATTATAACATGTCACACGTTAAATTTTACCAGTCTGTTTTCGCAACTTTATTATTTTTTTGCAGCTTCTATGTATCAATTACTGTAAATACAAATTCTCTCCAAAACAAAGTTACTGTATTTGCACAACGATATTTTAACGGTAATCATTAATAATTAAATAAGACCGATAAAAATCTATGCTACAAAATATTTATTAAATTAGGAGCCAACCTTACCGTGGATATTTCCAATTGCGCCAACTCTTCCTCCCTCCACTACACCGTAAAAAACGACATTTCCTCCATAAATTCGCACGGAAATTGCGTCAATTTATATAAATCGGACAACTGCGAAGGCGAATATGTCCTCATCGCCCCAGGAACGCCGGTCCACTACGACCTCTCCCACTGGAACGGGCTTAACGATAATATCAACTCGTTAGGACCCTGTTATCCACGGTGTGACCCGAGATCGTTTGAGAACAAGGTGAAGGGACAGAATAACGGGACGCAGTATCTGATAACTCTGTACGATGACTTACAACGAAGAGGTAATAAATATAGATCTAGATAGATAAGTTTTGGCTGAAAATTAAGTGAAATTATTGGTATTGGTGGATTGGTATGTAAAAAAACGTAATATTTACTAGGAAAATTGTTGGCAACAATTATGCAAAAACTATCGCAATGAAATTCACAAATTCGGTGATGTACAATACGCCAACTAGAATAGCGTGAAATTGACCAATTGTTGTTCAGCGTGTTCACAAGACTTATATGTAAGTAATTAAATGTGACTTATCTAATCGACGTATCTTATGCATTTTAGGATCCCACGTCACCATGAACCTCACCGCGAACTCTTGTACCCTCGTCCCTTTACACCTCAAACGTCGCATTTCTTCTCTCCAAGTTCATGGAAATTTCTGCATTGAGCTTCACCATACTTGGAACTGTGTCGAAAATGGGACATTCGCCCAGTTACGGCCCGGTTCGCCGAAATATGACGACCTACGATTTTGGGTGGGGCACGATAATCAAGCCGTTTCTATAAGTTTGTGTGGCTACGATTGTCATAATGAGACCAAAGTGGAATCTTCTAACGGGACGCAAAATAATATTACGAACAACAGTACAGTCACCATATTCGATGAGGATGACGCCCTATTTAACGGTATGAATTATGTGATCTGTGAAAAATCGATCCTTAAAAAATTGACTCACAAAATTATAATATTCTTAATCTTTAGGGCATTTCAAAAATCTGAATCTTTCCCAAAACGCCTGTCTAAATCTCAACGATGAATGGGACGGACAAACGTCTTCCATTAAGACGAATTTGAATTGCATCCAGCTCTTTGACGAGTTCAACTGCAGTACGACCCCTCGCGGAAGAAATTTCACAATTTATGCGAATTTCACCAGAAAAATCGCATTTCTAAAAACCTGGAGTTTTGACCGTATAGCCCAGTCGATCATGTTATGTAACGTGACCACCTTAAGTCAACAAAATACTGGGAAATCAGGGAGATTAGGGAGTGGTGAAGCTAGCAGTGGAACAACTATCTTTTTCATCGTGCTATTCTGTTTTGTGGGAGTGTCCGTGTTTTCGGTGGGGGCAGCTTGGTCGGTAACAAGATTAAGGTCAGGGGTGTTATTTCGGAGGAGAAGCTTTAGCAGTGTCAATTCGCATTCGCTCATGTTTTAAAGCAATAAATATTCACACGGATTTAATTTTTTAATGTACTTGAAATTAGCGAATCTTAGAAATTGCGAATTTAGCCCATGATTTGAAATGATTTCTTTGTATTTACCTTCAACAAATTGTAGTGTGGTTAACTGTTGACTGTTTTGATTTAGCTACATGCATTACATTACGTGTTCGTATTTATGCAGATCTAATATAAATAAATGATTGAACACTTGAAATTAATAGAATATTTTGCACCAAATTTTCCGTATCTCTTTATTTATGCATCAATTGAGTCAACTGTAACCACATTTTTGAGTTGACAAAGTTGCATGGAAAATGTATGAACTGAAAATGTCATTTCATGATCAGCTTTATTAGAGTACTATATGTACATATATTATTTCAACCAGTTAAGTTGTGCAATCATTAAGAGTTGACTATATTTTATGTTAAACCAATCCTCATAAATCACATAGTGGCGAAACTGATGAACTCGGTGGGGTAAAAAGTTCACAAGTTTCGGTGGGAATTTTGAATTTTTTGCAAAAAACTGCAAATATCATCTGGCATTGTTTATGTTTTTAGTGGTTTCCAGTGGGAAGAGTATGTGTGGTGGTGGCTTCCCACCACGCATACTCTATGACAAGTTGAGACGAATCATGAAAAAATGCAAAATCTTGACCTGGTCATTCTAATTCCGAGATTAAATGTGCACTCAAAAATGTGGAATTTGTTGAATTACAACTAGTGATAGTTGCGCAACAAGAAAATAAGGCCCTTTGAGGAATTGATATGCTACTTTTATTTATATTAAATGCCGAAAATCAATTTCCATCAAAATTTTGTTTTTCTCGAGATTAATTGATTAATATAAATAAAAGTAGCATATCAATTCCTCAAAGGGCCTTATTTTCTTGTTGCGCAACTATCACTAGTTGTAATTCAACAAATTCCACATTTTTGAGTGCACATTTAATCTCGGTATAAGAATGACAAGGTAAAAAAGCTGTGCAAAAAATTATGCATGTTGTCAACATACGGAAAAATATTGAGCGAGGGACTGTATTGGCTGATAGAGCGGCCAGAGCAAACTATAATGCCCCGTTAAACCTGTAGCACTTTTAAGCATAAACTTATTGAATACATTTTAATTACCTATACATATAAGAAACTTTACAAATTTGCGAAACAACAATTCAATTAGGCACACATAAACTGTTCCATTTGTTTTGTTTCTCAATTATCTGAAACACAATGAATTGTGAACAGAATTTAAGTTTTAATGAAATTATTACCAAAGAATTTGTGCAAAATGCACTAGAAAGTGAAGCAAACGGTGCTCCCGTACCGGAAATAATTTCCCACTCTGCCACCCTCGGCACCAAACCGGGCGATAATTACATGAGCGTCATTTACTCCGTTGACGTTACCTTATCGGACGGAACTAAACGTCACCTGCTGATAAAATGTTATCCGAGTCATCCAAAGCGTCAGGAATTTGCCAACAAGAGCAACATGTTTTTCAGGGAGTGTGAAGTGTATTCAAAGTGGATACCGGAATTGCAGCGATTACAGAGAGAAGTGTTTGGTCCTGATAAAGACGAAGCTGTTAAGCTGCCCTATGCAAAATTCGTGCACGGTCAATGCATCAATTTTCAATCTGAAGAAGGTCAGCGTGGGTTTATTATGATTTATTTAATTAGAATTATTTCGTCATCGACGACGATGCACAATAAAAGACCGTATCAAATTTAACCTCGCGTAAATTCACATGAAAACCTGGGATTGTAATTTTACTAAAATAAAGAATATCAATTACCAGGTAAAAATCGACTCTCAGCCGGTCCGATCAACTCCCTGGACAACTTTATAATTTTAAATGACCTCAGAAAAACGGACGGATTCCGAATGGCGAATCGACTCCAACCTCTCGACATGGACCACATGAACCTTCTTATCTCCGCCTTAGCCAGAGTACACGGCCTCAGTTGGGCATATCGTTCCCAAGTGGAAGCCGATATCACTGGAAAATTTTCATTTTTGAAGTCCAATAAGACAGAGAAAAGCATTATCGGTTGGAATAAAGTAATGTTGTCCAGTTTGGCACAAGCGAAGGATATGTTTGATAAGGAATTTGGTCTTGGAAATGACTGCTCCGTGGCAGCAGATCGTTTCAAGGAACACGTCGATGCTACGGCGAAACTGCTGTTGGGAATTTGTACGGCGGAAGGGATGGAGAAACGGTTTCGGATTAAGGAACCAGATCAGGAAAAATTTGGGAGGGATGCAGAAAATCCTGGTAAGTATCGGTCAAATAGTCGATGTAGTACAATTGTACAATCCACTAATTAACTTACATATGTATGTACACATTAAATCTTAAAATTGGAAATATTTATGGCGTTTGAGAAAATTAGAAAAACTCCAAATGAAAATTAGTATTTTGCAAAATTAATTCTAACGGACTCTACATAATTAAATTTATGTCCAATGTAAAAACACTGCAATTTTATGCGAAAAGCAATTTCGCCAAATTACTGAATATGCTTTGCGTAACCTCTAACCCCCAATTCCTAATTCATTGCCGAACCCCAAGTAAAATATGACAGCTTAATTAATTCTCTTCATATTAATTTCAAGCGTACTAGAAATCAAAGAAATCATGTTTTTTGCTGTGCTATTTTATCATAACAAATCTATATTAATTATAAGTAGTAATCCGTGGAGCAACTTATAAACTAGTTTTTCGCAATTTTTTTCAGAACCCTGGCGAATCATATGTCACGGTGACTGCTGGATCAACAACATGCTTTTCCGTTATGACCCAGTGACCGGAAAACCTCTCGAAATCGTCCTCGTCGACCTTCAACTCGTCCAAGAGACATGCCTTGTCAACGATCTCTCCTACGTTACCCACGTCTGTGCTCGGCTGGAAAGGTCACAACTCGACAACCTCCTCCACCTTTATCATGACACGTTCAACAGCGTCTGCAAAAAATTGCGGACACCAACGCTGCCTGGATTTTGCATGGACTCTCTCCGATTTCGGTTCCATCGGGCCAAGTTTCTCGGCTATTATACCGCCATGCTGGACATCCCAATTATGCTGAAGGAGACAAAAGTCGGCGACATGGAGGACATGGAAGAAGGACAAGACGTAGCGGGAACATTGGCAGAATTGTGTTCCGATGCTGGAAGCAATGCCCGAATTAAGGAGAGACTGGTCGAAATTACGAAAAAAATGATTGAAGATGGTGTTCTATAAGTCTAAAAATAAAGCTTCTAATGGTGAATTGCTTTCGTCTTGTTCTATTTTAATGCTTTTTAAGCCCAAATGTGTTAGTAATAAAAAATGAGCATATGCAATTTATCAAGTAAGTAAGTAATTCTCATAATAGATTCAAGGACATTTGTTTAACCCCAAAAGTTTGCACTCAGGAGGACAACCCTTCACCGACAGAATCACCGATCTTGATGCCCTTTGGATATGTTGTAGTCCTAGGTGAGTCTAGCAAAAGTGAAGAAGGATTTCATTCAATGGCCCCATTTGCGCCCGCCACACCCACTCAAAGGTGCGAAAATACCCTGTTTTGGTTCATTAAAAAAATCACCAAAAATCCAATTTTGGTCGGATTTTCACAATTTAAGCATTTTTGTGACCCTAGATAGTTGCTTTATCATATCCAATAGCAAACTCAACTTTTTTGAAATTTTGATTTTTTCGAAATCTACGAAATTTTCGAAAATATTCAAAAAATTCAAAAAATTGAAATTCATGTCGGATACGATAAAACAACCATCTGGGATCAAAAAGGTGCAAAAATTATCAAATTATCACTAAAAATGGATTTTTGGTGAATTTTTTAATGCGACCAGTTTGGCATAAGATTCCTCTTTGAGTGGGTGTGGCGGGCGCAAATGGGGCCATGGAATGAAATCCTCCTTCACTTTTACTAGACTCACCTAGGACTACAACATATCCAAAGGGCATCAAGATCGGTGATTCTGTCGGTGAAGGGTTGTCCTCCTCAGAATTACGTAACATCATTTTAACACCAGAAAAGTCAATCATAACGATGAAGCACACATGCTAATGTCAGTAACATAAACAAATAATCTTCTTTTTTTCCAATGTCATGTCAAATGTTATGTTTATGTACAAGTAGATTTCTCGTCCAGCATAACAAACGTACATACACCAGCATCTCTCTACCACCCACGTTTACATACTTTATTGCATACAACAAATGTGAGATAAGTCATTATTTGCTCTGCATACCCATGGAATTACGTCACTATCATCTGGAAGGTCGTCATTGCTTACATAACTTGCTGTTTTTGTTGTTATTGCAAATTTTTACATATAACAACTCTCCCAGTATGATTACTGCATCGCCTTTGTGAACATGTTGATTAATACATCTTTTTCTCGCACAAAATGAGCATTTTCGCCATAATTTTGGCCATTTTGGCCCTTTTAATCGCTCTCCTTTATATTCTCGAGGAGAGAACTCGACGCCAGTTTGAGTCGAAGGGGGTCCCTTATCGCGGTAATGTGACGTACAGCTTCATCCTCAACGCTTTTACCGGCGTCAGTTTTATCCAAAATTTCACTCGCACGTACAATCGGTTGAAATCTCTGAACGCTAAGGTACTGAGGCTACATCTGTATTAAAAAAACATTAAGCGAGTATTTCCAAGATTAATGCATATTAATCTATACAATCTCAAAACTCTCTCAATCTAAATTCAAAACATGGTAAATTGAAAGCAAAAATAGATTTGTTTCAATTTTATTTGACACTTAAAATGAATGCCCATAAATCTTTACGTAATTTAGTACAATCTATACTGTGTGTATTTATCTCAGTATCTGAAATTGTACGTAGGTCGCCGGCGGATCTGATTTTGGCATCACCAAACTCCTCATTCTCGACCCAGACATCATAAAGTCCGTCTTGGTAAAGGATTTCGACCACTTTGTCGACCGTGCAGGTCACATACCAACACCCAAGAACGACTACCTTTTCGCCAAAATGCTCCTCGTACTAAAGGGCGACCAGTGGAAGGCACTAAGGTCAAAGTTGAGTCCTGCTTTTACAACGGGCAAGATAAAACGTCTCTTCGCTCTATTTGACCAAAGTGGGAAAAAGCTGGTCAAGTTTATCGAGGACGAAACGACAACAACGAATGAGATGGACTTGTCCACCGGCTACTCAAAATTCGCCATGGACGTGATTGCCTCCGCAGTTTGTAGCATGAATTCGAAAGCCTTTGAAGAGAAGGATCCCTCCGTGTTTGAAAAGATGGGGGACAAATTGAGGCTGAGGTTCGGGGCGAAGGATATGATCCACATGTTGGTGATAGTGCTTGCCCCCAAGCTGGCAAACTTGCTGGGTTTCTCTATTTTTGACATGGAAATGCAAGACTTTTTCTCCTCCGCGATAAAAGGTTCGATTCATGACCGTCAAGAGAAGAACGAGAAGAGGAACGATTTCATTCAGTTGATGTTGGAGGCGAGGGAGGACAAGTTGAAGGCGGAGGAGGGTGAATTGTCCACTTTTGAGAAGGATGCCGAAATCAAGAGCGTCGGCAAAGCTTCTACTTCCGGCGACATGCTGGATGACACCGGGATCGTGGCGAATTGCGTGCTCTTTGTCCTCGCTGGATTCGACACGACGCAATCTCTTCTGCTGTTCTGCGCGTATGCACTCGCGTTAAATCAAGATGTCCAGGACAAGTTGAGGGAGGAAGTGGAAACCGTATTGGAAGATAATGGGGGCGAATTTAGCTACGAGTCGATTCACAAAATGACTTATCTGGATATGGTTATCAGTGGTAAGAGCGGGACAAAATTATTAGTTATTGTTGTAAAATTCAGAAAAGAGATGCTCATTTACATATATGTATATTTCATGTTGGTCCCAGAAACGCTGCGAGTCTACCCACCTGCGGGTATAACAGAAAGAACGTCGACGCAAGATTACCAAGTGCCTGGGACTGACTACGTCCTCAAAAAAGGGGGTTCCATTCAAGTTAACATTGCTGGACTTCATCAAGACCCAGAATATTTCCCAGAACCTGAAAAATTTGACCCGGAGAGATTTTCGATGGAGAATAAGGCCAAGATCAACCAGTATGCGTACCTCCCGTTTGGCGCTGGACCCAGAAATTGCATCGGTTATTTAAAATTATAAATACTCGGCTGGCAAAAATAGTCATTTGCTGTAAAATAACAATATTTTTGCAGGGATGAGATTTGCTCTGACAGAAGTGAAAGTCGCAATTTCCCATTTGGTCCATAATTTCAGAATCGAACCTTCACAGAAAACGCTGATCCCGATGAAATATACGAATGAAAACTCACTCAAACCGAAGGGTGGAATGTTTCTTGCCCTCAATAAAATTCAACATTAGCTGATTCTGATAACAAATTTGTCGAATTTTAAACAATTCTGTTATATAATCAAAAAAACATGCCAGTTGCGCTTTAACAGGCTTTAGTATTAATACCAGGCCTATCCTCAAGTCAAATAATCACTTGAAAGTTAATATCCTCGTCATTTGAATTAATTTAGCCTCACTTTAATTATTTATACGCTTGGATTCTATGACTTTGACTTTGACAATCAATATAATGACTCAGAAGCCGGTGTCTATTATTCATTCATAGTACATACTAAAACCCGGCACAATAATGTATTCTCAAAGTAAATTAATAGTCATTACAACAATCTTTCACACTGCTGTAAAGTCATTTTTTGTGCTACACAATAACCTTCATCCAAGATTTTTCATGCAAAAAACAATTGACAATACCTCGCTGATTACTTGTTAACATACATTTATGTAATGTAATGTATTGATATGTCCCATAATATTTCATGTACTACGCATCTGCCCATTCACCCCCAGATAAGTATTACGTACTTAAGCACTTATAATAATTATAACTTTTTCCTTAACAAACAGATATTCAATCGGTTTAAATAAATACATACATACATACGTAAAATTGCACTTGAATCTGCAATCCATTCAGTCATGAGCCTGAGGATGAGCGTGACCAACAAATAATCTGCAAGCCACTTAACTCATCCAGTGCAAAATAAATAGCAAATGACACACTGTTTTCATTTAAATTCGAGTTTCAAGGACATTTCTTGTCTTTATTGAACAATACAGAATATTAAATGCCCTCTTATCCTGGTCCACTTCATCGTTATTGACCATGTGACATAGCAGCAGTAATAATTACACGTTAGGAAAACCAAGCGCTTTTTTATCTCATCGCCCGTATGCCATTGTTATTGCATTCCAATAAGTAAGTTGCAGATTTGGATCCATAAACAAACAGTCTGCAACCTGTTATTCGATAACATATGCGCATGGATGGATGTATATAATCACAAACTTTTTGATTTAATGTCCTCAGTCAAAAACTGGCCATACTTGATTAAAGCCAATTTCTTTCTTTTAAACCGGTGTCATCCATCCATTTTAGAAAATGTCTCCCGTTCCTGAAAAAACTGATCCCATCCTTTCTCCGAATAATAATAATAACGATGATGAAATCATTTCGAAAGAATTTCTCCAAAAGGCACTCGAACACGAGGCGAAAAACGGAGATTCCGTCCCCACCATTATTTCGCATTCCGTCACCCTTGGGACTAAACCAGGCGACAATTTTATGAGTATAATTTACTCGGTGGATGTCGAATTGTCGGATGGAAAAAAGCGTCACCTGCTGATAAAATGTTATCCAAATCATCCCGCAAGACAAGAATTTGGCAACAAGAGCAACATGTTTTTCAAAGAGTATGAAGTCTACTCAAAATGGATACCAGAGTTGAAAAGAATGCAAACCGAGGTCCTTGGTCTGAGGAAGAATGAAATCGTAAAACTGCCGTATGCACATTTTGTTGATGGAGATTGTATAGATTTTCAGTCGGAGGAAGGTTGGTGTCAAAATACAGATACCTTCGGTTAATTTTTTTCTCCAGAAAAATGATTTGACATAATTTTTCTCGAATTCCAGGCAAAAGTCGAATGTCGGGACATATCCATTCCCTCGATAACTTCATTATGATGGAAGATCTGCGCAAGACGTACGGATTTCGAATGACCAACCGTCGCGAGGCACTCGACCTTGACCACACAAAACTCGTCATCTCTGCCCTGGCGAAAGTGCACGCCCTCAGTTGGGCGTATCGTCATCATGTCGAAGAAAACATTACGGAGAAATTTCCATGCTTGGTTACTAACATGGAGGAGGACGATATGGAGACTTGGAATGCTGTATTATTCTCTAACCTGGATCAGGCTAAACTCATTTACGACGAGCAATTCGGACCTGGAAATGATTACTCTATAGCAGCAGATGCATTTAGAAAAATACTGCCCACTTTAACGAAATTTTTCATGGGAAGGATTGATGCGAAACTGTTGGAGGATCTAATGCGGGTGAAGTGTCCGGACCCTGTGAAATTCGGGAGAGATGCGGAAAATCCGGGTACAAATGATACGCATTTACTTGGTTTAATTCTTGAACTTGGAAAATTTGCATGTAAAATGATCATTATTATTGGAATCACAAAATTCTCAAAACTTCACTTATTTATAATTTACAAATTTTGACATTTTTAAATTGCTAATTAATTTCATTACTATGTATTATCCCACAGAACCTTGGCGAATCATATGTCACGGGGACTGCTGGAGCAACAATATGCTTTTTAAATACGACCAAGCGACAGGAAAACCGCTCGAAGTCGTCCTCGTTGACCTTCAAATGCCACAAGAGAGCTGCGTTATCAATGACCTCCAGTACGTCATCTTTGCCTGCACCCGACTAAAGTTGAGACAGTTGCATCTCGACGAACTCCTCCAACTTTACCACGACACATTTAACGGCGTTTGTGCCCTCACAAAGACACCAACGCTACCAGGATTTTGCATGGATTCACTCCGATTTCGGTTTCATCGATCAAAGTTTTTAGGCTACTTTATGGCCATCATGGTCCTCCCAATAATGCTGAAAGAGGAAGAAAATGCCGTCAACTTGGAGGAGCTTCCAGAAGGAGAAGATTTCACAGAGATTTTTGCAAATCTAAGTACGGATATGGGTGGAAATACTATTTTTAAGGAGAGGCTTATCGAAGTGACAAAGGGCATGATTGATGAAGGCATATTGTAAGTTTAATTATGCGAAAAATACCAATGTATATAGAGAAAAATAATTAATTGATAACACACATTAAATATGTACATGTCAAATTTTCTCATTTGTCTCGTAATATTTATTTATTAATACATACATAAAGTATGTATGTACATGCAGTATTTTGCATGCAATTTCCATTCTTGAATAAATATAATCGCAACGAAATTTTTTGAAAAAGTGTCAATCGTTACTCATAGAATGAGGCATTTACATATCAATCAGCCTCTGCAACTTTCCAGAATCGACGTTTTCTTGAAAAATCCGTTGCCCAAGTGGAAAAATTTTTTGGAACTCTAAGGGAGACTAACGTTACCTAGATACTTATCGTGCGTGCGTGGCTACGTTCCTGTCAAAAAAGTCTCGTACCGACAAAAAATAATTTCCACCACCACAACCTGGAACTGTCAAGATCTGTCAAAGAACTGTCAAGAACTGCAACTGTCAAAAAATGGTCCTAGTTGATGAGAAGACGACGACGACGACGATGCAACTCGGAAGACAGTTAAGAGCCCGAAATCCGGACCAAGCCGTGACCGCAGTTGCTCCCACGACCACCAAGCATGTCTTCCTTCCCGGAGAGCTGGATAATCTTGACCCTGGAACATTGGCATATGAATGCGTACAGGCGGCAGGTCACATGATCAAAGTTTTTCAAACTCAACAGATTTTTGCGGTGAGTCCCAACATATTTACAAATTATTTCTCTTAAATCTCAGAATGCTAATATTTCTAACTACAGAAAAGGGGCGCACAAATACTAAAAAATTTTGGGAATACGCTACAAGAACTTCGCTCAAGGAAGGCACAACAAGCTCAAAAAGGCGAGGATAAACCGAAAGAAGCTAATAAATAATTAATTAAACATTTGCACACATAAAATGATTTAAGTCAATTTTCTCATCTTCTTTAGAGGAAGAAGAATCGGAATCTGTCGATCACGAGCCCAACCAAAAAATCGAGCCGCTTCCGCCTCCTGTCGAAAGTGTTGCAAATACGCTGCAAAGGCTTCAACTTACCGAGGACCTTAATATGAAGTCTCGCAAGAATTCGAAAACAATTTGTGGTTCATCTAATGAGACGACAGCAAGAAGATCTCCATCGGTTCCCCTCACTAACCAGCAAACTTTCATTGCTGCCAACCCTGCAGCAAAAAGGGTCAGAGCCCAATTTAACCTCCTGGATTCGAAAGATGGGCTTCATTCTCAGAATGAAGATGATAAGCTCAACAAATCAGTTGATATATTCTCTGATGCTGAGGATCTCCTTCCCGCACCACCAAAAAACAAAACATCTTTGGGGAGACAATTTTCGAATAAGATTACGTTTGATTTTGCGACCACATCAGAGAGGGAATCAATTCCGGTTCAACCATCTAAAAAGTTTATTTACGACCCCACGGAGAAAAATGTGCTCGTGTCGGAAATTCGGCGTTCGGCTCGGTTGGCTTCTCCGCATCCCGTTTCTGCTCCTGCTGCGACTACCGTAGAAGCCAAAAAATCCATCCGTTCCCAATGGGCGCAAAACGCGCCTCGCAAGAGGGCAGAATCCGTAAAGAAAAGAAGAGAAACCTGCAAAAAGTGATGCTCAGCCACATTTAATTGATTCAACATAGCAATATCTCAAATCTCACTGTTCTTGTCGATTTCCAGGTTCAATGACGAATGGCAACAGAAAGTTAGCAGAATTAAACTCAACAGGCTAACGGCCGCCCACATTGGTCACCCCCCTCCCAGGATTAGCCACAGAGTTTGGGATAATGTAGGAGGATTAAAGCCCAGGCGACATGTGAATTCAATGATGAAGCATCAAGGACAATTTTCCAATGTACGTACTCTTTTCGACTCTGAGCCAGGGAACTCCTACGAAATTACGAGGTATGAGGATTTCGACGAGGAGTTGAAGCATCGAGAGGACAAGGTGGTCCCAGCTTGGGTGAATGATAGTAAGTAATAATTACTTACTATTTTAATTATTAAAATTAGGAAAATCCATTAATTACATAAATAACGCAATAAAAATTTGCATTCTTGTTTTTATATAGAACTTGAAATTCAAATCCTCTTGTTCAAACAGTTGGATGCCACTAAGATTAAACGGTTTCCCTTCCCCTCTGTCAAACAAGGCTACAGGCTCTTCAACACCGGCCGTTGAACTCATAAAGTTGCAGAAATTACTAATATTTTGTTAAATCACTTTTGCCAAAGCATACCTTATTATCCACCTTAGTATCCTGTTTGTAATTCCATCTCCAGGTGGGAATTATACGAATGTCAGCTAAATACTTTGTAGAACCGACGATGACATTATTGTAACGTATTGGAATATTTATTTTGAAGAATTTTTATATTTTTGCATGCGAAATAAAGATTATGATTTTCGTAAAATGATACATAAATGGTTAAAATTGCTGTTTATGGTTATGTGGAAAATCTACAAGGTGACACGAATGAAGAGTTCAGTGCCTTATCTCCTCGTCACTAAATGATGTAACTGTATTCGGTAAGGATAATATGTATAAACATTCCGCATGCACTTGAAACGTGCACCTAGCTATCACAATAGTGTAATGAAATATGTACAAAAAATTATACGTCCAGGTCAGTATTGTCGTACTTCAACCAAAACAATTCCCATCGCCTCATAACCTCAATATCTGACCAGAAAAAAACTCATTTATGCGCTGCCCTTTATCAAGGTCAAACTTTTAGTGGCCCTACGCATATCCTCACTCGACCAAAGCAAATCCGCAAAGTAGAATTCGTGGAATTGGAACTTCATGATAAAATCGCAATTGAGATATCAAATGAATGTTATAATCTTGCTAGATTGAAAACTATTCTGTATTTACTCACCATTAGTTGACGGCAATATCTGTCTGTTTAGTAACCACGTTCAAAATTTCCTTTATTGTTTAGCCTGGTAAAATTGTATCGGGTGCGTGTCTTCCTTTTGAAATGTCTCCAAATCCGCTAAAGCAAACCGACAAGTTCACACCCATATCCACCATCATTACCAAAGAGTTTTTGCAAAATGCGTTAAAGATGGAGGCGAAAGGTGGTTCTGTACCTGAAATAGTTACTCATTTTGCCACCCTCGGCACCCAACCGGGCGATAATTACATGAGCGTCATTTACTCCGTTGATGTCGACTTATCGGACGGAACCAAGCGTTACCTTCTGATTAAATGTTATCCCAGCCATCCCGCCAGACAAGAGTTTACAAACAAGATGAATATGTTTTTCAAGGAGTGTGAAGTGTACTCGAAGTGGATTCCGGCATTGACAAGAATAAAGTCAGAAGTGTTTGGTTTTGATAAGGAGGAAGCTGTTAAGTTGCCCTACGCGAAATTCGTGCATGGTGAATGTATCGATTTTCAGTCGGAGGAAGGTTAGTCATTTCATTTAATGCAAAAACTGTCAGCATTTTAAGGCGGTCTGATTTTCAGGCAAGCTTCGAAAATCCGGACCGATCAGTTCACTCGATAATTACATCATTATGGAAGATCTCCGAAAAACGCACGGGTTTCGAATGACTAATCGTCTCGAACCTCTCGACCTTGACCATATGCGTCTCATTATTGAAGCCTTGTCGAAAGTACATGCAATGAGTTGGGCGTATCGTCACCATGTGGAGTCAGATATTACAGAAAAGTTTCCCTGCTTGGTTACTAATGTGTCACGTGAAGATTTTGCAGCCTGGGACAATGTTATCCTTGCCAGTCTAGAACAGGCTAAGGGAATTTTTGACAAAGAGTTTGGCCCTAAAAATGATTATTCTTCGGCCCTTGATAAATTTGCCGGCATGGTTGGCAGGGTGTCTGAAATGTTCACTGGAGAAAGGACTGCTGCCGGATGGGCAAAATTGATGCGTGTTATAGAACCAGATCCGAATAAGTTTGGAAAAGATGCTGACAACCCAGGTAAAAATAATTCAAGGGTACTTATTTACAAGCCCTGTAAAATTCAACAGTTTTGCTGTGCGAGTTTGTCATTACATACTAAATTAATATTTTCAGTAGTAATACATAGAGTAATTTGTGAACTAGTTTTTCGCAATTTTTGTCAGAACCTTGGCGAATCATATGTCACGGAGATTGCTGGAGCAATAATATGCTTTTTCGGTATGACCAAGACACCGGAAAACCGCTGGAAGTCGTCCTCGTTGACCTCCAGGCCCCACAAGAAACATGCGTCGTAAATGACCTCGAATATGTTTTTCATGTCTGTACGACTCTCGCTTTGAGAAGATCGCATCTAGACGACCTCCTCCAACTTTACCACGACACGTTCAACGACATTTGTACAAAATTTAGGACGCCCACACTGCCCGGATTTTGCATGGACTCGCTCCGATTTCGGTTTCATCGGGCAAAGTTGTTTGGCTACTACATGGCCCTGATGGGGCTTCCAATTATGCTGAATGAGGGTGAAGTTCGCAACATGGAAGACTTGGAGGAGTGGAAAGATATCACGGATGCATTCATTGAAATATGTGCAGATACGGCTGGAACTAATCGTCTCGTTAAGGAGAGGCTTATCGAAACCACGAAAGGAATGATTGAGGACGGTGTCTTTTAAGCTTAATAGTGAAAAGTTCACATATTTTCAAGTTGGATTGTTCAATTATATTTTACTAATTGTTCAATTATTGAATGCATACTATAATTCTTTAATATACAAACATTGAAGTTTTTATTTACTTGTTAGAAAGATTTTAGTTATAAAAATATATTGAGCCATTAGTAAAGTACAAAAATACTTCAGCGTTTATTTGTGCAGCTTTCTCCAAGTAAAACTCTAGCGCAATATCTGCATACATAATGATTGATAAATATATGTTATTATGTCAGTGGTTATATAAACGAGAAATAAAATTTTGAATTTTTTTGCAATAAAACTTCAAGGACATCAATACCCGAGAAGGGTCACTATTTACATACAAGTCAGGCTGGAATTTATGGGGTACTTTTTTAGGCATGATTGGGCTGCATGTTGGTCGCTCCATGCATACATAAATATATTTACGATCTCTTTGTTCGTGTTGGATGATTCGATTGTCGCTGTTTCAATTGTAGTGTAATAATAATAGAATTGACATTGAAGTATAATCTGGTCTTCGCTATAATATTTTAGTGTAAAATCAATGGGGGACCATACTGAGGATGAGATCCTTCTCCAGCAATAATTCCAGCATTGCCTGTCTCTCGTTGTAATGATCGTTGAGATTTTCAGGGTCACTTCAATTGCACTTCACTAACGCTAATTATCTAACAAATCCGGTCTACCCACTGACCGATACATATGTTTACTCATCAATTTTATGCATTTAACAAAAAACTTGCACTGAACACGTAATCGTTTCTCAAAATCCATAAAACTGACCTAATCTCGCAAAAATGTTTAAATTGGTGTACGATATATGCATGAAACCTATTAAAGCATGCACATGAATAAGTAGATAAATACGCAGTAATCATCAACTCTCAAATTGATCAAAATTCATGGCCATACGGTGATACGGCAGATGTATTTTTATGAAAAAATGTGAAGATTTATTTAATCTGACATTTTTCGCCAACATATTTTAAAATAGAAAAAGTTGCATTCACCACGAAATTCAATTTCAACTTTCAAGTTGCTTATGGGGAATTATTTTAAGATATTTCAAGCTATACTCATCCTCCGTATGTAACTTTTTGCATTGAAAATTTCAGTACGGAATACGGAACCACGTGCATTTTTACATAATATTATTCCAGCAGCACATGTCAACTATTTTGACAACATTGGTTTACATAGACATATTGCGGTATCTACAACTTCATCAATTCAAACCTAATCAATTGCGGTACAAAATTAAATCAACCCATCCATTGTTCTTTTACCCATCCTGTTGAGAAGGACAGGTATTTATTCACATACTGCATCTGCACAGTACATATGTCATAATACGACTTTTTATCTTACTTTTTCATCCAATTCTCAAGTTGAACGTAATTGAACGTTTGATTTCGTTGAGACTTTTCCTCCTTTTCACAATCCAATCATGTAACGTCAAGCAACGTTTATTATTTTAAGCCTGATGCATAGATAATGACACTTGTGTGGATTCAGACTTCATCACGAGTTTGTTTAACGTAACAATTATCTTGCAATGGAAAAAGTATAAATGGATTTAAGCACACATTGGAGTTTATTTAATTGAGCATTTAACCCTCGTTTGAGGCATGCACGCACAACAGTCTGTCCTTGTCCGTCGTCTGAGGATGAGTGAGATTCAATCCAGCCAACAACCTTGATAACATAATTTTTCATAATTTGGAGACACTTTTTCCATTATTTTGAAAATGTCTCCCACTCCAGAAGTTGCTACCTCTGAACCAAATTGTAATGACCTCATTACCAAAGAGTTTCTGCAAAATGTGTTAAAAATGGAGGCGAAGGGGGGTCCGGTTGCGGAAATTATTTCTCACTATGCCACCCTCGGCACCAAACCGGGAGATAATTATATGAGCGTTATCTACTCGGTCGACGTCGACTTATCGGACGGAACCAAGCGTTACCTTCTGATAAAATGCTATCCGAGCCATCCCGCCAGACAAGAAATGACCAACAAGATGAACATGTTTTTCAAAGAGTGTGAAGTGTATTCGAAGTGGATGCCAGAATTGAGAAGGATGCAGAACGAGGTGCTGAATCTTGATAAGGAGGAAGCTGTCAAGTTGCCTTATGCGAAATTCGTGCATGGCGAATGTATCGATTTCCAGTCGGAAGCAGGTCAGTTGTAGGGTATTCAAAATTTTGGACAACTTTAAGAAATATTACACGTACTTATTTATGAAACGCATAAATAAATAGGAATTTGAGAATGATACCAAGTATGTACAAACAAATACGCATCAAGATAAGTAATTAGTATGCACACTTACATAAATGCGTATCTGGATTGCACGTGTGTTTGTATAACTGAATCTCTAACCATAATGCTTATCTGATTTCAACTAATCTTAAATTAACTGTGATCTTATCGAATTTAGTGACATCAAAATAATTTAAAACCCTAGTTATCACTCATAAAACTCAGATATTTAACAAACACAAAATATATATGTATGACTGTTCCATAAGCGGACGGACATGAAGGTTCCATAAGCCCTGACTCGGGCTAAAAGTATCATGATTAAAAATGAGGTTAATTTACAGGAGAAGCCCGCATAGGAGGAACGATTACCTCCCTCGATAATTACATCATTATGGAAGATCTTCGAAAAACATACGGATTTCGGATGACTGATCGTCGCGAACCACTCGACCTTGACCACATGAAACTTGTCATTACCGCTTTGGCCAGAGTGCACTCAGTTGGTTGGGCGTATCGTCATCATGTCGAGGCAGATATTGTGGGACATTTCCCCTGTTTAGTGGGAAATGTCAAGGAAGAGGACATCGGAATCTGGAACAAACTTCTCATCGCCAACATCGACCAGGCAAAAGGAGTTTATGACGAGGCATTCGGACCAGAAAATAATTATTCTGCCGCAGCTGAAAGTTTCAAGAAACATGTCGACACTGCTTCCAAGATAGTAATCGGAAAAGGTCAGTTTGAAGGGATGGAAAAATTATTTCGGGTTACGGAACCAGATCCAGACAAATTTGGGAAAGACGTAAAAAATCCAGGTAACATTTTTCAATTTCTGTATCTAAAAATTTGAGAAATAATCGTTCGTGTCCAAACCAGACGACATGAAGAATCATAATATTTCTGGCCAATTATTTTAAAATAATTCCGAAATGTCAAATTTCAATTGGCAAGAAATGTCCAACTTTTTTAATTTTCGTGGTCTGATTTGTCCTAATTTCTACAGAACCTTGGCGAATCATATGTCACGGTGACTGCTGGAGTAACAATATGCTCTTTCGATACGACCCAGCGACCGGAAAACCGCTCGAAATCGTCCTCGTCGACCTTCAAATGCCACGGGAAACCTGCGTCGTGAACGACCTTGAATACGTTTTTCATGTCTGTACGACTCTCGCCTTGAGAAGAGCACATCTCGACGACCTCCTCCAACTTTACCATGACACGTTCAATGGCGTTTGTGCAAAATTGAGGACACCCACACTTCCCGGATTTTGCATGGATTCACTCCGATATCGGTTTCATCGGGGAAAATTTTTTGGTTATTACATGGCTATGATGGGTATCCCACTTATGATGAATGATGCCGAAGTGTCGAATCTGGAGGACATGGACGAAGACAAAGAAATTGGAGAAGCAATTTCAGAAATGATTGCGGATGTGAGAGGTAGTCCCAGAATTAAAGATCGGCTTATCCAAGTCACAAAAGGAATGATGGAGGATGGGGTACTTTAAGGTTTGACAAAATTTTAGAGCAAAACTATGAAAATTTTTATCAATTGATTTTTAATTAAATACATTCCAATCGTGTACAGATCTGTATAACCTTCTATAACTTTGATGTTTGGTTGCAAAAAAGCGTTTGGTATTAGTTTATTTCTCTCTTAAAATTGTCCTTTATTTTGACATTTCAATAAAAATTCAAAGTGGAAAACATGACATTTTGTCGCATTATTGAATTGCATACCAATTTTTACTGACTGTTACTCAAAAAGGCGGATATCTTTGTCATGTGTGCAGGAATTGGAGGTTTCTGCATGAAATCATTTCCATATATTTCCAACTGGCAGCATTTGTGTTGTCCAAGCCATCCAATCTAAAAAACAAATCGTTTCAAATTATATAAGCACAAATTTTGCACAAATTCCAAATTATCGATTACCAACCTCCCCCGCTGTCGTGATCGGGTATGGACATGGACAACAGTGGTAATTGTCGAGAGGTTCTAAAAAGTAGTCCTTCAGTCCGTACCGTTTCCGCGTCCTGTATTCTCCTGCAAAATAATGCAAAATAGAATTAATTCTGTCATATGCATCCAAAACATTATGCAAATTACGAAAATACCGATAGGCGCTGTTTCCGCTCTTCGCTGGTATGCAAGCCACTCCAAACTACGAAAACTGGGTTTTCGCATGGCACGATTCATCCCGGAGCAGATCCATTTGCTAATTTAAATAAATTATTGTAATTATTAAGCAAAATAACATACAAATTAAAAAATCACATTTACTTGTATCTGTTCATCCACGGTTTCCCGTGCCCCCATCGCTCCGCCCAAAGTTTTCGACCTTCATATTCCTTTGCGACTTTCCATTCCACGATGGCAGCATCTTCCCAGCCTAAGTATTGTCGGTTTGGTTTTGAGGGAGTGTCCTTGTACGGCATGATGTGGTTGGACAAAAAGTGACAAAAACAAGATATACAAGTAAATGATTTGAAAATGTGAAATTTGTCAGAGACAAATTTTATAACACGGTCGATAATAAAATTCATGCAATTGGGTGACATCCACGATTGCTTGACATTAAGTATCTAGGTAACTCTTGGCTCTTTTAACGGTTGCGACAAATGGTGGAGTTACAAATAAAATAATTATTTTTTAAATCGTTGGTACACGTCCCCTGGGCCTGTGTACCAACGACTTTGACCTTTAATAACTTTTGAAAGGGCAGACATAGAGACTTGATTCTTAAAGATGAAATCATCGTAATTTTTAGCTTGATTTTTTAAGCAAAAAATCTCGAGGCTACTATTTCGAGAATTAAATTTGAAATCTGCAGCGTGCAGCCTTTATTTAGCCCGAGTCAGGGTCAGTGTCAGCTTCTAAATTTTAGTCAGACGACCTGCACCAACTACTGACTACTATTCGTAATCGGCAAAAATGTTCCCATAATCCAGCATGCAAAATTTCAGCTCCTTGACCAATTTTAAAACCAGTACGGGTCTCATGGGCCCACAAAAATATTCATTTTCATATTCTTTAGTCTGATGTGCCCTTACCCATGATACAGAATTTCATGTTTATTCTACCAATATAAAAAGCAATGTGGGTCACCTTGTTAAATCTCTGTGGAAAAAATCTTAATATTTACTTCATATTTTTCAATCTGGTCTACCCCCGCGGGGTCATGCCAAATTTCAGTCTTCTATGAGTGTCTGGAGCGAATTTCATCTTTTTAATACAATTTTTAAAAATCGATATGGGTCACCCCTTAAAGGTCCCTCCACATAAAAATGTTTTAATTCATATTCTTTCATCAGGCATTAGCAATCTCTGCACTAATTTCAGCTCGATTGGATAATTTTCAACAATCGGTATGGTATCGGGTCCCTCCAATCGAAAATTTTCCCAATTTAAATTAATATTCTTCAATTAGACACCATTAGCAATCTCAATGCCAATTTTCAGATTTTGAAATACTCCACCCACCCAGATGACCACCACCGGTCAACCACTTAATCGATTTCGCCCATCTTCAAATTTAACTCCTCATTTGCCACATACTACACATATACCAAATTTAAAGTCGCTAGGACAAGTTTAACGAAAGTTATCGTAAAATGATCAAACGGACAGACGGACGGACATGACAGTTCCATAAGCACTTTGACTGAAAATTACATTTCCAACTGTAACCAATTAACCAATTTCAACAAGTTTTAGTTTTCTAAAAATGAAAATTTATTTTGTAACTCGGCCATTTGTCGTAACCTTATAGATTGATAAAGTGTCAAATAATCTTGGGTGACATCAGTAGAACGCGACGTGACGTTGCTAAGACACGCTGTCGAGGTTCATAGGCGATATTAAGATGTCAATTGTGTTGAGATTTTAAGCAGAAATGACCACTATTTTAAAGTTTTAAATGCATTTTGAAAGAAAAGATTTTAAATTTTCTTGACCAAATTTTACAATGAACAAGCTAATGTTCATTCATGATGCTCTCTTAAATATCTGTTTGGTGGAATTAAACATATTTATGACAGCGTTTCGATATGCACAATGAAATGAAATGCAATATGACAAAATATTTTCAGTTTTGTTAGTACACCACTCTAGTTCCGGCTAGAGTATAGCGATCAAGTTTTTAATCGATAAATACCATAAATTAATACAATTAATAACGGTTATTATTAGTAATAATTATGAGAACTTTGTTAATAAATTAATTAAAAATCTTGATAGATCTTCATCACAACAATGTCTCCTGTGGAACTTGTTTGTGTCCCAACTGTGACAACTTTTGCGCCCTGTTCTTTTTCAAACACGGTTTTGTCCTCGTTATTGACTAGATCACTCAATCCGCTTAGTAATTCCTCCACTTTGATAAAACTGGATGAAATCGGCTCCACTTCGGAATCTTGAGTTACGGACGATAAAGAATTAAATTCTTCAAGACTGGCCATTTCAGAACTTGATGTTGAATTTAAATCTTGATTTATTTCACGTTTTTCCAATTTTTCAAGTTTTTTCGCAATTTTCAAGCTTGATTTTAACGATGCCTTAATTTCTTCGGGGAGAGTTAAGTGTCTAAAATAATCATTATCATGTTATTTTGCCGTTTAATTGTATTTTAAGAGTCAAATAGGGCTAAAATAGATTACTTTAATAATCTTAGTTCACGATTCGATAAGACCACGATCTCTCCGTTTTCAAATGTTTTCTCAATTTTAGATTTCAGCTCGATCAAGTCACGCTCATTTTTACGTAGCTTACGCCGCTGTCGAGTCTCTAAAGTTTTTAATTATCCATTAAGCAAACAAGTCCTTTACTCTTAAATAAATGGTCGACCTCACCCTCTGGCGCTATGCAAGCTAGAATTTGTTCTTTTACCAGTTCGGTAAAAAATTCCTCATCCATTTCTTTAATTAATGGGTGCATTTTTTCATACAATTTTTGTAACACGACCACATCCGCTGCTGCGTATGCAATCATTTGTTTGGTTAATGGACGGCGAGACCAAAATCGTGGGTCTGAACGGTAGATGGACTGAAATTACAGAAGTATTATTACTTTTAAAAATGCAGGCATTAAAAATATATTTAAATAAAATTGTCCACCTTAATCTTATCCTTAAAAATATTCCCCATTGGCACACCATAATATGAGCAGAGTCTACAATTTAAAAATTCGATTTTTAATATTTTGTTTTCTAAATTAAATTAAATTGCAAATTTAAAACCTACCCATTCAAACCGCTCGACTTTTTCCCGTTTCCAGACCCTAAAATAACTTCACTGGCGGATTGTGTGTCGAAAACGTTCTTTAAAAGAATTCCATATTCTTTAAACAAACTGCCAGAATCGTTACGACAGTCATGAAGCACCTGAAAAATTGAATTATGATTTTAAAAAAGTAAGTAATATGTTAAATATTTTCCACTCTTGAGTATTAAAAAATCCCACCTTTACGACCACCTCTGAACCCAAAATCCTTGCAACCTCCTCCACAACTCCTCCCCCCGCACCCCCCGCGGTGAGCACATCGAATAAAAATACGTCCCCATTTCCATCACAAATTTGTATCAGGGTTATCACACCATTTTCATCGCCTAAATTTATGCCCTCTATATCGACACAGATTGGATTTCCGCATCTTAAAATGGATTCCGCGATTTCTTTCGCCTTCCGTGAATTTGATACGATCAAAGTTTTCGAAATGAGGTAATTTTTGAAATCCTCTTCACTCAAGTTGTTATTCAACTCGATATTGTTCATGTGAGAGGGAGGATTTCGCTTAACTTTTGATTCATTATTTTCCAAAGTTTTCAACAAAATTGAAGACACTCTGGATTTTAAGGTGTTTCTGACCGGTGGTATGATTTTGTTTTGAAGTGGTTGCTGTGTCGGGGGGACGGATGGGATCGGTTTATTAATTTCTATCGAAATTTTTGTCGAATTTTGAATAGTTTTTGAGTGATTTTTTAAATACTCGAATCCTATTTCGTACGAGTCAGAGAGCGTTACTAGATTAGAATGGACCTGCAAAGGAACAATAGATTGTGGCAATTATTAAAGCTTATTAACGTCAAAAACCATGATTAAAACCAACCTCAAAACATTCTCCATGCATTCCAAAGAAACTTTTTAAATCGCCAGGACATCGCATCCATTCGTATGAATTGTCATCAAACTGGCTCGTCACGTGAAACAATTGTTCGACCAACATGGGCCCACGAGATTTTAAAATTTTGAAATAAAACTGTATCAAATTCAGTACATTTTCCTTTGAAATTATTTCCATCGGAGGTTTATCACTTATTTGAGCGGTGGTGGGTGTGACTGTGTCAAACTCGACCAAAATTACAGATTCTGCTTCTTGATTCAGTTTAAAAACTTGGGGGTGGGAGGCGAGAAATGCGAGAAATTCGGGTAAGTGCTGTCCAGACACGGACCTGATGGAAGTCGGGGCTTGTGAGCTAGTGGAAAATAATTTCATATGAATTTCTACTGTATTTCATGAATTATTTAATTAGAAAAATTACCGGTGTCCCAACAAGCTTCGGACAGGGACAGAAACCCCCATTCCATATTGAAGCATGCGTTCTCGGAAATATTCCACGGCAGTATTTTTACTCGAGGTGGTTTCTGTGGGTGTGGTTTCTTTGCGAGTTTCTTTGTATGAAACTAGGTCGTTATTTAAATGAAATATTGAGGGGTACTCGGAGAGGAACTTTCTTAAACCGGATTGTGAACCTCCAGCTATTTGTCGCATTCTATGCATAATTTCGTAAATTTGTAGATTAGTTAAATAGATAATTTGATTGAGTTAAAGGTAATTGATTACTCTCTCGTAAATCCTTTCGAGCCAAACTGACAGGACAAGTCATGTAACGTTCGGGATGATTTCTTGGTCCCATTGCTGCTACCCACGCCCTGTTCTAACTCTATCTCGATCAATTTCTCAACAAAAAATAGTAAAGTCTGATTTTTTAACTCTTCGTATTTTATAGGGTCCATTTTAATAAGGTTTTTAAAATAAAATTAAAATTAAGGCACTTTTTGAGGGCAAATTCCAACACACCTGCTTGTTATAAAACCTGTTCTCTCATATTCTCCCACATACATTTACAAGTACTGTCTATGCAGGAAATAAGTGACGGTGGAATGCAGTATGATGTTGAATATGCACATATGCGAATTTAATTTTTGCAAAATGCATATTTGTACAAATTACGAGGAAATGCAGGAGAAGTGCTTGTATTAAATGTGGGTTATGCAAAATGGGTATGTTCGTTTAAAGACCCGATAGTTATCGCAATGTAGTGAACTGGAGATAACCCTTTCCGAGTTATGTACTTTGCAGATAGGGCTGCTCGCAACAAAATTGCATATGTATTTCATCGTTCTGTCTCGTGGTTGTTTTTCATGATTTTAAGAAATTCAATTACTTTCTGGAATTGGAATTAAAACAATATGTATAAACTTTCTAAATTCCAATTGTGCAAATAATTTTTAAAAATTAGTTTTCTAATTTTGTGAAATTTGTCAGCTCTAACTAGATACATGTGTATATATAATAAACTAAATACAGCAATGAGTTTATGTATGATAGATATTTACTTTCTATTTAGTCCAATTTAAAAAAAAATCATTGAGATATTCTTCATTACAATTTAATCGCTAATTCTGATTTATTTCTCTCGACATTAATGCATACATAAAGTCCGAATTTTGTGTAGCAAAGTCAGGGCTAATGTACCCTTCATGTCCGTCCGGTTATATTAAAAACTTATCTCAAAGGTTATTGGTAGATTTTAAGCAATGTTATTATATCGCCTTGACTGATACCCGGTAGCTCCGTTCCAATACGGGTAAGGAATGTTCCATTTCTTCGTCTTCCCAATTTTTCCACCGACCTGTTCATAACCCAAATATCGCGTCTGTCCAGAGTTCGCCCAACTGTGAAAAATAACCACGTGACTGCCACTTTTGAGCAAAATGTCACCCTTTTTCAGGTCACCCTTCGCAATGGCGGTCGTGACCCCGACGAGTGATTGGGTAGTATAACTGGTCCCAGTGTTCCACGCCATTGACACGTAACCAGAACAATCGGTACGGTATCCGTCTTTGTACGCAGACTGCATATATTTATGAAAATATGAGTTGACAATAATTTTGAAATTTGAAATTTTTGGTAAATGGCAATAAATGTTACCTGGCTGTACGGAACGGGTGGATTAAGCCATGTTTCCGCCCGTGTGATAACTTCGTCTCGTCCGATTGCGTGAGATGCGTCTGAAAATAATTGCAGTTTCATATAAAAAAAATTCTTTGCAATATCTGAAAACTAATAGTAAGTTGAAATTACGGAATAACGCCAAAATGCACAAAGTCCAGACTAATGGGGACGATTTTATATTAAAAGTGACCATGTTGACGTGAATAAATTTTACTGTTTAGTCCGCAATGTAGTAAATGAAACTAATTTGTGGTACATGGATCACTCCAGATTTTATACGAATGACAAGGATGTGATGATAGGTTAGTCATAAGACGAGCATAATTGGAGTATACAGACATATGTTTGTGGTCAGTTTTATGTTTTATGGATACGTTGAAAATGATGTGCATGATGTCGTTCAATTATTTAACACACGAATTACATGAATTGAAATTAAGTGAATTAAAAATTAAGAGAATTTTGTCAGGAACTGCATCCGTGAAACTGAGCGATTGCACTAATCTGACAGATGTCAACTTATTCAGTGTAACTTCCATTTCAATTAATTCCATATTTTCTTAAGAACAAGTAGTCAATATGACGCAAGTAGTCGATACGATTAAATTAATCCCATTTACATACATACTTATGTGGCTGGTAAATGAGCATGTACAAAACAAATTATATTTGTTCTTAACACACTTCACACTTATTTGTACCATGTAAACTTGGACCTTGTCTCTTTTTTATTTACATAAATTTGCATGTTTTGCATTGAAATTCGTCAGTTTCTTCACCTTTGTAAGTAAATATCTCGTCCTGAAAATGGCATTTCCGTTCCCTACCATCAAAATGGAAATAACCCAGCACGAAGGGGGAAGAAATAGCCGACAAAAAGGGAAAGTATTTACGAGGCTGGGATTTAGTTCCGGTACGGTTAATTGATTCCAGAATACACTTCTCTCCACCAGCATAACTTTTGTCTCGAACTTTGTAAGGATAAGATTTGTACAATATTTGAACTGTTGGTTGGTGGAGTGGGGTGAAACAAAAAGAAAGTTTTCACACGACGGCATCGGCATCATCCAACCGTAAGTGGATTACGTTGGATGGTGCAATGCTAACAAGTATGCAGTGAATCTTTCACTCTTAAAAGTCAAAAGATGAAATGTTCGTACAGAATTATTGCCAAATTAGCTCCAACGATAATATCTCATTTCTAGCTAAAACTGCCATATTATACTATTAATTACCAATTTTAAAGATTGCATACAATTAAAGTTAAATGTTACGTTAGTAAATATTAAATTTATCATCATTGAAGGGCATTTAATTTAGCTTTTTAATTCACTCAGAATTCGTATATTTTTATTTCGGCGTCACAACTTGATAAACTTTCTGTACAAACTTAATTCTTGAGAATGAAGAATACCCAAAAAAAATATCGCAAACGAAGTAAAATCAAGATTCACATAAAAAATTGTGTGGTACTCAAGATAAAAAACAGATTTTTTATGGAGAATCATATTTTTGAAAAACTTGTACTACAAGTAAAGAATTACAAAGCAAAATGGGATTTGAAGAACACGATTTTTTTAAGGACGGATATTTTCTTAAAAAATCATTTTGCCGAGAAAACTCTAAGCACTAATAAATCTGCTAAAATAATTCTAAGAGTGCACCAAATTCCGGCTTTCCCCTCTAATAATACACGATATACACTGTCCTTAACTAATATTGGTTGTTTTAGTAGATCACAGATCCGCTATTGCTAATAATGCCCCCGAATTAACTGCGTTTCGTCGTCTACTCTGCTGCACTTTCTCGGTTTTGTTGGGGGATTTATGGATGGATTCTTACGCAGAGAACATTTGCTACGGTAGGTTTACCTGTTGTGTTGTTTCAAGTAATGAGCAATACGTGAGGCACTTCATCCTAATGGCGGCGATGTCATTTGATGTAATTGGGTGTACTCAACTAGTCCGAATTAGCCGTGTACATAGTACACAGGGTGGAAATAAAAGGGGGGAAAGGATTACTTAGGATTGACAGTCTGGAGGAGAAACTAATTTTGAAAATCAGGGTTAGATTGCTATTTCCATGTTTTATGTATGTTGTTTTAACAATGAGATCCTTTGGATGTACGATTTGCAGTAATTAAAAAATTATTTTAGCCGTAAGTTACGATTAAAAAATTGATCAACGCAACGCGATAGATAGTCAAAATCCGCAAATTTATAATCATTTCTTAGCTCTGGGAATTTATATTAAAATTTTGGTAGAGCAAGTCGTTGCCAATTTTTCAAAAATATTCACACTCCAGATTTTTACAGTAAATTTTTGAAGAAGGAGATCTCAAGTTTAAGAAGCCGTCAGAAACATTGGAACTTATCGAAACTGGCTTAAAAGCTCACCGCTATTCTATTAATCGACTTACTGACGACAAATTTATCCCCAGAATTTTAAAATAAATTCCCATAGCCGAGATATGATTAAAAATGTGGATGACATCGAGTCCTACTTAAACGCATACGAAATTTGACGTCTACAAATTTGTTACGTTCGAAAGTCACTACTAAATTTATCCATACGCTGAATATTCGCATTCAAATCAACAGATCAATACACACAGCATGGCAAAACTGAACCTCAATTTTTCACCACATTCTTCTACAATTTTCTTGGTCAGAATTTTTCCCCCAATATCAAACGTCATTTACGTATTTATGAAGCACCCACCGCATTCTTCAATAAATCTTGACATGGCTTGCACACAGTCAATATTCGTCACTTTACTTTTTTTGTGAGAAAAACATGTTTATCACTTCATGTAGATCTCGCCGTATTGGTTTGTGTCAACAAAAGTTGAGATGATTTAGAAGGATGGGATGTTTGTCCCCTTTTGATGTGTGGCTTATGCACGCTTGACAAAAAACTACTTCATTTTATTGAAAAAGTTTCGACTTTGACTTGAGAATCTCCTCCTCGTGGCTGGTTTAGTGTGAGATTTGGATGCCCTTGGAGAAAGTGACGTGACAGGAAGGGAAAGCTAACGTATTATTCAAAGTTTGGGCATTCTTATTTTTTGTGGTAAACAAAATCTCTCAGAAATATTCATATTCATCCAGGCGATTTTTTTTTGCTTTGAAAATTAACCTTCTTATCACACCATTTCCTGTAAAACGTGCGAGTATGTTAAATAAATTTCCAATATTCTAGAAAAAATTCCCAACTTTTGCAAATCAAATTTCCACCAATTTTCTCATCTCGTGTCCAGATTGACCATCTGGATTTGTAACTTGTACATTTTTTTTCGACACGAACCATCCATCCGACAGACGATCTTTATCCTTTTGGCGACTTTTTGCGACGTGTCGGGACCTCGCAGGTCGCAAATTGAATTAGATTCTACTCGGATACCTACCCGCTGGCTGATCTTTGAATGAAAAAAGTGACCACTTTTCGTTCTCCATGATAGTTCTTATTAGTCTTTTATTACGACATGTACCACAAAATTGGACGTGTGTCCATTAGCCGTCCACTCATCATCGGGCAAGTGAAGAATGAGGAGGAGAAAGTACGCGAAAAAAATAAGATAGTCCAAACTCCAAAGAGAGACCCAGAGGAATTAGGAAATACGAGCATTTCTACTTTCACCACGAGTTTAAGACCTCACTTTTTGGTAGTTGGCTGGATATCGAGATGGACGGATGAAGTTTCCTGGTCTGATTTTATTACCAGATCCAACTGGACACTCGTATCTGAAAGGAAAGTCGTGTTTTAATTTACATTATGATTCCTGTGTAATCTGCAAGATCCAATTCTGTCATTATTTTTAGATGATTTCAAACACTGCAGAAAAGCGAAACTAGGAAGTATGTATTTGAGGAGATAATCTTGTTGGCAGTCACCTATCGTGCCATGTACCATGTTCCCTCCACTAGTACTTCTAACCAGGGTTCCGTTCGCATGGGCGGAATTACGGAAATGTAAAAATGAAATGGGTTTCCTGCAGATTCAGGATTACAGAGTAACAAAGGAAGCATGGGTTATGGTGGAAATTAAGGAAATAGTTATGTCATCGTGACTATTTCCTCGTCATCCTCAGGCAAAAGAAATTGACGACAAGAAGATGTTTAAATTGAAATTAAACTTTTTTGAATGACTTTACTACACAAATTGAAAATTAATTTATGTTTTAATAAGTAAGATTAATTTAAGATAAGCAGGCTTTTTTACATATACTTTGATATTTGGTGTTAAAATTATCGCCGTCTTAACAGAAACTGTGAATAAACTAACTAAGCAACTTTATCCGTTTTTCCGAATGCACAAAGTGGGCCAGGTATTTAATTTGGAGCACTTTCTCCCAGATCAAGTTCTGACTGGGAGAAAGTGTGCAAAATTGGGCACCTTCATCCTCCAATTTTCCCTGAATTTCTCCCAAACAGCAACTACACCGAATTCGTTTCGAAACACTGCCCACTCAACGAGATGAAATGGATGGATCACACAATTTTGCATGGAACGGATTGTGATTCCCCTTCGGAAGGAAGAAGAACAGATTTCCGAGAGCGAGAGTTGATTTATTCTGTCCCAGATATGATACCAAACGCACACCACAACCCTTCAGGGTGACTGGCTGGCTCAACCGAAATGTGGCTCACCACCACAAAACTTTGAAATTGGAAACATGTCATTTTTCACCAAAGATAAAAGAACGCTGTAAAATGGTTTAATTGCAAAAGAAATAAAATAACGAGTTGGAAAGAGTTTTCAAATTGATTAGCCCCCTCCCAGTTTGACTTGACTTTTAGATGTGGTCTCGTAAAAAAGTGGGATCGATTCCGTTTTTTTTTGCTTTTACTTTTACTTTCGTTTACATTCGTACTTACTTCCCCTCTTGATGGCTGTCTTTGTTTGTAAGTTATCCGTAAAAGTTTTTACTTACTTTGGGAACTTTTATTAGTTGAAAGTGCAGCGCAATGTCATTAGTCTAGTTCCACTTTGCTTCGAGATCTGATAGGTTTGGGGAAAGGAGGAAGGAAAAAAAAGTTGATTCGGAAATGGAAAGCTTTTCATTTAAATTTAAATGTGGGGCAGGTTGTTGTAAATACAGTCCATTTATTTACGATACGATGCTCTACTTCACCACTGCAATGCTATTAGGAATGGGAGTGATTACGTCGAGGATCGTATCGTAAAACAAAGAGGAGTACATATTTATTTGTGTAACTTTCCACGTATGTAAGGGTTTTAAAATTAAATATGCAATTTTTGCAGTTTTTAGGAATTTTTACGAGCTTTTACATGTATTTTTTTTGCAAATCTATACTGCAATTATATTTTTTCAGTTTTTAGCAGAATTTCCACTGTTCATGAAAAACGTGGATACAATCACATCCTGATCCTCAAAGCGATGGGTTTTTTGTATGTTTGTAAAATATATAGGAAGTTTTTTTTCCTGCAGGGAGGATTAATAAGCAATTTAATAATTGAATTAAATAAATTGTAAAATGTATGTACGCGTTTTTCTTGACATGTATTTCCATGCTCTGATCATTGTACAACTCTAACCTCCATTAAACGGATAATTAACCTACCAGGTCCCAAAGTCCAGCTCGAATCATTCACCTGAGCAGAAAGTCGCGCAATTTAATTCATCTTGGTTAACTTTCTTTCAAACTTTTCTCTTTCTTTTTACACCTCAAATTAGAAACACCTAAGTGACAAGAGAGAAGAGGCGACCATAAAATAAATCCAATTAGCATTTGCAAAGACAAAACAAAAAGTTGCAAACAAAAAAGTCTACCCAATTAAATCCGTCCCTATTTTAACCACGGAGTTAATTGTATACATAATTGTATCCCAATAAAACTTTGATTTTACTATATTGCAATCTTTGCTTGATTTTACTTTCTCATTAATAGAACGCCCAAAATAACCCTGTTTTCTCGCCATGGTCTGGCTACGATCGAGTGAAAGCAGTCTCGCCCATCGTCCTGCTTTCTTTCCACCCATCTCATCGCATACTTTAGTTACTTTTGATGGGTCGAGATTTGTGGGCTTGGATTTTTCCGCATGGTCAAATTTGCTCTGTTGTGGTTGGCATTTCACGGCAGGAGGGGGATACGCAAACTTGGTCAACTGAATTAATCCAAAGTGACAAGGGACAACAACATGTGACACACAATTCGGGTGGGCGTAAATACACATTACGATACACATGCTATATATTAAGACTGGAAATTCCAGTCTGGAATTGTCGACAATATTGCCTTTTTTTGGTGGCCTTCCATTAACATGAGTGAGTGGGTGGAGGTGGGGGGGTTGATAGCCATAATTAAATTTTGGGGGAAAATTAGGATAAAAATGTGACACGAATTAATGAAAGAAAGTAAAATTAATAATTTTATAACACGCAAATTACGCCCCATTTCAGTGTCAGAGATGATTAGACAACCTGCCTGGCCTCTTTATACCCGGACTAATTAGTTGAGTGGTGAAAGTGGATGAGACAATTTAAATTGTCAGGTTAAGTTTCCGGGAAATTTCCTTAAACGGAAAAAGTTGATACTTTTTATTACTATTGGTTTCGCCTAGCATGTTCATCTCAACGAGTATGTAGCAAAAAAATGTCAGAAATTTCCCTCAGAAAACGAATAGTCTCGTGTCTGATATCAATATCGTGGCCTCGCAGATGTTGATATTTGTCTTAGGAAGGATTATTTATGAGACCATCTCCCCTCTCGTCGCTGCCAGGACATTATTCAAATATTGAATTGGAATGGTCACGAACATCATCTATTCCACTCTTCTTTTCCTCCGAGGAAAGGGTGACCCACCCAAAAAACAATGTAATCTCAAATTCTCGCCAGGGCCAAAACCTTCAATTTTTAGAACGAACGCACCCAAACTTTTCAGAGTTTTCGTTCTCTTGCCATAAATCACTACACGATGGTCACTCTTTTATAGATTTTGGCAATGATTTTTGCACATGTGGAGAAACTCGTAAATTTTACAGATAGTGAGGAATTGACGATAAAATAGAAAATGTGACAATTTTCCAGATGGTGGCAAAGTGAAAGTGAGAGAAAGCGATATTTTATTCAATTAGGTAATTTTTAATAAATTGATTTTAAAAAGTGGGGCGATTTTCAAGAAATGGAAATTATTCTTAATCTCGGTCCGAGTTAGCTTTGTGATTATTTTATTAAGAAAAGACCAGGTTCAAGGAAAGGAGATGAACCTGGTCGTAGGTACATAAATGTTTAGCTGAGTCAGGCTTAATCCTTATATAACCACTAATTCCTCTCCTCGTTTCCCCAATGGCCACTTTCCCATCTCCGTGAAAACGATAGGAAAGAAAATGATGAAACCGGAACGAGAAGGAAGGATTAATTTGTTCGTTGCATAACAAAGTGCATGCATATTATGCAGTATATGCAATATTGTACGATCAAAGAATTATTTTTGCGAGCTTTTAAAAACGATTTCTATTTAGAGTATAGGAAAGTAATAATTGCTACAAATTGGAAATACAAACATTGCACAAACTGTTTACATATTGATATTAATCAGAACTCATTCTAATCTTATCAGCTTGTGATGTATAGATATTAGCGAAAAAGTTCACATTAAACTTCACATACTGTAGTACTATACATTTCTGTAGGAAATTGTAATTTATGAGCGAAAAGTCATTGAAAATTTGACCGTTTATGAACATCAATTACATCTTATGTACATCTTATTTATGTACATACACAACTTTGCATGAAATAAAGTTACATGTTATACATAATTACGAGATATTTTATAATCCAGATGACACACACGAATCAGATTAATGATACGTAAATCCCCAAAGGCTTGCCTTACCCACACACCATTTCACCCAATTGATTGATCGATGCAACCTTGTCACACTAAATGAATTCATAAAGTGATGATGACAATAGCTGGGTAATTTCGATGAAACATTATCTGCTGGAAATTACAAATAACAAATTGATGGATTAGCCATTTTACAGAATATGTAAAAAGGTAAGTACAGATATTTATATAAAATCTCATGCACTTTGTCAATGTCAGCCATTTCTATTAAAACTTGTTCATGGGCAACATTTCCGTCAAAATGTTTTACAAAATTCTAATTTCGCTTGCAGCCTTGGTCTGCTTATCGGAAGGAAAACGTATCCACTACGATCTCAGCGTTGCACCGCTAATTGTCGGTGGCGTGGAGGCAGTTCCGTACGAGTTTCCTTGGAGCATCTCCCTCCAACGGGCCTCCCACAGTTGCGGAGGTTCCATTGTTAATAATGAGTGGATTGTCACGGCAGGTTAGACTACAAGATTTTACGATTTCATGGCATTCATAATCTGAACAAATTTTTTTATTCAGCTCATTGTGCCCAGTCGTCACCTGCCGGATACATGGTGGTCGCTGGAGAACACAACTTAACCCAGCCAGAAGGCAATGAGCAGCGTTCTTGGGTGTCTTTGGTCATTGTTCATGAGGGATATGACGAGTAAGTGGATTAATTAATCTGTAATAAAATATGTACAAATTCTGAAAATATTTAAGCAGTATATTTCTATTTCTAGTCTTGTCCTGGAAAATGACATTGCTCTCATGAAGCTGAGTACACCGCTCGTTTTCAACGACAAAGTTCAGCCGGCACCATTGGCACCTGCAAATTTTACGGCGGAGGGGGTCATGGTGGTGGCAGGTTGGGGGAGGTTGTCGTACGGGGGGCCTCTTCCCGATGTGCTAATGGTAAGTGTGTATTTTCAATTAAGACAGCAATTATGAATAATTAATTACAATTAATTGCAATTAATTCAATTAATTAATCATTATTTCAATGCTATTATTCCAGAAAGTTGACGTCCCTCTGATTCCATTGGAAGTATGCAGGTCAGTTTATCCAGATGATGAATATCCAATTTTTGACCATAATATTTGCGCTGGATATCTTGAAGGAGAAAAGGATAGTTGCAAGTAAGTTTTAAAGAATCATTAATTATCTTAATTTTTTTAGAATCTACATAATTACATGAATTATTTTTACAGTGGAGACAGCGGCGGGGCTTTAATGTGTAATGAAACAAAGGAGGATGGAACTACGAGTTTAAATGTGTGCGGACTCGTGTCGTGGGGTGGCTTGGGGGCCGGGTCGTGTGCTTATCCTAACGAACCAGGAGTTTACATTGCTGTCGCGTCGTTCAGGGATTGGATTACTCAAAATATCAATGCTAATTAATTTATTCTTAATTAAAATGACATAAAAGCTACTACAAAATATTAAGAAATGAGATTCTTAACCAATTTAAGCTGAGCTTTATATGAACATATTTTTATTTGTTTTTTGTGCGCCTTTACCAAACTTAGGATTTCCATCATAATTTTAAAATCGTACAGGTGACAAGTCGAAAACATTATTTCTACAAAATCCTCCAGAATTTTACATTTGTACGTAGATTTTTATTAGCAAAATATATTATTATCTTAAAACACAAACGCACCCTATATTTTAAATGAAATTTCTTAAAATGCTCCCCTGTTTTACGAACCCTGACTTAAGCCGAGTTCTAAATCCGGTAGGATTTCCTTCATTTCATACTTACCTAAGACGACTAAATGCAAACCCGTCATGATTATTACATATTTACATAGATCTCAAAGAGAGAAGAAGAAGAACCGCACGCATGCAGTTTCTCGATGCTCGGGATGATGTTGTTCTTCCCTTTTTGCCATGATGGGAGTTAGTTATCCCTAATTGTACACTAATGATGAATAATGCATCTACTATTCACAGATTAAAAAGCCTCCTGCTTTCTCTCTCTCTTTCTGTCTCCCTTGTGGCAAGTGTAATAGAAATTTGCTCAAAAGAACGACCAAATCCTCACATAACACACCAACACCCGACCCCAAAAACCTACAAAACCTCCTCCCGTTTTGTGGCTGATAGACAAATTATTATTACGCAAAGTAAATAAATAAGTTACGTAAATGGGAGAAAGTTTGCCGGAGGGGTGTAGAGTAGAATATGGCAATAATCCGGGCAAAGTATATTCAATTAACAAAATATCGTTATAGATAATTGGGAGAGTTGGCGATTAATAATTTTGGTTATCAAATCAGTACCGAAAATAAATATGTTTGCAAATTTATGTAATCTTTGTTTGATTGGTTAGCAAAAAAATTAGTGGGAATTACATGAATAGGAATAAAATTGAACAAAATATTTTTTAACAGCATCCACCACCACGATTACAATATCTGGTACATCGGTTGCACTTGTAGCAATATTGCTGAAATTGTCGGGTTATTCTTGGATGAGAAGTTCTATCTTTATCCTTGGGTACAAATTGGACGACAAATTTCGGATCAGGATTAACAGCCGGAACGACTCCGTCATAGTCATCCTGGTTTGAAGTGGCCGAAACGGTAGTAATAAAGACAATAATTGCGACGAAAATGCTGCAAACCGTGATAAACTTCATCTCTCTGTATAATTAAAATACATTAATTAAATTGTTTTTTGTTTGAATTAACGAAAAATAACTTACTCGATACAATATTTCCTTTGAATTTTACAAATTCTTAAAAGCAAGAAAGCATTAAGCAGGAATTTTACACTGAATGGTAACTGACATGTTGCAGGGATTTATATATGACCATCTTCGCTAAAATTCTGGGCTGCCTGGTACAAAAGTATGCATGCGTCACAGAAGCCAAAAACTCGTGTGCTCTTGAGTAGGCAGAATTTGGCAGAAATAACAAAAACAAAGAAGTTCAATATTAGCTTCAGTTCATCCTCAGTTAGGGTTCAAAGTAACGCATCGCACGTACTCAATTAATTTTATGGAAAATTTCGTAGCAAGCAGTACAAAAAACTTGACTTTTTAATTTGTTATCATACGTTGGCCATCGTAAAATGAATCACCAAACGAAAGTAAAGAGATAAAAAACCTGTCCGGCTAGATTTTTTATATAAATTAAACTTATATATTTGATTTTTGCGCATTTACAAAATAACAATCAAGCGCGTGTGTGTTAAAATTAGGCCCCTGGAAATGCGTAGTTAGCGAAATAGAACAAATATTCACCTCAAAAATACCGTATAAGACATATACCGATATCTGTATGAATTGCAATGAATTCCAAACAATTGAAAAGTAGTATTTCTTGCATTTTCGAAAAAAACGGTTGGATAAAATACTAATTTTTATTTCAATTGACCTTAATATCTGCTCAAACTTATTGACAAATTATCACGAAATGATTAAAATATACGCAACACGTAATTCCAAAAAAGCCACAATATTAAAATACGCTCAACATACATACATTCACACGTTCAATTCATCTCCCATTTAACTCAACCTTTCTCTCAATCTTCCAAAGGCAAAAATCTTTCACCAAAACCCACACCGGTTCTATCCCCAGGTTCAGTTTTTGTTCCGCTTTCACCGAATTCTGTTCTGCTCGCAGTGTTCTGCTCTCACTCAAACTCTTCTCCCCAAAATAGCCCTCGAACTTACACCCAAGTCTCATCTTGGCCGAGGAGCATTACACATACGCACAACTACATTTAACTGTACGTCACCTATTCAAAGAAAAGAAAAAAATTAACTAAACAAGACTTTATCTCTGAAAAAAAGAAAGTAAACCAATCTAAAATAAAAAGTTTAAAGTGTGACGAACAAACACTTATCAGCACCTCGTACGTACATACATTCTTGCTCAATATAATCTCTCCTTCCCCCACTGCACAACTTGTCTCTATTTATTCACAAAGTTAAACAAACGACTTTCATCTCACTCCTCGCGAATTCACTAAACGAACCCAAAGTGAAAGTCAAGAGGAGAAGAAAAACCGTGTGCAACTAACGAAGACCAAAAACTCGAGTCGTCTCAATTTTACTTTCACTTTCACCAAAATCTACGGACAAATGTACATCCAGTGAAAGTACTGCCAGCGATTTAAGTCAAGTCCACTCGCAACTTTTCAAGTGTGCTACTTCCTCTTCCCACTTTTGTGGATATTCTGATTTTCTAATTTCTTAAGGAAAAAGGTGGTTCTTCAAGAAACCACGAAACCAAAACCATTTCACACTTTCATCCCATTTCATCCCAATGGAGCGTGCAGAGTTAATCGGGGTTAAGAAATTGGGTCAATTTTGGACATAAATTAACTTAATTTTAGACAATAGTACTACGTACATATTTTACAAGTTTAAAATATCTCGAGTGTTTTCGTACTCGTGTAAAAAAAATCCTAAGTGAATTTTTGAAAGGTGAAAGCACACACCGAATTCTCGTCCCTTTCATCTCATCTGCATATTGTTAACGTACACTTGGATTTCCTTTGTTGTCTTGAGTGAATGAGTGTCAATTTACAAAGCAATTTACACACAGTGATGTGCATACGAACGTCAAGAAGACTGAGTGAGTGAGAGGAGAGGGATTTGTTGAGATATTTGACTAAAGAAAAGCCTACTGACATTTGAACTCGGCTCATTTTGCGATGCAGAAAATGTAATCTAATTCTGTAAAATGATAATGTTCTTCTTGCTGCTACCTTGCTTCTTGCGAGTCAAGTTTTGTTGATGTGTTTCAATTTCATTTCGTTTCGAGAGAAGTTGGAAAATGAGATGAAAATTAGGGCGGAAATTGTACCATCTTTCATCTCAAGGAGGAGAGGGATGTAGTGTGCTAACTTTGTCTTCAATGTGGTTTCTGGTTGTCGGGTGCTGGTTTGTTGTTGTGATTCTTCATCATCTCGAAGGAGGAGGACTAACAATTTAAGGAATTTGACCAAAATTCTTCAAGTGAGAGGAGGTGCTTTCACTTCCTTCTTGGGAGGGAAGTAGCAGTGTAATGTGGTGCGTATTTTGGAGAGAGGAGGGAACCAATACGGCCTGGTTGTTGGTTGTGATACTTCATCTGCTGGTCGAACTACCGACGAAAAGTGCGGTCAATCCAGGTGAGTAAGTTGGGAGGGAAGGGAGGGGATGGGATTAATTAATTGGGGGGAAAGTTGGGGGGGTTTTAGTTATTATTTGTTTTTGCTTGAGGACGGCGGTGTAAGTGGAAATTGATTTTTTGCATATTTTTTTAAATTGGGAAGATCGGAATTAATGAACTCCGTAGGTTATGAAAAATCTCATGAATTAGGAGTATACTTCGATACATACTTTGCTACGAAATTTACTTTAGACACGTTTAATTAAATATTACCGGAAATTTAAAATTGCACAAAATTCCCGAATCTAAATTTCCTCTACAAATAATTAGCCCACATACAAAACAAGAGCTAACCTACCAACCTACATTTAAAAACTGTTCAAGTTTTTCCACTCCCCGTCAACTTTCACTTTCTCCCCAACCCACAAAACAGAGACAGCTCCATCAATTTATTAGCCTTATCCCACCACGGAATGATACTCATCACCATTTGTTATTCTTATCCGGCCTCCCATCACGTCCTGCTATGTATGCTTCTTTACCAGCCTAAATTTTCCACAGATCCTGATGAGGCTTACAATTTTCCCCCTTGTACGCTTTGTTTCACATGATCACATAACATCACTCATACAAATTAATGGCTTGACTTTCACCCTGTGTTAGCAAAACATACAAGTCTGCATTATATGCCAGTCACCCCTTCGGGCAGAATTCTAATTGAAATCGACCCTGGCTTAATTTCAACATTGTTTCCGACCAGGCAGGCAGGGTAACTTGAGCAGGTTAGAATTTGCTTGTTTTGTTGCCTTGTTTGTAATTTGATCATTTCGCCGATAAGATGATAACAATAATGGCGACATGCATGTAGAACAATGCCCAATTTCAGGTGGGTGTAGATTACGAGATTGTGAGAAACTTTATGTTCTTTGTATGGGTAAAATTTAATATGTGAAATGGAAGATTGCTATCAAATGACGAAACAGAGTTTTAACATGAAATTGGAACGACTTGTAATAAAATTGTGGAACGATGATTTTGATTACTGTGTAATTTCTGTTGTTTTCATTCCACAAATCGTAAATGAGGTTGAGAGATTCGTGCTGTAAATTCATAAGTAACCAGAAATGCCAAACTTCAAAGTAACCACGGTTCGCGGTTACGGCTAAAGACGCCTCGCGAAGATAAATCGCATTTCAAATTCCAAATATTAAGAGAGACGGTTGGTTTGGTTTCCGGGCAGAGTTCAGTCCAGGGCAGAGTTCAGGTCGTATTGTTCATTCGCTTTTCTATGGATGGATTTGGTTTGGTATATATGGCGATTATTCATCACCACCCAATCACCAATCGCCACCTCGACGAATTCAGGATTCATGAAGAATTCAGGAAATTCAGCAGGAGAGAGGAATTCCAGTCAGTCAGATGAATCGACAAGCGGACCGACGTATCCATGATGGGATGTCTTTAAGCAGGGTTTTCTGTTTCCGGAACAGTTTTCATAAGGTGGGAAAAAGTGGGTGAAATTGTGGGGAAAATTTGGTATGAGGGAGTTTTAAGGATTTATGAATTGTGTATTTTTTGGGTGTGTAAGGTTTTATGAAATTAAGAAATTACTCAGACGTCGACTGTTATTAAGCAGTTATTAAATATTTGTATTTCTTTAAAACCTCGTTATAAATATGTAGGTGCATAATTTAATCTTAATTTTTTGATTGCATAATTTAAACGTCGAAAACTTTATTTCATACGCATCCAGTATTTATTAATTTATAAAGATTTCTGAAGAATATTGAGTCCGGAGGATGAGTATATCGATTTTCTATATATTTCAATAGTTAGAATGTATAGCTTTCCTTGATTATTAGTAATTTTTACGAATTAAATTTCCCATAAAAACCTTAATGAAACGCCAAATTTCACCAATTCCTCCCACCCTGTCGAAACCCTGTGCCGGTGAAAGTAGACAGCTATTCATGTGTGAGAACCGCACACCAAATAATACGTATTCTTCCCTGCTGCCTATGCACACACAGTTAGTTAATGGTTTGGCATGCATTCATTCATGTTGATGAGTGACATGAATTGTGTGAATTGTGCTCCCCCGCGGCGGAATTATATTATTTTCATTGTTTTAGTTCACCAGACGCAAAAGACTTGTTCTCATTTAGGACGAAATGCTGTATGGGATTATCAGGACAGAAATGCCACATGTGCCGTACGTAAGATCGTCATCGTGGCCGTCGCATCTGGAAAATTTACCATGACATCTGGATATTTGATATGAAATGAAAGTGGTTAAAATTGAGGAGAAATGATTTGAATTCGAGCCATGATTTATGTTCGACGGGATGGATTTTGAGGACGTGAAGGGTTCTGGTGACACAGTTGGTTTGCGAGAGGACAGGTCGATGAGACGATTCTCATTAGAATTCTGCGACATCCTGAGGAAATGGAGGGTTCAAAAAGGTGGTAGTAAAATATTATTGGGAGGTATTTCACTATTGAGGGCGTAATAATGAGGGTGATATTAGAATGATGTGGGGTTAAGGAAGGTGTGGAAATTATTTTTTGAAAAAGGGTTCAAAATTTGTATTTTTTGTGGATTACGATTTTTTTAACTGTTTAAAATTGTTTTTGTGATTAAACATTTGGTAAACTTTGTTACATTAAAAGTATTTTTGAAAAAATGGTTTATTTAAACGCCGATAGTCGAACATTTTATTTTTTCATACCCAAAACTTAAAATAGATAATGTGGCACTCTGAAAAATTAATATTTCCAATTTCCGTGCAAAACAAATTAAAAACGAAATTAACTTTTCATTTCCAAAAATTTTAATATTGACACAAAAAAACTTTTGTTTTACTCTAATTTACACGCGATTATATTTATCTTTGCCCTTAAGGAGAAAGCAATCAAAATAATCATAAATGGCCCTTTTGCCCTCTGCTCATTGTCATTCAGTCTCTGTTATTGTGATTTCTTATCCTTCGCCATTACGACCGGCAGGTAATTTACCATCCCTTTTTTTATCTCTCATCTTATCCCTGGCCTCAAAATGGGAAGTTCCTTCCCATTTTGAGTTCGTTAAGTAAGTAAGATTCTCATTTTAAGTTCACTCTCCCTTTCTCTCCGCACTTTCTGGTCAGGCTGGATGATATTTGGGCGCCTGAGGAAATAAAGATTTTGTGATGCTTTCTCATCTCCTGACTGACTGACATGCATCTTATCTTTCACACTAAAATGGAAAGTCGAGAGGAAGAAGACGAGTCCAAAAACAAATAAAATAAACGAAGAAGAACGAAAAGCCGACTGATTGCTACTTTTTCCTTGGGAGCAAAAAACAGAAGGAAATTGTATTCAAATTCTGTCTTCAACTAGCGTCCTGGTTAGCGAACAGGGTTTAGTTTTAACAATTTTTTCATGGATGAAGCACATATGGGTGAGCTACATATATACATATTTATGATACATTGTATGTTTTTGTAAGTATTTCGAAAATTTGAAAACTGAAACTTTGCAAAGTTACATTTTTTTAATTTAATTTTTTTAAGTTAAAAATCACTGCAACAAAATGAATTCTTTACATATATTTTGAAACGATGTGTATGCACGAAATGCATAAAATGCTTATCATGAGCTTTATTTCGTATATTTTAGAAATTTGGAGTTTAGTCTGAGAGAAAACCCTTGAAACTCAACTTGTCATCCAATTTCATACATTTCCTTCCTTGTAGTTTTTTTTTGTAAAATCTTATACTTCCATTTCCTTCCTCAAGTTTTTGTGCAACTGAAAGAAACCCTATTTTCTAAATTCCCTTGTTCTCGTAGCTATTCGAATTTCTCTGGAAATACAAGGAGACGACAACTTTCATTTCTGCGGCGAATTCACTCATCCCTATTTTCCCCAGATTTGGATTTTTCATTTCCTTGTTACTCGCTCTTGCGTATCGTGCGTGTGTGTACCTACTTATGAATGATTGCATGTTTCTGAGCACAAAGTCATTTGTTTGAGTGCGATTTTTATCTGCCATTTTAAAACTCCTCAGAAAAAGGATAAACCTACAAGTTTTATGTATTTGTGCATACCCAATTTATCTTAATTTGCAATTTTCCCCATTAAAATCGAACATTTCAATTGGAAAATCTTCAAACTATGCAACTTTTCTGGTGCAATTTCTTCCCACATTGCAAATTTATTTGCCTTTGCCATAAAATAAAATAAAAGTTGCAACTCTATCTCCTCTATGAAAGTTTGAGCCTGGGAAAAAATGTGGAGAAAGTAAAAGTAAAGGGAGGCAAATAAGGGCGAAATGCCTAATTTATGTAAATGTTTCTATTTGCATGCATTTTTCTTCATGGGCTGGTTTCAGAAATTCTTCGAGTTCGAGTCGTCGTCACATTCCAGAGAAATGGCACAAAATAAAATACTTTCATCCGTCCGGTTTCTCGATATGTTTCGAACTTGAGTTGTACTTGGGTGGGTGTGCAGTGTCGTTGTTGGTGCTATTTTGGTGTATTTTTTGTAAGTTTCCTTATTTGTAGGAAGCCATCATGTATACTTATGATCGTTTCGCGGATAAGTAATGGGAGAAATTTCTGAAATCTCTGAAATTATGTGCATACATATTTTTTTAAGCATGTATTTAAAGCCATTGATACCATTATTTTGGACCATAAAAGCACATTCAATATGTACATCGCCTTGGTAAGAAGTGTAAGAACATATTTAGCAGATCATGTAATTATACGATCTTGATAATTGTTTGCTACCATTCTGGTAAAAACTGTGCATTTCGTGGTAACAACTTTCTACCGAATTGGTAAAATGAAGCATGCATACATACATCGCCGCCGAGTCTCACATTGCTACCACATTATTTATCCCGCATGTTCTTCATACCGTCGTCGCATCGTTTTTGTAGTTTTATGTATCTTGTAAATGTAAAATCACAAATCTGTAACGCCCTGGGGACTTGTTTGTCTTTCTTTCTCTCGTAGGATGCGAGTGTGTCCGCTACACGAGTACGTGGGGGAAGGAGTGGGGGGTTTTTATGAGCCCCGACTACCCATCCGGCTACCCGGCGAACGTCCGCTGTCTCCTCTATTCCTTCTCAGCCCCGCCGGGTTTCATCATTCACCTTCACCTCGACAAGGTCAACCTCCCTCAGAGACAGGTCAACTATCCACAGCACAACGGGTGAGTAAAATTTTGAGAAATTTTATATTTTTTACATTCAAGAAAATATATTTTGAGGATAAATATACTAACCAAAATTATAACAGGTTTAGTTACGGAAAGTTAAAAATGCATGCAAGGAAGGCATCAAGGTTTATGGTTTCCACAAACTTCGGAAATTTTTATATTTGAAATGATTTTCGGAAACTGTAAAATTTTAGGATGATTGTGACACCCAACTATAAATTGGGCGAAATATTCCAAATTGAAAAAATATGAGATACATGCATCTCGTGCATATACTAGATACGTGCATATATATTTTTTTAGTACACAAGGTTAAAATCAGATTAGAGTAGTGATGAAGTTTAGAACTCTGAAAAGTTTCTGAAATTTGACTTTTTGGTTAAGACAAGTTTCAAACCAAATTTCCAAACATGATGAATTGAACCCAAGCAACCAAAATCTGCAAATATTGTACCAAATTTGTACAACTGGATTAATGCATATTTTCCGTTAAAATGTGAAGCCGACTTGTGCTTATTTTGTACAAGTCGCATTTGCAAAATTCATACCAATAATTTATCACTGCAAGTTTACTTGTACCAAATATGCACAAAATTAACACAAACAAATGCGTACGAATTTTGTGTAAATTTGGTGATGATTGACATGCATTAATGAGGTGAGAGTTTAGTGCGAATTTAGTGCGAATCTATTACTAATTGTGTGCTAATGGTACGCATGAAATTAATACAAATTCATTTACACGTATTACTCACATTTCAATTATTATTTATTTATTACACATTCATCTGTTGTACATATTTCTACAATAATATTAGGTATCTCCAAATACTTAACTAATTAATATATAATTGCAAATTGGGATACACAAATATTTATCGAAATTAATCGGTAGAATACGTACTTACGGCGTATAAATAAAGACTAAATTAAAATGAGAAATGCCTCATTATTCACCTCAGGCTCTTTTGCTGATAATTTAGGGCGATCCCGTTTGCCGTTATCACATGAGTCGATAGGTTTATTCCTTGTATGTGTTCCCAACGTATGAATCTATAAATTAAGCAAAACGTATATTTACATAAATAACCCGAATATATATTAATGCAAAAGTAGCCAACAACAATATGTATATATGTAATTACCGTATTTTTCGACATATCACATGCCATGAGTCGTCCAATCTTTTGAAATCCACGTAGACGGCACAATCTCCACTCATTTGTCGTCTTCAAACTCGAGGAATACGAACTTTTAGCCGAAATAGGATTTTGATTTTCGACCATAACTATCGAAACAAATTTTTTGGTTGGAAATTAAAAATGGAGAAGAGATGATGGAGTTGATGTCACGGCATGGCAAAAAGAATAACTGACTTGAGGTTTGCTTATTAAATCACGAATAGAGAAATGATACTAATTTAGTACTAAATTATTGCAGAATAATCGGTACAAATTTTGTGTGAATATGCTGGCACCTGTTTACTGCATTTTGAGTTTGTACAATTTCCCAGGTACTAATTATGCATGAATTTGGTGCAAGAAATCTCATGAAAATTTAGTGCTAACAAATACGCACTAAATATTCACTTGTTCCTTTGTAATGATTTGCTACTAATTAACTTGTGATAGTTTCGTGGATTTCTTGTGCTAATTTATTAGCAGCACAAAAATTGATACAAATTTTGCACGAATCTTGTACAAATTAATGATTACAACTTTTTATGCACAAAAATTGCATAAACTTGCATTGGGATTCGCAGTAAATTCGCATTGAGGTTGCTTGGGAAGGTCACATTAACAGCATCCTTCGAATAAAGTTACGACCAAGGTTGCCAATCTAAGTAGATGGAAGCTGTTAGGATTTTTTTTTGCAAAATTGCATAATTTTGTAATAATATCATTATTTTATTTATTTTGATCACAAAGACGAATGTATAAAACAAACAAAAACTTCGAAATTTCAAGTTTTCTAAATTTTGACGTGAATACCCTAATTCTTTTCTTGCTTTGTCTTTGCATTTGTTTGTTTTGTTGTAGGCTGGCTAATGCACAAAAAATTAAGGGAGGAGTGGAACTGGTAAAAACTGGTAATTCTTTATCCAGAAAATGAATGGTTTTTCCTTAGGGGAGAAAGTTCTACAAAGCAAATGAATTACTTAGGCAGCTTGAAAAATAAAAGTTTCTTTAAAAGTCACATTTTTTAAACAGATTTCTAAATGAGGATTGTTTTTGTGCATAATTTCTAATGAAACTGCCACAATTTCGTATCAATTTTGTCAGTCGTCCTCGTCTGTACCAAAAAAACATGACCATGAAGTTTGCTGCATTCTACAAAAATAAGACGAATTTTTCTTCATATTTTTCTAAAATGGCTCAATTTCTGCAGAAATTTATTATTAAAAACATTTGCACTAACATTTGTACATACATAATTCACAAATCTTTATATTCCTTCCTATTTTTGAAGTTACTCACACAATTCGCAATATTGCCAAAAATATGTCTCAATTTGTTCTTTTAGCGCAAAAATTGCCAACAACTTTCATTTCCCTCTTAAGCACCACGCACCACACAATATTCTCTCTTCGAGATGCCATTTTCTTTTACTTTCTCTCGCTTTTTGGCGTCTCGTTGTTTGATTTTATTGTTTTATCCCGTCTCTCTCTCTGCTCCTTTACACCTTGGTCTTATACTCGGCTTAATGTCTCAGTCACACCAGATTTGACTCGGGACAGCATTTTTGCTCTCCTCTGTCCTAGAAATATACAAGAAAGAACACACGTAATTTATCTCGGATTTGGTTACTTTCACCCGAATAGAATCAATACAATGGAATAAAAGGGTGGAACGTTTCACAGCTCTGCGTTGGATTTAGCTTTGGCACTAAAAAGACTTTTGTGCTCGGAAAGAAGAAGAAGAAGAAACATGTTTTTCAATAAAATAAGAGGATGAGTATAAGAAGAAGAAGAAGAAGAAGAAGAAATGTTTCGTTCTTTGTTCTGGCTTTTGTTAACATTTTCTCAGCTTTCAACTCTTTCGCGTTGTTAAAGTTCACGATTTATTTAGAGAAGACGACTGGATATGTTGTTGTTCTTGAGAGTTTTAACTGATACATGTGTGTACTTACATGTGTGGGATGGGATGCAGTTGAGAACAAAGAAATAAAGAGGCAACCAAGTTACATAAATAAGTATCGTGGTGCATGTATTATTCTAAATAAATCAAGTGTGGTTAATTTCTCTAAAAAAATGAAGAACTTTTATTCGTAAATTGATTTTCGGTGGGCAGTGAAACGAAATGTGTGAATTTTTCTGGCATAATTCCTCACTATGTAAAAAATAGAAATCCAAAAAAAACAGGTATTACATAAGCTGAGTAGGTCAATAACTAAAATAGAAAAAAATTTAATAATGCTTTTCCTGTCCGTTTGTGGTGTAAAATTTAATTTAAATCCAAACTACGTCCTAATTTTGTGTGTCAAAGTAAACCAAATCTAATTACAAGCTAACCAAAACATCCCCTTAAAAAACTGTAGGAAACCACTTTCTCCCATTTCATGCATCCCGCCTCCATCTTCGTTCGTAACACTGCTTCTGCTGCTTTCTCCCTGTCGGTAAAAGCTGCTGTATTGGATCTCTCGTGACTGAATCCTTGTTCCACTGCACGCGTCTCTTACGTATCCCCTGCAATTATCTCGTTCTCCTTGGCTGACTCTTCTCTCTCGTCCTTCGTCTCAACCCAGAGGAACACAAGAGTTGCAAAAGTTACAAAAAATGGAGTAATAAAATCCTAATGGCATCAGGGATCTTTAAGGATTTCGTGTGTACTTACAATGCTCCAGAGAAAATGTCAGCCAGCCTTCTTCATGCTTCTCGTCACATTTTGTCCCATCATTACTGCTCCCTTGTTAAGAAGGTTAGAAAAATATGTCCCATTTTCCACTTGTTACTACTACCTAATGACATGATTTTTTTCCTAAAAAAAATTGGGGAAAAATACTTATGGAAAATAATTTATTATTAATTTGCACCACCACGCAAAGCACTCCAGTTTTTGGGGGAAAATTTCACTTTTTTTCTTGTACTTCTCTCTCGGAACGAATTAGTATTTCTTGTACAACGTCGCAACCAGACAGGCAAAGTTTTCTCCCTGCTCAAGGAAATGTTGACTCAGCCAAGCGAGCCACATTTGTATCAATTTACTTGTCAGGCTCTTTATTTACTGGGCTTTTCTCCAAAACTTTGCAAAGAAGGGAAAGAAGAAAGTCCGATTATCCTTATTATTATTTTTGGGTGATTACATTTCCGTATATTTTTGAATGGAGAAAGTATCGCGAAGGGGTTTTAATGGAGTCGGTGTATGTGTTTTGGTTGGTGGTGGGGTTATGTAAGTTCATGGTAGTTAGGAGGATGGCCAAAAATGGGGCGAGTAAAAATAATAATGAGAGTATGTATAAGTATAAGTAGTATTTTTTAGTATGTTTTTTTTATTGAGATGAATTATAGTTTAAGGGGGGCATTAATTTTTAAGAAAGTTATATTTGGGAGAAATTTGAGGGAGAATGTAGTATGCATAACTGTGTGACGGCCTTGCTGAGCCAGGGTTCAGGAGAGGTTGGGGAATGTGATGAAAGTGGGTTTAATGTGTGATTTGTTGTAAATTTTGTTTAAATTTTGTTTAAATTTTGTTTAAATTTTGTTTAAATTTTGTGTACTTGTATGACTTTACTATACGAAGTCAAGAAAATACAAATTTTTAATTTAAATTTTCATAAATGTAGATTGGTTGTCCCGGGCGTCTTGGTTAGCAATAATAATTTATTCAGTAATTTGAAAAAAGCGTTTTGGCTTTAAGAAATCAAAAATTTTATCAGTACCTATTCCATTTCAGGCAGTGAGTTAAATGATTTCGAAAAAAATTGCATTAAATTGATATAACTAAATTTGTATATATATCTCAGGAGAAATTCTGCATATGAACCAGTAGGAATTTTCCGTTTGTATTTTACACTATATTTTTCTCGAAAAACTCGAAAAACGAAACACTACTCTAATTTAACATACTCTCATCCTTTTTGGTCTCGTACTACTCAAAACTTTTAATTTTGTGGCGTAGAAAAGCATTGTGAGGATTTTCGCTAGTGAATTAAAATGAAGAAGTTGACTCCCCATCCTTAAAATATTTCCTTCATTCTCAACTCTTCCTTCCCACACCCACACACATTTCCCACGAGTGAAACAAATTAGGCTAAAAGAGAGACGTATAAAGATGAAAGATGAAGAAGTAAGCCCAACACGGCGATTTCAGCGTGTATGGAATAGTGAGAGTAGAAAAGAATAAAAAATTATGCAAATTATGCTAAATACTTGTGGACGTTTCCACTTTTACTTTCCGTTATTAACTTTTCCTCTCTTAAAAATATTCCAGTGTCATCTTCACCATTTAAGGAGGAGGAAAAAACTTTTTATCAACTTTTCAAAATTTTGACAAATTTTTATCGCGAGTGAACATACGATAAGAACGAAAGCTTACGTAACAAATTTTAAGAATCTTTTTGACGATTAATATTTTAAACTCGGAGGGTTCGTACATATTTGGAAAAATTATATGCAAATTATTCCAAGAATATTTCTTGTCTTGTGAGACGGACAAGTTTTGGGAAAACTTTTAAATCTTTGTCACGTCCACAGCCACGTCTGTTCCTATCGTAACTTTGATATCTCTGTAAATGTTCTTGTGTTTCGTGTTCGTCTCGTAGTTTGTTCTGTGCGAGCAATAAAATAAAACGAGAGATGGATGAGAAACGTTATTAAACGAGGACATGAAACCAAACCAAAGTTTCAACCACTTCATCGTAGTTAGCAGCTTGCTTGATTTCTCGGGCAAACTTTCCCGTAAAGTTGGTCGGTCGTGTGGTTTGCTGGTTGACGAAATATGGTCCGTTTTTGACTGGTGAAATCATCTCGGAATCAAGAAAAAAAGTTTTTGTGTGACAATGAAACTACAGCTAAGTTAACAGTGGGGTTGGGTTAGTTTGTCATAGTTTTTCAGGTGGAGGAACGAATGGGATGGCTAGAGTGGGAATTGGGTGGAATATCTAATTGGGGATGCAAATGAGAATAGGAGTTAAATGAGGAATTTGTAACATGAGAAATGTGAAATTGATACAAAGTTAAAATCGGTGTATTGGTTCACTACTTTTTGCGTGTGTAGAATGAGTAAAGTTTAACTGATTAGAGGTGCAGTTCGACGTCAAAAGTGTATTTGTATGTAAAACTGGTACAAAATTGATTAAAAGATTAGTTCCATGTACTTTGTTTGTATATATGATATACAAAGGTCAAATCAGGTCAAATCTACTAGTATATCAATTTTGCAAATTATTGTGAAAGTTTGCATCATGTTGGTTATCATCGAAATTAAATTAGTTAATTGTACCAAACCACCATTTTTAATGATTATTATGTAAACTTGATAAGTAAACCTAGTGAAATATTTGCTTCAACACTGGACACCGGAAATATATGTGCATGACCAAATTCAGAAGAAAAATTCATATGTATTTACAACTGAATTTTAAAATATCACAATATTTACATAATAACGGTGTAATAATAACATACATAAGTTAAATATTTTCCTCAACAATCCGTCAATTAACACATGCAATAAACAGACTTGTTCACAAACTAAAAGATTGATGCACCTTTTCCTAACCAAAAATTGATTTTCCTCTTTCCACCAATCTGACAATATCCACCTTCGACCAAGCAAAACGTCCCGTCCTCCTCTCAAATTCCCTTCTGGTCTTCCTTTTATCATCGCTGTCTTCATTTTATGAATGAACAGATCCCATTCTCGTTCTGGTTTGGAGAAGTAGATTTGTGAAATTGCCCGCAATTTGCACTTGGTAGCACGATTACGATTATTATAGGATCGCTATATGCCTTGTAATGCCATCGAGTCGGGAATATCTAAAAGTTGGTCATACACTTACTCTCCGAGTCTCGAAGGCCTACTCAATCCACATCTTGATGACTTTCTCCATCTCTTATTCTTCTCCAAACGAGTAAGGACGGGGAAGAAAGAAATTGGAGACACGCATGAACACACGAGCATTACAGCGAACATATGCATGCATGATTGGAGTGGAGTTGGACAAAGTGAACATGTTACGGGATAAGGGTTCATTTACTGGAAAAAAGGACTAAAAAACCACTTGGACAGATGAGTCTGAATGTAACTTGATATGTATGGATAAGAAACAGGGCTCGAGGGTTGCTGGCTTTCTTCTCGTTTTTTTTGTGATCTGGGACGCATCGAGGGACATTAGAAGTCCATTGTTTTTTACTAGTTTTAGTCGTTTAAATAAAGGCAAGACGGTTGTTTTCAGTATTAATGCAGTAATTAAAGAGGGATCGTTATTTTGGGGTAGTTTGTAAGTTAAAGTTTTAGGCAGTATTTTCAGTAAGGGAAGAAATAAATTTACCAGGATAAAATAGGGGAACTATTTTTTTCAACTATGTATATTTCTAATACTATTTGTATTTTCTAATTACAGAGAAATAAATTATGAATTGAAATTATGATGAAAACGATTATTCAGTTGTTGAAAGACTGATTAAAATAAAGACGAATAATTATTTACAGGAGAATTTTCGGAGTTTAAGTGTATAAAATTTGTGCAACTTTAATGCACGGATTTGGAAGTTGGAAAATTTATGCATTTCTGCATTTGCATTTTTTAGGTAAATATGAGGTATGAAATAATCATGATTTTGAGTAAAAAGTTATGCCTAGACATAGGCAAAAGCACATACAGATTATTCAAAAACCATCATCGCCTCTCACTTTTGATATATAATATCATGACAATAATTATTTTGCGTATAAATTTAAAACGATTATAATTTTGCTAAAATTGTATACCTAAATGCGAAATATAATTTAAATCTTTCAGGAATAAATGTGCAAGTTTTAAAAATTAATTTCTTAAATTTCTTCCCCGCAGGTGCGTCGACTACCTCAAGATGTTCATCCATGTGGACGAGGTTCGTTCAACTGGGAGCGTCGGGGTCAATGAGAACACGCCCTGGACGACGCTGCTTTGTGGGAGTGCCACAAATCTCTCGTATCATTCGTCATCGAGACACTTTATCATCCAATTTCATTCTGGCCCAAACCTGGCACCACACCCTCAATCACAAGAGCTACACCAGTACTCGTTCTCGGGGCGGTATCGCTTCCTCAATTCGAGTAAGGAAAATCCAAAATTATTTAAATGCCAGATCAGATTTTTTTTTTGAAATTTTCCTTTCGTCCATATTCCCAAACTTGATGATAAAATTGTAATTATCATGTCGGAAAAAGTTATCGATTTGTGTTAAATTATTTTGTTTATGGGTACATCAAAACGCCAGATTTGTAATTTTTGGTAAAATTTATATTATAATGCCGGTCATATCCTTTCCCTATTGTTAAGTTTTTGACCAAACAAAACTAAACCTTGTCCCACTTTCACCTAGTTTTAGCATGGAAGCGATTAAGACTACTTTGTAGGAACCGACTTTCACTCCGACACGTACAATGAGCATGACTCACTTTCTCTCATCAATCTTTCCCCTGATTTAAAAAATGCTGAGCTGACACTTGGTCGGATCAATTCCTCGGAATCCTTCTTTCCCATCCTGCCCTTTACTAAGAAGCGGGGGCTACTTTACCTCAATGTCCTGTCCGTCCGTCCCTCGTGTCCGAAATCTTTGCATATAGCACTACCGCTCCTCATGTACGTCTGTTTAGTGGGATTTATTCCTCCTTATACGTATACCGTTATTCTGTCGTCGTCCGTCCACCAAACGGAAATGAACTCTGGGGTGAGCCTGGTGTTTTCCCAAGTGAAAATAAAATGAATCGACCAAGTCCATTACATTTCGTTACATTTTTTCTGATTTTACTTTCCTCGGTGGATTTGTAAAATGAAATGAAATAAAAAAATTGTGGGCGACTCGGAATCGGAAAGGGATTGAGATGACCGTGATGTGAAATGACGACAATTCAATCTTCTCAAAGCCGCAGCAGCTACATATTCGGGTTAAAGGAAACGAGAAGCTGTGACAGCTGGTGTTTTTCTCGCAGGGGATGTAACTGAACTGATGTAATGATGTAAAGTGAGCTCGAAAAGGGTTTTCGAACGAAAGGAAGGAGTCCGTGTGATTTATGAAAGTGCGCATAGTTCTGTCGACTTGGTTGGGATAATTCGACGATGCGACAAGTTTCAGGGGATTGATCAATCCGATTGTATTGGAAATTTGAATTTTTTCGTTTTTTTTTGGGTACAAATTGTATGTATTTTTGGTAGCAGAGGAGGAGAAAGTAAGGGAGGAAGGTTCGTTTAAATAAATTATAGATTTTATAGCACATTGTTTTAAAAAGCAGATAAGCATTGAACGGTTTCGGATCATATTTTTGATTTATTGACAATCGAAGCGTAAACTGCAATGTCGGCCAAGCAAAAAAATTTGATCAACAGACTAAAAAATCTTCCATCAGGATGTTCATTTTGCTCCTTATTTTCAAATTATGACACATAAATATTTCATGAATAAAGGATGATCGTACCTTAATAACTCTTCAAAATACTCATGAAAAATGCTCATGAAAATCACAAATATATAATTTTTATAATGTATTATTTACGCTACTGGAAATTGATCTGAATTTATTACTGCCCAATTCCAAAGTTACATATCATTTGTATGTATTTTGTATTTTCCAGGTCAATTCACATCAACCGGAAGACTGATGACAGGAACAAAGTGTGATTTTCAGTTCGTAGGTTCGGAGGAGGAAGGCCGGTAAGTTTTATTATCCGGGTTCTTATTCTTCTGAGGAGGGGAGCTTGCGAGGTTGATAATAACAGATCTTGATGCCCTTTGGATATGTGGTAGGGACCCATGAGTGTACTATAACCCTGAAGTGGTTTGACTCCATGGCCCCATCTGCGCCCGCCACACCCACTCAAAAATGCCCAAAAAACGCTTTCACTCCAGTTTTCACTCACTCAAATCCACGCCAAAAATCCAATTTTACTCGGATTTTGAAATTTCTTTCACCATTACACTCCCAGATAGTTGCTTTCTGCAATCCAATATCAAACTCAATTTTGCTGATGACTATTTCGCAGGCATAATTTGCGTTGTTGATTACTACAACAATCCTCATTCCGAATTGCAATTTTTAAAAATACTAAAAATTTCGAAAAAATTGAGTTTGATATTGGATTGCAGAAAGCAACTATCTGGGAGTGTAATGGTGAAAGAAATTTCAAAATCCGAGTAAAATTGGATTTTTGGCGTGGATTTGAATGAGTGAAAACTGGAGTGAAAGCGTTTTTTGGACATTTTTGAGTGGGTGTGGCGGGCGCAAATGGGGCCATGGAGTCAAACCACTTCAGGGTTTTAGTTCACTCATGGGTCCCTACCACATATCCAAAGGGCATCAAGATCTGTTATTATCAACCTCGCAAGCTCCCCTCCTGAGAAATCGCTATTTACAAGAATCAATAAAAGCTGTCTTTTTTATCAAGGTTCTTCTCACCTCATTACCCATCCACGTACCCGTACAATATCAAATGTGCCTACTTTTTTTATGCCAGGTATGCAAAAATACGTTATGTGAACTTACTTATCATTCATTAACTTTCATTAAAATACTGTTTGCAAAGTTTCTTAAATTGTGTTATATCGTATTTTGCGATATCATATCTGCATTAATATTATTTACAAGAATTATTAAAGGGTAGTATAATTTTTAGATTTCGACATCTTGTTAATGGTCATCGATACAAGTATAAAATTCGTGTTAGATTTTAACTTAATTGCCGAATTAAATTTGATTTAAAAAATTGATGAGTATGCAAGCCATCAAATTTATTTTTATTTTTTAAGCTGTAAATATTTCGATCAGAACATACCGTCACCTAAAATACAGAAATACATTCCAGGTGACTACAAGTTACAAAGTAGTCAATAGATAGTAATTCTTAGTTGTATTTCGTATATCTTCAACCTGAGAAGTGTCATAAAAATAGGAATGAAACGGCCTAAAGGTGTGACAACCTTGATTATTTTGGCGATACACATTTCTACCCTTTTTAGACAATGATATTTAATGAATTTATTCAGTAAATCTTCGTTCTGTTCTTAAAAATCCTTATATTTAACCATCAACGTCAATCACAACTCTATTTTTGTCTCAAATTGTATTCAAAACCTGTCCCACTTTTCTTTCCAGCCTGCACAAACGAGTGAGGATCGTCTTTGAGTCAATCTCTCTTCAACCGGGAGAATACAGGTGAGTGCTTTCTCTATGGAGAAAGTATGCCCAAATTTTAAGCCAGACTCCAGCCATCCAACTGCCCATCATATTACAGTCAACCAACCATAATCCCATCTTAAATGTGATGCTTACCCATAAAATTCTCTAGTCTGGAGACAGTTTCAAGTAAAGAAATGTATCAAATTCTTGAGCCGATTAACCCACATTATTATTTAACAGAGTTCGTGCACCTAGAATTTTACCCACTTTTTTTACATTATCATACTTTCCCGTCGTGTTATCAATAATGATTACGTCGGGAAATGTCTCTTGGTTTGGTCGTTTCGGAAAATATACATACACACATTTATTTTATTCAAGTTGTTATTTATAATGACGGAGTGTGTATTATAACGTCGTATCGTGTAGGGTAGAAATGAGTGCATGCATGCGAAATATATGGGGACGAGAGAGGGAGAGAAAGTAGGAAGGAAACCTCATAAATTTTGTGAGATTCTCCTTCCTCTTCGCAGAGTAAGATTCCATCCAAAATTCGAGGAGGTACTTTACCCAAGAGGGTTTGATAGGGTTCGTAAAATTATTAGGTTTAATTTCTTTCAATGCATATTTTACTTTGGTAGGGTTTCGTTAACGTGGTTGGAGTATAAATATCGTCCCAGAAGAGATGTACATAAAGGAAATTATGTAAAATTTTATAGTTAAAATAGAGCACAATTAGTTAAAATGGATAGAAATCATTCGCGTCTACCTAAGATTTAAATTTATTAAAAGTTATTACAAAAAAACAGTAATTTTTATTCAAGTTGACAAAATTTAATCAACTTCTTGCAAAGGTTTTTAATTAATTGAGCTTTCTTAATTAATATTTAGTATCAAAATCCATCTTTATCTTAAATCTTACCTTAAATACATACGATCCACATTTTACTATCACCGTCTGCTAACTGTTCCCAAAATCAGGCCAGAAATTAACTTAAAAACCCAAAAATTTCCTCCTCCTGACATTTTGGAACCCTTCCCTCCCTACATATTGTATTCTAGCGAGGAATGTAGTCTAATAAGAATTACGGCCATTATTACATTATTATTTGAATCTTGTACACTGTGAGATGAGCCATTCTCTTTCCCTCTCCTTTGTACATTCACCCAGTTTGTTTACCAACTTCAAATATGTATTATGCTATGCGAAGCACGAGGAAATTAATTCATTCAGGAAATTCATTGGGTCATTAATAAATAAATCTGGATGAGATGAGAAATTGAATTGGAGCAAATATTTACCGCCTGAGAAAGCCATTCTGTGTCGCCCAAACACAAATCTAATATAATATTAAGTAACCCAGCTTCAGGATTATTATTTATTTCGCAAGACGCAAAACTCGTCACGATTTGAATTCGGGATAAATGGTAATTTGAACGATACGTTGGGAGATTTTGAGTCTGAAAATCGCCATCCCATTGTTCCAAATTCTTGGCGAGTGTTCTCCTCCTTCGTATATATTTCCACTTTCTCCTTCTTCTCATGCACAATTCCACTCTAATGGGCACAATAACCCGGATTACGTTATAGTTGTCACCCGACCCTAACTGTCAACCTTAATGGAATTACAGTCTCGTTTTCGTCTACGTATTGTTGGAATCACTTCAATGTTTCGGTTCTTCTTCTACCTTCGAGCAGTGGCCGCGGAAGGTGTGGGGACATTAACATTGTAGGATAGGGGAGGGAGAGATTTATAACATGGGAAGATACATTGAATAACCATTGTCCCTCTGTCCCCACGCTTCCGCAGCCCCTGTTTTCGAGCTGGGTGCAGAATTTCGCCGGGTAGAAAGTACTTTACTAGGACTAGGACGACTTATAAAATGCAAACTCCTATTCAATTTTAGTCCCGGTTTTGAATATGCGCGGGTAATAAGATAAGTCGATTTCGTGATCGTGATTGTGCATATCTAAGGATGAGATATTGTTTCGCTCGGCGGGTGAGAAAGTGGAATACATTACGTTACTTACTTTAGTTATGGGCGAATCCGCCATTTTCTTATCGTGAGCCTGAATGACAAGCTATTATTCCCGGCTGAATTATTATGATGGATTTTATCCCCATATTTTGCTGCGCCGGGCTGGTGAAGTTAATTGCCCCTTATTCTTGCGAATATTTGGCAAAGTCTGGAATAGAGGCGAGGAGAGGAGAAAGTTGGAGAAAGTCATAATTTCAGAATGATGAGGATGGATTAATTACCGCAGTAAATTTTAATTATGGTTGGGATTGTTATTTTGAGTTGGTTGGTTGGTTTGGTAAACATTGTGGGTTTTTGGGATAAGAAGTAAATTGTGTTTGACTTTTGTGGTTCCACTATTTTAGTTGCCTCAACAAGACGGACGTGCTTCGAGTGATTGATGGATCAAATCCCAACTCACCAATTATCGCGTTAATATGCAATGAGGAAAAGGACTACGAGGTGGGTGGGAGAAAGAGAAGGAGAGATGATAATCGTGTTTTTTTTGCAACCAGTGTTTCGTTAGAGAAAGCAGTCAGTTTTATGCGAAAAAAGTTCTACAACCTTTTTCATTGGTGTGATTCGCCTCGATCTACAGTACAACAAATTTTTAAATATTTACAAATAATTTTATCTGTCGTCACAATCCAAAACAAATGGAAATTAAGTAAACAAAACTGGGTTAGATTTCATGGGAAACTTATCTATTATCAAAAAAACAGTCAGTTTTATGAAAAAAATAAGTAAATTCTTTCCTACAAACTTGTTTATGTTTTACTAAAATATTAAAAAGAGTATTTTAATCTACAGTACAAAAAAGTTTGAAAGTTTTACAAATAATTTGATCTGGCGTCAGAATACTACAAAATGACATTTAATTAAACAAGTCATTTAATTTTACTTAAAATGACAATTAAATAACAACGAAACTAGGTTCTATGTGCAATTAACGTATCTATGTTACTCTCTGTCTTCAAATTGCGACATTTTTTTACACTACGAAACACTGTTTGCGTTTTTATGTATATGCATATGCATATCAACTTGGTGGTTTGTCATGCTAAATAATTAATGCATACATATATACGATGACTGCATAGATCCTTTCGTCCGGTCCGCATCTGCAGGTTGAATTTCTGGCAAACTCGGACTCTCCAGGGACCGGATTTCGTGCAAAATATCAATATGTTCAGGTGCAATTGGACAGTGCGTTGGACAACACGAGACTTCCGCCAGGTATGATATGACGACTATGCTACTCTATTTGCTAATAATTACTTACTTGGAGGGCATAATTAGTCTGAATTTCAACACTGTTTACTATTATTACTTAATTATGGCCAAGGTGATTGATGTTGATTGAGTGAGTGAGTAGGCTTTTAGGGATAACTTAGAAATGTTTAAATATACATAACACAATTTTTGTGTGTATATTTTGTGCTACGTGTTGCTGCCAAGAATAATTTTATTGAATTTTGAGAATACATTTTTTTAAAGAGATAAATAATTTTATGTCGAGTTTCTTAGTTTAGAGTTTGTTTTGGACAATTTTGATTAAATTTTCTAGACAATGACCACCTCAAAAAATCAAGAGTAGAATATATAACGGAATTTCCCTCATCAAATCACAAAGTCACCCCACTTTCTCTTTTACCTTGACTACTTTATTTCCTTAATCTACTTTGCATTCATTTAATTCAACGGATTAATTGTGTTAGGCCACATTAAGCTACAGGGCACGTATTTAGATCTGAACGGATGCTTGTACACCAAGACCAATTTCTTGTCCTACTTGAGCATATTGAAAAATTATCATTCTTCTTAGCACGTCTTATGTAAATCAGATTCAACAACCGCATCATTAAGTAGCAGGAGCTACTCTGTGGGAACGTTTTGTCCATCCGTCTGTCCGTCCATGGGAAAGATAACTCCCGAAGAAGCAACATTTTTCAGTAGTATTTTTTACAAAAGACTTGAAAAGTGAACTACAATTCGTAAATGGGCCCTTCAAAATATAGAATTCATAATTTTAATTGACAGTGTTAAATGTTTGTTGGATTGTACTACGGCTAGTTTCTTATATCTGCTTCCTCGAGTCAATTAAATGAAGGGAAAGCACAGAAAATTAGGATTTTACTGCGCACGTACCCAATATTTGCCTAACTAATTAAAGCAACCTTAATTTACTTGAATGCAATTACAACATTCCTGGCTAGAATATGTTATGTTACGTATTCATTATTTAGCAGAACACAGCCCATAATTTTATACGAGATCTGCAAATATTTAGAATTTGCCAAATATGTGCCACGATAGGAATTTGCAATTTTATGTAATCATCACTCCTTTGTATATATTTCTCCATTTCGAGAAGATCAACTTGTAAAAAATTTTATGATTTTCCCAAAACCCAATTCATTCCATAACTCAGCACAAATTCCAATCTTCTCGACACCACCATTTTTATTTACTACGTACCTAAATGTGTACCTTGTCTTTTTTTCAGAAGTACTCAACGGTCAAGACGGCCTCCCACAAGCCTCCACCTTAGGTAATCAATTCAGTCTCACTTTTCAGTCCCATATTATTAAAAAATACGTGTCATTTCTGATTTTTTATGTACCCAGTTTACGAACTCGCTTTCTTTACGGGCGCCTTTAAAATAAATTTTTGTTCCATCATAACTCTCCCTTTACGCGGCACACTTTTTAATCTAGACTTTCAAAATTCTCACGATATCATCGTAAAACAGTGTGAACAACAGGGAATGGTCACCCTCCAAAATTTTGCGACAAACAAAATTGTACGAAAGTATCACGAGATTTACAACTTTGGTCTGAAAATTCCTCCTCGACGGTACGACCCGAGACTTGATATTGTTTCAGCCAAGACTTGATTCAATTCATTCCTTAGTTTAGTTTGGTCTTCATAATATTTTATACTTGGTTGAGTTTTCCCCTGGGAAGGAATTTCAGGCCAGCGTGCGGTAATTGGTAGCAGATTTCAAGTCGGGGACATGTCGACTTTCACCAAAGGACATGCATGCGAGCGACTTTATGCCTGCACATGGGCGACCCGTTAATATAATTCGGTGGAACGCATATTTTACGGTGTGAGTGGTTTTGTGGAGGGTAATTTGTACGCATGTAAATTTTTGGGAGGAATTTTGATAATTTTAAATAGTAAAATTTTAGTAAAATTTTTAAATTTGTTGGTTAAAATTTGGAGAAGTTAGATAATTTTGTATAAAAGTCGGTGTTAAAATTTTTGACAAATTATAAATATCATGAGTTTGACGACGATGACGGTTTTATACAATTTTTGTTTATTAAAATGATACTTCAAGATTATTTACGCTTGTAAACTTTTTGATGAAAATGTACTACAAATTGGAAATCTTTTGTCTATTTGAAAAAATAATAGGAGAAAAAATTTCAAAATTTTATAAAGTTATCATAATTTTTAGTTTCTTACAATTTTTACTTCGAATATTAACATTTTGTTTCTGACGATTACCCCAGTTCTGCCGAGATTTAACGATTTAAAAAAATCTTTTTTTTTAGATTTTGACTCATGCACATTTTTTACTTCAAATTTTGTTTTAAATTTTAACACCATCCCTTCTCGATAAAAAATACGAAATAAATTTACAATAAAATTATTATTTCATTAAAAAAAATAAATCCAAAAAACTTGCCACATATATTCCACCGTCAATAATTTTTTTCTCATTTTTTCTCAACTTATCGGCCGATAAATACGTGGGATCAAACGCAGTCCACTTTTTTCCCCCTGTATCCGAATGAAATGGAGCATGTCCATCCAAACTATGTTACGTCCCATGGGCCCAGCACGTCAACTCAAACCCTCTCCTTGTTTGTAATGCCCTTTGAAGTTTTCACTTTCGCTTTCACCCACAGCTTTCTCCTCCATCCATAACTTTACTTCCTCCTCTTTTCACGTTACACTTTAAAAATATTCGCAAACTCAGCAAAAGTTTTTAGACAATTTAATCATCATCCCATCCCCACCTTGCTCAGAGATACATGCTCAAAACCATCCCTCGAACGAAAGTAAACCATCCACTCGAAAATGAAATGAAGTAACGAAAGTGAAAGTGATGTTGTTGATGCTGTTTATTTGACTCGTCGTGTTCATGAAATATGAAAAAGCCAAGAAAGTTGTGAAGGTAAATTTCTGAGATAAGCTGAGGAGCTTTGTTTGTCAAAATGTGTAACACTTGTGCCCTAAGGTTTTATTAAATTTGAAAAAGTGAAAGTAAAAATGGGCACGAGGAGGAATTGGTATAGCAGAATTTTATCATAAAAATGGACATGTTTTAAAATTATGTGATACGTTTTTATTACGAACGGGTCATGGTTTGTTGGCAAGTTGAAAATGGTACTTGTTACTGATGAAATACGAGGAATTTTACTACCATATTTTTAAGTGTGAGTTGGTCATGTCATCACTTTTTGTATATAAATTTTTAATTTATTTTTCTCTCCAGTTCCTCAATGCAACCAGGTCATTTCGAGTGATGCTGGGCGAAATGGATCATTTTCATCGCCGAATTATCCCCACCACTACACGCCCAAGACGGAGTGTCGCTACCTTTTCATTGGTCATGGGAGGGAGCGAGTGCAAATTCTATTTACGGATTTTAGTCTGTTTCATCCCATCGAGAAGGGTGGGCCTGATGCTGAAGCAGAGCCGACCAGTAGTACGGGTGGGTATAACTATCAAACCGCGTATGGTGCTTATCCCGGCGGAGAGTCGCAGACTTTGTTGGCCGTGCATCGATATGTGAATGAGGTTCGGATCAATGATAAGAAGAAGAGGTGAGTGAGTTAATGTAATTTTGTAAAAGTTATGGGTACAGAAATTCTATGCTAGGGATAAACAAGACCTATGTATAAATACTACTTGGTGGGATTATTCTTTGAAAATTCAAATTTGGGACTTAAACTTATACAAATCGTAATTAACAAGCAAACAAAAAATTCAAAAATTAAGACATATCCAACAAATTAATCATTTGTGTCCATATTAACACTATTATTTCTTGTAATCAGTTAATTAATTGCATAAAAACCCTATTTGCATATTAAATTGAAGAGAATTGCAATATGCAACTTTTCCCAAATTGAATTCCCAGGTGGGGAAAGTTAGTGATCCTCGGGTATATATTTAATGTCCCCAAAATTATGCACTCTTCTCTCCTGCTCGCAATAATTAATAGATTTTTTCACCCCTTTTTTAAAAACAATAATGTACAAGTTTTTGAAGTGGGGCATACACAAAGGAGAAAGTTTGTCACCGAGTAAGTGCATTATAACCCAGAGTGAGAGTAGTAAATAGAGTGAATTAGGGAGTTCTTACACAAACAAAACCACGGAGATGAGGTTGTCATTCTGTATCGCTTTTCCGCTCCTAAATAACCTTCCCTTTCGTCCATCTAGCTCGATCCCGAGTTGTGTCTGTTTTCCTAATGAAAGGAAATTAGCTGCGACACTGGCAACCAAGTTTGGGACGTGTACGGTAATACAGAATCGTAAGTACTTGTCAGGTTGGGGATTACGTTGTGTAACCAGCAAGTTGAGAATTAGGGAGCGAAGATGTCTACACATCGTATTCTTCTTCACGTAATGATGTTGTTGAATGTAATTCAATATAATTGTTTTCCCACTGAATTTGATTATTTGTGGGAGAAGGACTGATTCCTCTTGGCTTGTCAATTAGGGAACAAAGCTGATTTTATTTTATTTTAAAATAAATGGGATTTTAGCCAATTTAAAAAATATTTAATTCAAGAGTTAGTAGAAAACCTAGTTATTTATGAATGTATGGAGCCCTGGAAAATAAATTTTTTTTACGGAAAAAGTGGTAGAGGGAGATATTTGTTCAAAGATTTCAATATTTTTTCCCACTCGGAACTAAAAGTGGCACTTCATGCATCCTTCCAATCGAAAAGTCGATGATGCTGATCTCTTTTCAAAAGTTGAGTGCATGTATTTCCTCCAAAAGTATTGATGGAGTCTAAAACATCGAGCCCAAAAAAATCCAGACCTTGCAACTTCCTTACTTCAACTTTGGGGAAAGTTGAGTCTAATCGTATCCAGAGTGCATTGCAGGTGTGACAGGCAGGCATTCGTTTGACATCATGATTCCCGTGTATGTATGTGATGACGATGCGATAGTGGTGGTGGAAGTGTATGTGTGCATTTTATCTGTCGGAATTTTATCTGCTTCTGTAAACAGGACACGAATTGTACATTTTCTGTAGTGAAGTCACATCATGATTTCACTACACTAGACTAAACTACATACTTGTGACTCGCTTTCTCAATTTCCAAGTATGTCCGTATTGAGTATTGAACGGGTTTGGGAAAAAAAATCTAAGGACTTGGTTTTTCATAAAATTTTGGAAATTTATTTATTCTTTGTCTTTAACAGGAAATGTCTCACTGCGGACACGCTATCCGTTTGGATCTACTCGGATGGTCAGTTGGAGAAAGTTGTGACCTTTTGCGGTCACAAGTTACCCCCACCCATCATGTCGAATGGGCACAGACTAACGCTGGAGTTCAAAGGGGCAAGCAACGCCCATTTTTCGAGAGGGTTTCACGCCAACTACGCTTTTTTGGAAGGTTAGCTATATTAAAATTTAGTACAGATTACATAAATACCATTAGCGGGTGGTATGGTACATTACTATTAAAATAAGATCTTATGAAAATCAGCATGGTCATCCAGATTAACAAAACACAATATTTCATACAGATTAACTAAACACAATATTTCATACTGTTTTTCAGACTATGGTATAACATCTGGTCGTCAACTTCGCGACTATCCCTGTGGTTTTATGTAAATAACATATACATATACATAACAATACATGCATGCATATTATGTAACATTACTATTAATAATGACAGGTACAATTCCACCGAAGTGTCGAGTGGAACTTTCACATCTCCAAATTACCCCGGAATTTATCCAAGGGACACGGAATGTCACTACTTCTTCTATGGAGCATATGACCACCATGTTGTCCTGACTTTCTCCTACTTTCATATCGAAGGGATACGACCGTGAGTGCTGTAACATTTAATCTTTCATCATTAATTTCTAATTTCTTAAATGACGCCATCATGTCACACGTTGTTTCTAGTTGTCACGAATCGACGAAATCGGACTACCTTGAATTCTCTAATTACATGCCGGTGGATACGTCATATGGACGAAAGTGTGGCGTCGGCTTGTCCACTAAACCATTTCGTCTCATCAGTGAGGCCCACTTCTTCCGCGTAACGTTTCGGTCAAACGACGAGTTTGATGGGGGAGGATTTTTTGCCAGTTTTCACTTTACGGCACAACCAAAAGAAGACTTGATCGCTACACATGACCATTCCAGCATCCGTCTCATCCTCCCAGGGGACGAGGTCAACTTGGGGAATGGAGACGATGAATTGTTTGGGAAAGGCGGGGGTGGAGTGACAAACACGAGGTCGGGTGGGCGAATGACTTCCGGTGAGAAAAAAAATTTGGTGGCTATAAAGTCAATAATTATTTTGTCCGAAATTAACGTGACGACGAGACTAACGTTAAAGATTAATTGATCGTGTAGTAAACTCTAGTCTTGATTTATCCTTGTAATCCAAATTATGCACAATTTTGCGAACAATTTTTTTTACATTTCATATATTCTGCAAAATGACCTTCAATTATTCTCAGACATACAGACACAACCATAAGGTCATTTTTTGTCTAGGAAAATAAAATATTCCCTCAAATCTTCACACACACATGCAAACATCCATACATAAATATGGCATACCTACCATTTTGCCTCTGCCCACTTGAATTTCCATTCTTACAAATATTTACACTCTGCTGTCTAACAGCAAATTCCTTCAAATTTACTCACTCCTTCTTTCTTCTCCCCCGTCGCAACCTGCACCTTTCTCTCTTTGTAGTTTATAAAAGTTTAAAAAGTTTTTAAAAACGGTTCTCTTGTCTCTGCAGGCCCGCAGCTACTCCTTGAACGACTCCTACTCCTCTTCTACTTTTTCCGTCTCCCAGCCCAATAAAATGGAAAAAGCTACCAACCAAACAAACTTTCTCCCATCGGACTGGAACGAATTCCTTTGACCTGAAAAAATATACTTTTTTACGTTTGAAAAGTATTTATTTTGATTTAATTAGAGAAATAAACTTACTCACCTCCTTTCTTCTTTACTCGAACAGTTAAAAAATATTTACTCCATTTTAAGGAATGTATAATTTTCTATGAGTGAAATAAATAAATAAATGAATAAATAGTGAAATACATAACTGTTTTCTTTTTTCTCTGGAAAACCGTGTTGCTTTTTTCTTACTGGACACACACACCTAACCCACTTTTCTACGTATGTAAGTTAGTTGTGAGCCTGCAGTGGAGAGTGGTGGGATAGTTTCTTCTTTATTAAGTAGCTTCAGCTACTTTATGTGAAGACTTTGTCTGTCTGTCTGTCTGTCTGTCTGTCTGTCTGTCTGTCTGTCTGTCCGTCTGTCTGTCAGCAGGATAACGGGAGAACGGATAAAGATAATCGAAATCGGTTTTCGCCATCATACATAATACCCCAGGGGGAGGATCCTATCAACTTTTGGGTGCAACCGGACCACACCCCCGGTCGCCAGGGGGTGTGGTCGGGGCAAAATGAGATTTTTAGTGCAATTGAATCTATGGATGAAATGGAGTGAAATTTTGAGTTCCCCCGTTGTGCCACACCCCCCGGGCGCCAGGGGCTGTGGTCGGGGCAAAATGAGATTTTTGAAAAAATTGAATGCATAGATGAAATACAGTAGAATAAAGTGCTCCCGAGTTGTGCCACACCCCCTCGTCACTAGGGGGTGTGGTCGGGGCAAAATGAGATTTTTGAAAAAATTGAATGTATAGATGAAATACAGTAAAATCAAGTGTTCCCGCGATGTCGTGGGAGTGCTTGGAGTGAAGTAGTCTGAAGCTACTTCCGTATGCGCGTTTGCGACGGTTTATTGAATTTATGGCGATTGAATTTGGGACCTTGCTTACTCAGCCGGATAACGAAATAGGGACAGAAAAACTGTAACAAATCCCACGACAAGGAGGAAGCAAAAGGGTGGGTGAGGTTTTCTAGATTCGAATCTTACGTATTGTAGTGAGGGCTCTTCTGTGGTCTGGTCTGGTCTGTCGAGTCTAACTAACTGAAAATAAAGATCAAGAAAGAATGCCAGCGAGAAAACCGTGTAACGAGAGGAGAGAGGCCAAACCAGGAAAAAAAGCTGTGGTGGAAAATGGAAAGATCGTATTAAGGGTCAAACCCAACACGATTGAAAGTCTCGTACATGCAGCGACACGGGTCACATTTTCTTGTTAGGAAAAAAGTGAGATTTGTGGTCGGGTTGTGGTTTGACTTTTAAATGGTTGGGTTACATAAGGAAATTGCATCTTTTTCCAGTAAAATTGCAATTTAAGGAACTGCAGGTTTGTAATAATTATTGCAATATTTTTTGGCGACATCACCAATTTATTCAGTTTTACTTAGCTCGTTGCTTACGTACGGGTTCTTTAGTTGGGTGCATTTCTCGTCCTCGTCCTCCTCCTCTCAGATGCAGTAAAGTGGCTTGACTTCACTTCTTGGTAGGTTGACTCTGTAATACTAGTGGTAGTAATGGCTGTAAATGGCCTCTTTATGTTCCACTATTTTCTCCAGTCGTGTCCATGTCCTTGTTCTCAAGAAGTCGGGTGAAAGGAGAAGAAGAACGAGGTGAGTGAGTTGCACCCGGTACGAGGCGAGGAATAAGTGCCGGGGGAGATTTCCGTCCAAAAACCACTACCCGAGAAAGAAGAAGACCGTTGTTCAAGGCGAATTTCGCCAAAGTCAGTGTATGTAAGGTGAGATGAAATGAGGTTTGGTCGAGTTAAACTTGACGGCCACTCTCAGTATGTACACACTTTATGGAAACAAGTAGTAGTAGCAGAACAATAAGGCTACATCAAGTTCCTTGACACGTTATGGATTCAAATATTAAACTTACTTGAGTGGCGTCATGTGTTCAAACAACCGCAAAACGAAATTCTCCTCTTCGACCCGGTTTAACACGATTTTAAGACAAAGTTTGATTTTCTCTGCATGAATTTAGTCCAATCATGACGCATGTATTGGGGTGATGATGCATTACTGTCGGAACGAAACCTCAAGCAAATACTATTTTTATTTCATTTCATCGCCCCCAAAACATTTCGATTTTTGGCCAAATGCCGAAAATCATGGAAAGATTGAAGCCAATCGACTAAAGTGCTTTCCTTCCTGGAAAGAAAGTTCTGAATGAATGCATTCTTCTTCTTCACTCTTGTTCATTTAGATGTGGTTAACACGCAAAGGAAAATAAGATCCGGAATTTTTTTTGCTTTCATTAAAACTTGTTTTGTTCCCAGTTTTGAATAAGTTTTATCGAAACATTTCCATAACTTGGGTATATATGTATGCCTACATATATGTACCTACGTTGGCTCGATTTTTCCGTATAAAAATCTAGGTTGGCCAAAAACCAAGTAGTATCGTGTACGTACGTAGGGCAAGATGTGGATCAGAAAGATCCAGTATATTGCTTGCTTTGGATTTTCTTCTCTCTGGGTTGAATGGACCTCGACGTGGACGTGGATAAAATTGGGTTGTGCCAAACAGGGTTCTCACAACAAATTGTGTATTTGTTTAATGAAGTGAAATTGTGCAAATGCGTTTTTTGTGCTATAGCACGAAACGATTTGATAAGTTTTTTTTTGTATTTTACTGCATTTGTGTTTATGCGTAATATTTATTATGCAGTCGTGCATCATTTTTGCAAGATTTTGTTGATTAGACCCAGAGACTGGTCAATCCCGGATTAAGGATTGGGGATTGAGATTAGGATTGGGGATTAATTAATCCTCAATCTCAATCTTTAATCCCAAGTTCTAGAATTTTAATCCTTAATCCCTAATCCCCAATCCCTCTATGCCAAGTTTAATCCTAAAGTGGGATTAGAATGGGATTAAAATGGGATTAAATTTGCAATGAATGAAAAATCGAAAAGCTAACTTCTCTTAAGATCGCTCCCTTTTCAAGAATTGATTGCATTTCGTTCATTTTTATCACATATTTAAAAATACTGCACATCATTTTGCAAAACTACTCATAACGTGGTATCCTCAATGCACAATTTTCAACATTGGTGTGAGCAATGTCAGTGCACTGCTCAAATTCTGGTCAAAGTTTTCCGTTAAAAATAGTACCTAGAGTAAAATTAGCATTTTTCCCGTATATAATTTTTAGTGCAAAAAATATTCAATTGCCATTTAAAAATTTTATTCCTAAACGATCTAATTTTACATGTGAAATGTTCAAAATATTTCTTGGTCCGAAGTTCAGATTCATTTAATTAATTTAAAAATCTGGCATAATGAAATTTAATGCAAACAATTAATCCAGGACTAAATTAATTCCCAATCCCAGAAAACTACCCAAAATTTAATCCCGAATTAATCCCAATCCCAGATTGAATTCAATCCCTAATCCCAATCCTTAATCCCACAATTTTAAAATTAATCCCTAATCCTCAATCTCAATCCCAAGATTTTAAAATTTAATCCTCAATCTCAATCCTTAATCCCGATATCTTTAATCCGCCAGTCTCTGATTAGACCTAATTTCAATGTTCTTAGTGTACTATTTATCATCTACATGCATATGTCTACATGTAAAATATCACATTAAAAGCACTACCAAGTAGAAATTCTGAAAATCACTCCCACATTTTGAGAACCCTGCATAAGTGCTTCTTTTCTGCAGTCCAGGATGGCATGAAATCCTCGTATTTAGTTCAGCAGCCCACTTTAGGCCTTTATTTCCCGGAAGGAGAGTGGACTTTCATCTTGATCGGGTAGTGGTGGATGTGGATGTGAAAGATTGTTCCTTCCAACAACTACAACTTTTATTTATGGGATGAAGCCAAACCCATATGAAGTAGAAATTTGGTAAGGAAAGGAGTCTGGGGTAGAGGATGAGTGCTAAAATGTCGTGGTGGGTTTTGGCTGAATAATGTCTTCCATTGACGATATGGATCCTCTTTTTGGTTTAGAATCGTTTATAATTTGTGTCGGACAAGGTCATAGTCTAATTCGGAGGGGGAATAAAATATTGCAAAAATTGGGTGAGCAAAGTGCCGAATTAGGATTTTTTGAGATATATAAAAAAATTCAAGTGATTGTTAGGTATTGGTTGGACTCGGTGTTCAGTTTCAGGTAAAGTTCTTACGAATGAAAAATTATCGCAAAATTGTATTTATTTATTATCCACCTCCAACACTAATCTACCATAAAATTTTGCATAAACAAAAAAATAGGAGCCACTTAAGTAGGAAGGGATTTTCTATACCAAAACTGTCATAAATTCCTTTCTGTAAATATGTTATGGCATCGATATTTATTAAAGGTGTCAAAATTTCATCCATTTTACTTTGCCCTTTTCAACCCATATTACGCAATACATGTCAATTGTCTCTAATAACCCAAACTTTCTCGTATCAAAAACTTGTCGAAAAAACAATATTTCTCCGAATGACTTGGCTCCCCACTACTAAACTAAAATACCTTCAAGCCCAGACCAAATGTCACCACGTGTCACGACCAAACACCAGAAGTCAAGTGGTCATTTCCTTCCCACGATCCAAACAATGTTTGTTGGTGAAGTAAAACTATGACCATTTTTTTACCCTGGGAATAGTTTTTTTAAATCCAAGCGTCTCAATATTTTCTGGGAAGAAATGGCGACATTTTTTCTTTCTTCTTTGCCATTCGAATAGGGGAAAACTATTACTTTAAAAGGTTTATTGGGCAAAGTAAACTAAAGTCAAAGTCAAAGCGAATCAATTATTTTGAACGGTTCACACAACTCACAGCCAGCTTGACAAATGAAATGATGGATAAAGACATCAAGGCGAAAAGTTGGAGAACAAAGGGAGAAATCCAGGCAGAAAAGAAAGTCAAAGTCAAGTAGGTAAGATTTTCTTATATGGCGAAAGTCATGTGGCTACCAGACCACTCAAGTAAAGTCACTGCATGGGAGAGAAGAAAATGTAAAAATTTCTGATGGAAAGAAAAATAGAATAAAATAGAGTGAAATTCTTGTGAAAGGAAATGAACTCACAAAAAGGATCTCGAGGGGAATTTAACAATGAAGAAAAGTTGATATTCCAGGAACTAAATATCTATATGTAGTGGAGGAGGAGTGGGTGGGAAAGTTGGAGTTTATGGAAATTTTGAGACTATAAATGATAATTTTATATATTTTTTATAAAATGTGCTAAAATTGATATCGATTGGGTTATGGGATTTATTTAGGTGCGGAATATTATTTCACCCAATTAACTAGGTTATCGGTATTTATCGTAAATTGAAAATAATTATGTTTTTATAACTTTCTACCTAGCTATATATCAAATTCCACCATTTGCATGTGCAAGTTTAATTTAATTTATGTAAATATTCACGTTGTAATATTTCAATGCCGATGATGATTTTAATGATTTACTATTTTTAGAAAATCATAGGTGATCAGGCGACGGAAAACAACATTTTCTAAATCATTGTTTAGAAAATGTAGCAGCTATTGAATTTATCTACTTACGTTATTTGCACTTTATTTTCATCAAGAATAACATGATACCATTTTTGCACAGTTTGTCATTATTGTGTCATCATCACGTCATTCATGTTACGAGTATTTTTTGTCCGAAGCCATGCAACATTCAAACCTGTTCCGGTTTTTTTGTCTCACTTTCTCCCCTTTCGCCAACTTTATTTCTATATGTCTGCCTGCACTGTCCCTGCTGCTACTGATCTGCTCCTTGATACACGTCATGTCATGTCGCAGTTTTACTGATCTTTCTCCTTTTCAGAGGATGACACGAATGGAAATGTCTGCCTTTTTCAGCGATGGATGGAACGGTTTTGCAACGTCGGATCGGCGGACGCAAAAAATATTGGGCTTCGTATATATTTGCTTTTGTCACCACTGCACTGAGACCGAATTTTCCCTGGTGTGCTGTTTATCGCAAATTTCGAATGTAAAAAATTTGCAATGTAGGGAATAAACCTGTCTGGAAAAAATTGTTGCGAAATTTTTCCTTCGTCGTGTATTCAGCTCAATTTATATTGACAAATAGGGTAAGTCCAAAAAAAATTCATCCACACGACTAATGCTGTTTATCGCAAATTTCGAATAAAAAATGGCAATGTTGGAAAATACATAAACCTGTCTTGAAAAAAATTTTGCTAAATCTTCCCGTAACTCAATTTATATTGACAAATTGGGGACAAAGTCCAAAAAAAATCATCCACACCACTAATTAAGACTCGATTTGTTTTATCCATCGAAATAAAATGACCATTTATCTCGCCTCGACCGACAGATGTACATCTCTCGCCGTAAATAAGTCTCCCAGCTCCGCCTCTCAAAACAGTTTTATATACCTGACCGAGGACAACATTGGTTGGTGGAAAGTTCCGTTGGAAATCTTTGTTTAGTTCTCAGTTCGCTTTTCAACTCTAGTCTGGCTGCGAGGTCGATTTACTTTCACTTTTCTTTATTTACCGTGTCCAATATGTAGCAGGTCGGGTGGAATGGAAACTGGGTAAAGGAAAAGAGGACGAACTGTAGAGAAAGTAGTGACAAGTGACTAATTGAAGCAAGGCAGGCTCCATTAAGGCTTTGTCCCTGTCGTTTTCATTTTCCAACTCCACGTCCGATATCCATTTATTTACTCGAGGTTAAATACAGGGATCTTACTCGTATGTCCTAAATTTAATTTCGATGAGAATAATTGACAAACAGGACTTAATTATTGTAGGGATTTGTGATCAAAGTCATGCCATTCTCGTTAGAGGAGAGAGATAGTGATGTAAATTTTAAAATGTAAAATTACAAGAATTTTGTGTGTAACATTCTATGAATTCTATTGACAATGGAGGCCTCCCAAAGTACACAGATTTGGATCAAACTAGGGTAAATCAATTGATATGAAATTTGCGAAAGATGCCATGTGCCAATGTTCAGGTTTGGCGAAATATGTACCTCCTAACACAATACAGTTATTAAAATTAACGCAAATAATCTTAAACGACGCAAAACTTGTACTTTTTAAATCCCTATCCAAAACCATGTCAAACTTTCTCCTCGTCCCACTTTTCCCCAAATGCATATCTCACACTCACTCACTCACATTACATTCACTTTCCCCGCATGAATGACGGTGGGTTCTCGTCGCATCCGTGTTTTCTCTGAAAATAAAACGCGTGTAACGGTTTCCTTTCATACAATCTCTCAAATTTCCATTCTCTCTCGCGTTTCTCGTAATTTGATACAGTTTTACTTTTAGCAGGTCCATTTCCACAAACCTTGACGAATTCTAGGACGACGGACGAGCAGATGTGGATGAGAGCCGGCTACTCATATCGATCTTTTATCTTTTTCCTTCTCTATCTCTTTCACCGAATTTATGTAGTAACTTGCTGCTAAATCGTGCCAGTAATTTGTAGCAGTTTGTGTACAATTTCATATCCATCCATCGCTCGTACGTATGTACGTAGGTTCGGAGGCTTGTTACGTCGTTGTTTATCCAACACGGCGAGATGACGACGACGACGACAACGACCTGCCTTGGCTTGGTTGGTACAGTTTGTGTCGAATGTGCAGAAATAAAATGTAAATGTAATCCCATTTATTTTGTTTGGCTAGAAATACTTGGTTGTAGAGTTTTTAGATGGATAGAGGCAGCAGATAGAATGGAGAGTTGAGTTAAAGGCTAACTCGCTCCTCCGTCCTGTCCAGGAAGTAGAGAATTTATTTGCACACATTTGAATAGCAAATTCCATTTTTTGATTAGTTTCGCTTCAACAAGATACCACTCTTGGTGGGTGGGTGGGGGTGAGGACGGCGTGTTGCTGATTTGACGGGATGTATGTGTATGTAGGGTTTTAGGGAGTAGGAAGTATATGATTTTGCAATTATTCTTTTTTTGCACGTATTTATGCATATAGATGCCAATTTGACTACTAGTTTTGAGGAAGAGACGATGGTAGGTTGAAGTCTTTTAGAAGAAATATGTAAGTAGTACAAATCATGTATGAAAATCATATTTAGAACGGAAATTTAGCAAATTTTGGAACCTTATGTCTGGTCTGGGAATATAGAATGGAACAGATACATAATAGTATGTACATAAATATATACGTATATCACCTCTGAAGTGATCATACTTTTCTTGCCATCAAACCCACTCACACTTTGATAAACAATGAGACAATACAATTATGCCTCATATTTACAAGTGTAAAAAAGCTCCTGGGATTCTTGTTTGTGCTTATTTATAAATATTTGCGATAGATTTACGATCATCAAAAACATTAATTGAATTTCAAATCCGTTTAAAGTGTTTCACACAAATCAATTCGACAGCAATTGGAATCATAAAAAAATTGAATTCGCATACTCAACATAAAATCATACATATGCAACTCTTTTTGTCAAATGGGAAAAACATATATTGAAAACAAAGCCATCTTTATACATACCCAAAATTACTTACAAATCTCGCCAAGAATTTATCCTCATTAAAATTCCACATCCATACATGTCCCGATGACAAAACGTTATAAATAATTGACAACAATTCTCCAAACAAACAAACAGAATAATTTATTACTTGTCATTACACAAAATTTATCTCAGAGTACCATCTTTCTTATCATACATAACGATTACTATTACGACTTCATATACACTTATCTCAATAGGATTACGACGTTTCCGAGATTTTACTTATATAATTCCTAACTTACTCCAGATATCCATTTTAACGTCAGAGTCGGACCAAAACATTAAAGAAACCAACCAGCCGTAGAGTAAATACATAGTATCGCTTAAAAAGATGCAAGAATCCATGCATGCCACGTTTATCTTTATATAACCCGAATTTTGCAGACAGATCTGTATGATCTCATGATCATCATTGTGCTGCAAACCCCCAGTCAAACCAAACCAAACATTGCATTGGATTGCATTTTCCCCTCTTACAGAAACCCAGCCAGAGACCGATTATTACATCACACACCCACTATCCGTAGTACTGCTACACCCTTTTTTTGCATGCATTTTCATACCAACATCGGCTAGTCGTAGTTGGTAGTTTTCTGGCTTCTACAATACTAGGAATGAGATCATATACCTATTTACATTCTGTGTATGTAGCTCACGATGCAACTTTAGCTCGGCATACAAACATCGTGCTGACAAGACCGGAGCGTATAAGACACAACACACAAAGTGGTTTTGTTTTTAACCTTGTTGGTATTACATGATACACTTGTGTTGTTTTGACCACTTCTTCTTCTTCTGAGTCAGGGATATTATTATTATTGTTATTTGTTCATATACGGCACGAACAATTCGGCATAATCATCCACTGTGTACTATATTGTGTTTTAATACTGTGCACGGTTACATAAATACTAGAAGAATTGTTGTGGCCGTGAGGTGACTAAAAATCGTGAGTAAATTTTGTGCAAGTTATTCATTAGTTTACTAACCTTCGTTGCTGGTAGTGCAAGTGAAATTTTGGTTAAGCTACTTGGAAGATTCTCTTAACACGAAGTCATCATGGCGTTCAAGGGATTCTTCAAATCGTTGGCGAACGAAGGTCTGAACGAGTTGGGGCGACAGATTGAGAAGAAATTGAACCCGGGTGAGGCCGGGGGGAGTGGTGGGGGTGAAAGTTCGGGGGGTTTTGGTGGGGGGAAAATCGACATGAATCTGGTCAAGGGGGTGCTTGGATTGTTGAGCGGTGGTGGCGCGGGTGGTGCGGGGACGGGCGGCGGAGGAGGAATCGGCCAGCTGACCACGATCCTGAATGCTGTTCAAGGTCAAATGGGAGGATATTTACCCGGAAATGTGGCGAAGTATTTGCCTTCAATTCTCAAGTTGGCGGAGATTATTGGGCATGGGATGGGAGATGATAGTCCGAGGTTTGTTTGTATGCAATTATTTATGGGATTTTTAGAGTGAGTGAGATTTAGAGTATGTATGTATTTACATGGTTTTGCATATTCCAGAACTGAAAGAAATTCAGATGGCAGCTTTATCGACAACTTTATCAAGACGATTATCGGCGGACGGAAAATTCATGGTGGGGGCAAAGCAGCAGCGAAAGTGAAGCCGATAGTTCGGGTGAGTAAATTAATATCATGTAAATTTTAATGAAATGAGTTTCACTTGCATAAATTCATTTGGAATGTGAATTAACCTTAAAGCATAAGGGGTTTTTAAATTGTAAAAGAAAAATTATCCTACGTTGTACCATGACATAAACTGATCTTTATGAAAGTATGTACATATGTCTGTATGTATCGGTATATCTATTCCATTCCATGCACTTTTTTTCTCAGACGACTAAAGTTCTGTCTGACGAGGGAGGACTCGCACGCCCTCACATTTTGATGCCCTTGGGATATGATACGCAGTACACTCACCCGAGTACTTTAAAATATCCTGAGGGTACCAAAATCTGATAGAGGTACAAGTCTCTCTTCCTTAGTTGGGGATACAATATTGGGCGAATAAGAAATTATCGTGCTGGTGGTTTAGGCATTTTTTGCACTTTACAAATTTTTGCAGGGTGGAGGTCATGTTCCTGGGGTCGATTATGATCAGTACGACGGCTCTGGTGAGGCCGGATTTCAAGATTATGAACAAATTCGGGCGCAATGTTTGGCTGATGGGGTCCTATTCGAGGACCCCGAGTTTCCTGCAGAAGAATCAAGCGTGTTCTTCTCTTCCGAGGGGAGGAGAAGTTTTGAATGGTTGAGACCCCATGTAAATCTAAATTGTGGAAATATGTCAATTATTATGTTGACCATACTTTCTGAAAAAATTAATGCTTATTTATGTATGTATATCGCATAGGAAATTTGTTCCGATCCACCATCATTTTTTGTCGAGGGTGCATCGCGATTTGATGTCAAGCAGGGAGAACTCGGGTAACTTTTTAGTTACATAAAACAATTTTTTTAAGTTGACCTTTAATTTTTCAAATTAACGAACTTTATAAATTTAGGGATTGTTGGTTACTCGCTGCATTGGCGAACTTGACCTTAAATGAGCATATATTTGCCCAAGTGGTTCCACAAGATAATTCTTTTGATGAAGGATATGCCGGTATTTTCCATTTCCGGTGAGTTATTTAAATACGTATGTCGCGTTAAAACCTGGAATTACATTTCGCATCTATTTTGGTAATACAGATTTTGGCAATACGGCCGTTGGGTTGATGTCGTAGTGGATGACCGACTCCCCACAAAAGGGGGGCGTCTCATGTTCCTCCATTCTGAGGACAACAACGAATTTTGGTCGGCTCTGCTGGAGAAAGCGTATGCAAAGTGAGTGATGTTTTTCCTTGTAACAAATTAGACACCTAAGAAAGCTTTATAGATTAGTGGCATCTCGTTTCTTCTAGATGATATTTTGTAATATGCTAATTTTTAGTGTGCTTTTATGCAAAAGTATTTTGCACAATTTTTTTACCTGAATTGTGCAACTCGCAATAGTATCATACAAGATGGCATATTTTTAAATATCTATACTAGTCTTTTATCATATCTCGTAAAATTTTTACACTCCACACAATCATCAATACCAAGTGAAAACTTTGTGGATTTATCTCAAATAATTTCACGGATTTTGAAATTGAACCCAAGATAACTTAAAACTGGTTATCATCATCCATAATACATCTTTTGCATGCATTTATGCAGATTGCACGGATCGTACGAAGCTCTTAAGGGTGGTACAACCTGCGAAGCATTGGAGGACTTTACTGGTGGCGTGACGGAGATGTACGATTTGAAAACGGCCCCAAAAAATCTGCTTGATATGATTCAAAAAGCTTTCGAACGGAGCAGCTTTCTCGGGTGTTCAATCGAGGTGCGATTTTTACTTGTCGATTAACTAATTTGGTCCATACCATGAACATTTAATTACACGTATATATTAAGTTGAATTTATTACTAAAATTAGCCCGACCCCAAGATAACGGAGGCAGAAACTTCGATGGGTCTTATTAGAGGTCATGCCTATTCGATCACAGATGTCAAGCTGTTGGACATTGAGACTCCGCGAGTTAGGGGGAAGGTTCCTCTCCTTCGGATAAAGAATCCGTGGGGGAATGAGGCCGAATGGAAAGGGGGGTGGGGCGACGGCTCTAAGGAGTGGTCGTACATTGATGACGAGACAAAGGAAGAAATAGGTTTGCATATGGGAAACAGTTTATATTAACTGATACTTATTTGTTGACATGTTAATAAAGGATTACTTGAACTTGAACTTGATAGGTCTGACTTTCGACGCCGATGGGGAATTTTGGATGTCCTACAAGGTATGCAAAATTAATTTTTTCAGATTTCACTTGCCCAAGGTTACACCCATTTGTAGCATTTTTGTATTACCCTTTAGGATTTTATGAACTATTTCGACCGTCTCGAAATTTGTAATCTCAGCCCAGATTCATTAGAGGAGGAAGAAGCTGGGAAAACGAAATGGAACATGAACATCTTGGAAGGAGCGTGGGTCTATGGATCGACGGCAGGAGGGTGCAGGAATTACATTGGTAATAATAATTAAGCATTTGGTTAATCATAATTAACATACAAATTTAGCCTAAAAATCAGTTGATCAATCTAGTTTTCCACAATCGTTGCATATAAAACGAACTAATTAAGTAACACATTTATTTATGTCAACCAAATTGCAGAATCATTCCCCCAAAATCCTCAATACATCATTGACCTTGAAGACCCCGACGCGAACGATCCCGAAGATAAGGCGACCGTGATTATCGCCCTGATGCAGAAAAATCGACGAGCCCAACGAAAAGCTGGCATTGATTGTTTGACGATTGGATTTGCAATTTATCGGGTAAATTGCTATTTCTTTGATATCTGCAATGTCATCCTTCGTAATATCGTGGGAAATATAACGTTCCTATTATAATTTACATGTTTAGCTAACTGATGACAACCAAGAAACTCCACTCCCCCAGCAATTTTTCAAATACAACGCATCAGTCGCAAGGTCACCCACCTTTATTAATCTGAGAGAGGTTTGCAGCCGTTTCCGATTGCCCGTTGGACGCTATGTCATCGTCCCTTCGACCTTTGAACCTAATGAGGTATGATTTTCAATTTTTTCCCTTAAATAAAATTTTCCTTCAGATGATATTTTATCTAAAAATATTAAAGAACTAAAGACATTTTAATTATGGAAAATAGGAGGGCGAATTTATTATTCGAGTCTTTACCGAAGGACAGAGTGAAATGATGTAAGCTACTTAAACTCAAAATTATAATCAATATATGCTAAAACTATAAAACAAAAACTGTACAAATAATTCATATATAACTCAAATTTCAGGGAGGGTTAAATTACGTCCAACATCGAACTACTTACCCAATCAACTCATAACTAACATTTTTTTATTAACATGTAAAAATCCACTTCTCGTGTAAAAATAAGTCATTGTACTTTTAATTGCGTCCTCTTGAATAAATTAACTAACATTGAAAAGTTGAGGAACCTTTACGAGTCCATATAGTTTATACAGAATTGAACTATTATCCATTATCTTTTACCAAAGGAATCACATTATCCGTCAAGAATAAAAGTCTAAGTAAGTTCGGAAGGCGATCTAGTCATCTACTTTGGGAATTCGTCCATCTGAACGAAATTCAAAGTGATGTCATCACGGTCGACTTTATTGACACTGATGTGACGACGAGCGCTGAGGGGAACGAGCCGTTTCTTGAAGGAGACTTCAATCTCATTGTTCACAACAATCTACAAATAGACAAAGGTAATTATTAAAATTGTATTTTATTGATTATCTACTCAGTTAGCTTACCCAAAAATAGTCATCCTTATCCTTTATTGTTATTTCGAATGGTTCCGATCGGCGCATGTTCATGGGAGCATACTCTTGGAGACCCCACCCTCCAATCCCTCCCCTGATGGGGCTGCACGCATTCATAATGATTCTACGTTCAGTCCAACGAGGATTAACGTGAAGAAGAATGGCCCCTTGGTCATCCCTGATATCGATGGCGAATCTGTAATTGAAGGTGAAATTTAATTTAGATTTCCAAATTTATGAATTGTTTGTATTACTTTGCTTTACTTCTGCTAAACAATTTTAAACTTACTGAGCCGGATCCTCTGAAACTGTTCCTCTAATAATAATCTTATAACTCAAGTTTGCGTAGAGAAGCGTTGCAGCACAGTCGTAGGGAATGTTCTGTAATCAATTCAATTGATTAATAGGAGGCAAAACTTAACTAGTTATCAGGTCCATTAAATATTTTGTAATTTGTATATCTTTAAAGCCTTACAGGTTGTTTTTCTAAAATGAGGATCGAGCCTTGCATTTTGTCCCAGTGTTTGTCAAATGACACAATATTATCAAAACTACGACTGCTAGTGCTACTAGTTTGTTAAGTTTAATTGTTCGATATAAAAATTGTAGTTTACAACTTGTAAATATTAAAATTTAAAAAATAATTTGCCAGATCAAAAAAAGCAGTTCGCTCGCTGTCATCAATCAAGCCGGGTTGTTTGCCGGGTGAGCTAAAAGCAAGGTGAGCGAGGTGAGACTCAACTTCACATTTAGCAGAATACTAGTCTCTTAAGCCCGCAATGCGGGCTCTAATCACAACGATTTTATTATTTTATTGCGAAAAACGTTCAGTCACGACGCTATGGGTGTGACCACGAAAAACGTTCCTCACGACTCTAAAGGGGGTGCCCACGAAAAACGTTCTTCACGACTCTAAAGGGGGTGGCCACGAAAAACGTTCAGTCACGACTCTATGGGTGTGACCACGAAATTCGGTCAGTCAAGACCCTATGGGTGTGACCACGAAAACCGTTCAGTCACGACTCTAAAGGGGGTGCCCACGAAAAACGTTCTTCACGACTTTGAAGGGGGTGGCCACGAAAAACGTTCAGTCACGACTCTAAATGGGGGTGGCCACGAAAACCGTTCAGTCACGACTCTAAATGGGGGTGCCCACGAAAAACGTTCTTCACGACTCTAAAGGGGGTGCCGACGAAAAACGTTCTTCACGACTCTAAAGGGGGTGGCCACGAAAAACGTTTAGTCACGACTCTATGGGTTTACCACGAAAAACGTCCGGTCACGACTCTATGGGTTTACCACGAAAAACGTTAGGTCACGACTCTAAAGGGGGTGGCCACGAAAACCGTTCAGTCACGACTCTAAAGTGGGTGCCCACGAAAAACGGTCTTCACGACTCTAAAGGGGGTGGCCACGAAAACGTTCAGTCACGACTCTAAAGGGGGTGGCCACGAAAAACGTTCAGTCACGACTCTAAAGGGGGTGGCCACGAAAAACGTTCAGTCACGACTCTAAAGGGGGTGGCCACGAAAAACGTTCTTCAGGACTCTAGGGGTTAATCACGGAAAACGTTCGGTCACAACTCTGAAGTATGGCATTGTTCTAACGTTTTAAGAACGTTTAGGCACTTAAAGCAAAAGCCCGCCCTCTAGCGCTGAAAAACAGCCAACATCCGATAGGTGGCGCTTGTAGGTAATTAAAATTAGTAAGGCACAGGTCAAGTGTCAACTATACCGTGGGGCACAGAGGTCACAGGTCAAGTATAGTGGATGTGCCCAGGTCACAGGTTAAATGTCAAATCTAGTGGGTGTGCCAAGGTCACAGGTCAAATGTCAAGTGTAGTGGGTGTGCCCAAGTCATAGGTCAAGTGTAGCGGGTGTGCCCAGGTCACAGGTCAAGTATGGTGGGTGTGCCCAAGCCACAATTCTGAGTGTCAACTTTATTGGTTGTACGCAGGTCGCAGGTCAAATGTCAAGTCCAGGGGGGTGTTCCAAGGTCATAGGTCCAATGTCAAATCTAGTGGGTGTGCCAAGGTCACAGGTCAAATCTAGTGGGTGTGCCAAGGTCACAGGTCAAATGTCAAGTCTAGTGGGTGTGCCCAGGTCACAGGTAAAGTGTCAAGTTTAGGGGGTGTGCCCGTTCATTTGATCAAGTCTCGGCAGATCTAAAGGGTGTGTTTCGTTGTTATCGTGTTCGTCAACGTTTTGACACTTTAGCGAAAAACGCCCTCTAGAAACGAAAAATGTAACATAGTGCCCCAACTGCCGCTAGGTGACATTAGCTTGGACAATGTGAGACACGTGGGTTATCAAGCGCCAAGTTCAACTGGTAACACACACCACTGCACAATTCTTGGTTCTGATCTGTAAACCGAACTTATTAATACTAAATAATTAGTTACAATTTGATTTGAAACCCAAAAATGTCAGTGTCACTGCTTTGAAGGAATATTATTTTGGAGAAATTAGGTAACTTAAGATCGATACCAATTTCGTCTCGTTTTGCTTGCTTTTCAAGTAATTAAGTTAATCCGCGGCTCGTTTACTCTGCCAAGAATAACCGAGAAGAGTTATCCACCTGTAACAAATAATTAAGGTAGGACATGTCATAATGGGAGCAGACATTTCCCCCAGATTGGAAAATAAATGAGATTTCTTGGTGAGCAACGGAGCAGAATTTCGGGAATTATGAGCCATGAAATTATAACATTGGTTTCTTGTCCTTGTTGTGACATTTTTGCTCTCTGGCCGAGAAACTAAAGTAATACGCCAAGATGAAAGAAATAACTTTGCTGGTCAGCAGCCTTTTCCTTTTTTTGGTCAGGTTGGTTGGTTGGCGGATGTCACTTTTTTGTCCAGGTCTTTTTTTATAAGAAATCGTGCCATGCGAAAGAGAAAAAAAATCTCATTATCGGGATACATGCACAAATGGAAGTTACATAACACAAAATCTACGATATATTCGACAACAAAGTGAAAATGACTTGTGAATAATGTAGCAAAAAAAACGATCAAAGTTACATCATCAGGAAGGAGAAAGCAATTCTAATACGTAAATGAATAGGAATATGTAACAAATTCTAGTTTATTTTGCACAACAGGTAGCAGTGCGTAACGAAATAAAGGTTTGTAATAATCGTAATAATAATGCAGTCAAAAAGTGGTATTATTGTTTATTATTATATAATCGGAAGGTTATGGGAATGTTTGTTATTATGTAATGTTTGCTGTTAAGCGAGATTTGTGGTTGAGATATTATTATGGCATTCAGTGTCGGGCAGCAGGGTCCATAGACTGATATTTGGTGGGCTACGAGGTGTGAGAATGACTGCAGTAACATCCATTCACGAGAAACCAGACGACCGGAAGTGAAAGGGGCACAAGAGAGTCAGTAAGAGAGCAACTTTCTCTATAAAGTTGGACAGAGTTGTAGTAAGTAAATAGGTATTGGGCTCGTGGGGTGGTAGGGTTTCGTAAATATGCATGTCTTTTTACCCGTTATTTGTGTGAAATTTTAATTAAAACTAAAATTGTTTATAAAATTATAAACAATGAGAAAATATTGAATAATAGGGATCAATTAGTTCCATCGACATTTTCAACCTGAAATATTTATTATAGCTGGAAACTTTCGATATTCATTAAGGATTTCTTCATTAGACAAAAAATTTTAATTACTGAAAATTTATTTTTTTTAATTGCTCCGCACTTAAAAAATAGACCACATTATTACAAACTTTGCATAGATTTACATGTAGTAATTATAGACATTTGAAATTGTTACTAATTATCTTTAATACATAATTCAACTTGAAAAATATAAATTGTAGGAATTTATTGTACATAAATATATATTTATAAACATCTCATGTATTAACTCATTCCAGATAAAGATCTAGAAGGAAACTGGTTTAAAATCGCCAAATTCACCCATTTAAAACCCTGTCTCTCCACACTTTGGTTAGTGAGTGAGTGAGTGATGATGGGTTCCCAATAACGTGTAGATAGTACGCTTTTCACTACCTCCTGCTCTATTTACACTTTCACCACCAACAAAAGAAGACTTGGTTACTTTCGCTCTCGATAGTTGGTCCTTTCTTTTGTTATAATGTGATAATGTCGAAAATGAAGGGTGGATGGTGGCTGAATAAAGAATAAAATTGGTCGGTGGTGTCCTGGTGGGCACACATATTGCGTATGTACACTTCTTGTGGTGGTATTAGTATTATTATGTACGTATCCTTTCACCACTTAGGTATGTCCCCCTTATCTGCACTATCCATGCTGGGAGGGCGGAAGAGGTGGCCGTGTTACTCATGATAACATCTCTTCGTACTGACTGAGAGAGAAAACCGGTTTCTCATTCATTGATTCTTGTATGCATATGTACAAGAGTGAAAGCACTGAAAGGGGTCGAAATGTATGTAATGTGGAGTGATTTATTTAACTGGAGTGCAACGACATGTCGTTTAAAGGGTGAACGTAAAATGTGACGTGATGCAGTAGTGTCGAAAATATTTTGGGAATATGGAATAGGATTCATGTTTGAAGGTTGGGATCGATGAGGGAAAAGATGTAATAATTTTGATAACAAATAACCGTGGTCAATTGCTTTTAAAAGTCAAAAGTGAAAATTAAAGTTTCGTCAGTTTTGTAAATCAGCAAATGTATCTGCTACTGCTATCTGTATAACATGTGGCTATTTTTCTTGAAATTTCTTTTCCTCCTGTTATCTTTAGGTTCTTCGGCTTATTCAAAATATTATTAAAATTCTATATGTACTTCAAAGTCATTCAAAAAATTTATATAATGCATACAAAGTTTGCATAAAAACGTTTTTAACCTCGCAATTGAAAAATGAGATGTTACACTTAAAAATTAAATTGGTTACAGATTCCTTTGTTCTAGTTCTGCTTCAGATTTCTAAACGCAAAAAGGTCTTGTAACTCGATAAGCACGCGACTTGATAAGTTTAACTTGGTTTAAAAAAACTCAAAATCAAAGATTTCGACCAAGCAAAACAATGATTTAAAGGAATAAGGCATGACATAACGTTATGTATGGAGAAAGTAGAGAAAGTTTTGTAAAATAAGATGAAATTTTTATCGCATACAAACAGGCAAAAGATTAAGTCTGAATAAATAAGCAACATTATCAGATTTAAATAAATTGCATAGAACTGATTACATATTTTATTAACTCCATTTTATTAACCGATCGTAAATTGTTTTAAATAATTCTGAATTTAAGATAGCACGGACCAACAAATTATTGGGAAATGGTTCCATTAGCGTTATTCATATGGCAGAGGACTCCTCTTGGTTCGGCGCACATTCCTGAGAAAATGTGGTCATCGGCAGAAAAGTAGAGGCACACCCAAGTTGACGGGTTGATCATGACGTTCTTCGTCGACACGTCGGAACCGTCGCCATAAACGAATGCCGCCCTCCCGGTCAGAGTCTCCATTTCTCGCATGCTGGCGTCAATCCAAAGTTCTGAAATGTTTAATATTGTTGAATTGTTAAGCTCAATTTCATCCATTTACTAAATAATTAGTATACAAATTAAGTAGCAAAATAGTGACTAACTTGATGAGGGGTCTACGTTAGCTCGAACAAAATCAAACTCAGCGTCGGATTGGAAGATGGCAAATTGAATGCCCGACGCTTGACAAATTTGCCTGGCTGCTTCCCACCTGACTGCAAAAGTCTACAAAAATACAATTTATTAAAAAACAGTTTTTTTAAAAGACGTTGATTTTACGAAAAGTTTAATTACAGTGTTTAAGGTCGTGTAAAACGTCTTGTTCCCAATTGTTCCGATGACTCGCATTTCAGGATACTCGATTTGGCGATCTGTAAAACAATGTTATTCATTGAAGAATTAAAAATTATGGTACATATATTTTTAACGATTTTACATGCATTATTTTTAATTTTTCTTACCCAATGTTGCTGCATGGACAGCAAAGGCTGAAAATACGGCCACGGCTAAAGAGCAAAGTACAAGTTTCAAAAGTGCCATTTTTAGAAATTCAATTTTGACGATGTATGTAATTAATATTCAGATATGAGTTTAGGAAGAATGAGACAAGTTGAATATGCAATTTCGTCCTTTGCTCCAGGTTTATATACCAATCCAATTTTACCTGAGTGACGACGTATTGATGTCAATTTTTAGATTGTCGCATGCAATTAGTTATCTTATCAAGCAAATGTTGACGTATGTACTTATATTCTGTCCCATTCATTCCCATTCGTGGACATGGATTAAGGCCAAATAATTTGAGAATGTACGTATAGGTATATGTAGAACTGCAGTAGTAATCACACCAATTTTAAAATTGACAGGTTACTGCGTAAACAATGTACATCAAAGTGTTCAATATCGTCATTTCTATGCAACTAATTGATTTGGAGCGTCATTAGCAGAATATGGAAAAAATAAATTATTCACGTGTCTTTGAAAGATTATGTATGATCGATTAATAAGTTGTGATAAAGTCGGATTAAGTATTAAAGTGTCCATTAGTCCTTTGCTGCAAAATAAGTAGTTGACCGAGCAAGTAATCGAAGAGTTTTACGTACTAACAAGATAATGATGAACTATTTATACATATGAAATAAAACACTTATGGGGTAAATCAATACATGCATGATTTTTTACAGTATTTTATTTTTTATCATAATAATCCATTAATGTGAACATAAGTCCTACGGTAATGTCAATAAATTAATAAAGTCCTCCAATTCAGTTTCATCAGTATTCGCATGGTTTTGTCACCAGCAATAAACTTTAATGTACCATTAACATCATACATATTCTGAAAATTATTTTTACTTTTTTAATTATTACAATTCAAAAGTTTCAGAAAAACTCTGTTAAATTTATTTTGTTACTCATCAAATCAATTATAGCAAAGATCTTCATCACTGAATTGACTCCAAAACTGCATTCGTTCCATCACTGCCATTGTGGGGGCTGGTACATCGTTCAATTCATACCAGAAGAGTGATCCCTCTCTACTAATTGGTTCCCATCCAGGGGCTGGATTACTCCTGCATGATTAATTAATTGCATAAAAACAGCTTGGACTAAAATTTCATACTAAATTTAAATATTCATCTGTTTTTACCCCGTAGCTGCAAACTCGACCCAAAATTTTGTCATGCTTCGTGAAACGGAAAAGTACTCTGATTCAACGGGATACTCCGGATAACCGTAATAGTTGAAAAGATACTGTAATTCGTCCGCGTGGGATGCTCCTATTAAATTATGAAAGAAATGGGATAAATTTTTCGAATTTCAATAGCATTTCATTTCAACAGCATGATCGAAATGCGCAAAAATCTCAGGGAAAGTTGGCCACTTAGTTTCTCGAAATCATTAAGTAACAAATTTCTTGAATCAAATTTACAAATTTTTGCACCTTGAAGACTACATGCGACAAAATTAAGCTTCACTTCCATTTTGTGAATGGATTTTAAATTTCCAACGGATGCCTGATTATATGCAATTGATTTTTCATACGTATGAAATTGAATGCAATTATTTTGACAGCTTGGATATTTCCATCAAAATGAGATGCACCGGTAATTTTGTAGAATTTTCACCAATTTCATGCCCTTCGAAATAAATAATTTAAGAATTTTTTTTACCATAATCTCCCGGAGGATAACCAATTAGAGCACCGTCGGCATAGCTCTTTTGTGGTTTCTTGCTCATGTAATAGAGGAAAACTTTCTCGTCCATGGCAGCCATCCATCTCGCCATGCTGACACACGGATGAACAATGTCCCGATCAGATACCATGTTCGTAAACTCGAGCAAAGTTTCATTGCCGACTAAACTCTGGCCAAAGTAGAAGCTTCTGGCGGCGTCGGAAATGTTGGTGGCGATGGGTGACGTGGCGTAAGGATTCATAAGGAGTTGTTGCAGGACGGGGTGAAAGTTGTTGTTCAGATTTTCAATTAGGGCGAGATCCTTCAAGTACACTGGGGCATGAGAAATTATGCAATTCAGTATTTTTCAAGGTTCTTGAGCTCAAAAGTACTGCGCTTTCTTATAAATAAATAACTAAATCTGGTACAATAGTGACCATAAATTCTGTTTAAAACTGGCAAATATGTAAATGTACGAAATTATTTACAGAATCATGAATTGAATTGCGTTTGGAAGCTTAACAATGTAAATTCCTGGGAAAAATTGTCAAAAAATTTATGAAATTTCCCAGCTTTCACTAGAAATAGGAAGAACAGAATCATTTAAATTCTTAACTAATTTTGAATTTGGTAACTAAATCACTGTTCATTATCAACAACTTAATTTAATAGTTCTTAATTAATCTTAATTAAGTTATTTACACATAATTTAAAAAAACATATAAAGTACTCACTGGCAGTAGCCCCAATCCATTCCGAATTGGTCACACCGATCATCCAAGGTACTTTGTTCACCCTTCCGGCCTTGAACAAATTAGTCATCGTGTCTGGGAGAAAGTTATTTTCTGTATCGTTATGACCAGTTTCGACAGTCGCGGCGAAAATGACATCTGTAAAAAAATTAAAATTTAACAAAATACCAAAATTACGAGTTATATGGTTAACAAAATTACCAGTCCCTCGAATTATTTGGAGATCCGATGCGCTCTTGCTTCGAAGACAGTCCAACCATTCTGATGTTCCGTTGCAGCCTGCGGCTTGAACTATAGCGGCGAAGGACTTTAGTTGAGCCTCCCCAGTTTGAACGAGAGGGCCGAAGGGAGGTCCACTTTGGGTTAAGGCGCGGTGAAATAGGCCTGAAAAATGTGAAGCAATTAGGACAGGGATTTCAGTTAAATATGTACACAATTAATTACCCGAAGCCATTGGAGAGGCTAGTAGCAAGTTTACAGATGAACCACCAGCAGAGTTTCCTAAAAATAATTTTCAAAAATTCAGAAATCTAAAAACATTAATTTTACGACTCGAGACTAACAAGGTCCATTTTGCAATGCATTTTATTTAAACTATTTAAAAATGCATTTTCTAAACTATTTCATGCCCTCATAAATTTACATATGAGTTCCACCCACCATAAATCATCACTCTGGAAGGATCTCCTCCAAAAAATTCGATGTTATCTCGAACCCACTTTAACCCTTGAACTTGATCTTTCAGTCCCAAATTTCCCTTAATCTCGTCCGTTTCCGAGCTTAGAAATCCTAATGCGCCCAGCCTTTAAATTAATTAATTAATTAATCACCCATTTATGACTTACTAATCTTAATTATACTGTTTCCTACCGATATTGAAAAGTGACCATTACAGCGTCTTCATCCATAAAATACTTGGCCCCATATCGACTTCCATTCCCATCGGCGAAACCTGCCAATTTTTTAAAACAATTAATTATTATCATACAGTTAATAACATTATTTGCTCTTTTATACCTCCTCCATGGATGTAAAACAATGTTGGCAATAATGGTGCGTCTGGAGCCACGTTTAATCCGGGAAGCTAAATATGCGCATAATTTTAACCTATTTATAATCCTTAATTGGTGAAAGCATAAAATTTTTGGCATGCCTTTGGCGTATAAATGTTCACATAAAGACAGTCCTCCTCCCCTTTGGACTCATCGATGGGAGAATATTTCGACTTCTGGATGCATTCCGGGGCTACATCAGTTTCAAAACGAACTCCATCCCAGCCAGCTGGCGGTTGTGGGGACTATTTTAAATTTGGCAAATTTTGGTTCAATTTAAATAATTTTTTGAATTACACAAATAATTTTAAAATTTGTGAAATTGACCCACTTCAAAGCGAAGTCGAGCTAGAGGTGGGCTTGCGTATGGGATCTTATAAAACGAATAGTAAGTTCGACCTTCCCGACTTTCTGAAACGTTCCACTTGAGCAGTCCTTGCGGAATTTTTAGGACGATTCCATTTTCATCTTTGTTATGAATGATCCCGTCTGACGATCAATATTGTTATATGAATTTCGAAATTTGAGAGACACGCTAAATACAATAAATTACAATCTCCTTTCGTCAAGACAGACTTTGATTCCGAGCTGGAGACGAGCACCCCAAGGAAAATTGAGACTCCGAGAATGAAAAATGACCGTCGGCATCTTCTCCATAAAAATTAAAAGTTTTTAACAACTTCAAAACAAAATTATATAATTTTGGGGCTAAAATGTATGAAAAACCTGGAATTGGCGTGATCCATTTTTACTGGATATTTGTTTGAATTGGTTAAGCTTTCCCTTTTGTCACAATTACAGATAATTCGCTCATTTTATGGATATTTATATGAGGAAACTGTTCAAATCTGCACATGACCAAGATATCAAAGTCACTCAATCCAGCCACATGATTCCAAAAATCACATAAAGTGACAACGTTATCTGGCCAGATGAAAAATGATTGATCTGGTCAGATACAAAAACAAAACTTGTGAGGTGGGTCCAACTCGTGGTTGAAACAATGGCGAATTATTATTTAATTACAAATATGACTAATATTTGCATGATAATTTTATGTCACAAGATTTTCTGGTCACATAATTGTAATTAACAAAATGTTGGGGATTTTAGACACAACAAAATATATTGACACATGTATTTCTATACTTTTATAAGTAATCACATTTCATTACGGCGTGACTGAGGTATAAATAAATGGGATAATTATGATAACTTATTATAATTCAATTATTATGCAGATCCATAACATTTGACTATTACAGATATTGCTCATTGTCAGATTTGACCATTTCCGATGATTATCATGTCATTTAAATCACTATTCTCATATCGCCTTATCGTAAATCTGTACGTTTTATCCTCTTTAAAAAACTGACAAACGATTATACAACACCCAGAAAATTTCTTTCCAGACAGGATTTTCTACCAAACCAATCAATAATTGATTTATTGACGGGTCTCATATTTCTTAAACCATCCCCACAAACTCATAACCGTCTCCGGTAAGCTTTCTTATATAACTTTAGCTCGGATTGAGATTTTTTTCTCTTTTTCACACAAACTCTGACACTTTCTTTTCTTTTCTTTCTCTAAAAGGTTACATGCACAAGACGCTTTGTCTCGAATAAGTAGAAATCCGAACCTGAGATTGAATCTTTCGAATAAATACTAATCTTAAATTCGCTCCACTTGAGGAGTGAAACACCTAAATTGGTCCAAATTTAGAACCAATCTTTGCTTCGTTCGACGTTAGAAAGAATGTAGTGCTCTAATAGTTACCTGAAACTTGAAACGCATGAAATTCCAAAAATTAATGCACTACGGATTAGTTTGAAATTTTATTGTTAATTTCTTTTTGTTTAGTTCTGAATAAAATATGTGCAACTGATATAATTAATAAATTCGGGAATGTTACATATTTTTTTGTGCAAAATGCAGAAAATAAGTAGGATATAAATGTAATGTGTATAAATTAAATGTGATATGTTTTTATAAAAAAACAAGTTATTTTGCAAATACTGCAATTTTATGAATGCATTTTTTTTAATTCGTGTAATAAGTGCATTTCTTGCAGTTTCTTGCAGTGTGGGACATTATAGATGAGTAATTTAAATGCAAAACATTCTTATATATGCAATTCATGTTTGCAATTCTTTATAGTTTAATTAATTTACTTTGGTTGCATTTCATGCAGTTTGTGGAATTATGGGAAATTTTATTTCATGTGTGGAACACTGCTTGGTTTCATAATAGTTTGTCTACTAATGCAGTCCCGGCCTGTAGCTGGTGAAGCATGCCGACTCAATATATCTTTGATTTATGCATGCACAATGTACCAAGTTTCGCGAGAAATTTGCAACTTTGATCGCATACATCACAACTTTCACAATTTGGAGAATTTGGCAATAGTTTTTGGGAACAGTTTTGTTTTCCTAACTTGGACCGGGTTCGGTTTGGGTGATGAGTTAAAATAGTTGAATTTTTGAGGGATGAAATTTGTCTTGGAATTTGGATTTTTTGTACCCAAATTCTGGTTAGGAGTTGAGTTGGGGGCTATGAATCAGTTTAGTTTCGAGAATGTCGGCAGACTTGGAAAAGTTTTTCTATTTTCGCTGTTTTTCAGGAGAAGGGAACCATTTTAGGTGTGCGGATCCATAGATATTTTACATATTATTTTTAATATCATTGTACAAATTGTTTTAAAGAAAAATAGGATTAAAACTTGATTAAAACTAATCCACCAATTATTATTTCTCAATTTTTAGCCCGATGGGTCATCCGAACCGATCTTATCTTTAAACTCATCCAAGCCTTGTGGAGATACGTATTTTAACAACAAATTAGTTAAAATCGGTTCGCTAAAATTATAAAGTTTTTTCATCCTGACTCTGACTGCACTGTAAGTTTTTATAAGTAATGCAACGAATAAATTAGTATAATTGAGTAATATTTTACCATGAATACTCAACCACACATTGAAGCCTTGTACAAAAAATTAACTACTAATTGAAACATTGTCCCCACAATATTCCCAATCAAACCTATTTACTAATAAAATATGACTAACTCTCCACAATATTTTACAAGACTCCAAAATCCAACAAAATAACTTTTTCCAAAAAATACAAAATCCAACAAAATAACTTTTTCCAAAAAAAAAATACTTTTACAATTTATTCAAATCCTGCAGCCTCACATTACGCAATTCCCTTGCCCCTTTTTCTTCCATCTTATTCCTCCTTTCTTTCCCGATTATTTTTTGGCTGACCTATTCCTCCATCGCATCCGCACTGGCTGGCTGGCTGGGTGGATAATATTCTGTATGTAATGTCAGGCATGCACAGAGCGTAAGTGCGGCGGAGAAAGCTCTTTCTTTCGAATGGATTAAATTTTTTGGCCCTTTCTCCTAAAAAGAGACAGTTTTTCTTCCTCCTGTGGTAGTGGATTTGATTGCATGTGAATCAGCCATAAAAACAAACGGAGCGAATCCTAATCGGAAAAATCAGAGGCAATTATCATCGCCATAATGTCAAAATTAATGTCAACCCTCTGAAATTAATTGACTTTCCCCTCTTCGTCCATACCAATAATAACAATATCTTTTTTGGGCACGGGCATATCAAGAAATTGAATTAATGTCGTGTCAAGTCGCAGTTTAGGAGGGAAATGAAATACAAATTTGAGATGGGGGAGAAAGCACTTTGGCAAGTCAAATATTGAGACCCATTTCCGTGTTATTAGGTCATAATCAATTGCTGTTTGGTGTTCTCTAAATAATTTGGGAACACATTTTTTAGCATTTTTTTGACGGATTGTGGATATTATGTTGCAGAGGATTTGGCTGGAATAATTTTTCATGAAATTCGATATGATGTGAGTACAATTTTATTTAGAGGTACAAGTTTGATGATCGTGGACTCGGCTTTAATTTTGAAACAATGCCCATAGGATGGACATTGCTTGCTATTTAATATTTAATATATTTAATAATATTTAATATTTATTTACCATTTCGAAAAACATAACCTACGTAAAATCTAATAAACTTATGACAATAAAAAATAGATTAAATTGGCTATTGGCTTCAAACTCCTGCTAATTTCTAATATTGCACACTTCAGACCCAATTGGAAATTAATTTTTTTCGAATGAATTTTAATAAATATACACTAATACAGAATCCATTCACAATGTGAAATTTAAAATTTAAAAAAAATAACACTACTAATAAAAGAAACTACATAGGTGTATTTCCTATCTTATTTTTACGCTTGTGAAGAAAATATATACTTATAAAAATATATGGCAAAACCAATAAATTCAACAATTTTTAAATCTTTCATATAAAAAGAAAATCCTGTTCTATCATTTCATATAAAAATTTTATCACCTTATCCTTTAGAGTGTATTTTATTACAGTATTTAAACCTGAACATGGCCAATTGACTCCCTCAGCTCTGGGTCGTAAAGCATTTTAATTTCAGCGTGTAAATCGCAGGTAAATTGTATCTTGACATGAACCTATAACACATTACGTCCCATACATATGGCCAAAAAACGACAAGATGAAGATGTGCTACACAACTTGTATTTCATTCCATTGTGCCCTGACTGACTATGACATTTATATTATTGCTCTTCTTTTCTTATTTCTTTACTATTTTTTACGACTCGGACGACCTAGTCATTCTTCGCTCAAGTTTTCGGCAGGGAGCAGAAGGGCAACGTAGTAAACTACGTATATTTGAGACTTGGGTGGTGAAAGTGAAAAGGATTCTCTCCTGCATGCCCTTGCTTTTTGAGTTAGGATTATGTCCCACTTGACAAATGTTATGTGATGTGCGGGGATATTCCGCAAAAAAAACGGCAAGTTATGTATGTACGAGGTCCGAAGTTAGCAGGGTTTTCAATAAGATTTTGAATATCACACGACAGCAAGAATGGTGTCCCTGAATCATTGTGCAAGTTTTGTCCCTTATTCTTCCGTCCCAATTCACGCAGAAAACAACGACATGAACAATTACAGAGCAGAGAAAACTTTACTTTCTGTATCTGCATCCTTGATTCCCTTAATGTTCATTCGCAATAATGCACGGCAGTCTGAGATAATGTCAGATAAGTGGGTTAAGTAGCCCCGGCAGATGGTTCGTTGTTAACTGCTCGTATAAAATGGAGACTGGAGATAATTGAGCAAAGTGAAAAGGGACGATTTCAGCAGAAATAATAATTAACTATAATCTTCCCTGTCCAGTTTTACTTTTAGAAATTTCGAAAATATTTTCCTGACCAATTTTTCCTTAAAGAAATAAGTATGTCATACTCTACAGTGTGAAACCCAAGATGACTTTCACCATGTTTTTTTTTATCCGAGCCACTTTTCGACCATATCTGCTGACTGAGTTGAGGCAGGAAATGCCATAAATGGGGAAAACGATAATTTCCAAGTAAGTGGAAACAGAATCTGAAAGGGAAGAGTATCTTTGTCTCGGTGGATCTTCACGTCGTGAAGGAGCAGAAATCTCGAGTGGATCTCTGCAGTCGTGGAAATATAGAATGTAATGGCTTAGGTCAAAGAGAGAGGGGGAGGAAAAAGTGAAAGTATAACGATAATGGCAACGACCACAACACACACCATCATATTCTGCTCGAGAAAATAAAAGAGGCAAAGTCAGTAAAAAGACGGGTACGAAAAGTGCACTTTTCTATTGTGTCGGTCGGCTTCGAGATCAAAACTGTGTTAAGACAACGAGAACGAGGACATCAAGATGAGATGAACAAGGAAGGCCACCCTGGGGAATTGGTGGTTCGGTGTATGTAAATTAGAAAAAAAATTCTGTGGGATGGATGGATGGATGGATGGATGTAATTATGTTGGGGAAAGCGATAAAAATACGAATTTTTGGTGGTCGTACAGGTCTGTATCATGATTTATTAATGGGTATTTTGTAAAATTGCAAAATTCTGGCTCAAATGGGATTGGCAAAGATATGTATCAAGATTCGCAAGTTGAAATGAGTATGAAAATATGATTGTGGACTTGATTTCGATGCAGCAACATTTTGCAACTAAGGTACAAATGATGCAATCTTTAGTGACCGGAGTGATTTGTGACAATTTTGCGAATTTGGCCAAAATGCAATTATTTTTTTACTTAAAAATAGTAAACTAGTATTTTACACATTTTTGTAATCTTTCAAATTCCTGAAATTCTTATTTTTTATGTAAGCCAACACTTATGTACTGCATTCTAAATATAAATCATTTTTATTAGTTTACTCCCTCATTTAACATTATGATTAATATCTCGCAAAAATCGTGACTATTTTTCTCTCCATGATTTGTGAATGGGAACGATGCACAAAAATCAAAAGTATTTCATTCTCGTATTTTTATTAGTACCGTTTTTATTTTGTTTTATTTTATTGCCTCACATTTAGCGCATCCTTTCTCCTACTTTCACTCTCGCTCTCTCTCTCTCCGTTATTATTGTCTGGGGAGAATGGAGGAGGGAAACACGGAGAAAGAGGCAGAAATAAGATAAGTGTCGATTAACAGCATCACACGCTTATCCGAAATGGGATCAATTATTCCCAATTGATCAATTCATCTTCTTAATTAAAACTGTAAATCAACTCAACAACTATCGTACAAAATATTGCATTACAAAAAAAGAGAGGAGAGAAATTCTGAACAGTTTTCAAGCTAGACTGGAAATATTGGGTAATAAATGGAGTAAAGATATTTATGAAGTACACACTTAACTAATAATTAATTATGTGTCTCTTAATTAATTAATTATCCTATTAATTAACTAAAGATTAATATTTTGCACACCTCTAATTAGACTTTGCTTCCCCCTTACTGCTCGTCGAGGAAGAAAGTTTTCTCTCCTCGCCACCAAAAAGTCCAGTCGAAGGTGACGATGACGATGAAGACGAAGCTGGTTGGACTGGTCTCGCTACTCCACCACCGAGTTGGACACTTTGTCCGGAGGAGGATGGACTTTGTTGGAGACCGGAAGTAGGTCCACCACTTGTGGCACCGCCTAACCCAGCACCACCACCGCCACCGCCGCCTAAATATTGTCCCTGTGTGGGGAATCTGCCCGGAACAAAGCCTTGAATTTGTGGAGGTGAGAATCCTTGAGGACCTCCTTGTTGCGGACCTCCAAGGCCTTGTTGTTGTTGAGCTTGCAAAATTGCGGCTAATTGTTGCTGAGAGAGACCTTGACTTCCTCCTTGCGGAGAGAATCCATCCCCACTGGTTGGACCTCCTTGTTGGAATTGGCTTGCGAAACCTTGTGGTGGTGGACCCTGTTGGAATCCTGGTGGGGCGAAACTTCCCTGTTGAAATCCTTGCGGGAGAGATTGGAATCCTCCCTGGTTTCCGAAACTGGGATTGAAATCGAATGGGAATCCGGAAGATTGAATGCCCTGATTTTGACCTCCGGCTTGACCACTTTGGCCCTGGAACTGGGGTGGAAGTCCGCCTTGAGAGGAGAATCCTTGCCCTTGGAATTGTGGAGGGAGACCTTGCGAACCTTGAGAAGAGGGGAAACCTTGACCTTGAAATTGATCTGCTTGGTTAGTTAAGGGGCGTTGTTGAGATTGTGGTTGTTGCTGTTGGAAGTATTGTGGTGGGAGTCCTTGACCTGGTTGACCTCCTCCTTGGGGAAGAAATTGAGGTGGGAATCCGGCCGAAAAGTCGTCAGAATCACCGCCTTGTTGCGACGTGAGGACGTATTGACCTTGGAGGAGTGGGTTTTGTTGGAAGGAACCGCCTCCTTGTTGGGATTGGAGAGATGGCCGCGACTGAGGTGACTGACCTGGTCTCAAGAATGCTTGTTGAGGAAAACCTGGTTGTTGTTGACCTTGGAATTGACCTCCTGGGAATGCACCGGGAAATTGACCTCCTCCTCCGCCTCCAAGGTATTGTTGCTGTTGACCTGGGTATGGACCTTGTTGTTGGGCGAAAAGTTGTTGGATTTGATCGTCCGTTAGTTGAGGAGGAAGTTGACCTTGTTGTTGACCTCCAAATGGGGAACGGCCTGGTTGTTGCTGTTGGAATTGTTGTTCTCGGTTATTTACTTGTCCACCTTGAAGGATTCCTTGTGGTCCGAGGATCTGGGGTCGATACGTGCCTGCAGGGGTTTGACCTCGCCCGTCGCCAACAGCTTTAACGGCGACGCCTTGTTTCTCTTGGGCTGCGGTGGCTCCTCCCTTGCTGTTGGAGGAGAGGGAGTTGGGATGGTCGTCGACAAATCCGTCTTCGTCGGCGTCTTCAGAGAAGCCGTCGAGGTCCACGTTTGGGACGTATCGGTCAGAGGGTGAACCTCCTGCGAAATTGTGGAAATTTTGTGAATTAGTTTTTTTTTAATGTCGGAAATCTAATAAAATTAACTTTTGAAATTTTTTAAATACAGTCGACATTTTCGGAATAAATTTCACCTTTTGTCATAATTTTTACACGTCAATTTTTGAAAATTCTTTACCTAGTTGTCGGCCACCCTCATACGACTGTTGTCTGCTCGGAGGAAATCCGACATATTGACGTCCCTGTTCTTGTTGTGGCGCAAATTGGGCTTGTCCTTGTTGTGGGAAGTATTGCTGTTGTCCTTGTCTCTCATCATCTTCCGGTGGTGATCCTCTAAACTGAATTTGCACATTTGGTGGGGAACCATCTCCTCGGCCTTGTTGAGGCCTGGTGGAATATCCGGGTGGAAAACGACCACCTCCTCCTTGAAGACTGGGATGACCTTGGCCTTGCTGAGGGTACGGGTAACGGTCGTCGTCCTCAAATTGTCCTGCGTAAAGAGATGGGAGAGATTGTCCCGAGAGGGGAGATTCTCCTTGACCTTGTTGAGGTACGTAAGTCTGGGGTCCGTATCCTGGGGGGAATCCTGTCAGCATATTTTGTAAAATTGTATTTATTTCAAAATTTCAAACATTCTAATATTACCGTAAGAAAAAATTTGAACAAAACGATGTAAGCTTTTTAAAATAGTTCTGAATTTTGAAAATTTTGGACGAATTAGATCCTCTGAAATGTTTTACATATGCCAATATTTCTAATTCAAATATCTGTAATTATCATTAATCTATCAATTTTATACGTCAAAACTTATTTCGGCGTTAAGTATCAACAAGTTTACAGAAATTTTATCTTCTAAATTTTTAAAAATAACGATTGAACATCTCTTCATAAATTACCCTGATACTGCGGTGGTGGTGACCCCTGACCCTGTCCGGCATACTGCTTCGGCAACGTCGAAAATCCCGGTTGCTGCTGTGGCGCATAGCTAAATTGCTGTGGGCCCCCTTGACCTTGACCTCCTCCTAATTGATGCGACGGAACATATCTCGGTCCCGGAGTCCCTGCCAAACTCGGTGGTGCCCCAGATGGCTGCGGTCCTTGCGTCACTGCTCTAAAATACTGCCCATTATTGACATCCTTCTGTCCCTCAGGTTCATCATCTTCCTGTTCACTCTTGTCCCCCTGCTCGTCATCATCTTCCTGTGGCGAGGTCACCTTGTCCGACGTCGTTTGCGCCGAGGAAGCCTGATCGATCCGGGATTGCAGCGCGGATGGGAGCACAATTGTCGGGGCGGCTTTACTTTGTCGAGTAACGTATCGCGGCTGTGTGACCTGTCGTGGTGCTTCGTCATCTACTTGAGGTTCGTCCTCGTGACGATCCGTCTTTTCTCCGGCCGTGTATTCCATAACTTTCAATTCTCCGTTGGCATCCACATAGCCGTACTTTCCCTTCACCACTCCGTCTTTTGATCGAGTCTCGACTCTGTTGAAGGAGAAAAAAATCATGCCATAAAATTAAAATCATGCCACAAATTCATCCCAGTAGACGAATCCCCGTCATCATTTCAACATCAAGAAGAAGGTTATCAATTATTCACGAGATTATTATTACGCCCTCGTTAAACTTTATGTTGTCGGTGTCTATCCTTGAAAAAAAGGGTAGGAAGGAAAACATGTCCCAGTTTTGCCAAAACGTAGTTTATGTTCCCATTTGACCACAAAATTGAATAAAAATCAAGTAAACATGTCTCCCCGGAAGATGGATGGTGTCTGATATTTTTTCCCCTGGCTGGCCACCTTGAAACCTTTTCATTTGGTATAAAAGTATAAAAACGGGACCAATTTCCTTAAGTATCAGGCGAGGATGTAGTTGTTCTTCACCTTTGCCCTGGTAGGAAATATTGCAGATTATCAGATCCGCATTTGCTTTCTAGTACTTTCTCTGTCCCTGGTCGAATTGGTAAAATGAAGCCAAAACCATCCACTGCAGAAAATGTAAGAGATCAGATCCCCCTGCCAAGCAGAGAGAGGGAGAGAGAAAGTCCCATTATTATAATGTATTAAGGACGAGGTAGACTTTCACTGGGTGAAAGTGGCGAAGACAAAATAAATTGGAATCAGTCCAAAATATCAGACACAGAGGAAAGTCCAGCCCAGTTGTGTTGGAGGAGAAAGCAATTCCTTTTATTTTATTTTATTGATTATCGGGCCCATCTCTCGGTATACGTATAGGTGAAGATAAGGAGTTATCTTGCCTACTTATTTTAAGAGTGGGATATGAGGTGTCGACTTTCGGGGTAGGGGACATTTATTTTTCTAAAATTACTGAAAATCTCGACTTATCTGCTGACTTAGAGGCGAGGGAAATGTTATCGTTCAAAGTGGTGGACAATGGCCAAGGGAAAAATTAATGAAGGCTTTTCTTCTCCTCTTTCGGGATGAATTACGTTCAATTAGTTTCCAGAAATGAAAATGATATCGGTTTTATTGGGGAGAGGAGAAAGCGGAAATAATTGAATAGCGATTGAGTGAGAGAGATGATAAAAACTTATTATTTTTCTTGTATTGGTTTGGTGTGTCTCAAAATTCGATTAAAAAAGTCCAAGATTTCATTCAATTTCGGATTCAGGGGATCCTTTGCTTCGTTCGTAGTGATTAATAACAGTATGACTCCGAGTCTAAAGAAGAATTAGGAAGATTCATCTTCATTTTTGCAATGTGATGTAAGTAAGCTAGGAGAAAAGCAATAAGTGGACGTAATAGTGTTCGGCAAGGACGAGATTGAGGGGAAATAAACAAAATGGATAAGAATGGGTTATCATTCTTAATTTAGACGCACTACGACATAAAGTTTTTTACATCTCAGTTTTTGTTTAAAAATGTTAATTATTCAACAAAAAATTATTCGGCGTTGCAGATTACCAAACTGAAAATTGGAGATTCAGCGATGTGACAGGATATAATTCATAAAATTGATGAAACTGACTTTCACGAAATTTTCATTTTTTACACCTCCACCACGTGCTAAATTGATTCCACATGTGAAATGCATACCACGTGCGAAATGAATCCCTATCTGTACATTTCCTTATATTTCTCTCCCCTGCATTTCTCCCACCTTATAAGAAACGCCACCCTGTGCGTGGACCTTGTCCAAATATCCAAAGTAAGAAGAGAAAGTCAGCCTCGTCCAGCAGTGACTGGATTCCATCCCAATCTCCAATAAAGAATTATGAGGCTGAGCTCCGCATCTTTCTTTAGTATGCTGGATGAGTGTCCAATCCAAACAGGGCCACTCTCCACCAACTTTCTCTCCTCTCTCTGGTAGCTTATCTTACACACGGGATGAGGACTTATCATCAGAGAATCATCATCCACCAACCAAGCACTTTTCAGGTAGTGCTGGATATACTTATTAGCACTGGTGGAGACTGAATAAAGTGTATTTTGTGAGAAACTTCGCTCAAAAGTATCCGAATTGAGGAAGTAGTCGAGTGGAAGAGATATTTAATTAAGTTATCTGCTCTCTCTCTCTCTCTCTCTCTCTCCTTCATCGTCGGCTTCATCTCGGCCACAAGTTTATTATTAGTTTCTTCTCAAAGACCGACTGTCTCTGGTTACCTGAGACGTTATTGCGTAACGCAGGGAAGGAGCTACGTACGTTTCACTTTAGACGCTAGTTAAGTAATGGGATGACAAACCGAGACATTGTGTAATGCTCGTCGTAATTTAATAACTCAGTAATTAAGTGGGTCTTAATTTACAGGGATAATTTTAGTTATGATGATGATGATGATGTTGCACGACTAACCTGAAAGATCCGTCGTCCGCTTCTGTAAAAATATAAGATAAGAGGGAAATCAGTATAGTTTTTTTTTAATTTAAATATGTATTGTTTCATTATATTATTATTATGGGGCTCCTCAGACACATCTCAAAAACTTCGAAATACAATCTGAGTTATATTTCGATAAAAAAAACCACAATTTCTCAAAATTTACAAATCGGCGTTAAAGTTATGTCACCATTGATTTTGATTTCGTTATTTTTTAAAAATTACTGCGTCATATTACGCATTCAAAAAAAGATATTAAATGAAGTGAATTTTGTATCTTAATTTAAATTGGTTTAATAAATGTGCATTATTTTCTCACCGTATCCGAAAGTGTAGCTCCCGTCTTCATTGACTTTGTTGATTTGCTTCATAATTTTGGCATGTTTGGGATTCTCGGCTTCTTGGAGGGGGGTGAGGGCAGGTTTTCCTTTTGAGGGGGAGGAGGACTGGAGAGAATTGAGGGCTCGTTGTGAGGTGGCGTCAACTGTGCTGATTGCGAGGGCACAGGTGAGGCAGATAACCTGCGTGGAGTAAAATCAGTTGAAAATAATTATTAACGTGCTAAATTTATGTTTAATTTTCTTTATCCGTTCCGTAAGTAAATGTTGCAGTGGAAATTGGGCAGCTAGATATTTTTTAGTGTGTTCTGTCGGATTTTACATTTTTTTACTAGAGACACTTTTCATAAATTAGTAGAAAGTTGATTTAGAAATATTTTGATGGTTCTTTTGAAAGTTAAATAGGTGAGTTGAATTTGATTACCGTAAATTTTGATAAATACATATGGATGAAAATAAGATTTTGTTTTTGATATGTTCTAACGCCAAACATATTATTTGGTAGGAAATTTATAAAATTTTAATTAGACAAGATTGAGTTGATAATTCAATCATAAATTCGATATCATAACCATTTAAATCTTTCTCGTCTGACTGTGTCGCATTTTAACAAATATTAAAAATATTTTTTTTCAAAATATATTCTTCTGAAGTTATACACTTTTAAATTTCCACACATTCATGCATGATTCTTCCGAATCTGCGTCCCTCATTTCGCATGTTGGCACCAACACCACGACGAAAAATACGCTTTCATCCTCTGATATGGATTTGAAACCCGGACGAGTTCCAAGATTTAGGAGAAGCATAAACCAAACTAAACTGAAATAAAGTGAGACATGTTCCTTTCTTGTTCTTTTCCCCCTCTCGAGAACAAGTCCCAATCCCAATTCCCTTCATTCTCCATCCTCGGTTTTACCCGTTTTTTATTTTATTCCTCGTCCTCAGACTCTACGTTTTATTTTTATTTTTTGCAGGCCAACAATGCGAAATGCAGGGATGTACTTGTAGTGAGAAGACACAGACAAAATAGAGTTACGTCCAGTCCTATTATCTCCACATTATGAATGAATGTTACTTGCCAACAAAAGTTACGAGACAGCCTTAATCGTGCTCGAGTCGTAAAGAAGCCGAGTTTATTCTTTTTGCAAAATTCATGCGAATAGTAAAAGCATGTTTCATTTAAAGAGTTGTAATTTTTTGTGAATTTTTTTTAACGATTGAGTATTTTTAGCAGTTCAGTCCAGATTTAAAAAGTTTGCAAAATTAAACGATCCAGTTTCATTTACAAAATTGCAAATAGGTCAATTACATACATGGAAGAATATTTAGGGTCACATTACAATAATTGCAAATTGTGAAAGACTATGCAGATTTTTGCACAAATTCATAAATTTCTCCTCCACTTTCTCTCACTTTCTCTCTCTCCTCCCAAAGAACTTTGCTCGTGGTATAAATCCTCCGAAAAAAAAGTCAACCTTCTTCTGGAAATCTATGCAAGTCTAAACCACGATAAAAATGCAAATGTTCTCCTACTTGTTCTTCTCTGGAAGAAAAATGGTGCAATTGGGTTGACACTAAATGTAGCCGAGTCAAGGGACTCAACAAATCCCTGGCAGGCACTTGTTTCCGCCTGTCCCCTGCCTACAAAAACCAAGCCAAGTCGAAACCCAGGGCTAGATTGGGACACGTAATAACATCAAGAACGTAACGTTTCGAATATTAAAATAATTTCATGGCCGACTAATAAAAGATAATTATGCGAAAGGTATGGGGATTTTACGCGCAAAATATTAATTAAGTCACATCATGCGTTTACAACATATTTTGCGTTTTTAGCAGAATTACGTAAAATTTCGTCCATATGTATGATAACTTTTCTTGTCGGGTCGGAAGTGTCATTTCCGTTCCTTAACTCTGCATTCCCCGGAGGAAGGAAGTCTGGATGTGGTGGTTGGTAAGTAAAATGTGATGACAAAAGCGGGTGACAATGCGGAGTGACAAGGAAGAAATCATGACACGGCTATGAAGAAGATGATTTTTTTGTGGGGAAAATCATGTTTTGGAATTTTTTGTGGAGAGAGTAAAATACAAATTGCGTAGAAGCTAAGGATTGAATAATTTCAGTTCCGTAACGTAAAATTTTGAATATCGGTAATGTTGTGGTGGGTAAAAAGTGGTATTTCTGCATGAAAAGAGTAAAGAACCTGGAATTACTGAAACACGATTAAAATTCTGCTTTATTTTCTAACTTTAATGAACTAACTTCAATTACTTTTAACTAATTATTTTCTTAATTAATTATCTCATCTCATATCATTATCATCTTTCACGACTTTCACCAAGTTCCTGAATTCTCAATAATGTTATCATCACAATAATATAACACGTCTAATTTGAAATACTCACTCGTAATTTAATTGCATTCCTATGCAATCTGATAATAAATAAAATGTTTGTTGCAAATTAAATTCTCATCTTCGCAAATTGTGAGATTGCAATTATTTTGCATGGTAAGCAATCTGCACTTGCCCCGAGCCAGCGGGTAGAGTATCAAGCCGGATCATCTCCACGCGTGCACTGTTCACTTTACTCACTCTGCTCTGAATTATATTAATTCTAGTGCTTATCGTTACTTTTCCTTATCGACGAGTTATCTAACTTAAAGACAAGATGGGTGACACGGAAGTTGAGGCGAGAGAAGACCTTCCCTATGAAACCAAGGTGGCGAGGGCATCAATCATTGCGAAACCAATGGCTTCAAAAAAATTATCAAAGAAACTCTTCAAACTTATTAAGAAAGGTGAGTTTTATAAGATTTGAAGTGTAAAATTTAATATTATTGTTAATTATAATTGAAATTATGCTCATTTTAAATTGGTAATATCACGAATTTTCTAAATTTCCTAATATTTGTGTGAAATAAACACTTGAGAGCAATGCATACATATTTACATGTAACAAAGTTCAGATTTAAACACATGAAGCAATTTTCTAAAGTAATTAACTTTTCTTCACGTACAATTACTGGTTGTTAAATGTTCCCAAAAAATCCTAGTTAACAATTAATTAACCTTGCATTTCTTCCAGCTAACAAGGAAAAATACCATGTTCGGAGTGGACTGAAGCTTGTGCAGAGTAGGATTCGAAAGGGTGAAACTGGGTAAGTCAGTTATAAACAAACTGACAATTTATGTATTTAAAGAAAAGTAATTAATATCTATTTATTCCTTGATCAGACTCGCCGTCTTTGCCGGAAGTGCATCCCCCATCGAAATCATCTGTCATTTACCCGCAGTGTGTGAAGATAAGGCTATCCCGTATGTCTACGTCCCAACTGGGCGTGATATCGGGACTGCCATGGGCGTCAAGAGGTCCACCCTTGTCGTGCTTATCAGACCCCATGCAAATTACCAAGAAGCATACGATGAATGTTTCCATGAAGTAAAAATGTTGCCTCCACCACCATCCGTTGAAATGTAGTAGTAATACTAGCGGATTTTAAACTTTAATTTTAATTGGTTCATTCTTCCTATCGTTTTTTATATATTTTTCCGTAAAATAATTAATAATAGCATTACATGACTTATTAGTTACATAAATTAGTATAGAAATAAGACGACCTTTGTTTAAAGAACGGGCGAGAGATTTTAAGAAAGATTTACCTTTTCTTCTAGCATATCTATTATCAAAGCGTACTTTATATTTACAAATACGTAGTAAGTAATAAAAAAGGCTAAATAATCACAATTTTCCATGCTACATAAATTATACAATATAATGGAAGATTCTATTTCTTGTTAATAATTTTCCTTCCTTGAACTTGCATTTCCACTTCCCCAAAAAAATAATTCACAATTTTTAGCAGTTATTACCATCATCATCCCTAATTTAATTATGAATCACCTTCGATTTCCCATCCCATTAAGAGAGCCACGGTTCAGCTCACAATTAGCCGGTAGTGCAGTTTAATTAACTCAATTCATTCATTTCCACCCTTACCAGCCAACCATGCACCACCTGCATACATTACTTACTTACACACTCACTATCAAAACTTGTGTATATAATTGTGCATTATCTCTCTCTTATTCTTGAGAAAAGAATGAAATAAAATATATAAATCATGCCTCGTACTTGAGACGTGCATATAAAACCTTGAACACTGCGAAGTAAAGTCTATTCATTCAAAGAAGAGATTTCAATTTTCTGTTGGTTTAGATGAGTGGTGTTAAAATAAAATAAAATAAAATAAAAATAGCTACACTATAGCCAAGAAAACAACCAAGTACTTCGTTCTTTTACGCAAAAAATAATACAATTTGCTAAATAATGGCATGAAAATGACTCCCAACTCCGCAGTACTTTGGCATTATTATTACTATTACCTCACCTCTAAATCTCAATTCACATTCACAACGACGACGTTTCTCTCTCACAAGAAGACAATTAGTTAATTGCACTACTTGCACTTGAAGCTGCTTGCGTAGATAAACCATGGTGGATGGATGGATGGAGAGGAAATAAAATCTGTATTATCTTATCCTTTACATGTAAATGGAGGTAAATTAGCCGTGAATTTGCGGTGTGACTTTTTTCCACAAACTTGACAAGAGACCTTCTTTTAAATTTTTCCATTTCAAGATGACTCAAATCTCGGTTGGATTTTTCGTGGAAATTATTTTGTTAAAGGTCACGCAGCAAATTAAGAAGAGTAAACCTTCCTATGCAAACCAAGGCATGAAACCAAATCAAAATTATTTAGCAGGTGATTTGTATGTACTTCCCAAGAAAGAAAAAAATATGTAAAAAACGCTCCAGACAATGAAAAGATTAAACAATGGAATCAGTTTTGGTGTACAAAAAAAAATCAACCACATCTTTCTTACATAACATTTTGGTAAATGAGTTAAAATCCGGTAAAACCTTTCTCATTTGCAATTTGAGACGGAACGAAAGGAATTCTTGGATTAAGTTATCTCGTGTGGTTTGGCTTATCGAATCAATGTTTGTTAAAGGGAGAAAAAGTGTGAAATTTCTTAATGAGATTGAACAATGAAGGATTTCATGGTAAAAAATATAATTATTTGTGAGGTTTGATCTGCGGAAGAATTTCTGGATAGTATTATTTACTTGGACAATTTGTACTAACTGAAGTTCGTTGAAGTTTGAATGTGCTAATTTTGCACAGCATTTAAATCGAAATGTTTTGAAAAATGTTCAGATTAAACGTCGGTTTGAAAATCTGAGAAATTTTAAATATTCATATGAGTCAAGCAGGTATATCTGAGAGGATTTCTATAAGTCTAATAGCTTATAGTTAAGATAAGTATGATATATGATATTTGTATGTATGCATATGCCTACTAATCGAAACATTTTAAAACAATTATGCAAAGTTTGTGTTACATATTTACTTTTTAACTTCTATAATAACTCAAAATGAATAAGTTTGAAGTTATTTTAAAAATTTCTAGAATTCTAAAATTTGAGTATAGGTGATAGATTACGTTTCCTTCTTAGCGTTGAAAATAGTATAATAACAACAAAAATAGCACAATTTACGAAATTTGCATAAAACTATGTACGAATAGTTGACATGATTTTTTTCTTGCATGTTTTTCACACACTAAATAAACAAATTACTATCCGGAAATGGAATCTAGTTTAGCTTAGTTTAGCACTCGATAAATTAAGACTTACTTAATTTTAATTATATAACTCAATCTAATTATGGAATGAGGGTCTACTTATATTTATAAATTGGATTAATTAACTCTGTCTTTAGGTATGTTGCTTAATTAATTCCGCGTTACGTATATTCATACATATGAAAAGGAAAAGTAAATACATATTTTTAGCCACTAACACTTTATCATATCAAGATAGACATATATGTACATTCGCAGAATCGTATTATGCCACCTGCCACAATATAATAAACAAATAATGATACACATTCATAATCCTGGGATAACTTTGGCTACAAGAATGTGCACACATAATTCTGTAATTGTGTATCTTGTAAGATTGTTGCTATTGTGAGTCACCTGCGCATGCATATTGTTAGTCTTGGTCTGTCGAGTTTTTACGGTTAAAACTTGATAAAATACAAATGTATGTAACACAAACACAAGCATTAAAATAATTATTATGCAACTCATGCACCTCTTGAATTACATATTTATATAACTCGCTCTGAGACATTTATTTAGTAATTTGGAATGTAAGTAATGTAGCTCAGTTTTTGTGTGTAATCAAAATAAAATGACACGAAATTGGAAAATCGTCCATATTATTTCATTTCATGCATGATTTTTATGTACATAGTTTCATGAAATCGTATAAGGAATCTTTATATGGAAAGATTAGTAATGTAATAATAATTGATAGTGTTTGGATCTTAGCAGATACTACACATTTATGGCAATATTAAGTAAGTAAAGTAAGTGCCCTATGGCTGTCGAATGTGAAATTAGCCACACTTTTTTACGACTGAAATCTCTAAAAATTGACAGAATTGGCTCGACTTGGTGGTACCATTGATTTACTATTTTGTATGGTACTCTGTTGTGGTATGCAAGTAACTGCAGAAAGAGTGAATGTCAAGTTTAACTTTTGGCATTATAATTTTCATGCTGTTTTTTGGAAGAATTAAATATTATGCAATTCATCCCGTCACGAAGAATCAATTCAATTCCATATTTGTGAATACGGCTCGTACAAGTGGTATGTTTTTCATGCGTTAAAAATCGAAATTGTAGAAAAATGACCCAGTTTCGCAATTCAGCAAATTATGATATATAAATTATCAAATTGTCAAGATTTAAAGACACTATTGGAAAATTCAAAATATTAATAATTGCAAGTAAAATTTCCAGATGTGTCTTGATGTCTCTATGTGGATGACGTTTACTTACCCCAACTGTCGCCATTTTGAATTCCATGTCGAAAAATCTTCTTGTAAATATGACTTCCAAATTTCCAAATTTCTTGGAAATCACGAAATATATTTTCACAAAAACGTTCCTTAATTAATTCTTTAATGTGAGTAAAAAAAAGTTAATGGTCCCCCAAATCGTGTCGATGGACCAGCACGGAGACTGACACCAAACTAGTGAAACCAAGTTGTCGAGCCGCAGAGCAAGAATGAAATGATCTCTGTCGCCACTGGGATGATAATATGCAACAATAATGGAATGGACGGAAAGGGAGACTTGGTCGTGGTCGTTGCAGCTTTTCATGCGATATTGAGATGACGACTAGGAAATTACGGCACAAACAATCTCCAACAATGCGAAAGAACTTACCTGAACTATAACTAACTAACTATAACTTAAGTAACTGGCTATTATTGTACTCTTCACCTTCTTCATTCATCATATCCGTATCGTAAATACGTCTTAACACAATGCAGCCAGACATTTTTCCCATGGAGGACTTGATATGTATGTAAGTAAATACCTGTCGCTATTTAAAAAATGTGTGCAAAAAATGTGCAAAAATATGTCATACATATGCACATATCCGCGTAATGAGTCAATATCGTAATATACATTTGGTCAAAAAAGGAACAAGAACAATGATATTATCAGTTTAGAGTAAATATTAGCGGCGTGCTAAAAAATTACCAGGTAGTAAATTGTAAGTTCCTGTAGCGTAATTTTAGTATTTTAAGGTTCTCGTCGTCAACATAAAGTAATGTTAAGTAAAGAGGTAGAAATTCTTACGAGATTTGCATAGTTCTTGTTTTTTTTCTTCTAAAATTTTGTGAACCTGAACATTTACTTGCTTATTTTTACGAGTTTTTTTTTGCAAATGGTTAAATGAGGGACGAGACAATGGCAGGTGTCAAGTCAAGAGAGACAATGACACTCCAGTTTTAATGGGCAGAGATCCTGTTGAGTAACCAGCTTGACTGTTTTCATTTCTTGAAAAAGGTACCTGATTTAGTTTACTGACTTTGAGTACTTTTGACATAAAAAGGGGGACAGTTTATGACTTTTTACTATCAAATGCTTACGTATTCCCTTCTTTCCTTGTAAATATTAAATTATTCCTCGTCCCATATCTTGCTTCAATTTGCGTTATTTTTGTCCCATACAAATTGAAGAATCTTGACCCTCAACCGATCAGATTCAGATCAGTCATCCGCATCTCCGTAAAAAAGTAGTGTCATTTCATTTCATCTTGGGATTTACATGCCTACCGTATTTTTCATGCGTATTGTGCATCAAGTAAAGATTATTTTGCACAACATATTTATTTACCACTAATTGTTGTATGGATAAGCAAGAAATTGTGGAAATCTTATCAGCGTATGCAAACTAGTATTTAGAAATTGAAACTGATTTCCCAACGAATCGAATTTAAATCGTGATCATCCACTCCAAATCTATCTCAATATTTTGAGATTGGATTGCTAATTCTTGGGTAGATTGCGAGTGTGAGAAAAATTCAGATTAGCTCTCATTCCCATCGGCTCCTCTTCTTCTTGAGTAATAATTTGAGTGAAGAGTAAAAGTGTAAATGGGATGGTAGATATGTGAAATAGACAATAAAATAATGTAGTGTGAAAATGGCACTAAAAGAGACAAACAATTTTTATTATGGTTTTTTACATTTCATAAAATTTAATTACCATTATACATTTTGTACAAAGTTTGGAAAGTGTAAAATCTTTAGAGCTTGCTTCTCTTGTGAAATTTTATTTGATAAAATACCTACTAGACGTAAGGTCTTTCCAAGGACAGGTTCTAGTATCCGAGTGGGGAGACGGGGGGCACAGTCGGACAGAACAAAATGACACGTCTCACTTTAATTCGCAGATGAGAATGATCTACACAAATCTGACTGAAAATAGAGGTCTCCCAGCGTATGCTCTTCGATTTTGACCAAATTAGTATCAACCGATCATAAATTTAATTTATACGAAATTTGCAAAAGATACTATCTGTCAATGCTCAGGTTTGGCTGAGATATTTACATTCGAAGAGGAGAAGACGCGTAGTAAATTTTGAAAGTGAAAAACTTGTCGAAATATGCGCGAATTTTTTCGTGTTTGGATGCAAACATCTCTGCCAAATTTGAGCTTTGACAGAAAGTGTCGCTTCTAAATTTCATATTAATTAAATTTGTGATCGATTGGCACTAATTTCGTCTAAATCAGAAAGCATGCGCTGGGAGACATCAATTGTGAGTTTCTTAGACGGGATTCCTCAAAATGTTAATGGAAATGTGCTAATTTCATGAAATGCAATAAATGTGGTCATTTGTGTATGTACACACGTATGTGGTCATATTTATTATCAAGTCGACATGATCATGACCACGCCACACCGCAAAATAATAGTAAAACACAGCCAAGTTTTACTTTTATTTGATAACATTAAATTCGTACTCGAAATAAGTAGGTGGATAAATTTTTGGCATGGCTTTTGTGCAGAGAAGTTGGTGCTGGGTATTGAAGGTCGGCAATGTATCTGTTGTATGATTAAACCTAGGGTTGAGTTGTCGATGTGTCATTCATTCTTCAGAGTAGCTTTGTTGGTTACATGTACTTGTGTTATGTCATACATGATTTTACACCAAAGTTTGTTTACAAATTATTTTGTTTGTGCTGATTATGTTACATCGCCATTTATTGTCCTTTTTTGCCATGTAATACATCACATTGTTCTTATTGTCTATAAATAAAACAAGAATATATAGATGTGGTTTTTGTAATATATTATGGAGACGAATTGCAAGGTGGAGAAGGTTCAAGTTTGGAATAACATACATTTTTTGGTAATCTATTGCATTTACATATAATTAATTATAATTAAATATCTAAACTTTATGTGATACAATACTCTACTCATGAAAATAAAAAAACGAACTTTATGTACGTATGTATACCAGGTTTGCTAAATATTAGGGTTAATTTAAAGTTTGCACATCTGTACGAAACTGTTTTTACAAAGTCTTGCAAATATGAATAGATAATTGCATAGTTTGCAGGTTTTAATTTCTTACATATGTCATTTTAAGTGATCAAGTTCTTAATTACATTTCACAAATAGTGTTGTGAACTACTTTTAATATGTCAAATTTGACTTACTCGATTTATTTATGTATGTAATTTTGGTCTGCTCAACAAGCCATGTTATTTTATAAATATGAAACCAATCATACCAAAATAAGACAAAATCATCAATACACAATTATCAGAAAACTAATACATCAATTTTCACTTACTTTGCCAACTTACGTGATGATTACTTGTTCTCAAATTGTTATTTGCCTCTCTTTAAAATAATTGAGAAGACCTTGACAATTCATCATCGCTTCATTTTCAGCCTCCTATACATTTTTTTTCTGATCGGACTGATCTTCTCTTCACTCTGGCAATGAAATGTGCAATCAAGTGCAGCAAACAACACTAGTAATTATGAATAATCATGTCGCACATGCCAGTTCATCATCGTCGTGAGATAAGACGAAATTAAAATTAGTTGCGTTTATCCCCATCTCATTATTACATGGTTAAATAATTTGCATGCACTTTCGTGTTCGATTCATCACACATCCGCGACTGACAAGATTCCATCGAAATCCAAATCAAAGTACGAACAATTTGCACAAGTCATGCTCACCTAAGGATGAGATGAATCCACTAATTGCTGCTGCTGATAAATGAAACCTCCACGTAAAAATTAGGCACATATTTCACGATTCAATCTCATTCCATCGAATCTTGATTTATTTATCGTTTAAAAAAATGAGTGATGATTGGATCGAGTTTCCTGCCGGAGGAGGCAATTTTTTGCAGAAAAGTTGCGACTATGTGTAGGTAGTTTTATTAAAAGAACACGAAAACTAACTCGCCCACGCCCATAGTTAAGAAGAAAATCGTTCCTGTCTCATCATTACCACATGAGAATTACATTACAATATGAGAATTTGCTGGTGGTAAGCAAGTACCTGAATATATCCGCATCATTCATTTATATTTTTTTCACTGTGTGAGAAATCCTTATACTAATCAAAAATATGATGAGAATTAGCGGATTTAATAATTTATTCGTTTGCGAATAATTATCAAGTCAAGGTCGTGAAATTAGTATTGAGTTTAAAAACGCGAATTTATTAAGAATTGGCTATATTTCATGTTAAACAAATCCTTATCCATCACATAGTGGCGAAACTGATGAACTCGGCGGGGTAAAAAGTTCACGAGTTTCGGTGGGAATTTTGAATTATTTGCAAAAAACTGCAAAACTCATCTGGAGTTGTTTATGTTTTTAGTGGTTTCCAGTGTGTGGTGGCAGCTTCCCACCACACATACTCTACTAATCTCAAAAAGTAGTACAATTTTGACATCATTTTTCACTTTGCGGGTTTCAATGTACACGCATAAGTTTGAAATTTTCAGAATATAGCTGTCATTAGTTTCGCAACAAATTACCATTCATCGATAAGCAATTGTGATTGTAGTTTTATTTATATTAATCAATATTTGTGCAAATTTAGGTAATATTGAGATTATTGATTAATATAAATAAATCTACAATCACAATTGCTTATCGATGAATGGTAATTTGTTGCAAAACTATTAATAATTATATTGTGAAAATTTCAAATTTTTGCGTGCACTTTGAAACTCTCAAAGTGAAAAATACGGTCAGACTTCTGGACTCATGCGTAGTATAGAGAGGAAATGCATAGCGAGAGCTCTTCTCGCTCAATAGAGCGAGGAGATAAAATATCACGCAGGCTTAAGACTTGTTAAAACAAGGTTGTCTGTATATTTGCAAAAATGCAAAATTAAAGTATGTCCACAATGTGCCAAATATTTATTGTTATTTGCTTATTAAAAAAATTTTACTATTTTATTTTGCATTTAGTTTTACAATTTGTGAAACGGACCCAGCCCAAGAGGCAAAAATGCAACTGCTATACGCTCCAAAATCACGGAAAAATAATAATCTTCTATCCAACATCCTTCACAAAATTACCATTTTTATTTAGCTATTTAAAAAATGGATCATAAATCACTACTTTATTTCATAAGCTTTTGTAAAAGTCAACCCAGCTGGAATTTCGGCATATAAATTGCAAATTGCAATTTATTTATAATCTACAGATAGGTATTTTTACCCAAATATTTATTTGTGCTAAAAAAATTGCCGACAAAAACCAAGAAATCCTTTACTTACTTAACTCGGTCAATAATTAAGTAACCATGGACTCAAGTGAACGACGGATGGATTGCATAATTCGACATGACATGATCTTTCCTCCCTCCTCGTCGAGATATAAATCTCAACGCAAAGATCACAAGTAACAGAAGAAACATGCACCAAAAAAGAATCGTGGGTCGAGTCGCCTTGTCAAGAACACGACTTTTGTCTCCCTGACTGCATTTATCTATCTGAAGTTAGTGACACAATGCGCAAATTCTGCAAAAGAATAGGTTTTAAAATAGCAGAATGTACACATGTACACGCACCCACTATTTGTAACAAGCTCTTTAATACATGAAATTCAATAAAAATAAATTAGCCTGATTTGCAAAGAATTCAAATTAGTGTAAAAAAAATAGAAGCAAAATTGTTCTTCGCTTTAATAATTGCAACATGTTATACGAGCCCTAAAATAATTTAGGAATACGTAAAATCAAATTCAGCCCAAAAATTTTGAAACAACTTTCTGGATTTTTTTATCTTGACGTGAAACCCCTCAATTTATTATTCATTCACGTTTCGTTATACACAACATATTATGAAACAGGGGTTTGATTAGTGCATATGTACATATTTATATGATGATGATAAGCCATAAATAAAATGCACAACGGCACCACACCACACCAAACCACCGGTAGTGACATTAATGATGGTGTTGTTGGGTTGTGTTTTTTGTTAAGGTGTTGCTCAACATTAAAATTTCGTTTTTTTAACTTGCCACCCATCAACATTACATTAGAGATATGCACCATTCAAAGTAGAACACTTTTGAATTTCGTATAATAATTTGGGCGACTTTATTATTATCACATTCACATTGTTTTAGTCTGTGCGCAACAAACAAAACCAAGACGGTAGATGACAATCGTTGATTATTCTGTTCTGTTGCTAGATTTATTAGAGCGATGTAAGTAATAAAATGCAAAATTTAGTAAGACATTTAAAATGCAGTTTGACTTGGATAATGTGTTGTATACACATAATAATGCTGTAATATTACACCTTTCCTCCCGGCGAAAAACTGCATGGGTTCGTATACTTACTGTCGAAAGATATCGAATTTTTGTAGTAGCAAGGATTTTACATGCAAAATATTGCAAACTTGATATTAAATGTGAACAATTTGTTATTTTGTAAGGTGGTCTTGATTACTAAATATATATAAAACTTATCTTTAATCGTGCATAAAAGGTTTGCAATTTCTTGCAAAAAATCATGGAACTTATCTATAATATGGAAAATTTTGGTGTGATTTTTGTGCTAATTTATGCGCCTGTAATTTTTCAAGTAAAAATGCTTCTAAGTATGTCATACTTCCAATAACAAGTTATTCATTAGTAAATTAAATTTAAATCAAAAATTAAAATATTTCAATTACTTGCATGAGAAAGTACAAGAAGTAATTACAAGAAACACAATTTTGGCGAGTAAGATTCTTACCGTAAATATTACATTCGATTTGACAAATAAACGCTACTTTGTAAAACGTTAGTCATAACATTTATCGTTTGTAATATACAAATTACTATTCACATTAATTTAATAACATTATTCCCTCGAAAGGATACATACTTACATAAAAGTGCTACCGTTTTGTAGTCGAGTGCAATATCGTGCTTCATGTGGTGACTGGGTTTTGGTTACATTTTACAAACGAGACTGATCATGATTATTATTTGCAACACAAATTGACTAAATGTCATTTGAGCAGAGAGTTACATATTTTTGTATATTGTGACATTTTTCCATTGTTATCGAATACTTAAATTGAGCAAGTTCACGTCGGTGATTATCTGTGTATGACGTGATGACACATTTTTTGTTACAGAATTTGGGATGAAAACCATAAAATTTAGTTAAAAGTGTTGATTGTAATTAGGACTGACAATGTAATGGGCAAATTTGAGTCAGGTTAACGACATAGTCGTTTCGAGAAGAATTCGCATCATGTAAATTTGCTAATTAAGGAATTTCTTGAAACATAATAAGTACTGCACAACTTTCGCTTTTTTTGCTGCACTGTTTATTTACATGAATCGATTGAAATTGGGGGATGGATGGATGGATAGATAAATAGATTAGTTAACCTTGAGTAGCCCATTTAAGCCGGTCTACAACGTTTAACAAGAAAATGCACAAATAAGTAAATGAACCTTTTCAACCGAGCAAACCGTGAACTTTCGTCCTATTTACGGCCAATCTAACAAATTTACAGTGATCACATAATCATCTTGTGTGTACAATGTGTAATCAATATGCTAAGTTTTATACCTATTTATGTATGTATTAAGTAATAAGTATTTACATATTTAGTAGTCCAGTAATTGTTATTACAAGATTTCACACGTAAAAAGCAGGTGATCGAAGTTTTTATGAAACTTAATCCATTTTTATCGGAATCTACATGCGATTATCAGTAAAAACGCATGTTTTCAATGCATTTGTGTTAATGGTATCAAAATGGCAAGTATTCAAACAAAGCATGTCGTCATCCCGAATTTGAGCAGTCTTAATACCTATAATCGAACTACCCAGTTGTTTGCATAATAATCTGGCTTTTTAGATTCGTCATCGGGTATTCCTCGGGTAAGAGTATGTACAAAGCGAGTGATTTTTATATTTCTGAAAAAAATGTGCATTAAATACTAAACCCTTAAGAATAGATAACTTACTAGACCATAAATGTAAACCAATTTCATAAAAGACACGCCATTTCAAGAGCCCTCATCACACAGACCAATTATTGAAATTGGTCACATTTGTCATTTACCTATGTGAAGTGTGTATAAGCATGTGTTATCATCATCTCGATTTGATTCGTCCCCACTAGAAAAACTGGTCTGATTTTATTACCACTCATCTCACCACATATTTGTTATGTAGATCACAAGAGATGCACATCTTCTTGATTGTTATGTCGTCTTCATTAATTAATTAACCTTTAAATGCTTCAGGTACAAGAATCTTGGCAAATAAAGTCAAAAGCAATCAAAGAAATCGATACGTTGTGCTCTGAATTATTTATTTATTTCATTGCCCTTCTTGCATCATTGTCATCTTCGTTTTCGTCGTCCCCTTCTCCACTAATTATTGAAAGATAGCGATAATTTCGCCACAATTTCGTTAGCCAATGTATCTACCTTATCTATTTTCTGTCTCGGACTTTTTTTCTTGAACCAAGTGCAATTTTTCTTATCAATATAATTATTCATAGTATTCATTTCCTTGCTAGATTGAAACGACGACGAAAAAAAGCAGAAATGTCAAAAGTGGTAGCATGAAATAAAACTAAAAGGTGTGTATTAAAATGAAACTAACTTAATAATAATTGGCTCGATTTTGCACTTTTACTTTTTTTAGGTAGTTATATATTTATATTTACGAGTTTAGTAGTGGTCATGTAATAAAATTGTGTGCCAGGTATTTAGTGTATGAATATTGAGTGGAATTAATTAATGGGGTACATGCCTCACATTACATTTGTGTATGTATTTTATTACGTGTGCATGGATGGTGTTGAAAGAAAAACGAGCTACAAATCATAATAGCGTAAATTATCTTGGAATCTTGAATTCTTAATTTTGGTCAGGTTTTGGTTTTTACGAGCTCAATTCTTTATTTGACATTTTATTTTTTACAGTAATGTAATTCACTTTGTCACGCTATGTATGATCTAATGAATATTACAGTGATTTTGCACTGGGTTAAGTGACTTATTTTACGCATTGGCCATTTAAGTTTTTGATAAGGAGTTGTACAGTTTTGACAAGGAAAAAAAATTTTCTCACTCTAATTGCAACGCACATATGTGTGGATTATCATGCTGGCATGTTATCGGGCTTATCGAAATTTAGAGAAAAAAAATTATTGATACCAAACGCATAATCCACATGACACACGGAAAATATTTTTAAAAATATTTTTTACTTAATGTTTTTCAGTCAGCAAATCTCTGGCTATTTGGCTACGTGACTCAAGGCATGTATTTTGATACGCACTATGTTGGGAAAGGGCACGGTTTATTAACGGTTAAATGCAAGCATGTTCTCGAAAAGCCCAGCAAACCCGGGTATATGACATTGATCTCATGTTCACGTTCAATTTTCTGTCTGTCTGCCTGCTTCTCCAGACAGAAAATGCGAGAACTTTCACGTTCTTCTAGAGTTCTCAATGGTCCGGATTGGTCCGGATCAGCCCTGATCCGAAACCGGACCGTGGCCCGAAACCACAAATCCGAAACCGGACCGAAAAATTTCCGTTCGGCCCAGAACCGGACCGGGACCGGACCAGGACCGGACCGGTCAATCCGGGCGGACCGAAAAATATATCATTATAGTATAAAGACCCATAGTACAGTATAATAATTACCACATATAGTATATGTATAAATAGTGCATTGAGATTTATACACGTATTATGCGTAAATGTATTATGTAATTATGCATAAGACATATATGATACATGTATGTATATACAACCAGAATCCCAAATGTTTCAGATTTAAATAGATAAATGTAGCGGATGAGGTCTCGTAAGTTCTATCGGTCAGTGTTTTAGACACATAATCTCAGGACCAATTTACAATTTCCTTTTTTTAATTTTAAAATACATGAGCAAGAGTAGGAATTTAAAAAATCCTCCCAAACTCAAGGAGCGTAAGAACTTTAAAACCTAAAAAACGTAATTTTTATGGATCATGTGGAGAACTTTTGAAATATATGTAACATAGAATTTGCGTATACTGAAAATTCATGAGTTTAGCTGAAAAAATTCAAAAATTCTAGGTCAAAGTATTAAAATTTCCTTGCGCGCCAAAATATTCGGGCGGACCGAAAACCGGCGGTCCGGTCCGGTCCTTGAAAAGCTGATCCGAAACCGGACCGAGGACCGGACCGAAACTTTCGGTCCGGATTGGCGGATGGCCCAATCCGGGACCGAACCGTCGGATTTCGGTCCGGTCCGGGCCAACCCGAAGCCCATTGAGAACCCTACGTTCTTCTCTGTTGTGGGTATAAAAGCCGGCTTTTCTCACGCACCGAGCACAGTCCGAGTTTGACTTTCTTAAAAAAAGTGTTGAAAACTTTGTCACGAACGTTTCCAAAAATCGACGAAATTACATTTCAATTCATCAGGGAATACTCTCTCCGATTAAAAACTGGTAAGTTGCGGATACCCGTGTATCAAAAAATTTGAGTTTATAGTGAAGTTTGGTATGAAATTTTGAAAACTAAATCTCATTTTCTAAATTTTCTCGTTTTTTTTTTATGCAGAAAATGTTTCCAATCCGATCTTACGACCCCTTCGTCAACCACCCCTTCCGTCTATTCAACCAGAACTTTGGAACTGGGCTCTTGGATTACGACCTGCCTTCGATAGCTTATCCGAACTGGGCCCTGGATCATCCGCGACGACTCCACACCCCACAGCAAAGCGGATTCTCCGAGGTTCAATGCACGAAGGACAAGTTTGAGGTAAGTCGGCATAAGTTTGTTGGTCAAATTAAGTATGGAATATTTTTGTTATTCAATTTGAGACTAATTTATCTTTGTAACTTTGTCAGGTCAAGTTGGATGTTCATCAATTTAAACCCGAAGAAGTGCAAGTGACCACGGTGGACAACTACGTCGTCGTCGAGGGGAAGCATGAAGAGGTGGGTAATCACTAATAATTAATAATTGTGCCATTAATTTTTGTGCAAATTTCTTAATTTTAACGTAATATTCTCTGTTTTGCAGAAAGAGGACCCTCACGGGTTCATCTCTCGCCAGTTCAAGCGTCGCTATCTTCTTCCAGAGAATGGGATGATGGAGAAAGTGGTCTGCAACTTGAGTTCGGATGGCGTTCTGGTCATCACGGTGCCACGGCTGGAAGCGATCACTGAAGGCAAGGAGAAAGTCGTCGCTATCAACCAGACTGGAGTTCCAGCTCTCACCAACACTTGCGCCAAGAAAGGTTGCAACAAGGCGGCAGCAGGAGGGGACGGATGTGGAGAGAAAAAGAACTGAATTTGTTACCGTTTGTGCTACATACATATGTATTACTTAATTCCTGTCAAATGAGTTTCAAAGATTTTGTTTTCTGTAATTTGTCAAAGTATTTAAATATCTAAATTAATTATTTATTGATTTAAGCTGTCTCCACTGGTCTAGTTATCTCTAGCAATAATTAGTCGTGTAAGCTTAACATGTCAGTTAAGGAAAAAGTTGAAATGCTGTGCACCAGTTGGAGATAACTAATCTGTTATTTTTCATATTAATTTTTGTCACTAATTGGCAAATTTTCTTTCTAATAAAAACAGACTTTAAAATCTTGTGAAAATTGCGTTTGAATTGCATTTATTTTATGATTCATGAGTAATGAAAAATGCTAATCAAAATTTTCTTCTATTAAAAATAGACTTCAAATCGTATGAAAAATGTGTTTGATTATTATTTACTTGATGATGCACGACTAATGCAAAATGCTAATCAAATGCTAAAACTAATAGTCACCACCACAAGAATTTCAACTGTATCAATTTATTAATTTCCAAATTTTACAATTTTGACAAAAAAATATTCTCTCGTTCTAATTACAAAGTATCGTCACATCTTTATCGAATTTTTTGAAATATGAGAAAAATGGAGTCGTTATGTCGTTATCTTATCACAGCTTAATAGCTTGAGCTGGAACCACCATAGCTGGACCCACCATAGCTGGAACCTCCATAACCACCCGATGATTGGTAACCCATCTGGACTGGAGTTCCGTACGAGCTGGAGCTGTAGGTCTGTTGGACGGCTGGGTAGTTGGGCTGTGGGACGGAGATGGTCTGGGGCTGGGAGTAGGTCACGGCCGGCTGGGTGTACGTGATTTGTGGGGGCACGAAAGCAACCTGGGGGGTGACGTAGGAGACCGGTTGGCTGTTGTAGTTGGTGTTGGGGCCGCTGTAAGTTTGGGCCTGGGCTGGTGACCCCTGAGAGTAGGAGGACCCTCCGTAAGAAGAACCACCACCGTAGCTGGAGGGGACCGCCATCGCGCTGGCGACGAGGACACAGAGAACGACGAACTGAAAAGTGAAAAAAATAATGCAAAAATTAAAATTTAGACTTTAAAATTCGGGAATTTCGGGGTTTTTCCGGGGAGTTATTGTTATCTTACTTGTTTCATGATGATTTTCGGAGGGGGTTGGCTGGATGAGATTAGCTGGATTGGATTGGAAGATGAGATGAGAGTGAGTGATGCCCTGAATAGTTTTGGGGGTCCTTTTTATACGACTTTGCAACATGTGTGGTGGGGTAGTGGTCATTTTAAGTTAGTATTGTTTGTAAATAGTAGTAGGAAATGATGGAAATAGAAAACTTTCATATTTCCTAAATCAGTATGCATTTTATTTTTAGGTTTTAGGTTTAGGTTTGCTTCAAGGAAAGTGAAATCTCTGGGAGTCTGGTCTGGATCAAAGGGTTGGTCTATTTAAACCAGTTAGGTTTTAAAGGTTGGCCTTGTGCTCGATCCTCCAAAAGTAAGAGTTGTACCAGATTTAAGTATGTAAGGGTACACTGTGTGATTTCTTGATGTTCGTTGTCCATGCTGTCATGTCATGTCATGTCATCAATTCTGCTTAAATTATGTTGAGCTTTAAATTGTGGTATGATACAATTTGTTAGACAGTGCTATGCAATTTCTGTAATGTAAAAATGTAAGTATTGTGGATAACATGGATGAGATGCAGTTGTACATATTTTTGCATCCCTGGATGATAATGTTTGACCAAAATGTGAGAAAACGAATGCAAAAAATGCAGTTTGAAGTACTAACGAGGTGCGAATAGATCAGTGGATATACATTTTATCAAACTGACTCATTAAACAGGAATCGTTGTGCAAACAAATTTTTTAAATAAATGTGACAATTTTAACAGTTTTTTATACAAAATGGGGGGACGAGTGATAAAAGTGTATCTCTTTATAGAGGTACTAGTTTGTTTCATATGGGTGAAGGTTGGATCTCACCCACAGCCAATGACGCTGTTTTATCAGAATCAGGTAACGATCTCAGATTAAAATTAAAAATTGAAATACATTTCTAATTCTTAGTACAGAGAAAATTTTGAATTTTCATTTTTAAATTTCAAACAGAATCAACATGACGAAGGCGTCATCATGTCCCCTGAATCAATGGCCCCAGCACAAGATAGGATGGACACATTTGAGGAGGAATCGTCCCCACCAATTTCCACATTCACGTTCCCCGTCCCACCCCCACAATTCATGCCCCTATTCAGACCAATATCTGCCCCACAACAATCTAACGGTCAGCTACCTCCAGCAGAGACAAAACGCACGTCGAGAACCGCAAATCTGCAAGATTTTGGAGGAGAAACTCATTGGATGTTTAGCGGAAATAATAATAATCCCCCCGAAATTCCAGGAATGATTACCCTCACACCGCCCTTTATCATACCTGAATATGCGTCTTTGCCCATGAATTTGGCCGCCCAACCACAAACACCACCTCCTCCACAGCTTCAACCACAATTCCAATTTCAGTCTCAACAGCAACCGCTATCATTTCAATTCCCAATAATCAGTCAGCAAAATTATCAGCACTTTCCACAACCTCCTCCACCTCAATTTACTTGGCAGGCGGAACCTCTCTCGCCGGAAATGGAGGCCGCGATAATGCAACAAATCCAGCAGCAGTATATTTCATCACCAGTTATGCAACCCGCTTATCAAATCGCACCCCCAGGAATAACAACGACCCCGTTGACCCAACCACCAGTGACATCACCTCCACAGATTGAAGATTATGCCGGATCAAAGACAAGCCCAGCAACTCCGGTACTAACCACCACGACGCAACTCCCCCTCGTCCAACAAAAACCGGAAGTAATCTCCACGACCACACCCGTTCCTGCTTCCACCACCACCACAACCACCACTCCCCCTCCCACCACGACCCCCACCACCACTACGACGACCACTCCCACTACCACCACCACCAAAATTAATTATGGTCTTTACTCTGATTCCTCGTACGGATCTGAGTACGCGTCATCATACAAAAATTACAGCAGAGATGTCATCGCGATTGAGAAGTTTGACCATGTCATTAACAAGGATGGTTATAGTGTGGAGTAAGTAGTTTTATTTAATTAAATGCCTAAATTAAGCGATTACTGTACACGTCTTGCACAATATTTCAGGTTCAAATCTGAGAATGGGATCGATTCCAAGGAAGAAGGTCACTTAAAAGTGGTGCCACTACACGATGACACTAAGGACAAAAAAGAAGGACCAACAATGGGTGTGGTCCATGTCAAGTCGGGCCAAGTGACGTGGACCAGCCCGGAGTGTATCACGTTCACATTGAGGTAAATCTTGACTCAATTTATAAGAATCTAATTAAATTATGGTATTTACTAACTAAAAATCTTCTAAAAATTCAGATATTCTGCCGACGAGAGAGGATATCGCCCCAAAATTGACGAAACGCCTTCCTCCTCGGTTGCTTGTCTCAAATACGGCAAAAATTTTGGTGCCGTAATGAACGCAAATTCTTTACCCTACAGTGATAACAAGCAGCCCAAGTAGTGAACTCACATACAAATTACAATATATTTTTGTACGTATTTAGCACATAGTCATAATTTTGTAACCATTAAATTGAGAATCATTAATTTCACGTGTGATTTATTGTTACACATATCGCTTGACACATTTCTTTGTACACGCAGATGGATTACAAAGAGGAAACATTAAGTCCCGTTAAATTCACTTTCATTTTGTTGAAAATATCTCAAAACTGGGAACCGGATCTTACTCTTCTTCACTTATGCATGTGCGTTAAGTTAACCTAATTTCCTCCCACCGTATAAAAGGGTTACACACACCTGGAGTTGGCACTAATTGTAAGTCGACTCTTGACATCACATCTCAACTGCTCTCGTGGGGTTCAATTACAGGGTTAAAACAAAAGAAAATTATGAGTCGGGTAAGAGAACAAGGAAGGAGGACGAAATCAAAAAGATAACCATGTCATCTAATCAATTTGCCATTATTTTTTTTGTCCTCTCAGGTGCAGAAGTTCCTGGTGGGATTTGCCTCACTGGTGGTCGTGGTCTCCGCCGCGGTCGAAGTCGTCCCTGCCCCACCCCCATTTTACAGCTATGGCGAAGTTAAACGGGTATCCCCGATTTTTCCTGGCAGGGTGACCCGCTCAACGGCAGGACAAAGTCGTCAGAGCTATTCGTACAGTCCCGTGGGGTCAAGTCAAGTTCAAAGCTATGCACCTACCCAAACTTACGCACCCGCCCAAACTTACGTTCCTGCCATGCCGACTTATGCCCAGGCGGTACCAGCCCAAAGTTACACCCCATCCGGACCTTATCAACAAACCCAACCCAGTTACGCGCATCACCAATCGTACGCAGTTCCCAACCAGCTCTATCAATCTCGTCCCGTGACCTATATCCCACCAGAGATCACGTTTCATCCCCCAAAGATTATCGTCACGAAGTCCGGCATAACCTACACGGCTCCTGTGGGGTCGTACTCACCCCCAAATTATGTGATGGCACAGCAGTACCAACAGCAGCAGCAGACGTATTCATCCCCCGTTGCACAGTACTCTTCCCCAGTGCAGAGTAGTAGCAGTTATACCCCCAGCAGTAGCAATTATGCCCCCACCACCCCCACTCAATATCAACCAGCAGCAGCGCCCAGCTACCAAGCACAAGCTTCAGATTCGATCTACAAGGTAACTGCTCCAGTGTCTTCGAAATCTGTGACGTCGTCAACTTCTTCCTCTTCTTCTTCATCGGCTGAGAAGGATGCTGACTGTTAAATCGGGTTGATTACTTAATTAAATGAAATAATGTACAAATGAACGGATTAATTCTTATTAAAATTCGGTATTTATTAAAATAAAGTGAGAAATAGAGATACAAATGTAGCTATGTATGAAGCATGGTTTGTTTGTTTTCATTCGGACTTATCAATAAAATGGATCAATTTATCAGCATGCAATTGATGATGATAAAATCTTTGACAATTTACACTTGGCGAAACACAATGCGTGCATCTGCATCTCTGCCTGAATTTCCATTTCTAGCAATATTCTTAAATAACGCTATAATTGTTGCATCATAAATCTGTGGCAAATTTGTCTCAAATAAGCACCAAATCTCACTTATCTAGATAAATATGCACATAAGTTCTCTACGATAACTCAACAATCAACATTATGCATTGCATCTTCACTTGAACACAATTTGTCATTACGTATGCAATCCATATGCTCCTCTTCATAAATCGTCTCTTCTTGTAGTCAACAAGTAAATAAAAATCGTCTTTGTTTAAGTACGTACGTATAAATGAAGGTCATCAAGTACCCTGCTCTTCTCCACCAGTCCTTGAAATGTCGTATCTCTCTCCACTTTTACCTTCAATTTCTTCTCCTCTCGGTCTAAAAATATCGGAGATATCCAACTTTTCAGGGTCTCCTTAAACAATCCTCTCACAATCATGGAAAGCAAATCTCTCGCCCATTGTTTACACGTATTTTCCATCCTCCAGGTATAAAAAGGGACCCAGCCCTTCGTCTCAGCATCAGTTCTCATCCATCTCATCAAATCAACAAACCAATCCATCCGTCAACCAACCAACCCTTCATCATGAAATTTGTAATCCTTTGGTCAAAATTTATTCAAAATTCCTCAATTTTTCAATTTCTATTTCTTCTCTAAATTTCCAGTTGATTGTTGCCGCCCTCGTCGCCTGCGCCGTCGCCAGCCCCATGTCGTATGGTGGATCTTCTTCTTCCTATGGAGGATCTTCCTATGGGAGCTCAAACTCATATGGTAGGTCATCCTCATAAATTACCATTTTATGCAAATTAATGTATCAGTTATTAAAACATGAAAACTTATCAAAATTCCAGGTGGACAAATGCAACCCTCCTCCAACCCTAACATGAAGCAACAAGCCAACTACGGGTCATCCTCAGTGACCTACACCGCCCCAGGACAAGTGTACACCGCACAACCCGTCACCTATGTCGCCCCTCAGGTACTTTATTTTTGCTGAACATTTTTTTCGAAAAATTATCCAAAAAAATACAAATTCAAAAATAATACAATTTTTCTTTCACAGTTGACCTTCCACCCCCCACAAGTCCACTACAACGGACAATCTGTGACCTACTCCCAGCCCGCTGCCGAACAGAGTGGTCCCCAAGTCCTCAACTTCCAACAAGGAGGATCCTCTTACTCCTCGGGTGGTTCCAGCTATGGCGGTTCCTCCTCCTCCTACCAGGCTGCTTCTTCCTCCTACTAAATTCTAAAAAATCGGACCCCACGACGACACGACCGGATATTGTGAAGGAGTAGAATATATATAGAATTTTTAATTTTTTTTAAACGATAGCGTAGAATTTGACAAGGCTGTGATATCGATTGGATTTTTGGATTGATTTTTTGATGAGCTAAATTCTAAAAAAATATAGGCGAGGAAATGTTATAAGTAGTTGAGGTTGATGTGCTGGTCACATTTTTTGAAACCTTGTTGAGAGATGGTAATGATAAAATAAAAATTTATGTTCAAATGCAATTTTTTTGGGATGAGTGGTTTCCTATAGAATTTTTTGCACTTTTTAATTGCATATGCACATGATACGTTAGATATTAAGCATTTTCAGCTTAAAGAATTGTGCATCGTGTCATTTTTTTGTACATCCTTTATTTCCCAACATTACAAGACATTTCGTACTACAAATTGCACTAATTACGTGTTTAAGTCTATTTTTGTAGCTTAGTTAGCGTCGCACTAGAAAATCCCTCTATTCCAATCCTAAAAGTCTCCCTTGACAAACCTGCACATGAGATAAGTTAGTTATCATTTCTTCTTCTAATATGTAAATTAACCAAACTCTCACATTTATCGTCGTTACAGCTTTCACTATATCACGGGCACACATTTTGAACTGGTTCATAAGGCATTCCATATACTGTAGAATTTTCAGATTATTATTAGAATTTTCAATTAAGTTTGTTTTGTAATAGGTCTTTGGAAATTTTACTAAATTGATAAGTGAACATATTTACCACGGGCAACTTATCAGGCACGGTGCAGGAATACTCGATATTCTTCACTGTACTGAGCGTACATCCAAACACACTCTTTTGACAGTTGTCAAAAATGCACTTTTCCTTCTGAAATTCATTTTGTCAAACAGTTTATCAATTTTATTGAAATCATACAATTCAAAAAAAATAATTAGTTTGTCAATTAGTCTGCAAAATATCTAAAAAAATCATTTCAAAAGTTGCATAAACGAAATTATGTTACACTTTGGGTATATTTTGTTCTTTTCGACGCCAAACACGAATTAAGACAATAAATACTGTTTTATATAAACTACAAGGTTCTTCATAGGCAAAAATTCTCCAAATTAAAAAAAACTCTTTCAAATAATCTAAAAACCTTACCTCATCTAGTAAACTATAACACCCGTAAAATCCATTCGCAAACGCGTCATCCTTTTTCGAACCACAGAGTTCCCTCACAATCCTCATTAGCGACATGGGATCCGCGCCCAGCACGCCGTTTACCTCAGTGATCGAAAACGTCGACAAAAACACCACAGTTGCCACCAACACTACAAAAATGTGTCTAAATCTCTGCACGGAAGTCATTTTGACGCGTGTCCCTTCAAAAACTTGGCACAAATGCCTCGTCCCCAGTGGGGATTCGAATTTATATGAATTTTGGATCATGGTCATTTCAAAGTGTGTGCATATGCATATGCAACTTTTATTTATAATTAGTGAGCCAAGAATGCGCAAACTTTCATATGTGCAAAATATCTTTGTATGCAATAGAATTTATGCTAATCAATCAATCACTTCACGCATAAAGCAATGGAATTTAGTCAGTCATTTTATTGCGTAATCAATACCCAATCAATTAATAACGGCGAGTCATCTTCTCTCCCAATTGACTACGAATTATGAAGACGCACCTCATTTATTTTATTTTATTAACGCTCCTGCCTTAACCCATGAAGAATCTTATTTAAAGTGGTATATTGATTGATGGATAGAAATTTTTTAGCATAACTGAATAAATAAGCAATTAAATTAATGATGATGATAATATTGTCATGATTATATTATTGTGGTTCCATTATTATGTGTGACTTGTCTTTTTTATATAACTGATTGATTATCAATCAAGCGTTTGTTGGTTATCGAGGGATAATTAATTCTAAACTTTTCCTTCTTCTTATCCCCACCAACCACCCATTCCTTGATACATTCCTCCGTTTTGGCCAGTGTAATAAGTCGCGTATGGATTGCCCCCCCAGCCGGCGACCTTTTGCAGCATGAAACGTCCAGATTGTTCGCCGCCTGCGTCGGTTTCGGCTCCGGAATCGGTGCCGACTTGTTCGCCTCGTTCTTCCTCGGAATAATATTCGTCGGAATATTCCTCGCCTGAATAGTAGTCGTCCTCTTCGTCAGAATAATAGTCATCGTAGTGGTGCGAATCTGTAGAAAATTGAGACATTTGAACATTTTGGGAGAGAATATTTAACTTTGTTTTTGCTGACTGACGCCGTTTCTCTAAATTTTCGGAGGAGGATTCTTCCTCAAGTTCGGAACCTTCTTGTTCTTCAAGGCGTGCCGGCATGGCGTGTGCGATGGAGATGATCGCTGTAATGGGTTTGAATTGAGTACTTTTTTAAATTTTTTTGGGTATGTAAAAGGTGATACGGAAGTAGTTACCAATTGCTGCGAAAAGTTGGGCAAACAATTTCATGGCGTTTTTGTAATGGATGCGGTGGGATACAATTTTTAGGACCAGATTGATACTTAAGACATTTTTGTATTTGTAAATTGAGGAGAAGTAGGTACATATGATAAATAGGGTATCCACACATTGTACATTGTAGTTTTGCAGGGTGTTTGTAAACATAATTTGAAATGTTTAACAAATAATTCGCCAAGTTTGCAATGGGACAAGATTTGTGAAGCAGGGTCAACCTAACAAGACAGGTTGTGGTAGAATTATTTAAAATCGTTGAAATAATTCTGGCAAGTGCATTTTTCCACGAAATGATTTTACTAAAATTTGCATAATTTATCTGGATCAAAAAGTTCGTAACTTTTGTCAACTTTTGGAGTATATACAAGGAAGAGAAATAAATTGTGTGTATGTTTATATAGGTGTTATCATAATGCACCTATTTATGTATATAGGTTTTTGACACTTTCGATTTCTAGTATTTAATTGTTTGAATCGTTGAAAAGGAATCTTAAGAATTTAAAATCATTTCTCACAGCATATTCACAAAGTTATCTACCTTATCGAATTGTCCAAATATTCATATATCTAAAATGTAAAATCGGATTTCGATTTCGGGTATTTAATTCTTTGAATCGTTGAAACGGAATCTGTGAGAATTTCTCACAGAAAAGTAATGTATGTGCTTATCAAGTTATCTGTCTTATCGACATTGTTAAAATGTTCATTTGATATCTAAAATGTAAAATCTGATTGAGATATTGGATTGACAATATGGATTTTGATGAAAATGGCGGAAACATACACTTTAGTTATGTATGCATCGTTTATTTCTCCAGAGGGACAAAAATGCATTAACTTCGATCAAGCTGATGCCAAAGTCAGTGCTAAGGTGACGAATCGATGATAAGTGAGCTGCATAGTTTAAACTCCCTGATAACTTCAATAACTTCCCACGGAGATAATTAAATATAACTGGGAAACAAAGAGATGAGATATTTGCACAAGTTTGATTTATTGCTAAATTATGCAGTTGGACATGTTTTATCATCAAGCAGTGTTGATACAGCATCACGGGGTTTGCAGACGGATATACATACGTGGACTTTACTGTAAAACAAATCATTACCTTGTGGAGGTCAACGATTTATTATTCGGCTGATCAAAAGTTTTCAGTTAAGAACAATTCGCAACTCATGAATTATAATTAATTTCATGAAAAATTGTATAATCTCATGTTTTTCCTCATGAAATGTTCTCATGAGCTGAACAATTGATGATGATGTACGCTTAAAATATGCGCTGTTAACGTTTACATATTTGCTTATATTTGGTACTTCAACTAGCCAGTGGTCACCAATTTCCTGGACAAAGTTCGGATTTTGAATAAACTTGTTATCGCCACTAATAAATAACATTCTTTGTCTGTACTAATGACGATCTACATAAACTAGGTTTGAATAGAGGAATGTAAACCTGGAATGTTTGTGCCTTATAATAATACACTAAATTAACTCGCATGCAAATCTCTCCCCCGATAACCGACGTTTGGTTGCAAATTATTCCGTGCTTACTCACTAAATCTGCATCAATCTGATTATGTATAATAATACAAATATGCAATACAACCTCCAGCAAAGCAAAGCAACGCCTCGCAGTCTCGTCAATTTACTTGAACGCTCATCAATTACTATAACACATAACAGCAACATTTTCAGGTATGTACCTATATTCAAAATGAGATGACATTAAATTATATACATACGAATATTTAGGATTCATACTCACGTATTGCGGCATACAAGAAACGTTTAGGTGTTCGGATTATCTCAATTATCTGACTACAAGAGGAAATATGTATGTAGATAGGCATAATTTTGGACTTTTGCATTAATAAAATAATACATGGAATCAGTTCAAATTGTGTCTTAACGAAATTGAACTTGTTGAATACAACTTATTTTAATACTCATTCCTTCCAGATTTGCAATTTATATATAATTTCGGACAAATGAAGTAAAATCATATGCCATAAACACATCCGCAAATGAATAATGATGAAAGATAACTAGTTCTTTAAAATGTAGATAATGCACGATGACCAGTACATTCGCGTGTTTACATTTCTCACGATTTGCTCTCCGACCTCGGTTATTCCCTTATCTTTTCCAGGAATACGTACACACCGTAAGTATCCAAGCTCTGTGTGCGAATAAATCTTGTGCAAGTTGAGGTAATCAATAATTAGTGAGATTCAGTGAAATGAGATTCGGCCCGTTCCCACGCTATAGTTCCACCGATGATAATGAAGAATGACCTCAGTTAATAAAATTAATCTTCAATGCACGTAGATAACCAATGAAGCAATTAACCATTTACATAATGATGATAAATTAATGATGCACAGTTTTCTATTGTTTCAGCTCAGGAATGGACATACTTGTGTATCCGTGTGGTCATGGTATGAAGTGAACTGATACGATTTTAATACATATTTCATTTGCTATTTTATAGTTTGAAATTTTCTCGGTGTTGCACATACTTCAAGAAAATAGTGTAAATTTATCTAATACCTGTGACACTTGTTTCAAATTTTGTCAATACAAGAAATAGAAATTGCAGACCAGTGACATTAAAATTTGTACTTTTATATAAGCTACAAAGGTTCATTTTCGGTTCTGTATTTTTATGTACATTAGTGTAAGTTCATTTCGTCAATTGTGAATCACAACTTGTGATTGCCACATAGTGAGGTTCTATAGTGAAATATGTATATTTATTGTGATGGACTATGATCTGTATGATCTCCCAAACCAAGTAATTGATAAGAGTTCGAACGGACGATGAAATCATCGGAGCATGAACCAAAATAGAAATATTTGTTACCAAGGTCTCAGCAAAAAATAATGACCCGAAGAAGATGACACATTCATCGTCATCAAAAATGCAAATAACTCCAACCCGAACACTTTCTTCGACAATAGATAATATCTCAACTTTTCGTGACATCTTACATACATACAGAATGCTCCGTAAAGTGAATGCGTCATTCATAAATGTGCTGTGCTTACATAAAAAATTGTCCAAAAAACAAGAAATCTAAGGTTTTTAAAATAAATAAATGTTTAATAGAAATGAAAATGGCGAGTCAATTTATCATTTTATTTTATTTTGACGTATAAACTTAGCAATTAAGTTTGCGTAATTGTTTAATTAGCAAACTTAGCAATTTCACAAGTACAAAGTACAGAATGTAATGTAAATCGCAGCTCATGATTGTAGTACATATTTTCAGCCTTTGTCCGAATCAACCGAAGTGCGTAGTTCATTAGTAACGTCGAGACTATTGAAATTGTTGCCAATTATATTATCGGTCATCATGGGTTATCACATTCCACCCCTCCCCATCACTACGACGTCGTCATGACCGTTGCCATCAGAAGTAGCAATTTTTATACTCACTGCAGTGTCGTTGCAATGTTCAGTGACCTCCAAGTCCGAAACTCTATCAACTATTCCTCTAATCGTCAATATGAATCAAGGAAAACGCTTTAATGCATCAGAATCATGTGATTGAGGGGAAAGTTGCTGATGATGGTATTTATATTTTTCTCTTATGTATTTACGTACACGATCTTATCAGGGATTGATATTGAAAAAATACAAAATATAATATGGCAAAACCTCCGCATTTTGCCTAATATAGTATCAAACTATCCCCCAAATTAGCACTTGATGTTCGTTGTAAAATATGGTAGGGTATTGTGGATATTTCCATAAGTATGTATTATGGCAGCCATACCAATGCCCATGAAGGGTTGGATGCCAAGAATTGCCAATCAGGATTGATAATCAACCTCCCCATACTTAACAGCAGATATAAACCTCCACAAGTCCATTTTCACCATACCCTTAGACAAAGCTTAACTGAACACAACTTGAGCTTCCCGTTGAAATCGAATTTTAAAACATATTTTTCAATTTCCATAAAGTTGCTTCTTGTTTCCCTAAAATACTGAAAATGGGTGGATTACCAGTGTTTAAACGGCGTCGTAAGTAACTATTACATATAAATTTTCCCCCATATTCGCTAACAAAATTTATATTTTTTTTACATTTTAGTACGTCGTTATCCCTGCCAGGTATTTTTTTACCAGATAATTTAATATTATATTTAGTATGTGGTTAAAAACTATCATGCTGTATGTAGCTATGTCCTGAAACTTTCACCAGAAAAGATAATTTGAAACGCCACGTGAGACAGAAGCATGACAAGATGGTTCCTAAGCCGAGATGCCCAAACTGTCGCAAAGAGTATGATAGTTTCGCTAATTTCTTTAAAATTCGTCATAAAAAAACCTATTCTTCATTAACAGACTCTCCATAAATTTTGCTTTGAAACGGCACATGGAGAAATGCTGTCATCCGGGGAATAGGGGAGCTCTAGGGCCGCCTCCTCGCCAAAATTCTGAGGAATAAACTTTCTCCAACTTTCTCCTCCTTCGATATTTTAAACAGTAATTTCTTCATGACACTATGCAATTTGGGATTAATTTGGGATTATTGGTGTTAAATAAAAAGAATTTGTAAAATTTCGTGTAAAACATGATAATGCAGTATTAACTAAAAAGTTAATGACCTCATGAGAGTTCAAGCTTGTGCGCAGTAGTATCACGTCATCATCATTAAAACAAAAGAGTTAAAAGCAGGTTCATAATCATAAATCCATCGTTGTTCCTCAGTCAGTCGTCATGTGCTCCACTCTCCACTAAATTATACCCTGCTCCTGGTAAAAGTGTGGGGCCGCTCTCGTTTCACGCCAAGATTTTTATGCGGAGGACACAAATTTGATTTGAGCGCAGATTCAATGATTAGCTTTAGTACAACAAAATCCACAGTAGATAAGTGCATTGTTTTAATACGATTGAAGATAAGTTGCACTGATGAGTACATACATACATACGTTTTACCTTTTGTCTATGGTTTAATGAACTTAATTCCCATAAAACGATCGAGCCTAACTGCGTACAATTATTCATCTTCATAATCATTGTGCATATGTATGTACGCGTATAATAAATTAATTAACAGCACATATATTCCTATGTACATATTTACATATGTTGTGGTTTGGTGGTTGCAAGCGATACAAAATGCACATCGGTGTCCAATAAAGGAGAAAGTAAATTAGATATAAAACTTAATTTTTTATTTCCATGATGCTACTCTTGTATCATTTCCAACTGCCACAGTTCTCTCCATCCGGTTGGAATATTATAAAAGAGCGTCCTCTTGGCCAGGGTCACAATGTCAAGGTCACAGTCTTTATATCGCGTCATACAACTTCCTTGGTCCTCCATCCCGTCAACTATTGCAGATTTAAATTCTGTCGGTATGTTCAGCAGCTTATTACTAGCAATAATAAATAATAAATAAATAAATAACACATATTTTGACAAAATTCGCGTAGATTTTTCACAAGGAGAGACAAGTTATGCACTTTTACCTGAAAAAATGATACGTCCGGACGAACCAATTTGGTAAAAATGATAAAAACCCGTGTGAATGACAAGCCAACAATTTTCTACATTCATCCCGAAACGGAGGAACAAATAAAAATAAACTTTCCGTAAAATCGGGATAGTTGATGCTTCTTGATGTGGTGTAATTGTTCCCCTGGTCGAAAAGGTTGTCAGGATTGAGGTTAAGGTCAAATCCTCTCCTTTCCACGAGGTCGTCATCCGTGGGGACGGAATGCATATGGTATCGCCTCGGAGGAAGGCCGAAAATCCACTGTAAGTAAAAGGAAATTGGTTTTAAAGTTTTATTTACTTAAGAAAATTAAATCCTTTGGATTTTAATCGACTTGAAATATTTAGAATTACCCAAACCGGCGCAAAAGCTAGTCCAGCGAAACAAATGAGGGCGAGACTGGCAGCCAGCGCGATCGACAAGGGTCCTGCGATCGGTGCGCGGAGCTATTCCATTAATTTTAATTGGCCAATTAAAATAAAATAACTCTTAAAAAGTGTAAATATGTATGACGACCTCGCAAAGTTTTACATTTCGGTATTTTATTTACTAGCATCGTCTCAAAATTTCTCATGAAAATTAATGCAGAGTTATCCAATAATCTGGTAATTGTACTCACCGTATTGGACACATCCCATGGAAGGGAGAAGATAAATCCGATATTTACTGGTTCCTGGTTCGTCTTGGAGAAAGTGGGAGGAGGAAGGGCGACGAATAAAGTTAGGAGAATATTTCTTCCAGGGAAGAACATTTTTGAGCAAAAGTGGAAATTTGTTCTGTATTTTAGAGTACCAAAATTAAAATGAAATTGAAAACGAAACGCATGTACATATTTGAACCTGAACTTGAAAGGGAATTGAGGAAATAAGGAGTTAATTAAAAACCTCATTAGAAGAATTATATTTAACCAAATATACATACAGAAAATCACTCTCCCTTCAAAAAATGATGAGACAAGTTCAATAATCTTCTTGCTATAACGGCACATTCACTTAAATGGTAGACTAATTACAGTAGAAATCTAATATATATATTTTTTACTTCTCACACAAAATCCTTCCAAAATCGTGTTCAAAAATCATTTCTCAAAATTTCGCTAAAACTTGCATAAACATGAAAGTTTCCACATTTTCCGTTGTGATTTTATTGCTTATGTCCTCCGTCCCTGTTGTCCCGAAGGGCCAGTTTGTTCAACCCTTAAATATGGGAATGCAAGTCGCCATCCCGTACGACATTGCCAATATTTTCAACCGCCCGATAAACTTTGGTCCAATTTCTGCCCTCATTTCGACCGGAAGTCTGCTGTACATCCTCTTCTTTGGCGTTATCACGTCACCATTTGGATATTTTTTTGGCATCCCGTCAGAAAAGTATGTGCTCGGTGATACCTGGCCAATCAAGCAGGATGGAAAAGAAAGAATTTGGGATGAAAATAATAATCACTACAATCAGCCAAGAAATTTGAGACAAGATGTAACCACGGTTTTACGTAAGTTTGTGTGTGTGACTGAAATTTATGTTACAAAAATTGTAAGAATATTTATTTACTCAGCACCTCGAGATTTTGAGGAGCACGTGTTCTCTGGTCGGTTGGGGGAGGACTTGAGAGACGACGAGTGTCGAAAAATGGTCATTTGTAGTGCCCACAATGGACTAAGGAATCTTCCCGAATGGTTCATGAAAGGATATAAATTTTTTAGGTGAGTAGGTTTTTTAAATGAGTGGGAGCATTACAAAATTATTATAATTTAAAAATAAGGGTTAGTGGAATAAGAAATGCTGTGCTAAACTAAAATGTGAAAATTTTGAAAAATTGGAAAATCTTAATATGTAGCAAATTTCGTAAGAGGAATTTATGATTGTTAGTTTAATTAATTAGCAATCGGATTTTCAATAGTTCGCATATTTCGCTTGCAAAAGATTTTTGCCATATTTTATTTTATTTTTTAAGGTATTATTTGCTATCTATTTTATTTCCTGGCTATCAGTCCTAAGTATGTCTCCAACTTGGATAGTATCGAAACGAGCTAAGACTTGGTAAAAGCCTACATCTTTCTAAAGTGTTTATGTAAATGCAGCACAAACTGTATGAAAACTATTATTGTATTTATGAAAAGCCCAAGTGTTTTATTCGCCATTTAGTTCGCAAAAAATGCTATACAATGCAAAGTTAAATGGAAATGACATACTTTCTTTTCGACCCCATTAGTATTGAGTTTTCATTTTATTATCGTTTTCAACCACGTGAACAAGTAGTAACAAAATACCACAGGTAACTTCATTTCAATACTAAATTTAAGATTCCAATGAAACGTAATACTGTGCGTAAAAATCAAACACGTACAACAATTCATTGAATAACAATCAAAAACATTCAATTATAATATGTGTCTACCAACACTAACTAGTTAATCATGAAGTAAAAAAAATTCATCGTCACATATTCTGGAATTAGGAAAAGGTGTTCCTAGTCCCAAGCATCATCATCTTCGGATTTCGCCGCCGCCGCTGGTTTTGAATAGCCCTGCAAGTATGAAGGAGTCAAAAATAAATTAACAAGTTTGGTACATTAAATATTAATTAATATGAAGCTCAACAAACTAATATAATTAGTAAAAAAAAATTACCCGTTCAGAACCATCACGCATGTCCGAATTTCCGTTGGAGATACCATAACCACCTCCGCCTGAACTGAAGAACTCGGGAACATTTTGTCCTGCTCCCTCCAAGATGCTCACCAACGAAGCAGCAAGTGCGTTATCTTGCGAGTCCTCATAAAAACTGATTGCTCGCCCGGTGTGACCTAAGCGACCAGTTCTTCCGATGCGGTGCACGTACTCGTCAATTTCATTAGGCAAATCGTAGTTCACCACGATAGATACCTTAGGAATGTCTAAAAATAATAAAATAACCAAATTAATTATGCAAGAAAGTACTATATTATGAGTAAAATTATCATCAAAATTCAAACTGGTTTACTTACCGAGACCTCGAGCTGCTACTGCAGTTGCGACGAGGACCTTCTTTCTGCCCTGAGTAAATTCTCGTAGAGCCTGTTCTCGTTGACTTTGTAATCTGTCCCCATGAATCGATGTCGTAGAGACACCTTGAGCGCTGAGACTGGCCGCTAGAAAATCTGCCCCCTTCTTGTTGTTGCAAAATACTAGCACTTTTTCACCTTCTGGCGAGTCTCGGAGGATTTCCAAAAGTTTTCCTCTTTTTTCGGACCTTTCAACTTGCAAAAATTCTTGACCGACGTCCGAACAAGCCCCGCCCACAATTCCAATGGTAATAAATACGTAATTCTTCTTTAAGAATTCAGCTGCAGCCTTCTGTACTCCGTCCTGGAAGGTAGCACTGAACATTCCACTAACACGGTCGTCCTGATTGTATTATTTTAAGATATAATAGATTACAATTGGTAATAATTGATTGGTCGGGAGATAAAAGAAAACTTACAACAGAAGGCATTGTGTCTACAATCTTTTTCACGTCAGTCATAAATCCCATATCCAACATGCGATCAGCTTCATCCAGCACAAAAAATTGGACATTCGCCAAACTAATAGTACCCTCGTTGACGAATTGAAGCAGGCGACCAGGAGTAGCGACCATAATGTTGCACCCGGCCTAAGTTTGAAAATAAATAACACTTATTAGACAAACTTTCAATGATAAATCAAGCAATGAATAATGAGAAAATGTCAGCAAGTCTTACCTGTAACTGGCTCTTTTGGGCAAAAATCGCAGTGCCTCCGTAACAAACGACAGTTCGCAAAATAGAATCTTGCGAATACAATCTAGATTCCCGACTTATTTGAATTGCAAGCTCGCGTGTTGGAGCCAGAATCAACGCCTCAGGTTTTACGGGATGCGTGTCCGTATTGAGATCCCCTTGGTTGTTCAACAACACATTGATGATTGGCAACAAAAATGCCGCCTAATAAAAATTATACAAATTAGTAATGGTGTGTCACTAATATGCAATTATTCGAATAACGTGTGGAGTGACAGTCATGTGGTACATACCGTCTTTCCAGATCCAGTTTGAGCACAAGCCATCACGTCAAGTCCAGCCATAAATTGAGCCGAAGCATGTCGTTGAATGGGCGTTGGAGTAGTATATCCAACCTTTACTATGTTTTGCTTAACGAGATCCCGGAGATTCATGTCGGCGAAGGTAACATAGCTTTTTACCTTATCGGTACCAGTCACCTAAAATAATCGAGATGCATTATTTAGTTTTTTTACATTCGAAATTTGAAAAAAATCATCTCAATCTAAATTTATAGCCTTACATCGAACTTGATATCGTTGTACTTGGAAAAATTTATCCCAGACCCTTCATAGTATTGTTTACGGTCATCGAAAGCTTCGGCCCCTTCCAACTCGGGTGCTGGAACATACGGCTTTGGCTTTTCGTCTGGATTTTCACCGTTTTCACAACCTAGATGCCATATAAAAACATGTATTGAAATATTAGAAATGCAAATTTAATGATGGTGAAATGAAATTTACCTGGCTTCGGCTCCTTGCACTTGTAACATATACGCCGACTGGCGAAATTGCTTGTTCCACATGCGCAAGGCCATTCTTCCTTGTCGCCTCCAGCATCGCCGCCGTCACCACCTGCAATCATGATTATGTAATTAGTAGTTTATAGTTGCAACCTCAATAAAAAAGGCTACGAAAATCTGTTTATTTTTACTAACCGGGTTTGGCTTCGCTGCACTTGTAACATTGTCGCCTGTTGGCAAAGTTATTTGCTCCACAAACACACATCCAGTCCCCTTCGCGTTGATTGTGATTGTCTCCGCCGTCACTGCAGCCTAAACCCACACAAAAGCAAAGTTTTTTCATGCATTATCATCCACCGTTCCAGCCAGCCAGCCACACATTACTCTCTCGCTTACCGGGTTTTGCCTCCTTACACTTATAGCAACTACGCCGGCTGGCGAAATTGCTAGCTCCACATGCGCAAGACCATTCGTCGCTTGCAGCAGCATCACCTCCGTCACCACCTGTAATCATAATTAAATAATTGTATAGTAATTATTAATTAATTGCAACTCAACTACCACCACGACAATAAATGACTCTGTATACGAGCCATTAGTTGCAGATTACTCTCACTTACCGGGTTTCGGATCCTGACACTTATAACAGCTACGCCTGCTTGCAAAGTTGCTTGCACCACAAGCGCATTCCCATTCCCCAGTGCGGTCTCGGTCTCCACCGCCACCACCACCGCGACCTCCTCCTCCTCTTCCTCTTCCGCCTCCACGGCCACCTACACACACAATATTAAATTAACCACAATGTTATATCATCAAAATAAATATTTAATCAAGTTAAAAATCTCAGCCTTACCTATTCGGCCGCCTCCATTATTATCTCCCGTCGACTCGGACCCCCAACCATCGCCGCCACCCCCTCCTAGATTCATATTTTGAACGCCGGAAGACACGGTCCCTTCATCCCAGTCGTCGTCACTCATTGTAATGCTGGTTTAGTTCGTCAAAAGCTAGAATCCACCACAAAATAAAACTTTTTACTAAAAATATAGATTCCCCTCTACTCCACATTCAACTCAATGTAGAACAACGCAATAATTATTCGTCAACCAAACTAAAACTGCAAAAATCTCGATACAAACTAAAATTATAGAAATTCTACCAAAAACGTTCACTTACCTTTATCAAAATGCAGGGGAAGCAGCCGACACAACACTGGGGGTGTGTATCAGGTGTGTAAAATAATTTTAAAAAAATTTGGCAAAATTTCCTAAAACTGGTGAGAGCGCTACGAAAAAATCGACCACTCAAAGCGAAGGAAGGCAGACGAGTGAAGAGGAACGACAAAGACCCACGCCACTTCAGAGAGAAGAAAGAAAGAAAGAGGAGGGAAATGCCACTCGTTCTTCGAGCCGGAGCCAACCTCCGCCAGAGGCATGAGCGTCCTGACAGGGTTTTTCATGCACTTTTGGTGTTAAATTAAGAAAACTCATATTAGGATTGCCCCTTCACCAGTAAATTGCACAGAATTAGATAAATATCATATAATTTAACCGGTAAAAAAAGATATTTTCAAGAAGAATGCATGAATTGCATTCAAAAAATATATTTTGTATTCACATCTTTATTTTTTTAAAGGGTCAAATTAGATAATTCTAAAATGTCTAATTGTATAAATTGTAATATTTGTGCTTTTCATAATTCTGAATGGAATATTTATCATAAGTTATATGCATCCTCTGCTGATTAACACGCATAAAACACGGTGTAAAATTTCATAAACCGAAAGTTGGGAACCCTGCGTTGTTCTAGAAGATTCCATCCATCATTTTCAATGCAATGGAAATCCACATTTTTTTGGTAGTGAACCGAGCGGCGCCGTCTTATTTTAGGAGTAGACACTACATACGATATATCTATTACTTAACTGTATATCCGCTATATGCCGGCTGAATGAACAAGTCCTGACTTGTTCCTTCGAGCACAAAAAGATGCAAATTTTTATACAAATCGTGGAATTTCCTGCCAATAATTTTATCAATTCTGCTTACACTTGATAACATGAACTTGGCAATGAATTGATGAATAGATAACGATGAAGAGTGATAAAATGAGCAGAATTAAAGGGATCAATTATTTTAATGACTTGCTATTTATTTATTTCAAATTAGATGATGGGTTTGTTGTGAGATTTTGAATTAACTCGTCCAATTTGATGTATATTTTTGCAGTAAAAAGTTGCCTCAAATCTCCTCCCCTTATCGATCCGCTATCCTTACTGGGATTGAAAACAAAGAATCCTGCGAAATGGCTTATCCTCTTTGCAACGATAACCTCTTCGCCATCCTGGTACGAGCAATGGTCAACATGATGCCAAAGTGGAGCAGGAAAAAGGCCATAAGAAATTCACACTTTTAATTTTAGTCCATTCAATTTATTTAGTTTAATTAATTGTCGTTTTATTACATGAGAATAACACTTAAAAATATTGAGGGTGTAACTAGACACAAGTTTTTCTTGCAGTAAAGTGTAGTTACCTGTAGATAAGCGTACACTTAAAGCGTCACTAGCTCTTTCTTCATCTACACACATCTACTGTACACGATGAGATGATTTACATTTTACAAAAATATTTGCACACGCATGCAATGACAAACTTGACTTATCCATGGATTATCTTATCGGTGGGTAGAGAGAAGAACTATCTATGTATGAATAACAAAACTTAACAAACAACAGTGAGATTTTCTAGGAACAAATTCATCTATTAACAATGTTCAACAACAATTAATTTGTATAATTGTTATAAACTCAATAATTAATAAATTCACCGGGGGGAAATATTTATTATCACTTATGCATGCATATTTATTTACTTATCATCATATCTTATCATTTAAACTCCTTCCTTAATCAACTGCAGTTGACATAGTCGTACTCTGTTAAACGATTAACGCTTCCGTGGGGGTCAACTATGACGGAGGTGTATCCTGGATAAGTGTCGGGGTGGGTGAGGGGAGTGGGTCCCAATATGGTCGTCGTCGTGGTCGTCGTAGTCCCAATAACAACCCCACCGTCGCCACACATTGAATTGTTGCTCGATCCGGAGGAGTCGTTCGTATTGTCGGATAAGTGACTCAGACTGAGGAGACGATCGGGTGGACCGTGACCATTTTCAAAAATTACGGAGGATTGGTGATGCGGGTGTGGATGATGACTTCCATACTCGAGGACGCCACCTTGGGTGTGGTGAGGTTGGTGGTTAAAGTGAAAGTTGGCGTGGGGGTGATGATTTTGGCCTGGAATTTAGAAAATTTAGGGAATGAAATAAGAAAATATATGGATTATGGATTGCATTCACAAATCTTGGCGAAATTTTATGGCAATTTCGCCCACAAAAATGTTTATGAAACACTGAATAGTTTTTATTGTCACCTTGAAAATTGTGGGAGTGGTTATGCTGCTGCTCCAATATGGGAGGTCCTTGATGATGATGATGACCATGATTGTTCAAATACCCTGAATTTCCACCACCACCACGAAAATAGTAAAAAGAAGGATCCGGACTGCTACACGTGGTATGATTGTTATTATTATTGTTATTATTCGCATTATTATCCACCCCATTGTTATAGTCTGTCGGCGTGGGTGTGACAGGATCTGGGGGATAATCCGACGCCGGATTATAAGCACGCCCCGCTGTGGGATCATTATTATAATCGCTTATCGCATAATGATAATTCGGTCCTTGGCTGTGGCCGTGAGAATAGTACAACTCTGCCGACTGGTCCAAATACCCCGGCGGCGTGGGGTACGCTGGGGGTGGGATTGTCGTCGAATACCCTCCGTCGTATCCCCCAGGGGAATTATTTCCGGAGTGAAATTCCTCCTTGGGAGAAAGCGATTCAGGGACGGAGTATGGCGCCACGATCGACGAGGCGGCTTTCGCTTTCGTTCTTCGTTTAATCTTTCCTCCACCACCGGAAGTGATGCCGCCACCAGGACCGGAAGTGAGCAAGGTGGGTGTCGTTGTAAGTGGGGGTTGTTGCTGCTGTTGTTGTTGTTGAGGGGGTAATGTTTCATCACTGCGGCACTGATGGGGTTGACCGAGGGTAAGTTGTTCCACGGAAAGCACCAGATCGGGAGCTTCGCAAGCACTGGTAAAAAAAGTTTTTGCATTGTGCAAATTATTGCATGTGTACATATGTTATGCAAATTACGCCATAAATCAGACCAACCTCAAGACATAATTCACACTAACGACGCAATGTGGTCTCGAACTCCGCGAGTTGTGCACAATCGTGGCGTACGATTGCATCCACACCCATCCTCCGTTTTTAGTTAAGAAACGATAATACCGCGTGGTCACTTGGCCTTTTGCAAGCACTGAAATTTAAAAAAATTAAATTTCTCTCATAAATTTCAAAACTTTAAATTAAATGGATATGTCTCACATTCGCAATGTGCATACGCCATGGCAGGGCTACAAATACAAAAGAAAGTCAAAATAGTTTAAATGAATTGTATACTACATATTTACGTATGACGCCGATTTGATTAGATTAACTTACGCATCGTTCCCATGAATGTAGTGATATAGCGTTCTCTCGATTAAATCTTGTGGTTCGTACCCTGTCAAAGCGGCGACCCTGTAAAAAATATCGAAAACTAATTTTACCACGGGTCAAACATCACGTCCACAAACCAAACTTTGTGTCATGTCAGAGACAAAAATTTCATCATCCCAGAATAGCAATCATTATCATTCTAAATTCTTTGTTGAACTCCCATAAAATAAAAGCCCAAGTCCATTAATCGATTATTACATAAGAAGAGAACTTCGTCACAAATCGTAGTGTACATCTCTTCAAAATGAGACGTGTTCAAGTCCCCGTCACGCCAACTTTTCCGATAATATTATATTCGCTCAGCAACTTCAACGCTCTTCAGACTTGCATTTGCACCCTCGTCTCACCACAAACTTCAATCCACAATGTGAGACTCGGTAAACAAACGCCGTCCTCCGTCACACATTGATTTAGAGACACATTTTAATTACTGCTGAACATCATCCCCATCAAGAAAAGTGATATTTTTTAAATTCACCATTTCGTCCGAATCACATGCACAAAACAAATCAGTGTTTTTTTCATTTCCATACCTGGAATCCAAAAAGATGAGCTTGAGATCAGACGAGGCTCGGAACATGAACATGTTGGAGTGCATTTTTATCTCCGTTACGGCCGAGGGTGGCAAAGAATGGCCGACAGCGACGAGACCCAAATTTTGAATACCAATCCCGTCCCCACCACCGCCGTCCCCACCGGTCACGACGGGCTTCAGTTTCAGGTAGCCGCTGCAGTGGATGACCTTATTGGAGGAGAAAAATTGATGTAAATAAATAAATATGTAGCAGATTTTTTATTCAACAATTTGCATAACACTTTAACTTCCTGACATGTCTTTCTCCACATGAGAGAGATTAAGTGAGCAATTGCTTTTGGACGTGACTTTCACCCGTTTATTTCCTGACCCTGATTTTTTTTAGTTTAGTTTAGTTTGGCACACGCCGAACGACAATGTGTCAGAAGTAGTGTCACGTGTCGGGTAGTTAACAAGTCCCATTATAATGTTTACAGTTTATATTAACAATTAAAATTTTATATAATCATCTTAAATTATAAATTGTATCATATGTAAAATGATACTTTGGGCTCTGATCGGATTTCATTAAATATTTAATTTCCGACCATACATAGCTTTTATTATGCCATATTTCGTTATTTTTTCAAATGAAGAATTTTTAAATATTTATTTAACTACATGTAATTCAGTGAAGAAATATGACTACTTTGTAAAATCACGTGACCAAACTCTACCATTTTTTTGTAAAAAGCAACAAAAGTGTACTTAAACAAACTAGTTATACATGTGAAAATCTAGCTAATTTCTCCATGTTTCCATTAATTTCACTAAAACTGCTCGTAATTCCAATCTCACCTTATATCCAGCCGTAGTTAAGCCAGCATTTCTTTTAGCGAGGACACATTTCATCCTGAGGAAAAATGCTCTCTCGATTTCAATTTCTGAAAATTTACCGTTATAAAATTAGGTACATATATTTTTTACAAAATTATTAACCATGATAAATCTGAAATAGCTTTTAAGATAATTTTGGTCAGTGATTTACCATGCATGATAGAAGGGAGTGGTTGAAGGAGGGTGAGAATGCGGGTCATCTCGTCATGGTCCATGGGATGAATATACTCTTTAAAATTGTAAATTAAACATTAAATAATTTTCCAAACTAAATTACCATGTTAAAAAATTACCATAAATACTATTCCCTGTTAGCTCCACCTGCAAAATGATAACAGATCTTTTAATGAAATGATTGATGAATACATAAATACGGTTTCACAATTCATCTCTGTATCTATTATACATCCGCAATTTGTCACCATTTTTGAAATTTCGCATTGTACTTTTAATCTGCTTAACTTTTAAAAGTTGTAATGGAAGATAATAAATGAATGAATGAATATGTTTAATCCCGGCCTTCGATTGGGCGTCAGGTTTCAAACTCATTTGTCATCATTACGAACTAACGCATGTACTATGTAACTTATGAACTAGTCAAATGAACAAGGTGCATGGTGTCGTTGTTATGAAAACTATCTATTAAATTGTGGACTATTGTCATGTTATATGACCGTAAAGCAGAAGGACATATTTTTCATTTTCAGCCCCACATTGCTTCCTGGTTCATTCTAGGAGGAGGAGGAGGCAGGCAACCAAAAGCTTCTTTGTTACGTACTTAATAGCACTTTGTCATGAGATCATGGGTCGTTGCGAGGTGAAAAATGTCGCTGGTAATTACAATAGAAAAGACTAAAAGTTATTTATCACGAGGGGCAGATGCGACTTAACGGAACTTTTGGAAAATTTAGTCCCATGAAAAAAATAGCCTAAAAATCATGAGCACTGACTAGGAAATGAAAACTGTACGCGTCTCATGTAAAAAATCGACCAACTACTTAATTGCCAATTTCTCAGAAACAAATACCGAATTTTTTCCACCCAATCGCTCATAGTCTCGGACACCACGCACTTTGTTATTATCAAAAATGTGCTCCTCACTCTCCCAGAGTTTAGTACTAACGAGTTTTAAAGAGTTTTTAAAGGATGTCGTAGTGGATGGAACGCTTCTTCTTTCGACTTGACAATCCTTTTTCTCTCCTAAAGTAAATCCAAAAATGTGCACTTTGAGCACGAACCCCACCAACCAAACAGTCTCCCATTATTATCTATCTGGCCCAGGCCGGGTGTAATAAACCCTTAAAATAGTGGTTAAATAGTGGTTCCCACTTTCATAAGTGGTTCTCTAATAACACTAATACCCGACAGACTATGAGGCTTAAACTGGAAATCTTACATATATATGGCTTCCTCTCATTTTTACGTAATTTGTCTCTCGACCAGACTTTTTTTTCCTAACAAGAATCACACATTTGGTACATACTACACTCATAATTTTGCTATAATTTGTTCTCGAAATCGCATATTTATGTCCCCAAAAAGTGAGACATAGACTAAATATTTATACAAATTTGGGCCTAATTTAGGTCAAAAAATGGACCATGCCAGACCACAAAAAACGCACAACAAGCCCTCGGTCGGCATCTCTCAGAGTCGATTAAGTAATCCTTCCCAAACAAATTAGCGACAAGGCGTCTAATTCGTGTGTATGTTATGTGATGATGATTTGCATGCAAAAGTTGTTGGATCTACAAATCCCGACACGAATCCAGACATGCCATTAAATTAATCTCGCTATACAAACAAACAAATGAATCATTCAACTGGATTCGTAGGGTTCAGTTAGATTCCATGAGGCGTGACGTCCTCATTAGCCGAGGATCCGAGGAGGAGATCATAACTACTTGAGACTTGATGCAAGTAAGTGGCATTAATAACTTGAGTGCTTTTTCTGCGTGAAATCGTAATGTATCATTTGCCAAGGAGAGAGATTGCGGATCAGTTGAATGAGAATTTGGTCGTCTCAAGTTGTTTGGATAGGTGTGTGGGTAGCTAACATGGTTGGTGGTAGTCGTATTATACATAATTGTGGTTTTAGTAGGTGTCGTGCTGGCTGGACGATGAGTGAGGAGGATTTTGTATTTGTTCAAGATTAAGATGAGATGAGCAGAAGGATTAAAGGATTTTATCGTCAAGCGTGGACAAGGAAAATATACAAATTCAAGAGGCACGATGTGAACGATGACATAATTGACAAAAGTAAAAGATGGACTGTTGAATGGAAATAATAAAATTTTAAGAAAATAAATTATTTAAAATTTCAGAATTATAAGATCAATGGAAATACATATTTGTCAAAGCGTCTTTAAAAATTAGGCAAACTATTATGAATCTAGATTTAACTAAAATTCTAAGATTCAAACTAAACTAAATTAATTACGACGTCGTCATCACACAAACACACACTTTTTTAAACGTTGTAAAATATAATGCTACAATTTCTTCTTTTCTTTAAAAACGCATAATTTGTTTCTCAATCTCACCTGAGATAGTCCAAGATGAACCGAAGCAGTTTCTGAAATGTACATAATTTTCCCATCCGGTGCCACCACGAATATGAATCCGTCCAACGTCTGCAAAACATATACACAAACAAATTCCCAAATTTAGTATATAAAAAACTAATTTTTAACAATTTTACACCCAAATTCTTATTTCACACATGCACACAAATTATTAGTATTCCGTTATCCATCATCAGACCACCAGGGAATGCATGCATGAATTTACATCGCTTATTATTTATCGACAAGCTCTGACTAATTGTGTCATAATTGATTACAATATTTAACGTTAGTCGATCCTTTATTTTATTCTATTTTTTATTAACCAGCCAGCTCATCTAATTAAATCTGATTTTTCCTAGTAGACAACAAATTCATGAAACTTTTCCTTCCTCCCAATTCTGGCTAGAAATCCGATAACTTCACTTCAGTTATGTCTGGTTTCTCAAGTAAGCATTTTTAAAAACTTGTGTACAACAAAGTCTAACGAAAACTTGTTCAAGCAAGTTGACAGTCCACCGAAACTGAAAGGAGGGTGAGCGTGAGAAGGCATAAATTTATCGAGATGACAACATCAAAATCAAATCATAATCAAGAATCTGAATCATCATCGTCATCAGTATTATATTCACTAAACAAACATATATCACATCGCTATATGCATACGTAGATATGTATTTTCTCACTTTGTAAACAAGGTGAGACTGAATTTCGTCAAATCTAAGGCATAATACGACCCTAAAATTTTCCGATAAGTTTGCCTTTCAGATTTTTTAACCGTAAATTTATGTACTTTAATCAGAAATATTTAACGGCAAAGTTAAGCATTAACTACATGATCCTTCCTCTTTATGTTTTTCTCCGTATAAGAAGTTATCTTTTTGAGCCTCTCCTTTTATTATTCTAGCATCGCGATGCTTCTCTCTGATTTTGTCAAGTTTTGATCTGATTTACATTTGATTTAATTAAGGTTTTTATTAGCTTCTCGCATTCAAAGACACGTTCCAGTTCCAGCAACCAAACCAAGTAAACTCTGTTCACCATAAAGTAGAAGTAAGTAAGTTTAGAAATCCGTTTTCTGGTTTGGTTTTCGACGAGGGGTTCTTCTTCTCTTCTTCTGTTCTCTAGTCGTCGGAGGAGGAAGAAGACTAAGAAGTGCAATATATGTATACAATACAGTGAATTGTGTAATGCAACCTAATGGATGGGAGTACAATAGAAGAATATCTCGTAGCAATAAAAATAATAACTTGTTGTTGTGATGTAAGCAAGTGGATAAACTTTTTGCTGGGCTTTTACTTATAAGCGTAAATAATTGGATAACTTTTTTTGTATTTGATCGATTTCTTCTCCCATTTGATTGAGGAGACTGATATGATTTGTATGTATTTGTATCTACTAAATAAAAATGATGGGCGTGTGTGGTAAAAAAAACTTGGAAAAATGACACATGTCAAAAAATAGTTGGTATTATTTTTCGAAAGCGAAGGTAAACGTCGATACGAAAAATTGAATGTTTTAAGGAATATTATTAAAAAATTAAATTGAATTGCAGAATGAAATTAATTAGGTAAACGAAAGTTTGATGCTACATTTCTATCCGACAAAATCTTCAAGAAACTGGAAAAAATCAATCCTAAAGTCCCAAATCCCATAATAATTATGCATTTGTGGCATGAATGACGAATAAAATTGCATAATCGAAATTTCCACCTAATTCAATTTGTCGTAATCCTTTTTATTTTAGCCCCATTTTGGTTTCATCCAATTCAGAATAATCTGGCATGCATTGATCTGATCCATCCACTCGCTGGACTGGACGGCAACTTTATTTATGCAATAATCGCAATCACACCAAGTGCAATTTAAGCCTGGCCTTGTTGATATAGATTTAGCAATCGTAATGCAAATGTAACCCGAAACCAAACCAATTTTGTTGGGAAAACGAAACTAATTCCACTTTCTCTGGATTTTTCCCGTGGTCTGTTCCGTCCCTCGAAAAAGAGTGGAAGGGATGACGAATCCCGCAATTCACATGTGTTAATCCAATAAAGCTCATTGACAAATATTATCAACATTTATTGACTAATCCTCCTACCCACAATGTTAGATAATCAGTTATCGAAGCACTCGCATAGTTAGTAACGTTACATGCATGCAGAATTTTCTGCCAAAAAAAACAACACAGCAAAAATTACGGTAAAGCGAAATTCGATCAGATAAGCATCTAATCTAGGACATTTTTTTCGAAACTTACGATTTTTAAATTTCAATTTCTATTGAATATTTTTTAAACGGAATTAAATGAAAATAATTTTTAGCAAAAATATAATTCAGTTTTTAGCCCGAGTCAGGGCTTATGGAACCGTCATGTCCGTCCGTCTGTCCGGCACGATAGAGCCAAAACGGCTGAACCGATTGACTTGAAATTTTTACCATATGCATATTGGACAAAGTTAGGAAACGAGTTCGAAGATGGGCGAAATCGGTCAAGTGGTTGACCGGTGGGGGTCATCGGAGTGGGTGGGGTATTATGCACCAAATTTCAAAATTGTCGTAGAAGGCTAAAATTGGGTACAGAGGTTGCTAATGGCTCCTAATAGATAAAAATGACTTTAAGTTTGAAAAATTTTCATCTTGAGGGACCCTATGGGATGACCCATACTGATTTTTCAAAATCGTCATAAAAAGCTGAAATTTGGTAGAGAGGTTGCTAATGGGTCTTAATAGAAGAATATGACGTGGAATTGGTAAAATTCTTATCAGGAGCGACCCTATGGGGTGACCCATACCGATTTTTAGAAATTACTTTAAAAACATTAAATCCGGCAAGGTCATACCTAATGGCTTCTCATGAAAGGATATGAAGTTAAAAGTGAGCGAATTTTAACCAGAGTGACCCTGGAGGGTAACCCATACCATTTTTTAAGTTTAATTTTTTCCATCTGAAATTTGGTACGAAGGCTAAAAACCACTTCTTGATAGCAAATATAGCTGTGGAAGTTCAAAGTGGTAATATTATGTCGGTCAATTCGGAGAAAAATTTAGAAACAGCTAGGACTCACGGAGTCAGGGACTCGGGCTATATGGAGTCTGCACTGTAGGTTTTTGATATTCTGGGCAAAAAAATAATAATCTGCTCACTTTCAAAATAGGGAAGGGTGGGCATTTCACCTGCAAAAGATGAGATCCAAGTTCCCGAATTGTGCTTTCTCTCGGCGGTGGCAGAGCTCCCCAGGCGTCACCAAGTCCTGGAAGATAAATTTCATAGTAAGTTAGGTTGAAAACACTAATTGAATCAGTTATCAATTTAATTTGCACTATACAAACACTGAATTTATACATACATTTACATATGTATTCGCAGAATAGCCAGTTGTCGGGGTTAGGTACGTTATTAGTAATTTGGTCATGAATTAAGTAAAAACTTTATCATTTTAAAATTAACGTATGAACACATTTATCATGTGATAATCGTCGATTAATATCTAACAAGTAATTGTAAGTAATTCTGGAATAATCAAAATTTCCAGTTTTAATAACGATTAAAACTTCAAAGTCATAAGTATTTACTTTCACCACAACCACCTACGTTTTATTTAACGATATAAATAAATACGTCTATAAAAATTGTGATTGGCTTGAAACTGCTTCATTCTAAAAAAAATCTGAACTGAAAATCCAGCCAGCATTCAAAATTCCAGTATTTTTTAAAAACCAAATTTGCATCCATTTTAAATCAAAGTTTCATTCTAAATATAACCAAAATTCCATAAATACGAGTCAGTAAACACGTAATAAACATCACCCAAAATATTTCTAGTCTTCTGCTGTGAGTTACTTATTGTGCATCCCTTGCCTCTTACATCGAGCAGACATTTATTTCAATGATGATGACATGACACAATAAAAGCCTACACAAATGCGGACCTCAAACTTGTTCTTGTGATTCAGCTACTGAAAGTTTTCCACGTCTTTTCCTACCAACCAACTACAAGTCAGTGTACACATTTAGGAGACTCACCCTCCGGTGGGGTGCGTCAATAGGAAGGAAGATTCAAAGATGGCTTCTATCTATTCATTCAATGTTGCTTCCACAACTGTTTGACTTGGCTTCTTCTTTTTACTAAGGATTGGATGGCAAGGGGCGATAAAAGGACCAAGTTTGTGTGTATGGATGGATAGTAAATATGTATCTCGGACGAGGTCTGGTTGGATGGAAGGTGCGATAAAGTGAAGCTTTTCTCACCATGTTTCAATTTATTTATCTGGAAAGAAGCAGAAGTCGTTCCCAGTCCAGCAGTGTTAACAAGTACGTATTTATGAATATGTATGCAATTTGGTATGTCCTGCCATAATATGTCTAGGGACGCATTTTATGACCATATTAAGTTATAAAATATAATTGTAAGTACACTCTAAATAATATGTTAGCATAATTGTCAATTTGTTAACTTCCTAATTGTTCAAGATTTAGTATCGTGTGGTGAGAGATTGATTCAAGAAAGTTGAATTTCATGGACACTTATTGTTACCAATTTGATATTGTTTTTTAGTGTCTACATGCACTGGGTGACAATTTTGTTACCATATTGCTTATTTAGAGTGTATTTGGTGTAATGTGCATGGGTTTGGCAAAAATTTCGTGATGTTGATCCAGACAAACTTGAGTTCATTGTATGGAACAGTTTTCGTTTTCGAGATTTTTGATAAGTCACGATATCTATTTTTATTGCAGTGAGAAAAGAACGAGCGAAAATGGGGAGAATCAATCCAAATAGTTGTTGCAAATGAGAATGACATGTTTATGAAAGGGGAATGGGTCAATTTGCCGTGAGTATTTATTTACGTGTCAAAGTGTCAACTTTGAGCAAAAGGTGAGAAAATCATTACTTTTGATTTGATCGCATCGCATCTGATAAAACATTGTGCTTGTCAAATTCCTTTGCTCGACTGGTTTTGCTTTTTGTTTCTTTCATAAAGGTGAAGACAGAGAGGGTTTCATGCTGTTTTTTTCCCTTCCGTTCTTCACACGATGTGTGAATGAAACGAAATTATTATAAAGATCACTTTGCAACAATTTATGCAAAAATTAGCAAAATTAATTATTGCGTCCACAAATTTTTTGATGAATCAAATTAGTTGATAAGTGTAAAAAAAATAATTTTGGATCCACTTCGAAGAAACAAACCGTCCAAAAATTAATATCCAATATTTAATTTATAGTTTTCTACACTTTCCTAAACTCTAAATAATTTACCTATACATCGTTTGCTAACTAACTGTAAATTGCTAAAGTAAAACGCTCAAAGAAAAAATGCTACGTATTTTCACATAATACCAAAACAACAACAGATTCTGCAAACATCCATATGTATGAACAAATCGATACATAAAAATAAAGCAGGGACTGAAATTATCTAATCTATTTAAACATACAACAAAACAAAACTGGGAAAATCAGGAAATCAAACACATACAAGAAGTTGCTCAAAATCTTTATCAACTTCTATTCAACCTTTGCCTCACACACTTGAAACTAGAGAATCACAAACAAAACTCATTATGTAACCGAATTACGAACAAACGAACACCCAAAACGCCACAGATTATTCTCTTGATTACTTTTGATCCTTTCTTTGCCTGGCATGGCAGATATTTAGATTAGTTTCATAACCGAGTGGTGAGTGACTGACTACTGATTTATTATGGACAAAGAGTATAAAGAAATTTTATTCCATGAAAAGAGAGAACGTTAACTAACTGAGGATAAGTACTTGCTTATCGCTAAATAAATACAAAAGTTTTGCCTTTATAATAATTTTAATATATTCAAATCAAAACGGGGACTCATTCATGTTTCATTATCTTATTAAAATAATCTCCCTCCTTTCTTAAGGTTAAAGATCGAGGCGAGATCACAATAATTTTCCGTATGCTCCAATTTCACGCCAAGAGCAAAAAAATACAACAAATTTATGAAACTGATGGAATACATCAGATGCTGCAGAGTATTCAACTCTCTGGATTCAATTTTTACAATATCACGCAAAATTTAAAATCACGACAAAAATTTCTCCAAATTCTTTCTTGCCAAACTTCATCAAATCTTGTATCTCGATTTTATTTGTTCCACCAACCATTCTCTCCGAGATAAATTTCAATTAGTTGGAGTGGAGAAAAATCCTGTTCCATTAGTGGAGGATTTTGTCCCCCAGATCTTTTGAGCAAATAGCAACGAAATGCTTTTCCCAACCACCAAAAACCAAACCACCCCATTTCCGTATTATACGAAAGTACTGTACATACACCAACCCATGAAAACTGCTCTTTTCATTCTTCACTCGTGGCGTGATTTCATTTTATTCAATTGAATTTCATACATACATATTTTCATCATCTGCCTACGCAACAAGATTGTATAACTGTGATCAATGACGCACATGGTGGAAATTCGGAAATGCGGAAATTTCCAAACTTTTTTTCCCCAATAAAAAAGCGAATAATATTTGAAACACAAGAAAAACAAAGGAAATACTTGAAAGGCTTAACTACTTTGGGCACCACTTACATATTTATTTTGAATCTTGTCCAACACGGAGGACCTGCAGCGAAGAGAAGCAAAGTAAAAGTAAAACCAGCGATACTCTGCTTCAACAAAACCAAAACCAAACTGTACAAAAAGCTTTAAATCGACTCACCACGTCCACTTTACTACGGTTTGTACAAACAAGTCGAACATTCTTCCTCCCTCTCAAAACTATTTCTCCTCCACGCCGACCCAAGTGGTGGACTGCAATTTATTCTGCTAAATACTAACCAAACATGGTGGGAGTGAAAATTTGTGGGATACGTTTTACTTAATAAAATGCAAAATAGAGTGGGCGTGGGTATATAATTTTTGGTGTAAAAAACTTAAAATGGACAGAATTCGATGGCTTTGAGAGTATTTTGAGAAATGATTTTCCCCATGTTTTACACAAAATTACGCAAATTTTGAGAAATTATGCAACATTTGCATACTTTAAATTGTGTTAAGAATTACGTGAACTATGTTAATTTAAAAAAGCTACTAAAATCTTATCATATTTGAACTACAACGCATAACAAATGTGGGTAGAAAGGAACCACAAAACTATTTATTTTTCTTCCAACAGATTACATCTCGTCGATCCTTTCGATGCTAACGAGCCGTGTAATTTGATTAACTTTATTATTAGCCAAATCTGTTTTATGTATGTGAGCAATTCAAAACGCGAAACAAAATCTATTCACTAAATAGCCAGACATATTCCAAGAAAATATTTTACTACGACTTGCCATCGTCTCGGTAAAGATAAAGAATTAGAATAAGAGAACGAATCCCTTGTTATGCAAGTGTTACCTTAACATATTCTGATAAGATCGATGCGGAACAGAATCTCTTTCAGATAAGAAAATCTTAAGGGTCAAATGTGTACAATTGTGAGGGTGGATTTTACCAAAAAAAGCGTGTAATTCTCCCTTTTTTACCCCCTTCTCCACCGAAATGCATCATATTTCCGTACACGACATGCGCAAATTATGTCAATTTAGCTATAAAAAATAAAAAATAATCTACACATTTTTTCAAATTTATGTAAAGATTTTACGACATTTACAATTTTTATATTTTTAAGATTTCACGAAATCTGTTTCACCAGATTTTATGTATAGTTCTTTGGTTTGTAAGTTGATGCTTATTTTATTTTTATTTCTGAAGGTTACCCGAAGGAAAGGGAATGTGTAGTAGGTATTAAGTAAGTGGATAATTTTTATGGTTTGTTGCCTCCCTGCTTGTCTTACTTGTCTTACTCGTTGAAAAGGAAACACGGGTCAAACAAGGCATGAAATATCGTTTTTTAATATTCCCATCACACCCAAGACCACAAAACACTTTCCCTTCTTCTTTCCCAACAAATTTTTTAACGAGGATGATACAAATAAATCATGTCATGTTATCACCATCATTCATCATCTTCTTCTTCCAGAGAAGATATGAGACAAATCAAGACTCGTAAAGTCCGTAAATTTACAAATGTTTACTAAATTTTATAAAAATAGGAAGGGAAAATTAGGATGCAAATGCAAATCGGTGCCATAATCGGACCTAATTTTAATTTTATGCGAGTTTCAAATTACTTAAATCAAATTTGTGTTGTTAAACTTGCACAAATTTTGTGACGAGGAGAAAAAGTGTGTATAACTGTCACATTTTCAAAAATTTACAATTTTCAAAAGTACAATTTTTTGTTTTAAAAATCGAATATTAAACGAATACAAAATTTATTTCTCTTACTAACACTAACAAATCATGGGTGTCTCATTATTCGTTTGAAGTGTGCAATTTTATAAAACTACACAGATTACTGGGTTACAAACATTAAGAGTTTCATATAAAAATTGTTACTCATTTTTGTACATAATTGGTAATAAATCCAAGTTTGCTATTTAAGTTTTGGTGTTAATGCGGATTTTTTATATGTACTTTAATATTTATATTTTTCCTTTCAGGTGTGTGGATTGTTGTGAATTGCACACAATTGTTCACCCAAGAACACTTGCACTTGCCGACAAGGACGGAAAGGATACATTTCATTTTTAAGATATACTTACACGAACAGAACGACACAGGTGGTGGTTTGGTTTGGTATGCTTATTGGGTTGGGCCGGATGTATGGAATTAAAACGATGACGAAAAGGTGATACATACGTAATAAGAATTTGGGTTTTGTTTCGTGGGTGAGGAAAGGGTTAAGGAAGGGACGGAAATTTTGCATATTTTTGAGTTACACAATATTTTGAATGAGAGTTTACAGTAAGAACTTTGGAATTTAAAATAAAATTCATTCGTGTCAAAAACGAGATGATTTACAAAAGTTACATTTTGTAGGAATATGAAAATCCTGAATTTTCACACAATTTAGACTAATGTGTCTGCAAAGTGTAGAATTTTTCACCACAATTTGTACTGATTTCAAAAATGACATCCATTTTCGACTCGCTTATCGTCACAATCTCCCATCATTTGTAGAGAATTTCGTCCCTCTAACAAGTTTCCGAGGCAAGGACGACCCGAAAAGTAGTGCATGGTTGACTTGGTGGCTGGGAGGCAGAGGGTCTTGTGATTTCTGCTAACGAAGCCAATTTCCTAGTGTGCCAATTATTTTGGACCAACGCTCTCCAAACACTTTGCTTCAACCGACTAACTCACACTTATACTTTCTCCCAACTAAACCACCCGAGTAGTAGCGGTGGTGGTGGATAATACCCGGGTAGTAAATACGTAAAAGAGGAGGAGGAAAGTCCTTAGAAATTCGGTGCAGCAGTCAGCCACACTTTAAAATTTTCTACTTCATGCAATGTCCAACGTTATGCACCTACAAATACTAAATCTGTTTACAATTTTTAATAAATTCAACATCATAAGTTTTTTTGTTACGGCGTCGCAAAAATGCAATAATGCATATATTTTTTGCTAAAAAAGTATACCCATTTTTTAAATAACTAAATCCTTGCATCAATTTCCGGATTATTTTCTTCTATATTTCACACCACTCCAAATGATCTCTGGTAGATATATAGTTTAGTTATCTAAACAAAGGAAACGCGCGTCCTGCAGAGTGACACCCGTCCTTTTCATCACGTTTTTTTATTTATTTTTTCCCTACTGCGATCCCCTCCCTACTATAAAATTACGTATTTTCATTCTTCCACCACCAAGACTTTGTTGTTAACGCGTCAAACCGGAAAATCCGTACCGATTTAGTTCACTTGATTTAATTTCTGGTGACAATTCGCCCGGCGAAAGAATAGCATCAGAGATGACACCAACCATTTAAGTATCGCAACTTTTATGAAATTGCATTCATTATCATCACCCGCTCGACATCACGTCCACGTCCTCGTTATCGTCACCACTTGGTAATTGGGCTTGTGGACACGCTCTCTTCTCGGCTTTAATGAGGGCGAGAGATTACTTATGAAGAACGGTTGAATAATAATAATTAACGTTCAGTCAGAAATTATTCACTAATGAGGAGAACGAAGGGAAGAAATGCAATTTGTTTTAAAATGTGTATCAATTTTTAAATCTAAATTTTAAAAAATGTAGCAATTTCTCATACTGATACATAATATTTTGTAAAAATCTCTACTGGCATCAACTCATAGGAAACTTTCCAAAATTCAACCTGTGATATTTTGAAAAATAATATCTTCCCAAAAATCCTTACTGGCTTCACATTATGAGAAAATTTCAAAATTTCGAATCGCTCACCGTCCGGAAAGACGTGTCTCATCCTTAAATACGACGTCGTGAGTCGGATGACGGACGCCTTATCGAGCTGACTTGTAATCGCGCCGGGAAGTGGGAGGAGTCTCGCGAGTTCGAGAAATTCTGCGTTTTCCTTCTCTCGCCGACTTCGCGCTGCAGTTTTGCTCTTCTCCTTCATTTTCTGGCCAGATTTTTGGTGATCTTTCACCCCCTAAAAAATACTACTTTCTTCGCTGGACTTTCCCCACCAGTTTTTCACGATCTGAAAAAAATCAATGTTTTTTTTAGTTAAAATTATGTTTATTTTCTATGTAAATTTTTTTTTTGCAAATTCGACCTTCACATTTTTTTCTGAGAAACATTCTCCCCCCCCTAAAAAAATCGGTGAAAGTGCGAATTTTTAAAAATCCTCACTCTTTTTCCACGCATTTATTACCCTCGTTGTATTTGTATGTTTATCTTAAACTATATAAAGTCCGTTGTTAGTTGAACGTGGTTCGCAGGGTGTCTCAAGTTTTTAATACTTTTTGCGTGAGGACGTGCCAAGTGGTGGTTTGTGCGTGGCATTCATTGAGGATTCGTAGCCGTACTGGTTGTACGGCAGGGCAACGGCCAGAAAGAAAGAAAGAAAGATGAAGGAAATCTTTGCAATTTACGATCATCACGAACTCACGTCCAATCCAAATCACCCAATTTATACATTTAGTTGGTTATTCGTTGCGTTGGGTTAGGGTCTCAAGTTCAGGGATGGCTTTTATATAATGCGACGTGATTTGCCCCACTTTACGTGATTTCCATTACGTTTCAGGAACGGACACATTTTTCATTCAAGCCTTTTCCCATGCGTGCGTGGGTGGAGGCAGGAGACCAAAGTCAAGTGCAGTTTTCGAATCGTGACATTATTCCAGCAGAAGGAATGAGATGGGGAATGCATATTGGGCAAAATATTGATTTTTTAGCGGGGGATGGTGTATTACTGATTTTTAGTTGTATTTTCTCCAGGCTAATTAAATATTTATAATTGATCAATTGACAAAGGGGGATCGTCCATCGGAATAAAATAATTGTGTAATTTTATGATATAAGCTGAAACCAGAAATCAAATGTTTTTGGAGAAATTTAGGCAATAGATAATGCAAATTATGCCATTAGACTTTACAATGCAAATTATTCTGCATACAAATTTTATCAAAATATTTATTGCAGATTAAGATATGAAATTCTTGTTTTCTTTGACTTACAGGAATTATTTGCATTTTAATGTAGATTTTTAGATTATCTGCATACCTAAATGCCAATTAGGATTTTTTTCAAATTATTTATTTTAGAATAATTAATTTAGATTCTTAGATGACTTTTTAATAGGTAAAGTCGTCAGTTGCAAAACTAACTACGAAATCCCGTTGTAATATTTTACAATTTATTATCTATTCCATTCCTTTGCTTGCGACTTACATATTTTCTTTGTGGAATAAGGTTGCATATTTCAGATCGTTGACTTATCACATTAAAATTCTCCATAAAAATAAAGCTCGCCTTTAGCAAGTTACCTTTTTCCTGATAAGAATGCACACTCAGCGAACTGGGTAATATGAGACACCCATTTACAAATCGGTCGTAATCGTTCCTTCGTAAGTGATTGCATAATCGTAACAATTCTACATTATCTGGTCACTGCCCGACCAAATCAATGTCAAGTACGTAAATGGAGCAAAAAATGCAACCGAATATCTAGCGTGAACAGTAATCAAATGAAATGAAATGAAAACTATGCCAATATCATAACCATAATAATAATTAGTCCGGAACCAAAAACCAGTAATAGACCACCATACAAAATGAGACGAGGTCAAATTTCCAAGAATATTTCATCTCTAAATACGAAACTTTTTTGTACCGTGGCACTTTTTATTTATCAGTGCATTATTTTTTACGAGTTTTTCTTTAGAAACTTATCATTCTCACCGATAAGTAACAAATATGGAAATGTTGTAAGTCGGGAAAACTTCTGATTTTAAAACGTCTCAATTTTTCCACATTTTGAGTCATGTGTGTCTTTATTTTCTTAAAGATTCGTCCCAATCTTTGGATTTTGGTTCTAAAAAAATACACTGATTTACTCTCATCGAATTTCCAACAAGTTTGGAACTGTTTATATTTTTGTGTCGAAACGTAACGAATTATTGAAGTAGTGGGAACCATTTAGCTCGTCATCTTCCTCTCTCTCTCCCCAAATTCCTGAATCCTGAACAAGCAAATAAATGTCAACCACTACCAGCCTGCATACTTTTCGGATTTGTTGAGGACAATTTCTCGTACTTATTTCTTATGTGGGGTTGTAAAATACTAAAAATACGTAAAGTGATGAATTTCGTTGAAAGTGCATCGGATTGCGTAAGCGGAGGAGGCTTTCTCGAGAGAGAATTTGAGACTTTGCCCAGCACATTTACGAGAGGAAATCAGTCCTTTGCTGCTATTCTTTTAAGGCGTTTTGATATATTGGCTGGACAGATGCAGATGCAGGCAGACGGGGAAAAAGAAACACGATTTGACAGAGATGAAGTTGCAGCAGGAGGAATTTGGAATAAAATATTTAAAGTCACACCGTCCTTGCCTGGATATTACATCAGTTTTACATACATTTTTTTCCTATGCAGTCTCTCCTAATAGTAATAGTAAGTGCCATTTCGGATTTTATTTGTACAGATTAAACCAATATTTCAGGTTACAGGTTGGCTGTGCTGAAACGGATGAGACATTTTTGTATTACATATTTCTCATCGCATTAACATGAGACAAGGACGAAACGGAACTAATTTCTTGTAAATAAAAGGCTGGGAAATAGATTAGGGTTGACCTGCAGGTTAACTTGACCAGTTGGTACATGAGTTGACCCTTGCCAACATTATGTCGTGCCAGATTTGTCTTTTCTTCGTTTGGACTTTTTTTCATGTAAGTTTTTATGTTATGCAAGCTACGAATCTTTCGTTCAAGAATGAAATGACGAATGTCAATATAAATAGTGTGGTAGTACAATTCGTACAATGGATAAATTATTTTTTGTCTTTAATTTAATCAATTTGTCTCATATCGTACAAAAGATATTCGGTTGAATCTAACTATGCAACTCATAATTAATTACATAAAAACAAATGGATTCAGGTTTGAAACCTTGCAAATTATTGTTGCTTACTCTTATTTTTTGAACAAAAAGTTGAAAACCACATGACCCGACCTTTCGCCTTTTCTGTTAAATATAACCTCATTCACAAAATGGTAAATTCGTCGTAAAGTCGCGGGTTAAGATCAAACTGCTAAAATTTTGGTACTTATTTAAAAATTATCAACTATACGAATTTAAAATTTCCTAATTAATTATGCAGAGTTTCGATCCCATCTTTAAAATACAGCATCATAAACAACTTATTCAATTAATTTTATTTATGGCGTTTATATTAATCATGAATTTGTATTAGAATTTGTATTATGTTATAAATTCATGATATTAATATACATATGTCAGTCTGGTTCAAGTGCCGGGGGATTGGAACTTAGGACCTGGGAAACGTCACCCAAAAGTTCCGATTCCCTGGACTTTTTACTTATGCAAGTTACAGGGAAACGGAACCCACTTGTCGCAGGATTTAGCGGGCCTCGATTCCCCGGTACCCTATTAGACAAAAGTTACGATTCCCCGGAACCCAAGATTTTTCTTCCATTTTTCATAAATTGGATATATTTCCGAAAAAAAATTTTATTGTCTCAAATTAACCTCCCACCAATGAAGAACATTGGATAAAAAAATTAGAATTCTTTAAAGTGGCGTTTTTCCTAAAATCACAAATTTCTGACAAATGTGAGGAGCGGCACGCTTAAAAAGGTCCGGGGAATCGTCACCTAACAATGATTTTCATATACAAATTATTGTTGGGTGACGATTCCCCGGACCTTTTTAAGCTTGCCGCTCCTCAAATTTGTCAGAAATTTGTGATTTTAGGAAAAACGCCACTTTAAAAAATTCTAATTTTTTTATCCAATGTTCTTCATTGGTGGGAGGTTAATTTGAGACAATAAAATTTTTTTTCGGAAATATATCCAATTTATGAAAAATAGAAGAAAAATCTTGGGTTCCGGGGAATCGTAACTTTTGTCTAATAGGGTACCGGGGAATCGAGGCCCGCTAAATCCTGCGACAAGTGGGTTCCGTTTCCCTGTAACTTGCATAAGTAAAAAGTCCAGGGAATCGGAACTTTTGGGTGACGTTTCCCAGGTCCTAAGTTCCAATCCCCCGGCACTTGAACCAGACTGTATGTATACAAATACATTACATTTACATTATAAAAATACAATGTAATTGTTATCCATCTCAAAATAAAATACAATTTTAACAGCTTTATGTTTTAAAATTTTTTTTATCCCAAGAAAATGTGCTTTCACTCTGTAATTCAATAATTTGACAAAATTTTGCGAGTTGAATTAACATAGATCATAAGTATAAATATGCAAAAAGTAAAATGTAAAATTTGTAGGAAATAGTGTTAAAATTGGATTTCTAACAATGTGAAAGAAAAATCTTAGGATTAGCGAAAACACAACTGATATTTCGACATCTCAAATTGACTTGTAAGTAATTTACAATAATCAATGATCTAGCTTTTACAAATGCAAAGAATAAAGACGCCAATTTATTTAGCAATTGAAATTTAATTTTAAAATTTTATAACGTTCGCATTTTTAAGTGCACAAACTAATACATAAAATGGACAGCAACTATTTAACCCGTACATACACCTCAACTACGCTTTTGCTAAAATTCTCAGCAGTTTGAGGAACGCTACAACTGTTAAATTCTTATTAAAGTGGTAAACTGAGTTTCATCGAAAATTTGAAATTAAATATTTTGAGCTAAGTATTTCTATAATTATTTAGGATTCTATCAAATCTACATACATCCTGCCTGACTGCTTGTATGCATTGAAATGCTTCAAAAGTTCAAAACCCTCCCCAAACAAAAAATAGATTCCTATTGCACCGTCGTAGTAAACATGTTAATGAAACTGGAATTAATAGTAGTGGTCTAAAAAAATCCTAGATTATAATTCAAATTATGAATGAAGATCACTAACTTAATTGTCCAGCAAAAAAAGACACCGGATCAAAGTAAACCCGACACAAGTCATTATTCTTCAATTAATGAAAGCTTGTTGCTTATCAAAATGATAAGCTAATTAAGCAATGAAACTTTACGCGAAACGTGTGGAGAGCTAAAATGAATGAATGAATCTCACTTTTTAGGTTATCGATCTCACCTTTCTCTCTTATTGACCTGACTTGCATTTTCCTTACCATGCAATAAATACATATCCATCGTATTTTGTCATTTGACAAAACTGTGACTAAAATAGAATTGCATTTATGCATTTGCAACATCATAAAAAATTTAGAGTTGACAAAATCGTAAAAAATTGCATGGCAGGAAATAAACTGAAAAATATGTGTATAGCTCCCTTCTTACATAAGAAGTTGGTAATATTGTGCTTTGTAAGATGAATTTGGATCGGATTTCAATGAAGTTATGACTTTTTCTTATTCTCCTATGCTGATTATTTAGTCAAACTAAACCAACATTTTATTTATGAGTAGTTCGTTCTACTTTTAATTTCTGTGATTGTTTCGCTTTATATTTTTCATTCTAGGGTTAAGTACATATTTATAAGTTAAGTATTTTTGTATGATGCGGTTTGATTACTCTGGATTTTAGGCCGTGTCAAATTATGAAAACGAGCTTTTGATTCAAATCAAGAATTTCAAAAACAAACGAGAAAAACACTAAATGTAAAATACGCCAATTAATATATCTTGTTGGTAATAAAATATCAAAATTATGGGAAACATCATTATTGGTGTCAAAATATCGCATCATTTAAAATTATATGAACGCGAACCTTGATCCAACCTTAAGAATTTTTATGACACAAATATATCAACTAAAAAGAGTTATATTTCTATATTTATTTCATCCTTTGAATGAGTTAATTACCAACCTCACTAAATTCAGCAGTGTCCGGCTACATAAATTAACAAGTGAATGAACCGAGATTCGCAGGGTTGACGAGTACATGGACAATTTGTTTTCGCAGTAAAAAAAATAGCAAAAATAAAATGAGTATCATTTTTCGCCAAGTTGTATCCGGTGTCATGTCATTAACATCAAAATAGTGGAAAGTTTTCCGCAACGTGTCTCATTTTTCACTTTAGTCACAATTATTTTCATATTACGAAAATATCAAAAATTCTTCCGGTTACCTTTCTCTCGATTTTGCAGTATCTTCCATGAAACTTGTTTTTTTATTTTTCCAAATTTTTATGTAATCACGGAACTTCAAAGTTTCAAAATTTCTGGTCAATACATATTTCGTACCACCATTATTTGTCCATTTCTATTTTCTACACTATAATTATCCACTTTTTTGTCACAATTTGATTGACACCAACTTGTTCACAGTTAACGTATCAATTCACAATTTTTTTTACAGATATTTAAATTTTAAAAACTCATCTCACTTATTTAAGTTTCCAAAAATTTTAAACTGTCCATTTTTATTTCATCCCGATGAGATTTATTTATCCAACCAAGGTGACGTCTCGTCCCGTTACGTAAGAAGATGTATATAATTTCCACGCTCGTGTAGCAGATTTTTGTGAGTAAGCTTTGTGCTTTCATTCCTGGCTTGGCTTGTAAGAGTGAGTGGATTTTATTGTTATGTTGGTGCTAGTCGAGTGGTATGTTTTGTAATAATGATACGTGTAGTTTCATACCAGGAGAAAAGTGGTCTCTCTTCGAGGGAGGAGAGAATCAAAAGTCTTTGGCAGGCTGCACAACCAATCCTGAACTTTTAGCCGGCCCACAATCCGAACAAACCGGCCTTCCTCCCACGTAACATAACCAGAGAGTAGGAAATCTTTCTCTTTTTTGTGATAAGAACAGAAGGAACAAGGGGAAAATTGTACGGCTTTGTGTGTGGTACGAAATGTTGCATTGTGAGAAGGAATAAAGTTATGCAATAGTTGGAGAAGAAGAGGTCTTGTGAAATGGAATGGGATCGTGGAAAAGAGAGGAAAAGTTGTGATTTGTGAAATTGTGGAGGAAATGCGATGTTCAGAAATGGTAAAATTCGTGTAAATGAAATGAACAACTGTTTCGACCAAACACCTTTTTCCGTATTTTATTAATATAAACTTCGTAGATTTTCTTATTTTGGCGTTTTACTTTTACATCAAGGTATTAATTCGTAGTCATCAAATTGTGTTTGGATCAATTAATAACTTTATTATGAAAAACATTTATAATTTAAAATCGCAGATTGTGATTGTTAATTAACTATTCAGTAATTTAGTATGTTCATGGAAGTCTGTGAATCAAAATGTTGGGGATTGAAATGGAATCCATTTTTACAGTTTTTCATCTATCTTTGAGTTTAATGCATGCAATTTCATCAAGTTATTATGCACATCACCGTTTGATTCTGAAGCTTTATCACCTTTAAAAGTTGTGTTTCTCACTTGTAGAATTTTCATTCTACAATTTGAGTTGTAAATTTTTGTCAGTTTTCTAGATCAACCTAGAAATCTTTAGTTTTAAAACTTTGTCTAAATTCTTCTACCTGTTCTATTCCCATTTTTCAAGGTTTCCAAAAAATCTGATCTCAAGAAATGTCTCCAAACTATGAAGTCATGCCGACAAAAACATGCATTTATTCAGATGTCCGAATCTCTGTAAGAAATTTTTCTCATGAATTTGAACATCTTTTTCCCTTTAAATATGCCAATCGTTCTCTGAAATGGGACATTTAATATAATGAAACTGTGCGGAATGCGTAGAATTTGTAGTTTGAAAAGTGTTAAACTTTGTGTACTTTGGCAGCTTCTCGTATGTCTAATTCTCACTCAAATGCATGTTGCATGTCGGAAGATAAAATGGACTAGACAATTTAACTCTTTCAATCCACATTATACCAGATTAACGAGTCTATTTTGACACGATGTAACAATCCTCGATTCAATTTGTCTGCAACTTTGTCTCAGTAATTACATGAAGAGTGGCATCTAATTTACATCAAAATTGATATATTATAATTGCTAATTAGCTTTTCCTTGAGATATATTAGCATTAAAATTACCCCTCCAATTATGCAAGTAATTAATTGCATGACAAATACGTTTTGTAATGTTGATATTTTATTTCAAATTTCACGAGAAGTGGTACATATTTTGAAATCAATGCTGGATGAAAAACGGTGGAAAATACATACATATTTGCAATATAATGGACGAGATGAAAGGTGACTTTTATTTTAAAAGTTTTGAAGGGTTATTTCAGTGGGTGGGGGTTTCAGTTCTACGAATTTTCAAAAACAGCCAAAGTTTTTTGGGCAGAGAAACAGGAGAAATTGAGAACGTCAACTTAATTATTAATTGTTAATATGAAGATGGAGTGACCAAAAGTTTTTGAAGACTTCTGCAACTTGAACATTTTTACAGTTTTGAATCTTATTAAATTATTTAGTTAGTTACTCAAAACAAGTGTATAAACTCTAGACCCTTTAAAATAACTATATATATGTTACATTTTTCTATTCCGGCGTTTTACATATGCATGCGCAGTTATTTTACATAAGTTCATAAGCCCATTCATGAATGGGTTTGAAATTCTTCAAACTTTGAATACATATGTAGTATCTAAGCATATCTGTACGTTTATATGTGTTGCATTCTTTAAAAAACGTTACAATCCGTCCATCTGCAACAATACGCGACGAGTAAAAAGAAGGGCCCGATGTCGCCAAGCAGTCTATCCATCCATCCCAAAGAATTGTGTTTTATTGTTTACATACTTTTACTTTTGTCCAACTTTGTCATTTGTACTGCATACACTTCTCACTCTGAAAATAACCGTAACACAATACGGATCGATCGCAAAACTGTGAGTGCTCGGAACCCGTTGTCTCAAAAGGAAAAGGAAGAGACAAAAAACTTTCAAATATATATATGAGACAGTTGGGTCGTCATTTTTTTGTCGTACGTTGCGTTGTTAAAGTATCTGTAATGTACTTATAAAATGCGACTAACTTACTAACTTTGTACACATCATTTATGAAAAAAGTATCCGTGCCACAAGATACGGCAATAAAATCCATATTGTGACACTCACTCCAAGTTCGCCGTAATTAACGAGCCAAACAAGTGTTCCGGTTCAAAACATGGCATCAAAGTTGTAAATTACTTAGAATTCAGATGCCTTTTTTAATGCAACAAGGTCTCAATTTCCCCACACGTCTCAATCCTGCATTTCTCAGAAACTGTATCATAATAATAGTAAATAACTAAATAATGGTAAAAACAGTTCATTTCTCTCACCTCGATATGAAAATCTCTCTCCAAAACCACTTGACTTTTGCCAAGATTAAGACCAAGCATGTAAGATTAGGATTAAAAGAAGTAAATACGCACTTGACTCCATTTACTGTATTTATTTGTCCTATGCAATATCCAGTCCAGCATCTCGTGATCCTGTTTCTCTTTGCTGGTCAGGTGTCCGTCAATTTAAAATGTAATTCTTTCTCGAATTAAGTTGTGAAATGGTGCTTGAAATTACTTGATCCAAATCCAACCCCTTCAAAGTTAAGAGAGTTTTAGGTTACGGGCTCTCAATTTGATTGACGGGTAACATAACATGGGCTCGATTTCAGTCTCATGTATTGATTTGCATATGTACTTACAGAAGGTTCCGAACTGTCTGGTGGCCAAGAAAGCATTTCTTAATTTTTTGTAAAGAAAACACCTGTGTGCAGTCAAAATGTATCATATTTCTTGTAAGAATGGTTTCCTCTTCTTGTTTATTTGGACATATGTATGTATTCACACTTGACTTGAGAAAATCCCAGGCACCGTTTTAATCTGAAAATTTCTCACTTTTTCTATGTATTGAGCAAAGTTTGGATATTTTTGGACTTGAATCATCATCAGGTGTGATGTTGATTGTAAAAATAAAAATTCCAGCATTACAAGATTCAGACGGACAAAGAAATTGGATCATAAAGTGTGAAAATTCTCAAAATTTTGAGACGGTCAACTAAATACTTACTTAATTTCGAAACGGTTATACAATCGCAATATTCTAGCCATTTATTCAAATTGTGGCAGATGACATGACACCCACCCCGAAATTTATTTGATTTCATACAATTACACAAAACTTTTGTGTATTTCATTATGCCTCTGCTCCCCATTATTTTATTACCTTTCGCGTAATCTGGACCAGTGATGAACCTGAGTCCTAAAACCGGAGTGCTTTTTGTCCCATCACGCATCATGCATTTGTACTTGTCCCTTTTAACCCGACTTTTAATAATCCCAAAAACTCGTCAAAAGTCAGGATTTTCAAAATGACTGTTGAAGATTATGTAGAAATACGGGTCGTCCTTTCCCGACAGATACGACGAGGTTACCTGCACCATTACCTAAGATAACAGCAGCACGACACAACATCCGCTTGACAAGTAGTTGCGATTAACAATGGGTCAAGAAAATTACGGGGCCATTTACCATCGCCTAAGCTGTTATTGAATGTGATGAATATGATGTAGAGGTGTAATTGATGAGGGGGATTAACTTGTTTTGAGAGAGAGTTATCTTATCCGAGACTCAGGTAGGTAATGTATTTGAGAAACTTGAATGAAATTTCCTTGATCATATATTTACACCTGGAATTTTAGGGAGGAGATTACATAAAATGTAACACTAAATTGTAAATAATTATTGTGTGTAATTTTGTGTCCTTGTAGAAAGAGAGGGTATCAGAGGGGCATGAAAGTGTAATAGATGTGAGAAATAAGTATAGTTCTCGTGGAACATAACCGATGCGAAATGTAGGATTTATTTATACTTTTGAGGTTATGGATGTAAATTGAGAGTTATATTATCCGGACCACGTAAGAGCAGGACAGATAATAAGACGTATGTTTTCGTGAGATTCAATTTAAGAGGCAATTTAATTCAATTTAAGTTTGAAAGAAATTCGGGATTTGCTAAATAAATAAAAATAAAAATGATTTGATTTGATTTAATTTTTGTTTTTATTTCATAGTATAAGTTGTATCGCAGAGAGTTAATTTTGCTAAGTTTCTCATAAGGTAACGGAACCACAGACGTTGTATGCGGTACTTAGACGCCAGGTATATGTATGTACGAATGCATATGAATTATTAATTTTAAAAAATTTGGTGGGTTTGTCGCAAAATTTTGAAAAATTCCATAAAAATTGTCCATGTTTCGAAATCCATTTCAAAATTTCTTGCACAATAAAATAATAAATTGATGTACACGTTTCAGTGCATAATGAAAGGTCAAATTCATTATTCATTAAACTTTTGTATACTGCCATTTTAAACTATTACATATGTATGCCCAAAAAATTTTAATTTTGCATTAAACGCAGCTTCTCATCAGATTTAAATTTTGAATTTTAATTAGCAATTTCAGAAATATAAAACTTCACTGCGTATAGTGCGTATGCTTGGCTTATGAAACTGTGAATAAGCTGAACTTGAGATTTTATACTACCACCACCGGGAACGAGCAGCAAATACGTTGTTTTTCAACACGATACGATGTATTTTGTGTTTCTTTTCAGAATTATATAATTTCTAATAGTACTATTTTTAATGGTGATCATAATTAAATATGCACCCCAGAAATATTTACAAAATACGCCCCAACTTTGCCGATTTGGCAAAAAAGTATGACTTTTTTGCACCATTTCTTACCCTGGTAAAGTTGAATTTGAGTAATTATTATAATTCTAGTTTAATTGTTATTGTTTTGTTGCAAATTATGAGTAACGTATTGGATTCACCAACAGGATGCGAGTGGGAATCCAAAGATAAATTTTAAGGATGGGGCAGCCTTGCGAGCCTTATCGAGGGCCTTACTATTACAAGATTTCGGAGTGGAAGTTGATATCCCTGAAAACGTGCTTATCCCGACGATTCCACTACGACTTAATTACATTCTGTGGCTGGAGGACTTGTTGGAGGGGGCGAAACAAAGTTGCGAAGGAACAACGGCGCCAGGTTCGACGGGGGGAGAAGAGGTCGTGAGAGGAATTGATGTTGGTGAGTCTTTAGATATGTTCAATACGTAGTGGTATTAACCAATTTTTAATAATCTGTATAATGAGTAACTAATTAATTAATTAGGAACGGGTGCTACAGCAGTATATGCTTTACTCGCTGCTAGAAAAAATTCTTGGGCGATGACGGGGACGGAAGTGGACTCGGAATATGTCAAAATCGCCCAGAGGAATGTCGACAAGAACAAATTGTCTCATCTGGTCACAAGTAATTGTTTTAACTGAATTATTAACTTCAAATATTTCAATAATTTCAATAACTGATTGTTTTATATTTTATTAGTTGTCCCATCCAAACCAAATTCACCTATCCTCTCGCCAATCCTTAATCAAGTGCCGGATAACCACTATTCTTTCACGATGTGCAACCCACCATTTTTCGGATCTGATGAAGAAACAGATTCAGTGCGGAAGGGACGGTTTTCTTCAAAAGATGAACCCCTGCGGCCTTCTCCATCTGGGGCTAAAAGTGGTCAGGCGGCAGAGTTAATTGCAGAGGGAGGCGAACTTCAATTCGTGCAAGGTCTTATCCGTGAGTCGCTGGCGCACAGGAGAAAAGTATTGTGAGTGATTAAATTTAGTTACCCGCACAAGTTTACAAAATATCATACAGAGTCTTGATTTTGTAGTTGTTCATTATTAATTATATCATAAATTATTAATTGACAATCATGTCTTAAATTGCAGAATCTACACCACTATGCTCGGCCTCAAACGTCATCTAAAACAAGTAATTTCCTACCTCCGCCACCACAACATTGCTAATTACACCACGACAGAGTTCGTGCAAGGAAAAACTATGCGGTGGGGTATCGCATGGTCATTCTCCGTCAACCTCCTCCCTCCTCAACCCGACTTGGTCACCACCTTTCCAAATTTTTCCACCCTGGTCAACTTCGAGACGCTGATTCGCTCTTATCTCGAGGATTTAAAATTGCACGCACTCCACTGGCTACCATCCTCTTCGGAAGACGTCGACGTGGCGCGGCCCGTTTTGGAGATGGTAGCAATGCATAATACTTGGTCAGGCCAGAGGAGGAAGAGGAGGCTAGAGAGACAGAAAATGGAGGAGGATGGCTCGCCACAAAAAATACAAAAGTCGGAAGAAAATCCATTAAAATCACCAGATTCATCATCGACAACTTCGGCCACGAATGAGACACAGCAATCCATCCTGCTCCACTGTTTTCTAGATTTCCTGCGGGAGGAGGATGGTTCGGCAAAGATATTAATGCGCTATAGAGATGGTACGGCGGGGAAAGAGGGTCTTCATCAGATTCAGCAGTATATTAAAAATCGGTACGGGAAGGATGCCAAGGATCCGAGCAGTCCGGTGTTTCAAATGAACGTGTAAAAGAACAAAGCTCATGTGACCTCTGAAAATTAAAATTAAGCAAAGCGTCATACGTTAAAATATTTAGAATTATGTAACTTTCAGTTATATTTTTGTACCTTGCATTACTGTTCCTATATAAAGTAAGTTAAGTAACTCATTAAATTAGTCAAATGCAATTGAATAATGTTATTAGTTGATTGGTTGATCTTCAATGACACCTGACACCTTCGTACTATGTCATTATTAACACTAATTGAATAAGAATTAGTCTGAAGTGTGACCATATTTGGAGATATGTTGTAGGACACTCTGTATTCGACCCATATTTGTAAACATCATAACTTCACATGACTCACTCTCTGTGGGGAATCTAGATATAATCTATCTCTCTCAAATCTTTGCAATAAGGACATGAAATTTTGCACACTTCTGAAACGCATACTATTTTTTTAATATTTTAAGTTTGAACTTGATTTATTTCAAGGTATTTTGTTACTAGCTAGATGATTACAATTTATTTCACGTAGGCGATTAACTGCATCATTAGAGGATATGGATTTTTCTAGATACTTTTTTTGCGACCGGTTTTAATTTGCAAGTAATGCGTTGGCGGTTATAGTTTGCAGTATTAATGTTCGTTTGGCTATTAGATTAATAAAAAATGTTATGCACAACAATAACATACCGTAAAATCCTAACAAAAAGTCATATCTCGTAGCATATGCAGAATTACATTTAATCCTAGAGGGAGTAATTAGCACATTTGCGAATTTGCAAATACACAATTGGCAATGGATATAGATAACTACAAAGGATGACCTCATCATTGCCATAAGTTCACTACACAAGTTTTCGTCCCACACAGGAACGAGTGGACCAAGGGCGTTGGATGGACATTTACGGCGAGATTCCCATTTCTTCCTTCCTTTTATGACCACACTTTATTTACGTTAAAGGCTTTAAGAACTGAACCACTTTTTAGTAGTTGATTACCAGTTCATTTTCGTCTCTCCTCAAGATAACAACACTTTTTCACAATTTCCCGAATTTGCCAATTATTTAAATCCAAATTTCAAAATGGTTATCAACGTCGTTTACAATAAGGTAGGGCACAGAGTTAAAAAAATTAGATGTCAGTTACATAATCAATTTTTTAACTTTTCTTATTTCATGTTTTGATTTTCCGTTACAATTACAGCCTCATTTCGACAAGGCGTTGGAGGAAGCGGCCAGCAATTTGGTCGTTGTCGAATTCACGGCTCATTGGTGCAACGCTTCTGCATCCAGCCTGAAAAAAGTGGCTGACTTGGCTGCGGCAAATCCCACCGTCGCATTTATCAAGGTCAGTTTAAGGTCAAATTTAGAAAACCGGCCTAAATTCTATCAGTTTGACTAGTGTTATGAAAACACGAACCTCACTTCTTCCTATTTCATGCAAATACAGTTAACAGTTAATGATAATTATATAATTATATGCAAATCAAATAGGTCGATGCTGAGAAAAATAGTGAGATTTCTAACCTTTACAAGGTCAACTCACTTCCAACATTCCTCTTCCTTAAGGACGGTGTTCAGGTATATAACACATTATCAACGATTTATCATCACCACTATCTTTAGTAAGATTAATTAATTAAATTAACAATAATCTCAATAGGTCGACCGAATGGATTATTCCCTCCCCTCCGAGTTGGAACAGAAGGTCAAGAAGCACAAGCCTGTTTAAATATATGGAAAAAATGCCATCTAAATAAAATTCATCTTTACAAACTCAAACCATTTCCAAAATTCTAAATATTAACTAAATTCTAAAAAAGGACACAATTTTGTAACCATTCAGTAATAAATTCAAATGTGATGATGTGAAAATTCTTGAAATTGTAATATTTCATTTTTCCTCATATTTCGTTCTTCCATGAGACTTTTGCATGCCAAAGGAGACAAAGGATTTCCACGGTGGGTCCGTTAGGAATTTAGAGGGAACAACCACCACCACCACTGCGTGCATCAACCCGGAGGAAGAAAGAAGCCCAGATGAAGTCGGATAATTAACTAACTATAACTTATCTGCTGGAGATAAGTTGCTATTAAATTGGGAGTTTGGTAAGTTGTTTTTGGTTTACAAGCACGCTTGTAAAGTTAACAACCTTCAATTTGTAATAGAGTGAAGTTCTATTTTGTATTTGATATGGAACCAATTTTCATTAACACATTTATTTTTGTCATTATCTTAATTGCAGAGGGTTGAGTTAAAGGTTGAGTTGAAGGCCGACTTAACTCGTTAAAAAACTTTAGTTGAAGGTCCAGTCTTTCGGTCAAGATGCCGGTCTCGACCAGGTCTCAGGCTCGTTCCAACAAGGCGGAATCGTCCAGCTCTTCTTCCGCTCCCCCCAGACAAAAGAGGACAGCTAAGAAACCACAAGTAAAAGGGGAAGAACCAACACAGGAAGAGGGTCGAAATGTAAAACAAGAACCGTTCCTTGTCCCACCACCCCTACCACCAACTAGTAATAAGGTAATGACGTCGACAACGTCAAAGAAAATTCTAAAGGAGAAGGATCAACCCAAAGTTGTGGATAACGTCGAAGATGCAGATTCAACGCCAAGCCGTGCTCCCCCCACAAAGAGGGCAAAATCACTAAAGATCCCATCCACCTCGACGGCCGTGGTGCCGAATAATAAGAAAAAGGTCAAAACTACAGCGAAAAGTAGAGTGCCTTCGTCTGCATTTGCGGGTAGACAGCCGCGACTCTTTGATGATTCTACAAGTGAAGAGGACATCGAAATGCCGCCCCCTCGACCACCACCACCAGTTATTAAGAAGCCGCAACCAGAGAAGAAAAACGTAGTGGCAACGACGACTAAAGCGGCGGCGATTACACAAACTTCAAAAACTTATAGTTCTAGAGGTAGCGGGGGCACTGTTAGTCAAGGTGAGTGAATGTAGCAGTTGAATCAAATTAGTATTGCATTTTAACCTGTATTGTCTTCTATTGTATTTTTTCAGATAACACTAAATTGAAAATGACGTGCACAGTATCTCTCAGTCCATTGCGTCAGAAGCTAGTTCCTGCCAAAAATCTTTCTCAAGCAGCACAGGAGCCTACCCCGACAGTAGAAAAGAAACAACTTCCACCACCACAACCTGAGAAGAAGCAACTCCGGTCAAGAAAGGGAAGGTTTCAAGAGGGAGAGGGAACTAAAAACGTGATCAAAGTAGTTGAAGAACTTAAGAAAGTAGCCCCGGTTGTCAAAGTTGATGAGACGACGACGACGTCGCAACCCGGCAGACAATTAAGAACGAGGAATGCGGACCACAAGGCTGTGACCGCGGCGGCGGCCACGACCACCAAACGTGCCTTCCTTCCCGGAGAGCTGGACAACGTTGACCCTGGAGCGTTGGCCTCGAACTGCAGAATGGCGGCAGGTCACATGATCGAAGTCTTTCAGCATTATGAAAAAACTCAAAAGATTTTTGCTGTGAGTAGTCTCAGCATATGCACTTTGTAGAACTGTATATTATTTGTCTTAAATATCAAAATGCTTATGTTCCTTAAAAAATAGAAAAGGGGAGAGGAGATACGGAAAAATTTTGAAACTTCACTCCGAGAACTTCGCTCAAGGAAGGCACAACAAGCTCAACAAATCGATGATAAGCCGAAAGAAGTTGGTGAGTACTGAAGTATTATTTATATTCATAGAATAATTAATGTGATTTTTCCATTCTTTAATTCAAGAAGTTGAAAAACCTGCAAAGACTAAGGTCAAAGAAGAAGAGCCTCCAATAGCAAATGAAGATGAGGGTGATGATGCTGGAAGTGAATCTATGTTTGAGTCTGAAGAAAGTGAGGAATCTGAAGACGAACAAGAATCAGCAATTTTTGAAAAATCAGAACAAGAATCAGAATCAGAATCAGAAGAAGAATCAGAATTAGAAGAGGCCGAAAAATCTGAATCTGTCGATGATGAGCCCACCCCAAAAATTGAGGTTTCGCCTCCTGTAGAAAATGTTGCAAATACGTTACAAAAGCTTCAACTTACCGAGGACCTCAAGATAAAATCGCTCTCTCCAAACAATATTCCTTTGCGCCGCTCGTCTCGCAAGACCCAGCCTGTGCCTGATTCAAAAACAAGTTATGGCTCATCCAATGAGACCACAGCAGGAAAATCTTCATCCATTCCCCTCACCAACCAGCAAACTTTCATTGCTGCCAACCCTGCAGTAAAAAGGGCCCGAGCCCAATCCAACCTCCTGGATTCGGAAGATGAGCTTAATTTTCAGAATGAAGATGATGATGATCAGCTCAACAAATCAGTTGATTTATTCTCTGATGCTACTGAGGATCTTCTTCCCGCACCACCAAAAACCAAAACCTCTTCTTCTTCGGGGAGACAATTTTCGAATAATATCACATTTGATTTTGCGGCCAAGGCAGAGAGAGAATCAATTCCGGTTCAACCATCTAAAAAGTTTATTTACGATCCCACGGAGAAAAATGTGCTCGTGTCGGAAATGCGGCGTTCGGCTCGGTTGGCTTCTCCGCTTCCCGTTTCTGCTCCTGCTGCGACTACTTCGACTGTTGATCTGGAAGAACAAGACGAAGAAGACGTCTTTGTCGATGTCTTTGAAAAGTCTATCATGCTTGACGAAGAGGACGAACCGAAAGTAGAAGTCGCCCCACCAAAACCGCCGACTCCATCTCATGTTGGAAAGCTTTACGCCCCAGACGAAACTATCCTCACTCCTATGAACGCCACCTTCGTCACAGACACTATTGTCCCAGACAAATCCAAAAAATTCGTAACTTTAAACGAAACCGTATCTTTATCCTCTATTGGACCTGAGCCAAGTTCAGGAAAATTTACAAATCTTAATGTAACTGTTACCTTGCCTGAATCAGGATCACGATTTGGAAAATTTACAGCTCTAAATGAAACGGTTTCTATACCAGGCGGATCTACGTTTGGAAACCATGTCCCAAAATTTCAAGAGTTTAATAGCAGTCGACATCAAGGTAAGTTGCCCAAGTAAATATGTCTTCTTATCGTATTTTACATGACAATTGACTTTAAAGCAATATGCTATTAAATTTTAATTTAGCGTCCACTCTCGACATTCTTGAGGAAGAAGACGACACCGAGTTTGCTACGCCATCGGCCTATCCAAAATCCCTTCTGCCAGAATCTGTAGCAAAAATTGATAAAAAGAAGAAGGAAACTTCAACGTCGTCCTCGTCGTCCTCTTCCTCCTCCTCCTTCAAATCAGCAGTGTCCTCTTTTCAACAGCCCAAAAAAGTCATGCCAGCAATTGTAACAGCCAAAAAATTGGACATTATCAAGAAAAGGGAGGAAGACGCTCAGCGCAATAGAGCGGAAAACCTAAAGAAAAAACAAGAATTCCAGAAAAAGTGAGGCTCAGTTACATGTCAATTTAATGAATCCTACAAGTCTATTTGGTTTGCTATATATGTCCATTTTGTTGACTATTTCCAGGAAAAACGAGGAATGGAAACAGAAAACGGACAAGATTAAGCTCGAGCAGGAAAAGTTATCTGCAGCTGCCGCCGTCAAAAAAAACATTGTGCCAAATCCGGCCTTCTCCGCCGTGGGAAATGTTAATAGTAAGCCTGTCATAGGTATGAGCAAACTTCCTCCAAAAGTTCCAATCCAACAGCACGGACCACCCCCACCCACCTCATCCAATTACAACTTCAACTTTGGTAACGCCCCTCCCGGGATGAACAACAGACTTTTGGATAACATTGGAGGATTCAAGGCCAGCGGACCTATGAAGTCTTATATAAAGCAGAAACCAGGACTGCAGCCTTCTACTAGCACTGGCAGATCGATGCCTATCATGGGACATTATCCTCCACCAGTAAGTTTGTTTAGGTTGCAAAATTTGATTACTATTATCAGATTATTATCAATATCAGATTTTTTTAAATATTCTCATGTTCAAAAATTCTATAGATGTCCACATTTTCTAATGTGCGTACTCCCAACAAATCCGATACTACACGAGGGTTGCCCGATGACTTGTTCAAAACTCCTGGAAATATGAACGCAAGCATTAGTTTTCTCGACTCAACGGTCGACTCTGGTCCAGGGAACTCGTACGATATTACGATGTATGAAGATCTCGACGAGGAGTTGAAGCATCGGGAAAATAAATCGGTCCCAGCTTGGGCGAATGATAGTAAGCAATCAAAACTAGGACAATACATAATAAATAACGTAATAAAAATTTGCATTCTCTTTTTTGCATAGAACTTGAAATTCCTGTCCTCTTATTCAAACAATTGGACGCTAGCAAAATAAAAGGGGTCGGATTTCCCTTTCCCAATGTCAAACCTGGCTACAGACTTTTCAACGTTCGCCGTTAAACTCATGAATTTATCTTAGAAAAGATTCTTTTTAATGCCAATAATTTCACTAGTTAAATTTTTTCGACGTCCTCCGATTTTAAGAGTTGGTGTTGTATTTAATTATGCGCTTATTCCCATACTTTAAAAAAATACGCTTAATTATGCCAGCAGAATTCGTTAATTAGAATATTGAAGTACATAATTAAGAAATGACAGGCTAGATATATAATTTATACTTTTGTCGTACTTTAATTTGTAAAGCGCTTTCCACTTTTTAGTGGTATAACACTGACGGTGTACGATATATGATAAAATACATTTCTAATTCAAAGAATAAATTATCATTATTATTACAAGTCATCATTATAACGATTTAAAATTTATTTCGGAAGCATTTATTTGTCAACATAAGATTCTTTGACTCAATCTTTCCTATGCAAAATTAGGGAGCATTTTTCTAAATTCATTTTCAGGCCCGTGTTTTTCATGATTTGGCAATAATTTTTTTCGTATGTACGTATGTCCTCTGATTCTGAAGAAATTTCGTGTTGTTTTTATTTATTGGGTTATCCCAGCGTTTAAAAAAAAACGCTTATCTTTAGTTGTGCCAGCAGAAATTCATAAATTAAAATACTTATGCAAATACATAATGATGTAAATAATTAAGAAACAAAAGCTAAAAGTATAATAAGTAATTTTGTCGTACTTTAATTTGTAATTTTCTCTGCAGTTTGCAAGTGGTACATATAAACACTTACTGCTTTATGCTAAATAGATGTGTGACAAAAATACATGAATTTTCTAATTCCAACAATAAAATAAAATTTGTGTAATCAAATTTTGCACTTGGATAAGTGCCAAATAGTTATTTAGCCAATTATGTACGTGCACGACGTTAGTCATCATCCAACGCTTCCACTGGTGTTTTCGCCTTATCCAGATAAATCAATCCAGCACCCGCAATTATACACCCGATTGCCATCAAGACCCCCATCCACGCCATCAATCCAGCCGTCTTTATCCCCACCGCGGCCAGCTTCATGGTCGACTTGACCAATTCATTGAAAGTTTCCTGAAAATAGTGGGAAAGAATTAAACTTATACTTATTTTTTTTAAAGTATGCCAATTTACCTCTCTGATGTACGCCATTGGTACCGTGGCTTGGCTCCTATTTGCCAAATTGGGCATCTGATCGCGTGTGATAGCTTTGATCCGAAATTCCAGCTGGCCACGCCCATGAGCCGCTGCACCGACAGGAAATAGGTCGACAATCGTACCAGGTTCTCCATTTTCTCCGTTTTCGTCCGTTTTTACGATGTCCTTGATGTCAACGGAGGTCTGGAGTAGGATGACGGCATCCACGAAGACTTCGATATGCTGGTCGGTGGCTTGGACGGCCATGCCCTGTTCACATTACAAGAGTTTGCCCATATAAAAAGTGATTTTTTACAAAAAATATTGCACTATGTTTATGTAGGTCACCATTTCAATTTCCTGATCGGGAAGAGTACTGTTCGGACTGACTTTGTCGAATACGACTGTAGCGAGAAACGTGGAGATGACGAAGGCCCCAGCGGAACCGACGATGAGTAAATTCTTTATCAGATCTTGGTTCTTCATCATCATATTTTACCAAAGAAATTGCAAAGAAACAGTGCTTGATATCTTGACAAATACTTTTTAAAAGTGAAAAGTTTTACGACAAGAAAAAAATAAACTTTATCTATCAACGACCAGAATTAGCGTCTTTTCCAAGTAATAGATAGGTCACCACAACCTAGTCATGATGTCAGGGCTGGTGGTATTTTAGCAGATACACCGTCAACGACTTTCCACAACAGGAAGACAATAAGTGCAGAATGACGAAGACAATTGGTTACCTCTTCTGCCCCACGAAATGTACGTAATATCTGTAATACCAATATAATAATTCGTATGGGCTGCATGGACATTTCAGCATTTGTGAATATGGCAGAAAATCATGAAATATTAAGCGCTATCCATCATCCATTTTACACAGGCATAAAATTGGGGTAGAGACGTACGTATGCAGGACATGGAATGGCATAGTATATAATTTTGGGCAAAATCTGTCCATCCTGCTCCTCTTGTTTTAGCTATAAATCGTTAAATTGGTTCGACCTTCTTCCATCAATTTTTAATGAGCGGCTATACATTTCGTGGAATATGACTTTTAGCGTCGGATTCGTAGAATTGGATGTATATTCAAATTTATTGGCAGGTATGGGATGGCAAGTAAGTATTAAGGGATGTGCTGGTCGGATTTTCGCAATAATATTTGGCAAACTAAATGTTCGCAAACTCGTCCTTCCCCGTAAAACAGGAATCAAGGTAAGTCCATAGTCCGGAATGGTTAGAAGATTTACGTAAATGCCATCCATAGGAAAACATTTAAATGTCAAGTCACCATTTTCCGTCCACTTTTTCCGACCAAGATAAGTCATGTCATGTTCAACAAACTATGTAAAACTACAGCGTATAAAATGCATGCCAAAATAATACCTCTTTAAATTCATGTCAAATGCCTGCATGCGCACTTACTTTTTTGCAAAAAAAACATGCAAATATATGTATACCCAATAAATTCGCAATGACGGTGTTTTGTTTTTCGTAACAAAATAGTGTCATCAATTCCTCCTTCAAAATTGACAATATCCGATTTCCCGAAAGTAGATACGTAGAAAGCAAAAGTTGAAAGAACTTTGATTAACTCGTCAACATTTTATTCCTCTCGACAAATTATTCATTCTTTTCCAAAACCTCGCAATTTTACTGCAAGCCATTCTTAAAACTTGGAAAAAATAAATACATAACTTTCTTCCCCCTCCCTGGCTAACCTACATTTTACTCTAATTTATTCAACAACCTTGCCTGCTTGGTTAATCGGGTCTGATCTATTTAACCTTAAGTCTGATAGAACTGACTGATATCAACCGTGGTTCCATCCATTCAGTGCTGGCTTGGTGTTCTTCGTCCAATGGCGAATTTAATATTTGTGCGAAAATAATATTTTATGAGCTCCACTACCTTTTGTCCCGTCCACACATTATTGATCATCATAAAACGCAGGACGAGTATAAAACTTAACTTTGCGTACATATAGTCAACCTCCAAACTAATAAATATCCATATTCCAGAGGAGAAAATTGATATTTGATACGGATTTCGTCCGTGTGGTGGTGAATAATTACTGAGGAAGTCATTGTCATTTCCACCACTCCGCCCACAGTGGCGTCCTTAATTGCGACAATAATTACACATTCTGACGACTCGGGAGTGAATCCATAATATTATTTGTATGTGTGTCGCCTCATCATCACAAGACTAAAATACTGGTCAGTAGTACGTCCCCCTGGACAAATGCGCTACTAGTCGACATGAGAAGACAAATATTATTTGATGTCAAAAAGTGATACGACGAATCGATTGTTTAATTATTACTTGTGTGTCGAAGAGTATTAATTGTTATTGTGAACATTAAACAAACTAAGGTGACGTGTATTTACACATATACCGAGTACTGATTCGGTGGTATCGACTGATATTTGCTCGGCGGCGGCGTCGAGGACGTGGAAAGAAAGTGGTCCATTATTGTTCTTATGGGACAAGGTTGTCACTGACTGGGAAAATGTGACCACGACTAAGGAGGCAGTTATAGTGGAATTATTATCCTGGTCAATTTCGGTAGTTACATACAAGGTGTAAGACAAACGACGTAATTTTAAGGATAAATAAGAGGAGGCAAATTGAGACAGGTTTCTTTAAAAGTTTAGTTCTGGTTTTTTATAAGAAAAAAATGCCCATTTTCTATTCAGGGTAAAGTTAAAGGGATCGACGTATACATAAATTGAAATTAGTGTGGTTTATAAAGTGTGAAATAATTTATAAAAATGGGAAAATTGATCGGTTTTGGCTTAATCGGTTACGGGGTGGGGATGCTTCTCACAATTGTTGTAATGGCGATTGGTGGACTGGAAGTCATGGTGGGACTGTTTCTCCCAATTGTAAGAAGAGAATGATAAATCATTTTAATTATGGTTATGCATCACTGTTAAAATTGATCGATTGTAATTAGGCGTTGAAAATGGCACCCGTGGACGAAATCCTGCTCGCTTGGGTGGAAGTTGTAAGTATTTTTTTTTAATTTTTGGAAAAATGCAATATTTACGAAGAGGAGTTTATCGCTAATTTAGCCCTTGTCTATGGCGATCACGGGTAAGCTTTCGAACGTAACAACGTTCAAGGAGGACGGAATCCTGGGCGGTGGGCGGATAAACTTTGAGGTTATCATGGCCGGTGGAGGATACGACTCTGCAGAAGAACCAGTCGTGCCAGCACTTTGGATTGAGGAGGTAAGCAAGGGTCACAACTTGATAAAATGTGTTACCAATTTTGTTTAAGCTTAAGTACTTAATTTAGAACGCTGTGTATCAGTTTTATAATTTTTACGTGATAAGGCGAGTACTTGTAGTGTATTTAAATTGGGTTTGAGCTTTTAAGTTAAGATTTTATTTTTGTCTACACGTAAATGCGAATTTTTCATAGTTTCCCGAATTTGTATTATTTTAGGACGGCGACCTTGACGAAGTGATCCGATACGTGATAAAGGCTGGTCCGCTAAACATCCCCTCCATATTCTTCTGGCTTGTAGCCCTCGGATCACTAGGTATTCATTTGTTACAACGTCTCATTTTTTACACTATGCATAAATTCAATGAATTTAATTCATTGACTGATATGATATTTCCAGGCGCTATGGGGGCCTCGATCCTTTTCAAATTTCTTGGCAAGAAAAAATCTGTGGATGGAATTGAGCGAGGTGCATCAGGTATTTGAATTAAAGTCCCAATTAATAAATTTCAGTTTAAGTGAACCTCGATTTCACAAAGGCTTAGGAGGAAAGCTTGACTATTTGCTAATAACAGATTTCGATAACCCCCACGTGGTTTGACTTCATGGCCCCATTTGCGCCCGCCCCACCCACTCAAAGGGGACAAAAGCATGAAAATTAGAACCTTTAAGCGCTCGCCAAAAATTCATCTTTGCTAGGATTTTAAAAACTTGTGCTCAAAAAAGTTGAATTTGATATTGGAAAGCATAATGGTGCATGCATTTTAAAAATCTGAGCAAAGTTAAATTTATGTATGGGGAAGGTTTAAATGAGTGAAAACAGGGCTTCTTTCGTGCTTTTGGTTCCTTTGAGTGGGTGTGGCGGGCTCAAATGTGACCGTAGCATAAAACCAATCTGGGATTTTAGTACACTAATTCATACTACTTGCAACATATCCAAAGGGCATCAAATGGTATTATTAGCAGGTAGTGAGACTTTCCTCCTTAAGTCCTTGCTCCCATTAACTCGAAAGTACTGTTCCTGGCACTTTCAAGTTGGACTTATCCTTATCTATAATTTTAGCCCCGCCTGCAACAACCGTTCAAGTGATCGCACTGGATGAGACCGCTTTCAAGGAATGAATTATCAGATTTTGAAAAAAACAAATGAGAAAATGAAATTTTGAAAAATAGTTCTTAATAATGCATGTAAGTGTAGGGCAATGCATCATGAAAATCCACGGTGTCTCATATTAGGAAGAAAGAGGTACATATACATTATTTTAGGGTCTCATATTATAGAACTGACCTACATATAGGGCGATTTTTAGATGTCCACGCCGTGGATTCCACCGTCGGAAATTTCTTATCAATTCTCCTTATCACATTGAAAAACTTGTATGCATTTTTATTTACTTTTTCATGGCATTTTGCGTAAATTCATCTATGTTGAAAACAATTCTTAAATTCCCGAATTGGGGAAAACGTAGGTTTTTGACCCCCCATTTTTGACCTAAAATTGACTATTGTATGTCAGTTCTATAATATGAGACCTTAAAATAATTTACGTCTCTTTTTTCCCGAAGTGAAATATCGTGGTAATCAAACTACCTGATTTATAATGATATACTATATAATTAAGTCCATTTTCACAATGTATGAACTCACACACACACCGCTTTTTCGTGACCATGTAGAAGCATTTAAACAATTCAGGTAAAAAATGTATTTAGATAAGTATCAAAATTTAAAAAAAAATATGTATTATACCCGAATAACCTGATTCGTATATTCATTATGGAAGTAAAATATTTGTGAATTGGATGCCCAAGTTCAATGCCCGATAATTATGATAATTAGATAAGTTTTCCACTCGATAAGAAGACACCACTTGTTTAGAATGACCTTAGTTAAGTAGTTACATACATACATCAAGTCTCTCCACCACTCAAAAACAATGCATAATATGTACTTACTAAATGCACACACTATTAACTCTACTGGTCCACATTTAACTTTAAGTATAGTGTGTTAAGCTTAAGAGGATAAGAATTAAATAAGAGACAAATTGTACCGTCAAATCTGTAGAAGTTTCTTTCATGAATAAAAAATTGTCGAGTGTGCCTGGACATATTTTGTTTGCGGATTGTTTTCCGTACATATTCTTATCCCCCAAGAGTTGATTCCATAAATTAGCAATTATGCCGGAAGGAATTCTTTATTTTTGCTACATCGCCTACATTTTGGTCATTCTCTGCACCTTTATTAAAGTCATGGTTCAGCCAATCCTGGGAATTTTTGTCATCTTTGTCATCTCGGGGAACCTGGATAATTGTAAGTTGTGTGAAAAATTGTACCATGTTTTCCAGTATTCATTATTATTTACATGCTTTTTTGTCAGGTCGACAATTTCGAAACGAAATTTCCGCCGCAATCAACAACTATTTCAATCGAACGTTTTTAAAATTTTGGAGAATTTTATGCCTAGCTGGGGAGGATTCGATGGGGGAAGGAGAGGAGGATAATTCGTTGAACTTCAATAAAGGCTATTTTGGTAAATGCGATATCTTGAACGCTTCGCCTAAAGGTTAATGAACTATTTGTAAATCTATAAGTTAATTTTGCATGAAATTTTAATTAATAATTTACTGTCTAGAGGAATGCATCACGCAGATAATCGTCCCACCACCTTTAACTAGGAGGCGACGTGGCCTCATACAATTATAGTTTTAATTTATCCCAACTACTATTTATATTCAGTTGTGTATGTTTTTCATCACTTTCAGTCTCAATTTGTTTTGTAATCTCAAAATGTATTTATTTATACCATGTTTCATTTCAAACTTCCATATTTTATTTCACTCTTAAATTAGAATAATACATATAATACTAATATTTCGGATTTGTATTACAAATAAATGCGTCTAGTTTTCGGAATAAACTTTAGCTTTACATGTAGAAATGTTTGTAGAAAAAATCGTTTTAAGTAGTAAATTCACACATTTCTCATAATCCTTCGACAAAATTTCCAAAGTGAGTATTCATGAACACAAGAATTCCTAATTATATTCAACTTAAGTAGAACAATGTAATTCGGGCACAACAAATTGTCTGAATCAATTTATGATTATTACTCGTACATCAGTCTTTGATAATGCGAAGAAACTTCAGAAGTTGGGAGATGCAGGCCAAACTCAAGTGCGATAAGGGCAGCAAATTCGTATGATAAGATGTCTCCCTTAGCGAGGCGGAAGTTATTCTCAATCCTCTACAATAAAATGGTAAATAATTAGTAAACTTTGTTATTTAAATAATTCGAATTAAATAAGAACTACGCATAATCAACTAAATAACTGACCTCAATAAAGTTCCGCAATGGTTCTCCTTTTATATCGTTTAATTTTGCGGATAAGATGAGACAAGCCCCTGCCATGAATTTTCGATTGTTCTTATTCACGACGGAGAGAAGTATAAGCTTCTCATAATAAACGTACGCCTGAGCAACTGTTAACAAGTCGATGTTACATTCTTTCGATATTTTGCGCATTTCCCTTTTCAAACTGCAATGTAAATTAATTCATTGTATAATTGCACCGCAGACGATAAATTTAGTAATTATACTATGTTTAACTACCTTCGCAATTTACTTAGAGTAAGTTCGATCTGTGGGAATCGTTCCCGGAATTTGTCATTGATTTCTTTCTTGAGATCGGTTGCTTTGCAATATTCTATTACCGAGGTCATAATAGATGGAAAGGTGAGCAAGGTTCGATGCTTACCGGCCTAATAATTAATAACATTGATCATTAATAATTATTAATTAATCACTAGTATGAATACTTAGCAATTAATAATGTACCCGCAATTCAGGGTCATCTAGCAATTCGGGATGATATTGTAGACCGGGTGCATCATCTAGTTTTCCAGAAACCAAAATGCAAATTAATTTCTAATTTCAATTATCAATTCGTTATTAAACAAATACCATCCGTTTCGTCAATCACTAGTGGTGGTGGGTTCGGTGATTTTTGTGCATTTCGAATCGCATTCGATATATTTGCAATATTCGTAATATTCTCTCCAATTTCCGGATTTATTCCGTTATTCGCATTTTTCTCTTGTTGTTGTTGAAGCAATTTCTGTGATCGGAACGAGCTTTCGTAGGAAATACATCTACATACAAAGTACCAATCTAAATATTAATGCCTTAATATCAAGAAAATATTTTCTTATAAAATCACCTCTGAAAATACAATTTCTTTGCGTTCGCATCCATCGAATCCGATCTCATATTGTGAAATCCGTGCATTTCCATGAGCTTTTGTCGGTGGGGAGGAGTCACCCCTTTCACGGCGACGTTGGTTAGAGAAGTTGTCGCGTTAAAGTTCACTTTTGATGGCTGCAACAAATATCCGTAACTCTTTTCCTCGTCTCCAAAGCGAAACGAGGTGGATTCATTTTCACCCGTGACGCTGGACCCTGCTCCTCCCATCCCTGAAAGAGGCCGACTCCCAGAAGCGTTCCGAGTCCGTTTGGCAAATGCTTCAGCGATTTCGGCGGCCGCCCTATAATGAACAAATAATGTTAAACTAGGGAAATATTGAATTACAAATAATATCCTTATCCATCGATCGCAATTTGAGGATCGGATATACAAACATAAATAAATTAGTAACACACACATAAAATAATGAAAAGATATTCTGCATCTTAGTTAGAAGGCGTTATTGTTAGTGACACAATTTTAATAAGTGGAGTCGTAAAGTAGATATCATAGCTCATTTATAAAAAAATTGGCATAAATATATACATACGAGCTAGATTTAGTAAAGGACTCAAAATCGAAAATTCAGGTTGAATGAAGCCGAGAGAACAGTTACATGTAAGTTGTTTCCAGCTAAAAGTAAATTAAACCTGTCAAAAGACGAGGATGACGTCCTAGTCCTGGACCTTTTTCTCGGAAACCAAGAAGTAGAATTAGCAGGTTGTCCGTCCTCACTTTACGATACAGCGGAGGACGGGGAAATGAAAATAAAATTCCAAAGCAATTCTTTAAAAGAGTAGACGCGTAAGACAATACCACGCTCACAGCAAAAATTTAAATATCACTATTTCAGGGAATTCGGTTAATATGATGTCATCAAATCTTGTTACTTGAAAACACAAGACTTTTTTTTAGTATGTACGACACTAACAACTTATCCGGATCGTTTATTCGTTTTATAGACGAGAGATTTTAAAATACACTAAAACTCAAACTGAACATAAATTACAAAATTAAAAAGACTAAGGAATTATGCTATCAAACTATGTGAATATTTTATTACATACCTCGTTGTCGGCGGCACTATCGGCCTCTGAGTTTTCGCCGAGAACGGCAACGTGGAGAAGATGACGACTGGTGTCCTCTTGTTGACAACGAGGATGAGCCTTTCCCCATTTCGAATGGCTGGTCGAGGATTCGACCGCATATTAATGACTCTCATTTGAGGGCGTTTCGGCGTCACGGAAGGATTGCTCGATCCACTCTCGGAAACGTTGGTATTTGACGTCCTATGGGGTTTGCCTGTAAAAACAAAATTACAAATTAGCATAAGTTTCATAACAGACCCTCAAAATACTTATCCTTGAGACACTTACCCAAGTCGACACTCTCAGAACTGCTGAAATGTGCGTGTTTTTGATGATGTTGCAATTGTCGCAAACTGGAAACTATATCTTTATTCATAGTCCCACTACTTGACCTCCTCCTTCTTAGAATATCATCACTAATTTGGGTCGTATGCGCTCTAGAAAACAAGCATTCTAAATAATTTCAACAAATCCCCACAATAATGTTAACAAATATTTCTCACCTCGGCCTTCCAGATGATCTTATCTCACTATTATTATTGTAATTATTTTCTTCGCCAACCGCCTCCAGCGAGCCTCCTCCAACGCCAACGATCGACTCTGCCCGAAAATGCCTCTCGTGACCTGGTTGGCTTTTAGTTTCTTCATCGGACCAAAAGGCATCGTCGTCGTTATCCGTCGTAGCGTGGACGTCGACGGGGACCAGAATAGCACCATCTCCACCGCCAGCAAAGTAATCTCGATCTCTCGTCACGTCATCTTGGTCGCGACATCCGGACGATGTTGATGTCGACGATTGTTGTGGTTGTTGCGTAGTCGTAACTTGAGCAGCAGCAGCGGCGGCGGCGGCACGGGCAGCAATGTGTTCGAGACCCCAGGGCGTGTCGGAATAGGACCCATCACGAGAAATGTTGGTGAGAAAGTTGACGGCTTCGAGGCGTTTGCGAGCCCGGTCCATCGATTGGCGTTCACGCGTCCCCACCATCCTCGGACCTAAAGGTGGTCACTAGAACAATAGAACAAGAACAAATAATTAGTAATTGAAAAATATAAGATCAACAGTTGACAAAAATGTGTACAAAAATGAAGTCTGGAAACATTTAATTACAAATTATGAATCGGTAATCATTGATTACTAATCAATCAATAGTATTTCTGTAACAAATTGTTAAAATCGAAAGTCATCAAACAATGATGACTTTCGATTTTTCCAAAAAACTTAATTGAAACAGTTCCTTATAAGACTACATGATTGCTTTACAAAGAATTTGCTTCGTACTATAATTAATTGACTGCGTAATTACATAAATCACTCAAGAGAGTTACAAATTTACAAGAACTATATTTATTCCGTAAAAAAGTTGCATACCTCAAACTTATTAGTACAGAAATTTGTTATAAAGTTAAGACACATTGTAAAAATCAATTTTAGTTAATGTTTCAAAACATTATGAAAATCTAATAGAATTTCACGTGCAATGCAATTTCCAAATCAGGTGAACCGTGTTATTGTTTTGCTACTCAAACTCACTGGTCGTGTTCACCCGACACATTTATCCGAATTCCGTATAAACGAGAATTCGTATTCGTCGACCGAGTTTGTATGAATGAGTTCCGAATTTTATATCCCTAAAGTATAAATGTTTATGGAAAACGAAAATTATTTAGTACAGGACAGAGGACAGTTTTAATATTTGCTACATATCTAAACATGAAATATGTGATGATTTAAATTCAGATTTAGTCTGATTGCATAATACTTCTGACTCTGACAGAATCACAATATTATACGTAATCGTTACATAAAAGTTATGTAATGAATTAGTACTAAAAAATGCATGACTTATGCCAAGCCACGACACCAGAAAGATGTTTTTTCAAGAGTTGGAAAAATATATTTTCTCAAGATTCATCGACCGTTTCTAAATGCCCAATTCTTACCGTTGTCCAATTCTTGATTCACACTTTTCTAAAAACTTATAAACAAGTAATCACAAAAAGTTCACATTACATTTAATTTAACTCGATTTAATGTAATTAATTTCACTAAACTACCTATAAATATTTAGGAGATCAGATCAACAAAAACCCAAATGCTTCTAAAAAATCTTCCTATGTGCATAAATACTCTTCCCAAACTGGACTCTAGACGGGTATATTATGCAACAAGTTTTAACAAAATCAAATTTAATTACAAAAATTCTCAAAATTCCCAAACTCTCCAGATAACTAAAATTAAATACACATTAAAATGTAACCCGTACTTACTACTACGCATTTTATTTAATCTCATATTGTCACGTCACGAGGGTTAAAGTTAAAGTTAGATAATCCGAATTTATTTAATAACACAAGTTCATACCATTTCATTCATTCATTCATTTTTATGATTGCTGTAAAATATTCCATCACATCACATTCTGCATGACTTGTTACACTTTTGATAAGAGACAAATCTGAGCAAAATAAGAATTTTTTATACAAAATTCTTCCCTTCTCGTGTTAACAAACTATCCATCCGAAGAATCCAGCAGATGCAGGCAGATCACATGTAACCATCACATCATCATCAAAATATCGCATCATTTCAGTACTTATGTTGGTCTTCTGTTTACTTTTTTTATACTTTTTAGCCAGTCAGCCAAGTAGATAGTAAGTAAGTTAAGTTAACTATCAAGTACTTGAAGTACTTTAAGAACATGCATTAATGCTCAATCCCATTCATTGCATTATTATTTCTGTTTGTCTGTGACGATGAGATCCGCCTCATACAATTTCTTCTTAATCTCTTGTTGTTGTGGTGGTCCAGTCCTCGTTTAGTTAAGTTTACTCGTCCGTCAGTCAGTCAGCAGTGTGTGTGTTTGCAAAAAAAATTGCAAAAACCAGTTCTTTGATTCTGAACACCTGAGTGAAGCGAATCTATTGTTGTTATTTATCACGATACAGTTGCGATTTTGAGACGGCAGACTTTGTGGCTGAATCTTTTTCATTCATTAAATTGTCTCTTTTGTTGTGCTATAAGAGTGAATTTTATCGCTGCAGAATTTTTATAAAGATTGTGTAGCGTTCTTTGTGATATAAATAGTGTAATTATTAATTTGTGACAGATTTGTTGCATAATTGTGTTATATAAATTGAAATTACATGTAGAGCGCATACACATCTGGTAATAATTTATTTTTTTGAAGCAAATTATATTTATTTTTTTGAATTGGCTTCGAAGTTAGCTAACCGACTAGTAAAATAAATGTGAAATTTTTAATTATAAATATGAAATTTCTAATTTGAGAAATTTGAAAGGTCACTTCGAACACAAAAATAGTAAAATCATGTCAAATTGAAGGGTTTTTATCCAGACCCCACTGCCCAATTTAGTCCAAACCAAATTCTAATCAGAATCATGCCTCTCCATCGAATCTCCGTATTCGACACGGTTTCCGTTTTCAAAAATAGAAATCAATTTATAAACTAATTCTCCAGTACAAATTGTTACACAATGTAAGCAAAATTGTCCTGCCCTGTGACGAAAACGAATTAAATTACTATCATCCATCCATCCATATCAAGTCACGTACATGCATACATCGCATAACACATGACAATTATTACAAGTTTCTTTTTTTACACTATTTACTTAATAATGTTAGTTACCTAATATAATAATCTCTCTGTTCTCTACACTTCTTGTTGAAATATTTGCTTCACTATAACCTACCTAACCTGACTTACTACTTACATATATTGCCCTGGGTAGAATGTGTGTGTAAGTGTCAATGTACATACACACATTGCATCTTTCTGGAGATAAATGCTAATGAGACCTTCAAATTTATGTATGTACTACACCACCAAATACCTTTTTTTCTTTGTTAATATTCCTACGTGAACTACCATTAAAACTAAAATGTAAATGTCTCCACCTTAATTTGTATCTGTAAGTAATCTGCACCAGGCAAGATTTGATGATTTGAGATCATAAAATTTTTTGAGACTAATAATTAACAACGACACGCACCCAACTTAATTATTATTATCCTCAGTTTGTTAATCGTTCTCATGCGGGCGGGTTGTGCTTAAATACTAAAATTCTGTGCTATAGTGCATGTTATAACCTTGAAAGAGACCTTAGTACTTATAGTTTGGTTTGCTTGCCCTTATTTTTTTTCGGATGTGTACTACCAGAAGTTGTCACAAATCAGGCCTGATTGTGGGTGGGGTGTCATTAAATAGTGACACGGAGTCGTGTCAGCTTTCCAAATTGTGCTCTTAAGTTTTGTAGCCTAATTAGTAAAGGAAAACTACTGCTGAGACCGAGTTGAAGTATTGAGGTCACGAACGAATGAACGACAGACTTGCGGAACAGAAAGAGAGTCAGAGTCACACCGATTTTCGGATTTATTTTTGCCCACCAGACAAGTTAAGACTACTGTGGGCTGTGCGAAATCGTATGTATTTGTGCTCCCAGTTTTGTTTCTGCTTGTGCTGCATAATATCATCCTGCAACACTTTTACTTTTGTTTAGTTACATATTTCCCAGTTACGCAAAAACAGTTGTCGAAGCGTACAAAATTCTGTCACTTGATGAGGATAAATAAATCTCTGCGAAAAAGGACAAATCCGGTTTTGTAACTGGGCGAATTTACTTAATTGTTAATTGTTACGTAATACTGAAGTCAGTTTAGTGTTTTTTTGTCAAAAGTGTGTCAGTTTAGTTTGAAATATTCTTTTTTTTTTGTTAAAACAAAGAACACGAGATTTGTACATAGTTTCACCTCCTCACTTTTTTTCACGAAACGAGGCGACAGAAGTATATCCCTTAAAGGATTTGATTCCTAGCTGTCCTACAAATTGGGAAGATTGTTCCTGTCACCAATGTCGTCGCTCTTTTAAAGCTTTAGTTTAGGACTCTCTCGTTTTATGCAATTCCATCCATGTTGACGTTGATGATTTGACGACGTGAAGGGAAAGCAAAGCAAATCCAGGAGAGGGGAGATTTTGGCCAGAAAAAAAGTTACAATTTTGTCCCTAACTTTTCAATATTCCAGACTTGTCAAGGGTACGTTAAACTTTTTTTTATCAAGAAAAGAATTGATTTCCCATTTTTAAAAAGTGGTAGGAAATCCATCCTTCACCATAATTTTTTATTTAGTAGTTAGAGTCGACCATGTAATTATTCCTCTCCCAAAATATACGCTAATGAGATGCGAAATGGAGAATGAGTTAGGACGAAATTTTACTGCTTCTAGTTTTAGTCGGCTCCACCGAATATAGAAAAAACCACAGAAAAAGCATTAGCACGGCAAATGTGCAAGTAAAGTGGACCTGGTCCCTGTTTGCTTATCTGGTCTGGCTGGATGCAGCATGAGAGTGGTTGTGGTTGGTCGTGCAGTTTTTACATATGGATGTGTTCTCCATGGTTTATTATGTACTCTGGACTGGAAGGAGAGAAAGTTTCTCCAGCAGGCAGAGTTTTACTGGAGAATTTATCCAGCTCGGAGTCAGTCTGAGACCAGCTTCACACCAGGAAAGACTTTCTCTCTCCGAGTTGGGGCTAATAAAAGTGGAAACTTCTCGCCATCCGAAAATTTCTGAAAGTTTGTTTCACCCAATAATTCCAGCGTCTAATTCAATTAACGGAGTTAATTCAGTCATCCAAATTAATTTATGGTGCGCAAATTTCAATCGTGTTGATTTGGAGGAATACACATTTTCTTATACCGAAAAAATCTCATCTTTGCTAAAAATAGACTAAATACGGACACGAAAGAAATAAAAATTACAACTTTCCTGAAGGAAATAGCGATTTAATCATCAACTTGACTTATTTATTTTGCGGGTTAAAGTTTCTTCAATCCCGACCTAATTGAAAAACGGGACGCATTTTCTCCTTATCTAAAATTGTGTCGCATTTGGGCGCATAGTCAACTTATACTGGAACCAAATTGTTTTTACTTTCTTGCAGAAGTGTCACTTAATTCCGTGGTGGTTGTGGTGCCATTGACTCGAAAAGCCGACAATTTAATCAAACCAGACTACACATTGTGCTAACAGAAAGTGAAAGCTAAGCCGGATTAAGATGCCGTTAGCTCATCAACTAGGTTCGGTTAATGCAAATCTTAATTTTAATTTACTAATAGTTTAAATATAATCTTAATTATGTTTAAATGTTAATTATTCCACCAATTAGGAGTACCTTGGGGAGATACGAAGCGACCACCAGAGGCGCAAATGGTACCCACTACATATTTTATTTTCTTTAATAAATTGCTATTTCTGTCCATACCACAAATTGCTGTCCTTTTGGCTGGGCTTTCATTTCGTTCATGGCGTTCAGTTTATTGATGCGTTTTTTTGCAGGGATTGGAGGAGATGCTGGTTGATGAACATGTCGACGTGAGTGCAAAAAAAAATATTTCGTTTTATTTATTGCGAATTTCTACCTCTGCTTTGATGTTGGTATTCACTTGTGGTGTTCTGGTTCAGTAATTTATGAGTGGAAAATACTTATATATAGATGAAAAAATTATGGAAAGGAATTACGGAAAAAAATTGCGAAAAAATTATTTTGCAATGATGCTTTCTGTCTGGAAGCAAAGAGGAGCTTGATGTTCTAATTTATTTCCCGTCAGAGATCAATCTTCATTTATTTCTCGAATTCACGTATGTGTGAAGGAAGATGGCTTGGAATATACCTTCTTAAAAGAAAAGAGGTTGATTTTCGTGCATATTTTCTTAACCCTGAGCTGAGAATAATGACGTTTTATCATGAAATGAGATGGTGCGGTGAAAGGGTGCACATGACAGTTGGTGCTCTTCGAGAAGATGAAGTGTTTTTGGTGGAGAAAAAAATCATCTCATTTTTTCCCAGGTTTTTGGAATTTTTTAGACTATTCAAGATTTTTTCTCGTTAGTTTTTTTTGCACTATTTGCATTTCCCAATTTGCCAGATTGCAGCATTTAGAGTGATTCATGATTGGCAGCTTATTTTACATCTTGCTCAGAAATTGCTTACTCACATTCACATGTTTACTTTGCGAAATTTGTGAAAAGCTAGAAAAATGAATAGTGTTAAAGAGTTGACATCAAAGGGAATGGTTGCGATGTGATGGAGATTTAAAGCCGAGCTAAATATACTTTTTAAGTATGCACGTGTCCGGAGGCTAGATTTGTCATTTTGCACGACCTTTCACAGGATAATATTTGCACAGGATGGATTATAATTTGCGTAAACTTTTTCAAATCAAATTAGCAATATGTGCATTAATATTCGCAAAATATGGAGAATATTAACAGAAAATTTTCCAAACTAATTTTTTAGGTAGGCTTAGAAAAATATTCTAAGCAAAATATGTCAAATTCGCAATAAAGTCGCAATAAATTCGCAATAAATCCCGTTATAATAATATTACTTACAATTTAATACACATTTAATTCAGGTGGCATTTCTAACCCAAGCATTTTTATAAAATTTATCTCATTCAATTTTTGCTAAAATTAACGTTCCTCTGTCGATCTGGTCCTTTTCTTTGAACACTTGCCAGTTTGGTAACCTAATAATATGTAAACAAATAATAATAATATGTATTTATAATATGTAAACAAATCGTAAATAATCCATACATGAACATTAATTATTATATTTTACACTTTCATCTCATTCAACGAGGCCAACGATCGTACTCCACTTTTCGAACAGGAATTTTGTTTGCGTAGCAATTATACGTCGCGATATGATAATCATTTAAGTTAAATGCAGGGTCGTACATACACATTTTTTAGTTTAGGCAATTAGCAAACAATTCCTTTTTTGCCTCGTACACTCTTAGAAAATTCAATATCTTTTCATGAAGTAAAATGGAACGTTATGTGCTTTAAAGTAAACCTCACTTGATTCGAAGTAAAATGGTTAACTTCATTCGAAGTAATGACAAAAGTCACCAAATGTGAAGTAAAACCACTATTTTCTAAACCATAAAGTAAGCTATTATACCATTTAGAGTAAGCAAACCCCATTTAGGATATTCTTGGTCAAACCAGACGCTGACTTTTCCCTCGCTCTCATTACAACTCGCAGCTCATCCAGTCAGTGCTGGTTAGTTAAATTGATAATTAATTAATTAGTTAGTTATTAACTTATAAGCAAATAATGGAGGAAACGAGGAGGTTATTGCAACAATTTGGACGGGGACGCTGAAGGGTAAGAAATTTGCATAATTTATACACAAATTTAATTTACATTGCGTTTAATTTTTATTTTAATTGTCTTTAAACAGATGATGATATTACGGACGAGACTCTGTTAATAATTTCAGGAGAAAATTGTCAGGTTTTCTAGGTCATTTTAGGTCGGCTTTGGAATGCATTGTACAATTTGTGAGAACTTGGTATATCTTTGTTTTAAGTGCAAAACTAATTTTAAACCTTTAGTATAACATGAAAAAAATTATCTTAAGTTAACAGGGTCCAGCGTTTACAAATATCCTCACTAGTGGTTCATAATAAGGGTAATTTGAATGTGAAATAAAATATATTATTAAAGTACTAAATACTGCGACTACGCTTAAGTAACTTTTCCTGGGGTCATCAAAGCAAGAAAGTAAAGTCATAATCAACGCGATTTAGGGTTACGGTCGTTACCCTATTGGGCGCTCAGTTACCCTGTGAATATTGTTACAGGGTAAAATGGCTTACTTTGTGGCCGAGAGAGAGCGATTCGCTATAAGTGGGGTAGTGGCACTTTGGAAGTTATATCGGGTTATATTTTACGTCATATAAAGTATGGATTTCTAAGAGTGTAATGCCACCACATCCAGACAGCCATAACACTTTAAAAAACACTCGTCTTTATGGAGCCGCATCGTCGTGCATTATATTTATTTCGCTGATAATTAATTCTCCTGTTACTGATTATATGTTTTTATTTCATGACCAAATACCAAGTAATAACCGACCCGTCGAGATTAGATAAGCAGCCTAAATATCAATATTTATTGAATTTTTCTCCCCTATTTATGCTGACATGGAGGAATATCGAAGTATGTAAACTGTAATAAAATGTGACTTGTTGCTTCTTCAAGCGACACGTGAAACCTATTTATTTTTTTCAACCTATTGATGCATTAGTTTCGTAAAGTCGTAATCTTGAGGTTAAGTCGTCGCCCTTTTTTTTAATACTTTTTGCCGGCGTCACAATATCCATTCTTCGTAAAAAGTAATGGGATTATTGTTGTCGTTTCGTGTCATGCTACTTGTCGGAATTCACAATAAAATCGAGCCTGTAATCAAAACGCGATAAAATTTATAACTACCGGCACGCTCATTATGTGTAATCTTGTCGGGTCTCAAAGGGCTGGAAAATATGGCATCTTTTGAAACCTCGAGACCATTAAAGTTCCCAAGGCTTGGAGAATATTTACTCGGAGGAAAATAAGTATAGAAGACAATATTTGCTGGCTTAGTTTAGTATCAAAAGTAACTAAATACTTACTTGTTACGTAAGAAGAAGAACTTGCTTATTTTCTTCTACGTATAGTCGGGCAGGCAGGGCTTAGGTTTCGTGATGTATAAGAAACTTTGTATTTTATGTAAAAACACAAAATCACTTTCACCACGTTGGCTGGCATGCCGTGTTTTGCAATTCTTAATTTCCGTCTGTTTAGAAGAGGCTCTTTTCTTTATTCAAGTTGAGAGGAGTTGAGAATACGTACGTACTTCTGGTCTAATTAGGGAGCTTAAGCCATTAAATTTTGTTACGATACTTTGTTCCTTTCAGGTTCATTAATCTCATTTGGTATGTAAGTATAATTAGTTGTTTTGAAGCCAAAATCTGATACAGAAAGTGTACCAAAAGTTTATTTTCTTAGACGGTAATGCCACTTTTTGTTCTACGTAGGTAGGTAGCATCCTCAATGAAATTAGTTTAAAGTGGACTATGCTAAAGGTATACTCGAGTAGTTTTATTGGTCAGAATAGGCAAGGGAAATTTTAATTTTGTCTTGGAAAAACAAAACCGAGAGACAGAAATTCACATTCACAAACATTTTGGGAGAAATTGTTCGGCAAGGGTGCAAGCAAAAATATCTAGAGTTGGTAATTTAATTCCAGCCTTCTGGGAAGTAAGCAAGTCAAATTAGCAATTTTCGACAACTTTCACTGTCTCTCTTTTGGCACGAATTACGTGTAAGTGGCAACTTGTTGGAATGGATATTAATAAGCTTTCTCCACATTTCTGTCTACGTGTGTTTGTTCACTTTTCCAGTTACAGTTTCCTACCTGCGTCCGTACTTTGCTGGTTGGTGGCAGATGTTGGAATATGTACGAGAGTAACAAAATTCTAAACTTGCACTTAATAATACACACACAAAATACGTATGTATATACACAAATCTGCTTCCCGTAAACTTTCCACTATGCGAAAATGAAAGTTTTGGGAGACGGGAAAATGGATTTTCTTTTTGTTTTATTCTCCCCCAGGTTCACATCACTGCTTAAAGTCCAGTCTACTCCGGTGACACAGTCTCAGCAGGCAGTGTTTCAGTTTTGGATTAGGAAAGTTTTTTTCTTCGGTAAAAATTGGAAGAAATGGAGGATAAAAATTGGTCGAAAAGGTGTCGCCGTCGGGAAATTTTGTTAATTTCACGCATAGCTTTTTAATTAAGGATTTTAGTGTTATTTTGCTCCTAGAAATTTTTACCTTTACAAATACGTTACATTAATTGTGATTTTTACAAATTGGTGTAATTAAAAGTCTGAGAAATTAATTTGAAAAGAGTGAATGTCATAATAAACACAAAATTTTCAGAAAAATTGGGATAGGTGGAATTTAGGTTACGAAAAAAATTGAGTAACATTTTGACAAATTTCATGATTTTTTGTACCAAATTTTGTACTAGAGTCTCACTTTCTCCATGTGACGATCTCTTCGAAACCCTGTCCTTTTACTGTCAGGGACTGATTTCTCCAGATATGTATGTACCTACTACCTACATGTTTCTTGAAGTCGGATTTGCGACCAGATGGCACATGTCAGCCTGTCCAGCAGACAGAGTCCCATTCTTACCGTTCCACTGCACTAGACTACGTACTTACTTACTTACCAAGGGAATTTTTATGCCTTGAGGAATGGAAACTCCAACTTTTTCCAGTGAAAGTCCACTCTCTTTCTTTTACATTTTATGTACGAGACTGGAATTATTTGACTTTGCTTTTTATGTACAACAAAAAACTTTAGAAAGAAATATACGAATAAATTGTAGCGCGGTCCTTTACGTAAAGGAGAAAAAATGGAATATTTGCAAGTCAAAAATAAATAAGTACTCCGCCTACCGCATTTTCACTCTTATTGCATGTGACCTGAGAAAATTGCAAATATAATTAATACCCGAAAATTCATA